TGTTCTATTCGTCTAGAGTGCTATGGTGGCGTCTTTGGTAGTAAAGGTACGCCGTAAAGGTACAAAATGCCGTACCCCAACAAAACATCTCTAATATTGAATCGCCATTTTCTCGATAACTAGGAGGCTGCGCATGCTCCGAAGTGAATCGGAGATAAATGAGACTGTCTATTATAACTTGCCAAAATTTGAGAGCGATCAGAGGTCATTAGACCTCACCAGTCTAACGAGGAAATTAATTCCCAGTCTAACGGGACCCACTTTTTATGTCCCATAAACCCTAGTAGTTAAGAGGAAACCATAATTCCCAGTCTAGTAGACTGGGCCACCCCCCGTGGGATAGGGTCCGTAATTTTGGTAAAATGTAGGGGCCGGTTAATCCAAACCAAACGAATTTGTCCTCGAAATCACTACGACACGAACACATTTACGATGGCCTTAAGAATCTTCAATCTTCTTCTTAGCTCTTTTTTAGTTATAACTCCCTTTTGCGACGATACTCGGTTCGACACCTATATTTACTAAAACTGTGGACATTCGAAGTGGGTGCGGCACCTACGCCACTCGGGTACTACGCTAAAGATCAACCCTTAAATATCTCCAAGCTCCCCTCTTCTCATCTACCTTTCCCAGCCCAAAGTTTCTTCAGTTACAACATGGATTCTTTCGAGAAATTGCCCCCTGAAGTCATTCAACAGATTCTCGCCAATATCGGTGATTTTGCAGGCATTGAAAACAGCCTGTTGGCATCTCGACGACTCAATGCCGTCTTCCAGGCCCAGCCTACCCGCATCATACAAGAGCTGATCCTCATAAATCCGATTACTTGTATGCCAGAAATACAAAAGCTATGCTATAACATCGGGCACCTCAGTATCTCTTCACTGCAATGCCCGGATCTTGAGCACTATCACCAGACATGCGAGGATCCGCCAACTTTAGGGTACACAGAATCACGGCATATACTTAAGATAGGCGCGCAGATCCAGCGGCTTGCGTGCAAATGTCTCTCTATTATGCGAGAAGGTCTCGTCAGAACCCTTGATAATATCCCCGCGGATTCAATAAGTGGACCTCCACTCCAAATCCAAAATGCCAGCCAACCCTTCACCTGGACAGAAGAGTATCGCACATACTGGGCTCTCTGGCATCTGCATCACTACTCCCACCTGCGCAAAGCAGCGACCCAGCGATGGAACTGGAACGAATCCTCAATCCGGGAACTAGACGCATACAACACCTGGAGCGAAATCGACTATCGCACAGCCGAAAGACTCTGGACAGTATCCGCCGTCCTCTCAGATCTGGGTCTGACCCTGAACTGGCTGCCTAATGACCCAGAAGCAGAAGAACCCGCCAAAACCATCTGGCCCGCTCCGGAAGAAACATCAATACCTTTCTTCCCATCATTTGACCTGCCACCCACACAGTCACAAGATAGCAGCCTCTGGGCTACGCCAGATCCTCCCGAGGACACAGAGTTAACATCCGCCTGGATGCTCGCGCCGAGACACCGTGCCTCGCATCACTGGCACGTCGCACACCTCTATCTCAGTGGTATAAATCTCACGCGGACCGTGCCTGCATGCTACTCGCTGACGAACATGAAACCGTGGCGACGACTCGGTTGGGTTATCTGGGATGGGTGGCGTATGTATTCTATTGGATTGAGTAATATCGCTCGAAAGAAAAAAATCCCCCTTCCGGATGGCGGTTTCCTTGAACCGGAGCCGCGGAATCCGAGGGATCGGAAACCGGGGATTGATTATGTGGCTAGGTGGTTCGCGATGATTGGGGAGGAGAAGCCTTGAGGGGTCTTTTGGAGACTGGGGATAGGGTTGATGGGATGTTTTGAGAAATATTTGGTTGGGGGGGGCGGGAATATAGAAGTCATAATCCTCCAGGTTTGATCTTGATATCAACGTGGAACCTTCGAGCTATATGATCTCAATATCCATGGATATTCAAGTACTACCTACGACCCAACTCTCTGTCAAGTATGTGTACAGTTACGAAACAATGTAGTTCCACAGGCCGTAAAGTTGTCCGCGTGGACTTGTGGTTTCTTGTATTTCGCCATTTGGCTCTGAACACCGAGATGATTTCTTTACTGCTGTCGTTGATGTCCTGCTGAGGACTCAATAGTTTGTAATTGTCAACCGGTTATCTCTAGTGTGAGCCATGAAAGAGGGCTCTGATCTGAACAGCATCAACATCAAAGTTGCTTTCGACCGCCCAAAATAAAAGCTCTAGGTCAGCGTTTTCCGGTCAGCCTTTCGGAAAATATACTATAATCCTATAATGCCGAGGATTGCCTCGCCTGAAAGTATATCTCACCCTACGTCAAATTTTGTTAAATGGCTTGCCAGGGCTTCCACCCCAGACAAATTTGGTCTTTATAGGCTCCTCGCAATGATATGCTAGGTCTGCTACAGCTTCGGCCACCGATTCGGCCACTTACCCTTCCGGCTGTATCACGTAGTATCGTGGAGACGCTTCTTCTAGGCGCCAACGCTAACCGTGCTCCAGTGGCTAGATATCACGTCATACGTGTAAGGGGGAGTGCTTGTAGCCCTAGTGATTACCAACATCATTGCGATTAGCCTTTATACCTAGAACTAGGCGGGCGTGCAGAAGCGAGCGGGATGCTTAGCAGTCATATATCTTGTTGTAAAGAAGTAGGGTTCTAGTGTTTACAGGATAGAGCCTGTCAACTAGGTAAGATGAAGATGCCTGGAAGCGAACAATATATTGGAGGAATACAGAGAGTGATTCTTAGAGAACCGCTGGGTTCTCCAGAGCAGACTATTTAACATTAGGGATTAGCGTTACGGTGAGCCAACGCTGACGTGTCGACACCTATATGATGTCGATCCTTCATGTGTGCGAGGGATCTGTGCATGGCTTCTGAGGGTTCCGTTACACCTGACTCCGCCCACCCCCGTGGGATAGGGTCACATGAGAGTCTATTTTGAGGTAAACTAGCGAGATTTATGCTAGTGTGGATAGTAATGAGACATCCAAGGATATCTTGCGGATTTGCCGCTGTCTAATCGTGCGTATCGCTGCCTTAGTATTCCACTCGATTCTAGTTATGTCATATATAAATAGCGAAAATTCGTCTATTCAGCCTTGACCTTCTGCACTTTATACACCCAAACATAGCAAAACGGATATATCGTCTCCGGAAGCAAAGTCAAGACCATAATGGCAATACTCCATGGCGAGGCAACATATTCCCAATTCTGGGGCACATTCAAGTATCGCCAGATAAACACCCCGTAGGCTAGATAGCAACCTATATATCGAGTTATCCTGCATCTATTAGCTATGCATTGATACTGTGGTAAAACGAAAGTGAAACCCACCACATCTCTAACGAATGCCCCCTCGTCCCCTCCTCCGCATACAACGAATGCAAACAGACCCAGCCGATGGGAAGTTGAAGGAGAATACCCGTCCAGTACGCTGTGACTTGTTCGCGATCATCTGGGTAGAGGGTCGTTAGCCATTTCAGGCCGGCTATACCCAGGACGAGACCGATGAGCATGTTCCGGATGAGTCGGGGCCGGTGCTCTGCGCGATGGACGTGCTTAAGGATGACTGCGACGTAGCCAAAGTCGTGGATGAACCAGGCGAGAAAGCCTACTCGCTCTACGGTTGTGGATGTGGTGGTGAAGGCGTAGAAGAATTCGTAGGCCATTGTTAGGCATCTGGTTGGGTTGTTAGTAGGTGTTATACGATGCGATTAAAATATGGGGGTGGGCATTACAGATACTGGACACTGCCATAGCTCGATCCAGGGACTCGCTGGTCTTTATATGCGCGGAATGTACAGAATAAATAGCACAGAACGTAGAGAAAGCCGCAGGAAATAATCAGCCCATCTTGAACGTAGAGATAACTCTCCGGTGGATTCAGTCGCAGGTCTGCGGGTTGTATAATCAGATGCTGGACTTTATTCGCTAAATCGAAATCAGACATTTGAACTGTACAGTGTATATTTTATCTTGCGACTCTCGCCTTGCGATGCATTGTCGTTCTTGGATTTTATAAGCGCCGGCAGCGCCGGAGTCTGCGTCAGCTGGCAGAGCGGGTGGGGCTAGCGCTCGGATAAATGACATCATCAACATTGATGCTTTTCAAGAAAGGTTACATTGCCATGGCCAGTAAGATGTAAACAGCGAAGAAGGATCATGCACAGCATTTCTTGGAGTTTGGGGTCTGGTTCGTCGATCTTGAGGTGGGGTTTAGGCAAAAAAATATTTTTGTGGATAGCTTTGGGTGGTGGATCTGTTTTCCATGGGATGATCTTGTCATATCTTTTAATGAAAAAGGTTCAAAATAGAAAAAAAAAAATGAAGATTCCAAGAAAATTCTGCAAAGCCAGATAGAGGCGGTGTCGATCGAGTGACTGACATGATGTGCGGCCTCAGGCGAGGGTCACAGCCAGGTCTAATAATACGTTGTTACTTATGTCTACCGTTTAGAAACCTTAGTGACTCCTTACTTATTATAACTTAACAACACTACGACTAGACTAATACTTCGGTATAGATCTGTTCGGCGCTCTATCTAGCATCGCTCCTCGATACCTTTAAAAGGACTTAGCCCGTATGAGACCTATTAGGCAATGATACGGTTGAGAGGCAGATCGTTGACGTTAGAAGCAAAGAAACATTACGCAAATATAACCAAGAATCTTCTAACTTAGCGATAACCCGATAGTCGTGCGTAACATTCCGGCCACGGCAGATTATGTCCATACATTTTAGGGGATCAGAATTTCCCCGAGCCGATCATTCGATTACCGCGTGAGTAGAAAGGATTGGTTTACCGAACAGACGCTAAGTCGACTAAATAAAGAACTAGGATGTGAGACGGTTGATGATTGATCATAATCATTTGATTCATTTCTAAATGTAGTTATGAATTCTTGGCAACACATATCTCATGAAGATAAAGCTCCGAAATCTATCCAACAATATCTATGAACGCGACTAGAATAGCCACGCGAGGGTTTTCTTATAAACCTTCTTCCAGCCAGTGAGGTTTTGGTGCTCAAGGGCCAGAATGGCCTCAAATTCGGCCTCTTCGCGATCGATCTCGGCCTTTCCGGTCCAGATATCGGCATTGTGGGGTTTGATAATCTCGGTCTTCTTGAAGAACTTCCAGCCGGCGAAAGCCATCACGTAAAGAGGGATTCCGAGATATGAGGTGATGAAGGTCTTGTAGTCAAAGTTGCCGTACTTTTCGGGGTTGTGGATGAACACGCCAAAGCTGCGGGTGAAGGCCACTAGGACACAGAAAAACAGGGCGATAGAGGAACCGATGATTCCCAGAGGTGCCGTGTAAGCCAGGGTTGCTTCGTCGACGCCCTGGGCGCGGCGAGCGCGAATGAAGAAGATATGAGTGATCAAGAGGGAGATCCATGTCAATACTGTGGTAGCAGGTCAGAAACAGAACATACTTCGAGTCATTTGGGGAAAGGTAGAACATACGTCCGAAGATCGACACCATGTCGGTGAAGTAGCCAAAGACCTCCTTGGAACCATTGGAAACACTCATGAAAGCGAGCAAGCAAAACGCAGCCGAGAGAATCAAGGCGAAGATTGGGACACCAGCCTGGTTGGTGCGAGCGAAAATTTGGGGGGCCTTCTTCTCACGAGCGAGACCGTATAGTGTTCGGGTCGCGATGTAAAGGTCAGAGTTGGCGGCCGATAGCACAAACACAAGGATACAGGCGTTGATAATGTGAGGAAGAGCGGCAACTTGCTTCATCGCGACGACGAAAGGCGAGGCGGCGGCGGAGTTCTTGGCCTTTGTGGCGAATGCCAGGTCCTCTGAGTCGTAAGGGACTAGCATACCAACGAAGAGGACACTGAGAATATAGAACACGATGATACGCCAGAAGGTAAGCTTGATAGCTTTCGGGATGGTCTTGCGAGGGTTCTGGGCTTCTCCGACGGTGACACCAATAAGCTCAGTTCCTGGAAGACAATGGGGTTAGAAAATCCGAAAGCGAGCGAGAAACATGAAATGCCATACCGAGGAACGCAAAAGTGGCCTGTACCATGGTCGACCAGAAAGCAAGGAACTTTCCAAGGTTTCCGTCAACATATTTCGTGGCAAAAGCACCAGGTTCGTTCCAGTACCGGAAACCTCTCCTGTCGTGATCGGGACCACCACCAAGTGCGAAAATGAAAGAGCAGAGAATAATGCCCAAAATGATAATCACTTTGAAAGACGAGAGCCAAAATTCCAATTCACCGAAAAATTTCACACCAAAATAGTTGATGGTAATGATTGCCACCATGAAGATGGCAATCCATACACCGGGGTTGACATTTTCTGCAGAGGTTCTCGGCCAGTAGGTGATGACCAGGGCAGCTGCTGTCAATTGCGTGGGCGGTAGAATGATATATTTGAGGTAGTAGCTGGAATATGATTAGTACTTTTCCCTTTCAGAAACTGGCATGAATTTTTACTCACCACCACCCAAGGGTAAATCCGAGAGCAGGATCACAGAAACGACCAGCATAGCCTGTGAAACCAGACGACAAGGGCAGCCAGGCGGCCATTTCACCCAGACCACACATGACTGTCCAAACAACGAGACCCATGAAGCAGTACGCGATGAGCAAGGAGCCAGGCTAGTTAGAGTGGTTAGTCAATTTCAAACGTTCATAGTAGTTGGGCAAAGTTCCACATACTCCGGCTCTAGAAGTCTGGGTTAGATGTATTTCAGGTAGAGTTTTAATAAAGTAAAACTCACGTCAAGGCGCTGCCAGTGCCAACAATCAATCCAGTACCAATAGCACCACCAATTGCAATCATGGAAATGTGACGAGCCTTGAGCTCCCGGTGTAGCTGAACGGGCTCATCCTGCTCGCCTTCCTTGGTGTCGATGTAGCCGGGCTGCGACTCGAGAGCGTTGATCTCGTCGGGGTGACCCATCTTGCTACAGGCTAAATTGACCCAGAAAAAGAAAAAAAAAAAAACCTCAGTAGCAGATGAGAAAGAGAAGAAAGGAAGTAAGTGAGGCGAAGACAGCTGTGTGTGGGGGGTGGAACTGAAATAAGAGAATCAACCCAATGCACAGTTTATAGGCGAATTCCGGGGTCAAACTCAAGACTACCATTATCTCTCCCCTCTTTCGCCCCCTTCAAGCAAGCAGAAGCAGTGGAGACAAATCCTGGAGGTGCCTTGGACCTAAGATTGTACTACTGGACTACCACCACGTTTTGCTGTGCTCGGACAGTTTGGGCACTTGGCAACCCTTGGCAGTGGCTTACCGGCCATTCCGTCTTGCTGTCTCTCTCCCCTGGCCCGGGTGAGGCGCATCTAAGGTAGTAGGGTGAGCAAATCATTCAGGATCCCGAATTGCTTAGATTTTCCTGCAGGAATGAAGTGTAACCAAGTCAATGGGCCATCTCAAGCCGTAACAAATACATCTCTCGGGTCTTTGATATGGATAACTAGATAAGAATGACCCACCGAGCACCTGGGAAGAGAATTCCCGGGGTTATGACAAAGAGAAACTGCGGTGATTTGCGCCCAAGCCCTCTCAGGACCCTTCATGCTGCACTGTGGAATCCTGCCATCTGGCCAAACTGGCCCTACTGACCCAACGGGGATACCAGGGGTGACCAACTTCCGATTCAATTGGAAGGCGACCCCGAAAGTAGCCCTGCCTAGCCGCTCGCGGGCAGCAGAATTGCTGGTTGCTCGATCCGCCCCTCGGTCCGCTTCGCCCGAAAGAGTTGAGGTGGAACCCGAAAAAGGTGCTGATTGCGGCTCGCTTCTTGGCATTGTCTTGGCTCGGTATTTTTCTTTTCGCTCGATTTTGTGGTTTTTGTCTTGGCAGATTGGCTTGGGGGCCCACGGCCAGATGAGAAGATGGCGGGCCAGGGGAGTGATTGGGCGCACGCTTCACGTAACTTTTTCGGCGTGTGGAGTGTGGAGTTGGATGTCAGCCAGTGCGATATACTTCGGCTCCTTCGACGTACAGGAGAGATCTTATTAAAGTTATGGTTTCTCCTTCGTAATCCCCCGCATTATCCTCTCCACAGAATTGAATGCATGACAGCAGGAAATTGAGCCTCCCGTTGTCCAAGATTTGGCATTCGTGTGTTGCGTCTCCAGTCGCCGAAAGAAACTCCAAAAACTGCGCCAAGGAAGCACGGCATTAACTGCCAAAATCCAGTGAATGAGGGGGCAAATATTCCTGTTTATTTATGGGACGATGAAAACCTTGGAATGCCGTCATACTGTAGCTCAATTAAAGCTAGTAAGTGTGTCATCTCCACCTGGGCAGTCGACTCGGATCTCTCTTGCTGTGCTGGATAAATAAACCTCCTTATCATATAGGGCCCTCACAATATTCTCCACGACAGATGTCAAATACCTAGTTACCTAGTAGGAGTCTACTATATGCCAGTGCAGATGAAAAATCCGTTTATTACTGATCTCGATAGATAAAGTGTGAAATGAAACGATATCACGTTTAGATAAACTAACGAAACAGGTAATGCGTGACCCCGAATCGGTGTTTGATATTAATAATTTGCTTCGGGGCTAAAGTTTACCTCGGGCTCTCCTTACCAGCGGGTTCAGTTCTGATATGTCAAGTCTTCCGGCAAACGAGCGGCTCAGACATCCAGTGAGATCCTTAAGCAGACATCATCTTCCTGAATGTCACTAGAATTTCGTTTTACCGTATATCTGGAGACATCGGACTATCGTGAATCGGATATCTTAATGTTACATCGAAAGCCGAGGGTGTGGCGTGCTTGGTTGTTGCGATGGAACAACAAAGGATCAGCGGTGGTCAATATGCGGAGAGAAAGGTACGAAGGATTTCCTTGCTCTAACCAATTTCTTGTCCGAGTCAAGCCCCACTCAATGCCCTCACGCTTGGAGATGAACTAATAAACTAATAAATAATGCCATCGACTGCTACTGTTAGGCCCTTTTCCCTTTGTTACCTGTCCTGACTCCGACACTGCCTCGCGGAGTAACCGGCGGGAAACTCTCAACATGTTCCGGGCAGCAAGATGGGGCCTATTGGCCACTCTTTCCTTGATAATCTTTGTGATTTACTTACCGGGAGTATCAATAACTCCATTGGAATTTTCTCCGCGTGGCTCTGGTGGGAATGGAGGATCAAATCACCAAGTTGCACCTGGAAAACGGGTAGCTGTCGCAAGCGAGAGCGCTGTCAGTTCAGGACATGGTACCAAATGTTGGAACTGGGTGATAATGCTGCCAATGCCGTTAGTATTCCTTTCGACGGTGCAAATTATGATATTGTCCCGAAGGCTAACGGAGTACCTAGCTGATTGCCACTGAGTTTTGTGTCGGAGTCATTGGTAGCTCAAGTCATTCTGAATTGATATGGGAACATGATTAACTTCTCTCGGGATGTATCACAGCGATCAGCGGTGGTGTCTTCATGCTTGTTCGATCGCCTAACGGCACTTACGAGATTTTTGATTTCCGTGAGACGGCCCCAGCTGCAGCTTTCCAAGATATGAACAACAACAATACAGTCTCGCTGTCGTCAACATTCTCGGATAGGGGACTGTCGGACTTGGGCCGAAAAGCGACGAGTGGCTCTGAATATCCAAATCTTCCTCGTTGGCAGAGAAGGGGCACGGGAATGTGCTGTTTCTGTGCTGCCATCAAACAGGGCATCTAGCAAATGCCTACCTTCTCGTCCGATTGACTCTTCATCTTCCGCAGTATGCTGTCGTTTGTGACTCTTGATATACCTACCTCCCTCTTGAATATTATCATTTCGATGAGCTACTGGAGGAAGAACATCGTCAGGACGGGGTGACGGAGATGAACAAGACGCTAGGCCTAATTCTCTTGCGTCTAATAAGGAATCATCCTCCAGTGGAGGATCATCGGGGAATGCTCCGGTTCCGGCTCCCGCTGTCGCTTTGGGCGATGCTTCGAATTTGCAGACATGTGCGAAGTGCCTTTCAGAAACCTATCCATTTGTTCCAACGTGGTCTCAATTTATTTGTACCCCACGTTGTCTTCCAGGAAAACGCACTCACTGTCATACAGTCCGGTCGAGATCAGCCGATCTCCTAGGTAGCTCAGATTCACAGCAAGTAGAGCCTAGCATCTTTGATAATATAAGAGGAGTAGTAGCCTTAACAGGGCTAGTAGGCTTCCTCTATAACGATTCCTAGCAGTCTAACTAGCTCTCCAAGCTAGGGCGCTATATAAACACCTGAACTCATTTTTGACCAACCATAGCGTAACAGAACGGCACATAGGCGCGCTATTCTAAATCTGTCGAATCTTGTCCGCACGGACAGCTACCCCCATGGGATAGAGTAAGGATTGCCTCTATGTAAAAACCAAAGCGTCATGTGTCACCTTTCACCTTATAGAATATCTCATATTTCTGGATTTACAGATAACACTGTCTCGAATAAAAGTACTCCCCTCGTTATCTATTCATTTCAGGGTTTGGGATACCTGAGCGCCCCTGGACTCCACAATGATTTTGATTTTACATCATAATCCAGTTGCTGGCCGTGTTTCCCAGGTCGAAATCGATTGCCCAAGACATTAGATCAAAATTCTCGTAATGGTCCAGATTGATAGCACCAATCTCCCCAGCTCCATAAGCAAGGGAACTGTCAATGTAAGGGGTCAAAACTGACATCGGGCTCAGGTCAATGCTTGTTGCGACATCGGAAGTTGCCTGAAACTTTGATGTCGAAAACTTGTCCAAGATCTTGTCCAACTTATCCGTGATGGCTTTTGCAGCCTGCAAGCAAAACGCTTGATTTCTTTCCCGGGAACTGGCCACACTTTCAAGTTGCGATGCAAGTACGGAAAGATTCCGAATCACAGCCGACGTCCTTATACCGGGCGTAAGAATGCTTGAAGGATCTTGTGTAATATTTTCTAGTGCAGTTGAAAGGACTGCGGCAGAGGGCAAGCCGCAGGAGAGGAGCTTCACCCTGTCAGCTATGCAAAAAGGGAACGGGACGGTAAGGTAGGGGAGTACTTACGATTTCAGGCAAATCATTGAAGGTAAAGGCACCTTTGCTGCGAGAATTTCCCATTTGCACAACCGTCTCCAATATGTTTGCAGACACATCAAGCAGCTCGGGAAGGGGAGATGAGCTATCTTCTCCAAGGAGGTGGTATATCTGGAAATGAATTTGGAGGTAGGCCAGATGAACCTTCGCATGCATATAACAATTGGTAAGAGGCATGTCGGATTTCCAACAATCCTGACTATACCTCAGGTGGGGAAGCAGGTTATCCCAAGTCTGACGGCATCGAGAAGACAACTCTCTAATTGAATGTCAGTGGCCATTCAGCATCTCTCCAATTGATGGTTCATACCTGAGCTGGACAGGGTCAGCTGACTGTGATGCCTGAAAATGATATTCCACAATTTCTTCTCGAAACTGACTCAAAATATATCTCAGTCGAGCCCAGGTTGCTGCCCTAAGTTTCCCATCCGTGTTCCAGCCATCTTCTGTGAGCCGACTTTTTGCTTCTTCTAGTTCCTCGGAAGTTTGCGCGAAAAGTTCATCATCTGACAAATCAAGGGGGAGCTTGACATCAACATATTGAGAGGTAATGCGAGGAGGTAGATTGAACACCAGGCCGAACATTTTCTCGAGATAATATTCAGTCGCAAAGCATCTCCTCCGGCATTCTGCAAGAAAAAACGGGGTTCTCTCAGGGGAATATGTCGCTTCTCTGTTCAAGCCCAGAGCCAATAAATCCGTCGCGAGATCGCCCACCAAACGCCACACAGCGAGGCCTGAAATCAATCAGTATCCCACAATCAACAAAATTTGCATGACATGACTCACTCGCATCTCCTTCAAGGAATGATCTGAGCTGCGCATTTTCATTCGCTAACCATATGATGACGTCGGTTGACTGAGGTGCAAGGTCACGAGCTAGTCGTAAAGTCAACGTACTATACCAAACCATGTCTTGGACAAATGCGCCATCCTTATCCTCGTCGCGATCAACAAAAAAAAACGAAGCACGGGCAGCCATGGTATAGAAAAGACCGATCGTCTCGACTCGAAGATTCGCGCCACAGAACAAGGCGAAGAAACCATGCAGGTCTAAGGATGGGGTGATGACGACCTCTGTAGAGGAAGAGAGCAGCACAGTTTCTGATATCTCCGAGATATTGCCCAACTCGGCTCGCTCTCCCTTTTCTCTAAGAATATGACCCGAAGATACTAGATCTGTACGGAGCGTTTCCAGGAGATGCAGAACGACTGGTTTCGGTACAACTGCGTTGTGCTTAAAAGAGTAGTATTGATGGAGATACTTTTCAATGACTGGGAGGTATCTTAATTGAGACACAATCTCCTTCATGGTGGCTAGGTGGGCCTCATAAGCTTTGCTGTCACGCGAGCCACGCGTGGGTGTCTGTGGCAGCGTGTCAGAGACGGTCGACATGAAAGGCCATGTGTGAAATTTGGGCGGTCCAGCCGCCGACCGTCCAAGATGGGCCTGGCAGCTTTTTGCGCTGTTCCTGCTCCATGATGGCGTAGCAAAGTTTGATCGGGTTAGCGTAGGCACGGTCGGTCTTTGTGCACCCTGATTTTTGGTTAGAGGTGCGGGATGATAATAGCATCGAGTGTCGAGCCCACGACGCTGGCAGGAGGCGCAAACTGGTTTGCCATGATCACATCGACTTTTTCTCTCTCGACAAGGTTCACATGAGGCCAGGGCACGATTGCGCCTGGTTGTGGGTGCTGACATGTTCAAGAACCTGAGAGGCTGGGCGATGTTGCCTGTATCTCCATGTCACGAAACTGGACCCACTCTGGTATGGACTCAGTGTTCCTTCGGACTCGATTTCCAGGTCCAGTTGGAATTGGTATTCTGCAAATTCAGTAACGTTGTTCAAGTCGTTTGGCTTGTTTTAGTAGGGACATTGAGTCATGAGGAGCAATTGAGAACGAGTTGTCGCTGCCAAAGGCCTATCACGTGAGTTTACCCCGATACAAGACCGGTAACACAACGCGTATCGGACTTGTATCGGCATAGCGGACTTCGTTACATACCAAATAGAGAGGATGCAGTATCATTACTGTAGTCAATTTTGCCAATATGCTCTTGAAGTACATGATGTACCAGAAGGTTCTGGATCTCTTTTCTTACAAATTTGTTGAACTAGCCAGCTGGGACCCGTCCTAGAAGTACCTAGTTTCGGCCCCAAGGGTGCTACATCACCCTGCAACCCCGCTCGTGTAAATCCAGACAAACATGTCAAGATTACTGTATGATCTCCCTCTTGCAGTTCTATCTCATCATTCATCCATATCTCAGCAGGCTATTTCACAAAATATTACGCCAGCCTACCCAAGTCGATATAAAGATGAGCATCCGCACAGTTCAAGGTTCCCGAGAAACAGACATTGGCGAAACTATCAAAGACGACATTCTAAGTCATTCAAACGATTTAAGATACGAGGCTCATTTCATCATTACCAGCTCTGTTGACTACAACTACCTAGTCACTTGTGACGAGTTTTCCACTGTGTGCAAAGACGCCGCCTACATCGGTAGGTCCATTATACAGGCTAAGTTTGAGAATCGGCACCTATCCACAGCAAAGGATTGGTTTCCCACCCCGCAGCCTTTCAAAATAGTCGGAGTCCTAAAAGATCAAAACCTATAATTGGCAGCATGAAGTTTGACATCGGCATGTACGCAGTCGCCTACGCGCTTTTCAGCTATAAATCAACCTCCTGCCGCCCTTCACTCAAATGCTGAGCGCTTTGCAGCAAACACCGAGAAACGCCAGAGTATTGACTGGAGTTGTGGATTGTTCTAAAATGGGAGGAGATGCACGGGGTAGAGAGATCCTTATTCAGGAATCGGGACGACTGCATGTCGGAATGGAATCCTTGATGGTGGCGCACTTGCTTCTATCAAGAAATTCATGGACCCTGATCGCACGGTGCTCTTTTTCAGCGATCTAGACTGTACCCGTGCGAACGTGATTGATGATATTGATGAGTCGACGCCAACGAACTACCGACCTCCCTAGCAAGGAGGTTAGATACAGAGCTGGGCCGTCCACTGTCAGTAAAGCAACAGGCTATATTCAATGATCTAAGAGATTATTTTCACCTTTAAAGATCGCTGAATCAACTTCTATCTGATCTCCCCTTTTGTGTTTTGTATGATCAACTCAAGAATGCGCGTCCAGAGCTACTAATGCAGTATAGAACCTCTCTCAATAGCGGTCTCTTAGGTAGTTCATGAATCAATCAACTTCATAAAATGGCTTCCTCACTATTCTCTTATCCCATGGGGGTGATTGTAGTCTGGCAGACTCCAGGTTGGGCTTTTCCTTATCTATGTGACATAAAAAGTTAGGCCACCCTGACTCCAGGTTCCTGTCGTCGCTCACTTTGGTTATGTAATATACAGTGGTCCATTCTGGGAACTGGGTATCAGCCACTATACCGTATCTGGATTACCGTGTTTCATACTAGGCAACATCGTCCGGTCCATCCGAGAATATTATCTGGCAATATGTGTAACAGACGTCTAAGAATGCATTTTAAACCAATCTGCTATACTGTATTCAATCGCTTCTCATTTGTCTTTAGAGAAACTTGAGGCGCGTCTTTTCTTGTTGACTTGCTCCTTTCTTATAGCAGCAGCCTTCGGACATAACGACCACGATTTTCCTTTTCTATACGGTTACCTTGTCTTCACTACTGCCTCAAATCGCGCGCAGCAACGCCCCCGTATCTCTCCGCTCTTGCCCGCGGAACTGCCCTCGTCTTTATCTCTCCACCGCGCATCGGTAGCAGAAGAAATGTCATCGATGACCCAGGCCCCGGTCGTGCCGCCAACCATGCGCGCCTGGGTGCGTCTGCGGCGCGGTCCTGCACGCAGCGCGCTCAAGCTAGCGACGGGCTATCCCACGCCCGCCATGCCCACGGGCTCGTCTTCCGACGTCCTGATCCGCGTGTCACATGTGTCACTACAGTTCAGTACCGAGATGTTGATGAAGACACTGCCTAACCTGTCCTTCATCAGTCCATGGGTCCCGGAGATCGAGCTTTCAGGCGAGGTGGTGGCGGCTGGCGAGGGCGCACCGGCGGAGGTGCGCCACCTGGGCTCGCATGTCGTGGCCTTCCAGAACATTCCTAGCGTGGTCATGGGCCACGGCGTGCTGGCAGAATACGTGCGGCTGCCCGGCTGCCAGGTCGTACATATCGATGCCGCTGTTGACATGGCGTCGGCCTCGGGCATTAACGGGTCCGGCAGCACCGCACTCAAGATGATCCGCACAGCAGGTGTGCGCGAGGGTCATACAGTGCTCGTGAATGGGGCCAGCGGGTCGGTCGGTTCGGTGCTCGTGCAGCTGTGCAAGTTGCGTGGTGCAAAGGTGGTCGGCGTGGCCAGCAGCGGCAACGAGGCCATGGTTCGTGGCCTAGGCGTAGACGAAGTAGGCGAATGTTGCCGATGTTGCACAAGAACATGACTAATATATACATAGTTTATCGACTACCGCAAAAATGACCCGCTACCGGCCTTCCTGGCGCGTCAGTATGGCGACAAGCCGTTTGACTTTGTGCTCGACTGCGTCGGCACGCAGGCACTCTTTGTTAACTCGCCGGCCTACCTTAAGGCCAAGGGAGCTGTGATCAATATTGGTGTGCTCGAGGGCATCTGTGTATCAGCTCGCAACGCACTGCTCAATAGCTGGCTGCCCACCTGGCTGGGCGGCGTGCCGCGCCGCTATATCATGTTCAGCACGCCGCCAGCTCGTGACGACGCAGTCTACCTGGCGCGTCTGATCGAGGAGGGTCGCGTGCGTATCCCTGTCGACTCTGTCTTCGATATAGAGGACGCCGTGCACGCCTACGAGCGCATCGCCACTAAGCATGCGCGTGGCAAGGTGGTGGTCAAGGTGCACGACGGCTAGGCCGCAGGCATGTCGCGAGCGTATAAGGAGGCTTCTGTTTACAAAGACCAATTGAATGTGGTTTGTATGTTGTTCGGCCCGCGGCGGTCACGAGTGGAAGTGTCTCTGAAATATGATAAGGTACATGTTCTTAAACGACGCACCATAGCAGGCGGACAGCTGGTACAAATATTACCATACTTCTCTATGACCCAACTAGACCCGGACCCAACCTAACCAAACCTAGCTGTCATCTCTAGGAAGCATGCACTAATCCCTCGTAACCATAGAAGATCGACAATATGTGTGTCGACGCGTTAGCGTTAATTTAGTTCACCGTAACGTTATCCTTCATATTAAATAGCCTCTTCTAGCAGAACCTAGAAGCCCCCTAAGAAATAGTCTCTATGTTCCTCCAATACCACTTGTTCCTTAGGCATCTTCATGTTAACTAGCTAACAAGCTCTATCGGTTGCATCTGGGTGCCCATGACTATGTAGCGGTAATTCGGTGGATGGAAGAAGCGGCTCACGGAGAGGTAACGTCAGGCATTATATATTTAGGTCCGTTGTTACTGACCTTTGCAAATGTTCCTGTTATTATTGAATACGCTAACAGTTCCTATTTCCTCATCTACTAGGGGCGTCTTTCCACTAGTTTTACTGGTCATAGCTGCTTGACTTGGAGAACGATTCAGCTCTGTAGCGACAGCAGAAGATTGGGGCATCCTTTCGTCGGAATATGTAAATGTTTGGTTCCTTTCAATAATCTGCTGGGCAGAAGTGTATGCTTAGAAAACCTCCTATAAAAGAAGGGAAATCCCGCTATTGGAGACGTGGTTATTTCTATATCTCAATAAGGTTGCTCTTTCTTAAATCAAGTCCGAAACCTTGGCTATTTCAATCAAATTTCTCCTCAACCGTTCTAGGAGCCCTCTTCCTTTAAGCAGTGCTAACAATCCGGCAATAGAGTTGTTAAGAGCCCCGAGGGTTGTGATTGCTAGCATGTGTTCATCGCCTGACGGTCCCAATGCGGTAGTAGCTGCACCAATTCTTACTTACGTGATTGCAATCAAAGTTGAAAACAATGCTGATAAGCTGATATTGAATTCTCAGTTGTCTCTCCTTGAGAATCAGCTTCTTTCGTAGGTCAGCCGTTGCGGCCTCGTAAGTTACATAGATCTAAGACTCGTCGTAAGAGTCTTGTGGGTTTCATTGATGAGATTCAGATATGGTGTATCGCTAGAGGCGGAATATTGTTCTTTGAAGAGAGTTGTTTGAAGAGCCTTAGGACTCTCTCGGTTTTATCGTTGTAAATGCTTTAATGCCTCATTGACGTCACATTTTCCTTCTTCTTTTCTCGAGTGCTTATTGAAAGTTCGTCAAGTATCATCCTGTATGCTGGTGTGCATGAATTGTATCTTTCCTAATTCTTACAAGTCTAGACTCAATTAGCCCCTACGGGGTTTTTGGGTGCCTGAAGTCGGCTAGGGCCAATCTATGGTGGCTTTAATGCGTGAAGAATGTAAGATTTTATTGTTTTATCTTTTTATTTATATATTTTTTTTTTAAAAAAAAAATTTCTTATTTCTTGGTACTCGTTGTGGGAAATACGAGCTACCTAAAGTCTCGGCCAGTCTCCGTACCGTATTCTCGTCTTCTGCGGATGAAGCTCTTCCTGGCCCTGGATGGAGAATAAAGACCAGCACGCAATTCACGGTTTAACCGTTTGCATCCACAAATTCGTATTGTATTTATTCTTGTGTAATCCAAGGATCACGAGGCAATATTAATGAGCGTGTTGAATCAATCCGTGTTCTTCTTCAGACATGGTGATTCATTCGCCGCTGGCCATCATGGCTAATCCATGGCTGTTTTCATCTTCAAATGACGATGATGTTATTGCCTCTGTTTGTAGCTGTGGGATGATAGGCTTAAAAGAGATAATGGTTGGTCCAGCGAGGCTGAGCCTAAACCTTAAGTCATCACATCACGTTCGCCAAGCGTCGTGTATCGCGAATTCCAGTTAGTGAACTCTGGGAAATGAAAATTGAGAGGAAGAGACCTGATGCTGATTGATCTATCAGCAAGGATATCAAATTTCCGGGTAATCAAGTGTCGAATACAGCGTAGATGGGTCATTTGATCACCATTATATTGAGCATATGAAATCATCGTGTGTTTGACCCATGCACCTGATTTTTTTCCCTTTTTTTTTCCGGGGGGGGGGGGAGGGGGGGGACCAATGCCTCAAAATGTTCTAGACTTTATGAAAACTGATTTTCATTAGTCCTGTGCAAACTTGAGAGTTGTTACGAGACTTAAATCGAGAACCGTTGTGGTGCATCATCTGAGCGTATCAATGGGTTTTCTCAATATTTAAGCTATAAATATTGTCGTAATCACCAAGCAATTTTCTGTAAGAACGTTACTTAAGAATTCTTGATTACAGTTCAACAATATGAATGCCACCACTAACCTTCACATTGAGGCCTATGGAGCGGACACCTACCTCGTGGGATATTGTATGGATAATCACCAACATTGGAATCCAAGCAGGCTGCGATTGGATGCCTGCCTTGGAGACAATGGAGGTATCTGGTTTATTATATTGCTTAATTCATCTTGACTGACATTAAGGTAGGACATTTTCAATGGGGTGGACAGGAGTTCACTGAGCGTGCCAGAAACATTAGTTTCAATCCCGAAGAAGGTGGAAGCCGTGCCCCCATCCTGCGAGCTGAACTGCAGGACGACGCTGGCAGATACTTGCAAGGGGATGTAAATCTGGCTGAAAGAATCAATAATCGTGATGGCTATCTGCAGTTTTCTTGGTAAGTTCTTCTTTTGATGAATGGGAGATGTTCAAATTTCGATTTAAATGCCTAATTGTAATTCTTAAGATTTCGCCCCTCAAAGAGTCTCTCCAACGGAGGTAATAAGAGTTAATGAAAAAAGCAGCATGATCGAAATTTAATCTTATTACAGCTCTTGGTTTTCCGCAGCTCTACAATTTGCCTATTTTCACGAACCAATTGATTTATTCTCGTTTTGGTGGTTTGATTAGGATGTCACAATACTTGATATGCGTGAATTTGCTTCACCAAAAAAAAGAAAAAGAAAAAGAAAAAGAAAAAAAGCCGAGCAGCAATTTGTTTATACTGAATGTATGTCACCAACCTAGTATATATGGCCTTGGGACCACTATACTTGTACTTTGTCTTGGCTCATTACGGAATATCATCTTGTTCGCTCCTTACTAAATCGTGGTGAAATACCAGTGACGGTATTGTGAAAGTATGTTTTAAATCACAGGAAATCTGTACAAACTAGTACTGACGATTTCTTAGAGATCAAAATGGATTGGATGATGCTTGAAAAGACAAACTGGACCCTTTTTTGCTCCAGAGAGGAATCAATTCGGTTCCGTTTTCTTGGGGGTGAACCGGGACCTAGTCTGCTGTATATATATTCGAATCCGAGGGATGTCTTCTTCTTGGATCTTCGCAATATTTTGTTTGCCGATCAGCCGGCACACCAGCGGAAGTAGTCATCAATATACGTGATGCTCCGCCATGGTAGTCCACCGGTTGGCCGGCCTGGTTAAAATTGACAGCTGCAAGCAGGATCAGTGAGAGGGGTGAACCTTCGCTGGTCCTGCATTTTCTAATGGTGCCACTTCTATCTCGTAGTCGTCGAAAGCCGATGTTCGCGAATCCGTTGCCGCCCCAAATATATTTAGATTGTTTCAAGCGCTCACTGCCAAGCCGCTAGCCCTAAGTACTAATTTAGTTAGCTCTTAATATTAGCCACTATAACCTTAGAATATCGTATGGTGCAGGTTAATTTATAATCTATAGGATGTGGCAATATCAAAATAGCACCCTATCCCACGGGGGGTGCTGCAGAGGTGTAGACAACTCAGATCGAGCTTAAATTCTAGCACGTTATAATAGACTATCTGAAGTATCCCTTATCCACTTCGGAGTAAGTTATACTTAGCCTAGCAGTTATCGAGAAAAGGGCGATTGAAAATCGGAGATGTTTTGATAGGGTTGGGCAACTAGGCTAGTTGGGGTTGCGACTGGGTCCTAAGGCTTCATTCCAGGGTTTCGGACCAATTGAATTATTTCTAATATCTTAGTCTACAATGATCAGGACGAGTAGCAAGTAATTTAGAGGGCTTTTAAGATCCCTAGGTATCATCTCACTTCTTTTACACTATTTCATCCTAGACTTAATAGACCGCAGTTTACTATAACCTACCTCTAAGGGCCATACCATCATTTCACTAGCGCGACTGCTCGTAGTATCATACCAAATAGGGCACTAGAGCGTTAGAAATGTCCCGTATTTTTGACCCGCTCTCGTTAGGCGCTCTCTCAGCACGTAGAACGGGATAGAGCTATGCCTTGAGGTCTAGCAGCTCCTCAACTTCGGAGGTACGGAAATTAAGTACATCGTCGATGCCTCTTTTAAGACGAAGAGCCGCACGACAGCCTCAGTTGAGCAGAACAGCTTAGCCGATTACTTACAGAGCAGGGGTAGGTCTCTAGCACAGGACTCGCTAAAGACACATCTCATAATAGAGCGCTACTGGTAAGGAAAGTCTTCGGACACAGAGCTGGTTGTTGATCTGGAAGAAGACAAACATGGATTCCCGGGGAGATTATCGGATCTTGGTGCGGGGTTTCCCGTGGAAGTGGCTCAGGCAACAGAGCTCATTCTCCAGTGAGAAAACGCATTCCATATTTGCAATTAGTGCCCTAAAAAATTGCCAATTTTTCCTATAGTTTGAAGAGCAGAGAGTTTTGATATTTACAAATCTGATTTACCATACTAAAACTGCCTGATTTCTACTACATCAAAGTTTTGAAAAGCTTTTCCTAGCTGAAGGCGTTCATCAAGCGAAATTTGCATCGTTATGAAGAAGTCCCTGAATAAGGCTTTGATGATGTCTTCGGGTGATGCATTGAAACGGCTGTCCCAAAAAGAAAGTGCGACGGGTCATTTCCGGCTCACCGGGTTGGTTATCGCGAGCTGATGTTGCATAAAATTACTACTTTACAACATAATGAATATATGATTTGTCTTATCATTCGTCACTTGTATCATCGATATACCATACTACGTCGAGCAGGCATTATATCTACGGTCAAGGTGATCATGCGATAAGAAATGCGAGACCAACTGCGATGCCAAACGCTATTATGCTCACGGTGCGTGGGACTCGAGAGAGTTCACAAATACGATCATCCAATAGGGTTGTAAATCTGCTTAACATTCATTATCATTGAAAATAATACAAAATCTGGTGAGAGACATGGCCGTATCAATTTTACCAGTTCGCGACAAAGTAATACCAATCCCGTGCTTTTACCAATGAACTTTTAACATTATGTGCCTCTCGCTACAAAAGTATATCCGCCAAGGTCTTACTGCCTGGCTCCGGCTCTCCTCGCCCGTCAGTTGGGAGCTTCTGCGAAGCAAAGGCCAGAAACACTGCTTCCCAGTGCCCATCGTCGAATTTGAACATCACGGCTCCGTCCGAGTAAACACCATTGTCATACTTAGGAAGACTGCCCTGGTTCATATGAATATTATGGATACCCGATCCGAAGGAGGCCCCAAAGATAAAAGCAGTTGCCGAGTTGTCGATAGCATCATCGAGGATTGGCCTCACCTTGTCCAAGATATCATTGTCACGGCCTGGGATGTCATGCGGCAGGGCTTCTCCAGATTGAATATCCACAAGGTCCTTCATACGATAAAAATCGAGACCCTCTAAATCGGGGTCTTGTGAGTAATAGTGGCTGTAACGGTAATGGCGATGATTTCGGTCTTCGTCACTGTTGGGATCCTGGACTAGGTGAAAGCCTAGGTCTAACTCTGAGAGTTGATTGGTGATGGGATGGGAGAAGTCGCGTGAAACCCAAAACACGAGGCGAGAATCTGTACCGTTCGATTTGACATTGATAGCAGCCCTCCGCTCCTTCGAGGTATCATCGGTGAAAAAGAGCTCGATGTGCGGGGTGCGTACTCCGTGTCTCTGAGCATCATATCTAGTTGGGTGGCAAGACCAGACGCCATAGTGGGGAACAGGCATGTGGTTTGAATTTTGAGATAAAAAGTCTCAGTCCAAGATAGAGGCAGCTTAGGAGAATTAAGCGATCAGAATAAGTTCCAATTGATATCGTAACCTTAGAAGATACGATCAGCTCTGCTTTATAGCCTCATAGGCCCTGCTATTGCTTTTGTTGACGTAGTGGGTAGGTCATCCCAACGATGGAATGATGATTTGTCTCTACAGAATTTCAATGTCGTTGGCAGGCTTCTTAGGCCGGAACTTTTTAGTCAAATCGCACTATTGGGCTCCCACGGTAGAACAGCTTTCATACTCCGAACCCGGATTCGTATATCAAAGGAAAGTTGTTATAGACGTGCCGAGTCCGAGTTTGGTCAGCAGAGATGGTCCAACCAGGGTTGATAAGTTGTTGAGATGATCTCAGAGAGTAAAAGCGTTGGAACTCAGAAGCTTCCAAATATAATTCTTCTTTATGAGCAAGACAATGAAATTGGTTGGAAACACTCTAACTGGCGCACAGGCTGCGCAGTCGTCACACGGAGAAACGTATCATCGGCCTCCGTCAAAGTTTGGTCCCCTCAGTTTATTCCGCGGGATCTAGTACTCGACCTGATGAATACTCAACCAGCTCATAATGACAGTTCCTTCGCCGAGACTACCTTCCATGCCGTGGATATCTAGAGTAGTACATGATCTACTCTGGGGTGAAGAAGATCCCCTATATACCACAATGAGACAAAATGATACACATGACTAGATTTTGGCGTAGATTGAGCAGAATCTGTTCCATTTAGCTATGGGGAGCAGGAGGGTGATGTCAGGTAGTGCAAATAACTGATTGCGGCCAATCTATGTCGGGGCTAGACCTCGCCACGACCCGCGGGGCTACCCGTTACCTAAAAGCCGCTAGGACCAGGGTTCGTTCCAGGCTATTCAACCGCGAGCAGCTGGAATTTGAGAACCCGCGGGATAGTCCACGGTCAATCCGCTACTTATTAGGCCAGGATAATTTACGAAGTATAGTTCAAAGGCCTAGAACTACTTCTACAAACACCTATGTGCGCTGCTCTTCAGTCCCCATGGTTGGATGATAGCAATAGGGCTTAGTGCCAAGTTGACCCTAAAAAGATTTTAGAAATGACAGAGGAATCCTAAAGCCCATTGTTAAAGGTAAATAGCCTATAATTTTGATCAATAACGCCTCCTCCTCCTCGAGCATCTTTGCAGGGTAGTTACATGGCCCAAGGGACAGCCTTCCTCGTTATAGATTGAGTGAACATGCTACATGCCAAGAATATCTATCCGTGGGTTGGAATGCGCCGCTAGAACCGTAAAGTTATTCTTGTTAATTCTTTTTTAACAAACCGCCTGACCTGCTAGACAAGCTGTTTTCAGCGACATAGATTGCAACAATACCAACAAGAAAGAGTTCGATCAGTTTGAAGAAGGTTGGTTGGGTTAAGCTGCCACCATTCAAAACTCGGAACGCATTAGTTTAAGCATAGTCTGAAAACCTCAATTGATCACTTTACGATAATATCTCGAAAAGATTCCGACTTTGAAAATATTAGTACTTACCAATATTTCCTATATTGGATCCTACTGCTAGTCTAGATTGATTTTACAATAAGATCTGTAAAATCTAAATCGCTTAGAGGATCATGACCTCATAGCAAATAATTACCTAAGCTGTGGATGTTTGACATGGATTAACGTTATTCACCTAGTAGGCATTTAAATAACAGTCGCTATAGTAGACGATTCAACATCTACGTTGAATAATATTTCGACTCTTACGAGTGTACCACTGCTCCCTGTAAAAGCAACCCCATCGTTATCAGAACCAAAATGGTTTCTGGCTTCGCAATATTATCCGTCTGGTACCTCCTTTGCGGGCCGACTCTTGGATGGGGAGATGTCGGTCATCGCACTGTTGCATATCTAGCCGAGCACTATCTCACTGAGTAGGGCACATAGTTTCTTAATACCCTCCTGCCTCAGGAAAAGTAGTTCGACATCTCAGACGCGCCACATGGGCTGATGAAATCAAACGAAAGCACCCTGAGACTAAGCCTTGGCATTATGTGGGTATGCCATAATCCTCCCTGGATGAATTATCGTTGAAGGTTGAGTGTCCGTGAAACTGTAGATGTGGAGGATGATCCTCTGGGAAATATCTGTAATATATCATCCCTTCCACAGGATTGCAAAAGCGCGAAAAGCTGCATCATCTCCGCCATTGAAGATATGGTTCGGCTCCCCTTGCCCGTGGTTATTTTGACCGGAATCTAATTGGCAGCAGACAGTTCAAGTGAATGATGATAGCTTTAACCAAACAGAAGCTGTCATGTTCCTGTTCCACTTCTTTGGGGACTTAGATATGCCCTTGCATGTGGAAGATTACGAGAAAGGAGGAAACAAGATACTGGTCTGTTTTGACGGCCACAAAGATAATCTTCACAGTATCTGGGACACAGACATGGCACACAAGATCAACGGCATCAAACATCGACTCAAGCATAACGATAAAAAAGTGGCGCCCCTAAAGTGGGCGAAGCATCTCCTCCAAAAGAACAAACACAGACCCATGACCGCTGTCGAATGTGCGGATGTCATCAACACCCGGACATGTGTTAAGCAGTTGGCGGAGGAGACCAATCGTTTGAACTGTGCCGTTGTTTTCAAAAGGTGGCTCCCGTATCTCAACGGCGAAGATCTTGCGGGCGATACTATGACAATGCCGTGCCGGTCATTGCGGAACAAATCTTTAAAGCAGGTATGTGTGCGTCTGGCAACTTGGATCAATGCCATTGCCGAGAAGAGTCGCGCCAAAACTGCGTTTGTCGTCCAGGGGGATCGGATGAGAGATCTCTGAAGTCCAGAAGGCCGGATAGTTCTAGGGTGGTCTCATGGCGGGATGGTCCTACGACGGCTCTGCACAATTTGCAAATCAGAGAGCAGGAGTTACGCCAGCAAAAGTGGATTTTTTGCGTCGTCTTTTATGAAATTGTATTGCAGATTCTTTCTAATACTTAGTTGCAGAAATTCTTTATTGGATGGGAGACGGAAGCCTGTTATGCGTAAGCTTTTTGTCGAAGGGGAATTGGGTCTGGGCATTGCACACGACAGATAATCATCAGAAGACCTCAAATAAGGTTGAAATAAAGGGAGATCAACTGACTAAAGCACAGATGGGCCCTATAAGAAGGGAAGGTGAAAAAAGGCGATGTTTCGTCGGACTCAAAGTACAAATTGAGCCAATAGCTTGCGTTACACAGATTTCCATCTAAATCACGCCACTTGTGAATCTGCAAATGGTCTTCAGGGAACAACTGCCATATGGTTAACAGTCTTTCGCGAAATCCGCTTGACCAATACATAGAAACTATTTTTTGGCCCCCACCGCCAAGACCTTACCGCAGATCAATACATTGAGCAACTGATGGCGCAGGCCTTCCTAATAATCACGAACAGGATTAGTACGATTTCTGTCTGAAACAGGTACAATGAAAGAAAGTCAACAAGCAGATTATGTAAAATAACGGCCTTATTTGGCCTGGGCTGACTTGATTATGGCGAGATTAGGTGTGGGCAGGGGGCCTAAGTTATTGTCTATTGGCAGACTTTACCTCGCGAGATGTGCGAGCGCCTGTGTGTGAGGTATACTTTGGTCGTTGAGATCTGGTCCTTCTATTGCCCGTCCACCGAGACCGACAAATATATTGAAGCTGACCCGAGTTGACTGGTTAAGGGACAATATCTCTCAAAATTAGACCTATATCCGTTTAGTATTGATTAGTCTACACTAATAAGAGGAAATATGGCACTGCCCCCCTACACTGATCCTTCGGGTGTATGTAACACCTCTACGCCAGGAATACCAGCGGCCCCTTCCCCCGCTTTATAGCCAACTCCAAATTGGATTTTCTATGCATTAACCCCACAATTCCGAGACGATTGTTTGTTTCAATGCAAGAGTTCTCTCCTAGTTATACTAAGTTCGATGGTGACCGAAACTATAAGTCAGGAGAAGAGAAATAATGGAATAATCCCTTGGGCGTGGCCGCTAACTAGGCAAATGGAATAGAATTCTGGATGCTGTATTAGCATTGATGTTAGCTGGCCAGCTTCGAATAAGCCAATAAATTGCCGATTCTCGACTTACGCCACTATCTAGTTGAAGTTCCCCTCCGGCAGGTTCGACCAACTAATCAGATATAAACAGACATCGGCGTTCTAGTAACCGTTTTGTGAATTTCTTTTTGGGTCATCTGCCGCACGGGAGTCTAAATTGACTTTGAAACATTGCCCCACGAGATCATCGACCAAGCCTTAAAATTAAGTTTGCCTACAACCGTATGCGACTAGGCGGGGAGTCCTAGACTGCCAAATAATGGTTACAAGCCTGTAAGGCGAGCGTTAGCGCCGGCAGACGTTAAATTGCTTGTAGAAGAATAGTATTGAGTTTTCTTTTTTATATAGTGAAATGGGGATGGCTCGATGGCAGTCTGATATAGCAGACGGGTCGATATCAATAGAAAGAAGACAACCAACCACTCCCATGCCCACCGTAGGCATAGAGAGGAGTCTCAGGAAGCGACTAAAGTACTGATCTTGAAGCTATATCATGAATGAAGAACCTGGTGGAAAAACTGTAGTTATATTGATGATGCTAGGATGCTCTCTCTCGAAGGAGAAGACTGCAAGCAAGCTTCCTGAAGCATTTGTGATACCTCAGGCCACGAATACACTACTGTCACGGGTTCCACCACTACAATAGTTAAAATACACCTTAGATGCTTCTTCCGGCGCTATAGATTGACCCTAGACCGCTTCGCCCGACCCTATACCTAAGATAGACCGATCGCATAGTTATGGTGAACTATAGAGGTCATATATAAGTTATAAATGATTAGATTATAACCACAATGGTATTAGTAGTATTAGTAGTACTAGTGGACCATTATAATTCGTTAATAGAAACTTGGTTAGAATAATAATTGGGGCGTCTGAAAAGTCTTGGCAAGCCGTGATCCATAGGTTTCAATCTGGGACTTGTGTGAGATGGTTATGATGCATTTTGTTAATCGCCGAGGCCATCATTTGAGTTCTCTGCGACCCATGTTTTCCCGCCATGAAAAATTAAACACAATAGCCTTATCATGGTACCGGTTGCGGAGGCTGTCCTTTTTAAGATTTTAGACCTAGTACTCCATCGGTACCACATACTAAAACGCGGAGGAGCCTTCTGGTTTCGATAATTTAAGGGGTAGTGACATATTTCGCTTCCCCGAGCAGTTTGCTTTCGGCAGCATAGGAGCCTAGAAGGATCGATCTGACGCAATCTGAAATATGAAATCATTACGATGTATTCCACTGGATGTCTAAGAACGCTTTTTGCTTTCATATATAGTTATAAACCCTCTAGCTGGCAACAAGCTTTCATCTCATTGTGCAACCGCATAATAATCACCTAATAATACAATTTCAAAATTAGTAAATATTGCGTTGGATTTCCCCAGACCGTCTAAACCTTACATCAATCAGGTAAATACCTCAATATTGAATCCGTCGAATAAACTATCGCCTTAGTACAAGGGTCTAGGGCAAGTTTACGCTAGGTTTAAGTAGAAGCTGGACAGCTAACAGTGAACAAGGCTTTCCGAGAATAACAAGCCTGCTTGCGGACAGTCAATGTCCTGTCCCCCTTACCTTTCGATCCAGATTCGCTCCATCATGACGCAACAAATGCCGAAGCTAGCAAGCTACAAACGCATAATCCTTTGCGCCGATGGGACGTGGCTAGCGTCTGACCAGGGCGACAAGTCCGTGCCTTCGAATGTTGCGAAGATCGCTCGAGCAATTGCGACCAGTGGCCCCGATGCCGATGGCAATATTGTAAAGCAGATCGTGTCGTATCAATCCGGCCTGGGATCTGGAGAGCTTCCGTTCCAGAAAGCTATATATGGTGAGTACTCAGCTCGAATAAGCCGATGACCACTTATTGAACGAGTGTGGCTTATATGCTTCTTGCCTCATAGGCGGCATTGGCCGGGGTTTGGACATTGAAGTGTGCCAGATCTATGATTTCATATCCAATAACTATGAGCCCGGGGACGAGTTGTTCTTCTTCGGCTTCTCGCGCGGAGCCTTCACGGTGCGCTCAGTCGCTGGCCTGGTAAGTGATATAGGTATTCTCTCTGCAGTACACATGTCGCACTTTGCAGAGATGTGGAAGGCTTACCGTGAGAATACGGACGGGGAGCCCTTCAAGAAGACACAGTGGTATCAGCAGAACAAGGACAAGCTGCGCTTGACACAAGATCTTAGAATTAAAGTTGTTGGGGTTTGGGACTCTGTTGGTGCTCTGGTACGTGACATGAGGGATGATTAATGATACACACCTACCCTACCATGAGTCTGACCTTACATGGCTAGGGAATCCCTGAATGGCCGTTGGTAAGATTAGCCACAAAACTTGGTATCGCAATAAACAAACAGTACGCATTTCACAACACGAACCTATCAAAAAGTGAGTGATCATCGCAAATAGCTTACTATACCGGCGTTAATAGTGCTTTCCTGTCAGATGTGGACTATGCCTTCCAAGCCCTTGCTATTGACGAGAAACGACAAACCTTCCTTCCTACACTCTGGCACAAGACCTCTGACGCCCCGGCCAAGGATCTACAACAATGTTGGTTTCCCGGCGTTCATCGCAACATCGGTGGCCAAGCAGAAGCTCCACGTATCGCTGGTGACCATGAAGAGATCGGCAACATCACATTTGCGTGGATGGTAAACCCCGTCTTATTCTCCTAATGACGACCCTAGTTAACTCAATGCCATTCGCAACCTAGGTGGACAATCTCTCCGGCATGGTGACCTTTGAAGAGGCCGCGATCGAAGTACTCATCAAGCAGCACCAACAGGCGCTGGCCGAGAACAACACCAAAAACAACGTCACAAACGGCTGGGGCTGCGGGCCTATCGTTTCTAATTTCTCTGGGCTGCAAGGCGCGTTCTTCCGTATTCTTGGTAAACAAGACCGCACGCCGGGCAACTACCCGCGGGCCCCGGGTGAGGGAATTGATGGCGCCACGAACGAGTATTTCCATCCGATTGCCCGGATACGGAAGAGCAAACTCTCTAATTACAACCCAATGTCGCTTTACGGGTATTCCTTTGAGCAGCCTGATAGCGATGCCGGCTGGATGTGGAACAAAAAGGGGGGACAGGCAGTGCCCGAGTATGTGATGCGCCCGGAGCAAAAAATGAGTGTCGTGCACGATGGAGGTTATAAAACTACGAGTAGCTTGTCAAGGTTGCTGTGTCCCAAGATCCTTCTGGCAGACCTTGATAGGGATAATGGTGTACGACCAGAGTGATCATGGTTTGGGAATGTAGCGTCTCAGGTGAATGAGTGCCAAATTGATACTTTATTTTGGCGTTTGGATACTGTATTTGTACACAGATACAAATAGTACAAGAGTATTTCCAGGTCTTGATATCTAAATATACGGAATACCGTATTGTAGAGGAAACAGCACCCGGTAATACTATTTTTGCTCTTCTTGTGTCTTACTAATTGTTACCACGGCCGCTTGCCGTAATTCTTAGATACGCCCACAGCACCGAAGCCCTATTGGTGAACCCGCAGATATCATGCACCTACGTGGAGAAGGTTGAATACCACCCCAAACTGCACATCACGTCGAGCAGTGTGCTCATCAAGATCTAGTCCCCATTCTATTCCACTTACTCGGAGTAAATACCGGGTGACGACGATGCTCCGATATACCCCAAAGGCGAAGAAAGGACTAACGGCGAACCAATCATGTTTACATAAGCTATCGCTTATCCTTTGGTTAGCGAACCGTCCGATGCTTCGCATCTTACGACAGACCAGGATTTCTCCTAATTCCTTAAGAGGATGGAAACTTCAGAGGTTGAGATAGACTTGTGGATAGAAGCTTACGATGGGAAGGAATAGATATCCCATGTTAAGAAATTTGACTACTCATTTGACGATGCACACTTAATTTTGGTGGATCTAGATCCGCCTCGTCTAGCTTAAGGATTACCAATTAACAGTTACCTACTACTGCAAACGGAGGATAAGAGTCATTGGACGTGACTTACAATCACATGAATCCCTTTCGAGCTCAAGCGACCAGGGTAGGCGTAAGTTTTTAGAAGAGCTCTCCAACTTATTTGCTAACCTACAACCCATACATTCTCGCACGCTGGCTGCCCTTTCTTCTTGATGGGCACCCTGCATAAAATGCCACTGAACGCTCGTCCGAAAGATCCACTATTAAAAGCTTTCTCGCTACCCTTTTCTTACAAATCTAAGACGTTTCCGAGTAACAGCCTTTCTAATTAGTATTTTTCTTTTTAATAGGTGTTCCGAATCGCCCTAAAATCTCGGCTAGTCTCTACGCCGATCTCTCGCCGACAGTCTAAGAAAATTAACTTCCCATGGCTTAATCTCGGGCCATATCCGGCCCAAGACCCTCTAACTCATCAGCGGGAGTCATCGATAGACTTTATAGCGGAAAAATTTCGGATCCCCTCACATTTCCATTCTCCACATCCCCCATTGGAAGAGCTATCAGTGGTACGAATAAACTTCCGAAATTGCACCGTTTCCGGAAGGTTGATATTTGCTGTGTTATTGATAAAAGGCATCAAACCCCCTAAAAGCAGACTTTATCAATACCAGAAATTAGAATAGAAAGTCTCCTAGACTTTATCTATGCTACGGACAACAATCCTAAGTACGAGGCAAGGTAGGAGAAGGATAACAACGACTTGCTCGGTATTCCTAGGTTCTCCGATCAGGATATTAAGGATATTATAAAACGGCTCGTAGCTTATGTTAGCCTTAATGCTTCCTATGTGCGCAATCAGAGAGAGGAATAGCGAATTAGAGATAACGTATGGGGGCACTAACGTTATAATTAAAGCGCAAAGAGCCAATAAAAACGGCCGAAAACAGCAAAGGCCAAGCTAATAAGGATAAAAATTTCACTATTTTTTACACTGCGGTGGTTGAATGGTTGTAGATTAGATGAACTTGGCGCCCACACTTATAGCAAGGCCGATAGATAACATTTCAGAACAAGGACATAAAAGCGAAAAAGGAGGAAATCTAGGAGACAGCATACTGATTAGAACTCGTGGTGGTAATAATCACCTCAGTGTTGTAATAGTATGTAGGAATAAAGTGCAAAAGACGAAGCAATCATACCTGCCTAACGTGCATAAGTATGCGGACAAAGTCCTAGAACCCTAAAGCTAGGACCATCTAATCCGAAAAGGCGACAATAATGCAGGTATCAGTGGGAGGATAAGCGAATGAGCGACGTGCGTGGCGAAACAGTGAAGCCACCTCTTTTTGCAGTCTCGTGCGCACGTATATCCGTGGTGACTAAAACCCTTTCTCTCACTTTGTTCTTTTCAGGTGGGACCTCGTCCTGTATAATTTACACAAAACTGCTTTACACGTGTGACAAACGCAGTTCCATCGCGACCAGCGACCAGCAATATTCAGATATCACCTGCATAAGGCTGAGGTAGCTGGCTTCCAAGCAATCTAGTTGCTGCAGCCATATGATTTTAGCAGCAAAGCGTCCACGGCTGACTAATCTACGCGAAGGTCCATTTACTTGTCATATTGGTTAGTGAGTTATCGTAACAATATGAGACGCTTGGCAGAGGTGGTACTGTGATCGGCGAGTGGGGTGACTCTTTTCTGCGGGAGCAGCGTGATGTTTTGTCCGTGAGGCTGAGCTTTGTGAACGTTGAAGGATTGCTGCACTGATCCCGAAAGTTTGGGAGTCCCGTGTTTAATCTGCTCGATTTGATGGCCTTGTGCTATTATTGCTTCTGCCCATCCCTATCTACAAGCGAAGAGCCTCCTCGTGTGATAAAAAAGACCCGACAATTTTACAATCGACGCAATTGGCGGAAAGAGAGACGGCGATTCGGTTGTTGGTGAGGCTGGGGTTACGGGGATTTCGTCAAGGGTTTACTCCGTACCTGTGGTCATCATTGCCATCAAGTACCTGTCTCTGGTCATACTCGCACAGCATGCACTTATAGAAAAAAGGAGAGAAAATAATTTTCCTGGGATATCAAACTCCTTGTCAACAAAAATTCTTGACGTGTCCGTCGTTCTTTATACCATCTTCTCACTAGGAACAATGTCCACGATATGTGTCATAGTAGCCGTGCTCTCGGCTTCAGGAGCCTTCATGTGAGAAACCATCAGTCGCTTGTTGCTCTTTTGGTTTTCTCTCTTAGACCAAAGAACCCACACGAGGATGGTTATAACTGTCAATGGAACCGCTACTGCCCAATATATCCAGATACTTGGTGATGCCGACAGAGAAGACGCTTCTTCGCCACTAGTACCGCCCCAAGTAAACATGTTTATGCTGAACAACGTAGCCACAAACGTAGCCGGCAGGTAAACAATACCGAGAATGGAGATTGTTCTCATGGCGATGCTGTCGCGCTTTCCGTCGATCGCTATTGCGGCTGTGTATTCGGCATCGCTTTGTGTGATAACACTCAGCATCTAAAGAGCTCAAGGTATTAGCCGTTATAACTGTGCTTGATATGTTGAGATTCACAAGGATGACTCACATAGCTGGTCTGACTCTGAGTCCTATCACTCATTTGCTGGACCTGCGACAGCAGCATTACAGTCCGTCTCCGCATATATTCGACGTCTTGGCGAACCACCAGCCGTATAGCCTTTAGACGCTCCGAGAACTGTGTATCCTGATTCTGGGGACTGGAACTACTGCTCTGTTTCCCTTTGTCATGTGAAGGTTGCTCATCCAGAAGCCTCCCGTCAATGGCCTGGACAAGCCATTCTCCGCAATCTAAGCAGCATCGCCCAACGTGTCCAATGATTGCAAGGTCCGTTTGGCAGTATCCCAGCTGTTGAATCGTTCTTTTTGGATCATCAAGGGCGGGATACTCGTCCATGCTGGGACGACGCCCTCGATCCAGCCTCCCGGGGTTTCCAAAGCCCGTTTGTCGCTCGATCCCCAGGATTGTATCATCAATGGTGCTACGGTAAACCTCGATTTGTTGATGGTGCGACCTATAGAGGGCAGCTATGAAAAAATGGGAGTCGATGCATCGTTCTGGCGTCGAGAGCAGGGTGGTGAAGACGGCATCTTCATCGAAGAGGTGGTGGTATAGGACGTAGGTAGTGCGACGAGATGGCTCGCAGGTCACGGATACGCAGTCGAAGCCTGTTCTGCGCGAATTGGCTACTTTCATGACAAGGGAGGTTCTTCTGGAGGAGTGGAATGTGGTCAGGACTCCATTGTTGGACAAGAAGATCTCGATCGTGCGCGAGTGAAGATTCCATGACTCTTGGATCCTCTGGAAGATCTGCTTAGGAATGGACAGTACGAGTCTGCCGGGTCGGATTCGGGGAGAGATATCGCTTTGAAGTGCCATAGACTTGGATTATCAACATTTTCGCCTATATTGTCAACCTGAGTACTGAGGAGGCAGTCCTCAATTTGATTGAATTGGATTCTGTTCTGTGATATGCGCATGACATTTCCCGAATCATTTGGATTAAGCGAATATGAACCTTTCAAGACCCTGAGGCCTTGATTTGAGGTAGTAGAAAGGTCGACCCAAGAAGCTAACTTTGCCTCTGGAGAGTCCATAGCAGATCTTTGACCGTCACCTTGGGATGATGAAGGATTCTTTGTCTGTCTTCGGTCCGGATAAGAAAATTCTGGATGATGGGAACTGGACATCAACCTGTACGGCGTGTGACCAGGGGTGGGGGCTGTGGGGCTCAGGTGTTTATCTATAATATGCATGTGCCGCTTACGCCCGGAAGAGGTGTAAAAACGAGGGGTGGAGTCTATGAAAGTCTCAGTGGTGTGTTGGCAAACTGCCAATGTGCGAAGTTAATGCCAGCGGAGGTGCAGTCAGCCGGTTGGGCGCTTCAGAGCGGCCTGATAAAAGGAAGTTTGCCAGATGATAGATCGTTCAATTTAACCTCAGAATTCCTCAGCTGAATTCTATGATCTACATCGTATTCTAAACTTACAACTAACTTGCTAAGGGCTTCACACTGCCTCAAACTATCGGACCACTAGCGGCTACTTCTTGCTACTTAGAACCGTCCATGATCCCAGTGATCTCGGTCCTCATGGTTCACTCAAGGCTCACCAGACAGCTTCTCCAGGGCTTGATAACGTTACTTATGTAAACTAAATTGAAATCCATCCCTGGATCGATTGATTGGATTGCCAGCCAGTTAGTAGGATCACGTGTTCGTCATGGAGGGATTCATTGCAGCGAGGAGTGATGTGGGTTTTTCAGCGACAGTCCGATGCCGCAACACCTTTTTCCCCACCTGCCAGGAGGTGGCTTCTCGCGACTGGCCCCGTATCATTGAAGTTTCACGGGCACAACTGACAACTGACATCAACCAAAAGGTAAGATACGAGAAGAAGGCTCGTAATGGATGTCTGTGAAATATGGAAGAAAAGTGGACGGCACAGGTTTATCCTGGACATCTTTGTTATTTAGGTGAGCAGGCTAAAATGATTTCTACCGTAGACATGGGTATTAGGAACTTCGCGTGAATTAGGTAGAGAGTGCCGTTTCGCTAATAATATTCAGTTAACACCGTAGTTGCTCCGCTACGCTCAAAAGGAAACGAATCAATTAATTAGCTTATTATTATTGACCATACTACCACAGTCAGTTTTCTGAAGCGGCTGTTGGTGCTCGAGGAAACTGTGCGTGAGGAACACCTGCGCTGACTACGGCGCTGACTACGGGCGGGGATTATTGGCGGGACCATTGATCCCCGCTTACTATCAGTAAAGGTACCACAGTATGAAGCTAACCCTGGTGGCGGTGAGATCCACCATACGCTGGGTAGCAGTTTCCGTCTTATGAAACCACCACGGCTTGATCTTGCGCTCGAAGAGCTCCTCCAGCTTAGCGGCAGACCGACTAGCCTTTCTTGTTAGTCCACAAAATTTCACATCCTGCTATAGTCACTCTTATTCACTTACCCGGCCCTCTCAGGGATCAGAAGCCAGATGCCGACAACAACTGAAAGTCTAAGTCCCCCGTAAAAAAAAACCGGCCTTCAGGCCCCAATCTCATGAAGTCTCATTTACCATGTGCGGGACCAGCTGGTTCATGGCGATGTTGATGATGCAGTCAATTGAGCCCGCCGCGCCCGAGGTGTAGTGTCTTAGCCGCTGGGACGAAACTTCGCCAATGAACCCCACCCAGTGGCTCCAGTCACGGTCAAATTGATATCTATGGAATGCGTGAGGAAGGCTCGAAAGAAGAAGGCGAAGGAGATGGAGGGCTCTTACTCCAGATCACATCGAACAGAACAAATATGTAATTAATCGCCTTGACCCTGGGAACAACACCCAGAATACCTACAAGAAGACTGGCCAGTGTCATAATCATTCAACCCCTTGTAGAGTCTGGCCAGGGCTTTTTTGGTTCGCTCGGGGTGTCCGCTCGCTACAGCCTAGACTGGGGACTCGGGCAGGAAAAAAAAAAAAAAAAAAAAAATAATAGCCATGAGCCCAATCTGCGCCCATTGCATGTACACTGGGATCAGCCAGTTATTGACGTGACTTTTGGACAGCCGGTCCATAGCTAGATAGGCAAAGAAAGTGCCGACGGTTCACCACAGGTTATAGGTCATCAGCACAATGCCGCGAATGCGGGTCCGCGCGACTTCAGCAATGTGCATTGGCAGGGTGCATTGCAGACATCCAAGACCAATACCAGCAAGCATCTTGGCGACCAGCAAATGCTCCCTCTCTGAGACAAGGACTCTGCACAAACACTGGCGGGCAACAGAGCCCAGGAGCTCGCGAACGCTGCCCTGCGCCCGCAGCGAGCCGACAGGAAGGGAAGCGAGACGTTGGCGATGAATTGACCAACCGGCAGGATGGTCCCCCAGCCAGCCATGATATCAGCAGCGAGGGCGTCTTTTCCTTTCGAGGTTTTTTCAGTGGCAAACTGTTTCACAAAGCCCGGGTTGACGAGGATACCGGCGTTGAGTCTGAGGAAGCAGGAGTCAGTGACAAAATCGTTCGACTTTATGTCGAGGTACAAACCCAGTCTGATACCCGTCCGTTGCGGCAGCAAAAGCTGCAACAAAGACGTAGGCTGTGCAGAGTTTGAATTTCATCGTCTCCCATGGGGCCAGCGTCTCGTATCCTGTCAACCCCTAGCCGCGGGTTGCATCCTGGATGGAGTTTTTACGGCCCATCGGCCCAGCAGAGATTGATTCTATGTGAGCGACCTGGTCGTCCTCTTTCGCGTGGGGGGTCTTGGTTTCCATGGCGAACACTTAGTGTTACACTTCATGTACGATCGAAGAAGGTTGGAGGGGGAGAAACAAGACCAGGAGAGAAAGGGAAGGGCTTGCCCTGTATATAGCTTCGGGGCACGATCTAGACTTCCCCACGGGGAAGAAAAAGAAGCTCAGAAACTCCAGATTTCAATTACACTACTAGTACTATGATCCACCGGAAAAGTGGGGATTTCGCCGGCGACAGCTCGTCCGGATAGCCTCAAGAGGACAATCTGCCAGCCGGACAATTGTCCGCCGAGACATCTATTTCCGATGCTTTAATTTTATGCACTCTAAATGGCAGCTAATGTATTGCTTTCGTTTGACTTGAATCACTCAAGATAACCTTTCGTCATTGATGATCGCTTCGAACACTATCATGCCCCAACACTCTACTCGTTGTCCGTCGCCGCAATCCACTCTCGTGTTATGGCCCTTCGAATCCCCGCTGCGAGTACGGGTGCGGGTCTCGGTACAGATCCACGTCTGGGATATACGAAGCCGAGGGTAATGGAAAGCGTGCGGGTGATTATTTCCTTGTGCCCGTTGGACGGCTTATGATGGCCGACTACAGTACCAAGTCTACTATGTCTCTGGGCTTCTGATCAAGGAAGACAACTATTTTGGGGCTTGGCCTCGCTGGAGGCTGGTCGCATCGCGCTCAGAGGTGCACTTCTTCGAAACATCTGGGGCCAGCACACTGCCGTCCCCGCTCAGCCAGAGGTGGCTCACAACGATGGTGAAGTGGCAGTTGCCGTGGCCACTGATGGCTCCTGGGAAGTAATCAAAGGCCACATCACATTTGCTGGGATCTATGATGAGAGAGGTACAACGCGACGCCGGAGGTCCCATTCTGGTAATCCATATCCAAAGGGCAACCCAGAATGGAGTGGGAGAGCGTCCTTCGGCTGTCTCCCTTACCTGAATCCACCCAGCTTGTTGTCGGCTATGGTGAACCCGTGCGGCGCACAGAGATGATCAAATCTAAAATGAAAATTAGCAGCCCTAGTGGCAGGATCTTGGTTGACTTTGGGCAGAATCTGGTTGAACACCTGCGTCTCGGGGAATCAAAGGTCCACGTGGCCACAAAACCACTCTTTGCCATGCTGAAGACTTGGAACATGGGGAGCTGGGAAGCCCCCTACGGTTCTGCGAAGCATCAGACGCGTATGTCCTAAAGCGTGCTGATAACTTTTGACAACCTTATCACGAAGGGACTTACGAGACACAGTTCACCTTTCATGATTTCAGATATGCCCAGCTTCATGGCTTGGAGGGTGAGTTAGATCTAGCCTCTGTCGAAGCTGTCGTTTGCCATGCCGACATGACGCGCACCGGTGAATTTTCCTGCTCGTTCCCATTACTCAATCCTGTTTAGCACTGTAGTTTGGAGTTTGAGGGGCTTCCTTTCTGTCCCAACTGATTATCCACAGAGGGATGAATGACTGAGATGGAGTGGGGATCGCCTTGTTTGGCCCAGTAGTCTGTCTGATCTACGACTGGTTTGGTATGTTGGAAAACAGCCTGGAACACGGTCAGGGCAGCTTGGGTTTCGCCGGCGGATGACCCTTGCTCAGTCTTCTTTCCAAGAACTCCAGAGATCTCGGCAATTAGACGGAGGCTTTATATCAAGAACATTTTGGAAAACCTTTTGGCTTCTGTTACCCCTTGCCAGGGCCGATGAGGTGGTGCTGCGCGACCGCGCCAGTCCTATAGGAGAGGGTTTAGAGCGTGAACATGTTCGTGGTCTCAGGGGAATTACTCCTAGTTGAAAGCATGCCGGATCCCATAAATGAGGATTAGCAGATTAGCACCGGTGTTGCTCCGTGGGAGAGATTTCATCCAAGTCATCAGGCTGTGATACTGCTACGACAGGACGCTTGTTTCCCCCGTTCTTGATATAACGCCCATGGCAGCTGGATCGTTACATCATGCCTAATTACGCAGGGGACTTTCTGCGGGCTGGACCTGGTCGTGTAGCATTTGGACTGACCATTGGAGGAACACCACTAAGAACATCTTGGTATAGGGAAGACTCTCAGCTGAAATCTGTAGGTTAGAATTTAAGTTGTAAGATATGTATTTCTATAGGTTCACCGTACTATAGCAATGTTTGATATACCAACTGTAGACTTTGCAGAAGCCTATGTTCTATAATCAAAAAACATTTTCTGCTTTGCCATCGCTTAGGAATTACTATCGGCGTGAAATAAAAGTTGATTTTGTTGATCTTAGCGTTGTCAGTAGTCGTTGTCAAGAAAAAATCGTGACCTGCCCTAGTCACTGCTGAATGGCAGTTGTCTCTATTTTATAGAATGGCGAGGGCGTTAGCCAAACTTGCTACTCCGCCTATTCGAAGAGTTAGTTAAGTCCCCCAATCATTAAGGGTTTTATTTGCAATTTACCTCTATGGTTGATCGGTGCACTTGTGAAGAAGAAGGTATGTTTTCTTCTTTTGTTGCAAATCTCCGAGAGGCTCTGGTAAAGTAATCAGTAAAACCAACATGTGAGCGGATTTGTAACTCACCTCAAGATCAAACATTTCGCCAACTATCATTCCCCATAAGGCCAATAAGTATTCATGCATATGATAATCCTTCTTCGGGGGCCAGACTTCGAACGCCGGGGCATCACCAGCAACTGCCGCAAAGTAGCTTGGTTTATATTAGTCTTTTCCGGAGCTGAGTTTATAAAAGGCATAATAAAGTGCTCACGAGTCGTGTAACCATGTTTTCATCTCCTCCGATTGCTCCACTCCGACAAATTGCGGCTCCAAGCAGCCAGCCTCTTTGAGTCGACGAGGGTCTGTGTGCTTTAGCTCATAATATCTCGCTGTATAGCCGCTGCGGATGAGCAGGATATCTCCTATCTGGAGCTCTGTACCTTGGAATTCGGCACATGCCAAAAGCTCCTGGAGGGATATCGCATGGCTAGAAAAGGGGTCATAGACTTTCCCAGTCTCATATGCATAGCGGTAATAATCCAAAAGAACGCCCCTGCCGACAATACCATGGTTTGCAATTGCATGGATTCCACAACGCTCGCCCACTAAAACGTCAGCACGCAAGAGACCGTTGTAAAAGACGTTTTTAGTCATGTGCCCGAAGTGCCGGAAACCATCCCACTGACTCCCGGATTGGGTATTCATTGACAGGGTATCGTCAAAAACTAGATCGCTCGAGGCATTCGGCAATAATCTGGTTTGGCACGGGGGTCGACCAAAAGCGGGAAATTCTGGCAGGTGGATGTCCCAGCTGTTGGATACGAGATCACGCAATCAGTTCTTGGAACCCCTTATCAATAATAGGTCTCATAGAACTCACTTCAACGATACTACCGTACCGGTGGTGATTTCCTTCGATGCTGTTTCTTTGATTCGTGGATCTGTCAAAAGATTCAGGCGACCGACCTAAGCAAAGCTCAGTAAACAGATCTGAATGATGCTCAGAGCCGGCTTTGCGGAACTGACCTCATCTTCTGGACCCCATATCCAAGCGGTGTCCGGATGCACAGTGGGCGGATTTCTCTCCCGTAATTCCTGCAAAGTCGGCAGACGCATCTCGCTGATCTGATGGGAGGAAGGTTGGAACGGGACCGCCTGCATGATGCTTTTTATGCAGAGCTCTACGACCGAGGTGTCAAAAGCCAGGTTCTTTAAATGAAGAATAAACGGAAAATTGGGTCAAAGGCCGAGAGTTCGGACGCGGACAGGACCGGACATAGAGGCGACCGGAGTTGTGGAGACACAGAACAATCTGAATCCTGATAGGTGTAGGGATCTGGTGCAAGCTGAAGACCCGGGGAGTATGAGAATCTGCAACGGAACATGTCTTCAGCATGAGATCCATTGATCCTCCTTTTGCTCTATTGGAAGCTACTTTCAGAGGTCAATCCCAATCGGAGCCAGCCAGCCGCATCCCAATTGCCTTTAATAATAATCATCTCATATTTACGACCTGTATCAGGGGCGAGCTTATTGGTTCGAATAGCTAAAATGGAACATGGCCAGGACGCTCTGAATATAGTTCAATTCTCGTTGTCCACCGGAGCTGCGGCGCCTGGCAACGCCCAGTATCGTTCGTCCAAACGCAGAGTATTCGGGATATCATCTTGACTAAATGTGAACGCCGTGCGGGAAGTGGAGCTTTCCCCAGGAATGATCCCTCAATAGGCGTAACCATATTGGTGACACTCTTGGGTCAATTTCAAATGGCCTTCGTCATCTCCGGTGGACCCAATTTGCTCTTAAGGCTTTTCAAGTTAGATACAAATGACTATCATATAAGTAATATCAAATTTTTCTGGGGCATCTAATCGGACATTCCAAATTATCGCAGGTTTGCTCTGAGACGGAGCTTACCTACCTTCTACCGAAAGACCAATATGCAGGGCAATTGGATGAACTTCTTGGTGGGCACATCCTCTTATTGCTTCCCAGTACCCGCTTGTTTAGTTGGCTGACCACGTACTATAACGCTAGATTGTTGTATTTGTGACTCTAGGATCCTTCTCATATGGGTATTCGGCCTCTATCATTGCTTCTACCTTGGGACAGTCCGCCTTTGTCCGCTATTTAGATCTTGATCCCACGCTTAACCCTGCGGCAGAGTCCTTGCAAGGAGCAACTAATGGCATTTTTCAGACTGGTGGTTTCTTTGGAGCCTTGTTGCTTACGCCTGTAGCCGACCGGCTTTCCAGGCGCGGATCAATTCTAATGTCATGTCTGTTCCTAGTGATTGGAGGCGCGCTCCAGGCAGCAAGCGTCCACATCGGAATGTTTCTGGCGATGAGATTTATAACTGGCATGGGCGTAGGAATGGTTGTTGGCTCTGTCCCACTCTACCAAAGTGAGGTCTCCCCGCCAAAGATCAGAGGCCTTCTTGTGGGACTTCATGGTAAGTGCCCCTTGACAATGGGGCTACGGCATTTTTCTCATCTACTAAAAGGTGTTATGATCTCCGTCGGCTATTCTACCGCTGGCTGGATTGGCTATGCTTGCTACCCACTTGAGGGTAATATACAGTGGCGTCTTCCATTGGGAATTCAGTGTATTCCCCCTGGTATTCTTGCCCTTGGAACATACGTGCTTCCTGAATCTCCACGTTGGTGTATGAGACAAGCTATGCTTCCATCTCACAGTTTGCTTTTATACTAACGAACAATAGTGCTACAAAATGACCGCGCCGACGAAGCGTTTGACGTAATTCGTCGTATTCATGGCGAAGAGGCTCAAACTGAGTTCACTCAAATGTGCAGTCAAGCCGAAGTCGAACGGGAATGCCAGCAAAATACGAATATACTTATGCAGCTACGACAGCCGCACAATCTCAAGCGACTCCTTTTAGGATTCGGGGTTATGTTCGGGGGTCAGACTACTGGTACCTTGGTCTTGAACAGTGAGTACCCGCCAATATTAAAATCGCCTCTGATATGCCCATCATCGTGGGATTTACTGATCCTCATCTGCAGATTATGGGGTGTCACTTTACACCAGGCTGGGCTACTCTGGCCAGACTGCGATTGCTCTTACCGCAGGATGGGTCACGGTATCTATACCAGGCAACTTCTTGCTCGCCCTTTTTGTTGACCGTATTGGACGGGTCCGAATGCTGCTCTACGGATTCATCGCCATTGTGTGTATACTTGTTGGAGAGATGATAGCAACTGGATTGCCGAACCAATCTTCTGGCAATAATATCGCAGCTATCTTCTTCCTTTACTGCCACATTGCAGTTTACAGTCTTTGTATCGATGCTACAACCTACATATACGTCACCGAAATCTTCCCCACTCACCTACGTGCTATTGGAAGCAGTATTAGTATTTCGGGTCTCTTTCTCGCGAGCATCATCTACACACAGTCCGCAACCTCGGCCTTTGCGAGCATCGGCTGGAAGTACTACTTGGTATTTACCATCACATCAGCGCTGATGGTGGTATGCCTTGCGCTTTTCTTCCCGGAAACGAAGGGCCTCTCTCTGGAAGAGATTGGCACTTGCTTCGGGGACCCTCCGCCTAGCTTGTGTTTCGGAGATAACAGCACCAGTGGCGAGACGCAGAAACCGAGCGAGGTCCAACATGTGGAAGCATTGGAGCATGTCCATGAATCGGGTGTCTAGTCTTGGGTCTCACCTCATTTTACTCGTTGAAAGATGTCAGTTGCGCTGGGAATTACGATAACCTCCCCTGGCCGTCAACATGATTGCTTGGTAGAATTGAGAACCAGGTTCTTGCCCTTCGACTGAATTTCCGTCAGGCATACGCATTTTTCGACATAGCTTTACAGATAGATTTCTGAAATGTATAGTTGATCGAAGTTCTGAGCGCCCATCCCAAAAATGTAGAGTGTAGTGATCAAACGGGTATCCATCGATACAGAAGGTCAATTTCCTCTATTTCTTGGAAGCAAAGTGATCCAGTGCCCTGCATTCTCGTTCCTTCTGTCTAGAGGATGAAACGGACGCCGAATCCCCACACATTTCGTCAAAAATATAGCATCAGCCGTTAGACTTTTCGTCCAACTGACTCAATTTTGAACAAATATGGTTCAAGGGTTGCCTTCGATTGTGCATTTTTGCTACGAATTTCGGTTCTCCTTCTCCGAGTCATTACAAAGCAAATCGTGAGGCCAGATGTCAAACTCCAGCTGAACTCCACCGGACTCCGGTCACCTCACGAGGATCTGATATTCCACCGGACGGGTTCGCCACACCTCCGGCCACATTTCTGCTTCGGTATGACCATACAGCGGAGCAATAAAAAGCTCGATGGACAGCAGAATTCTACGCGATCAAATTCCATTTCCAGAATATCATCCTCTTACGATCCAATCTCCTCTTTGAAGAAAATAAACTCTACAAAATGGGATCGCCTACAACCAACAGCTCAACTGAGAACGGGGCTACTGCCAACCAGCGACCTGCCGCTGAGGCCGTTGCTTACCAAGGCGAGCCTCTGCCCAATGTTCCAGAAGACCTGGTGGTACCTGGAATCCTAAGCCTGGACTTTGAGGAAAGGCTTTGGGTGCCCCAGGCCCCAGACGTCTGGTTTCGACCTATCCTTTTCAATGTCTCGCAAGGTTATTTTGTCAACCTGCTCCGTGTGCGTCGCTCGGGCATCCTTTCTCGCCACCGCCACTCTGGTCCTGTCCACGCCACGGTTTTGAAGGGAAGATGGCATTATCTCGAACACGATTGGTGGGCGACGGAGGGAAGCCACGCTTTCGAGCCCCCCGGCGACATCCACACCCTCGAAGTGCCAGATGGTGTCGAGGAGATGGTTACATTATTCCACGTGACGGGGGCGTACATATATGTCGATGCCCAGGGAACCCCTCTTGGCGTGGAAGACGTCTTCTCCAAATTGGCTAGCGCAAAGGCTCATTATGAAAAGGTGGGACTTGGTTCAGATTATGTCGATCAGTTCATTCGTTAAATGAGTCCTGCAACTTGTCTCATGTCACGTTATCACAAATGAAGGGGCTCGGATCGAAGTGAAGTTTTCAAACCGTCCTGTATATCCGATCTTTGTCGTAGCTCGATTTTTATTAAATAATGGTAAGCACAAGGCTTAGGTGTACAAGTCATGTCAGGGCATATTGGTCCAATTCCACACCCAGCTCTGGCCAGGAAGTGATAAATTCAAGACGTTTAAACCCTCGGGAACAGGTTCCAGTGACGGAATCTGCGAGCTGAAAGGCACCTCATCATTGGAACGCTGTAGGTTTCCAGCTGAAGGTCCCTGGTCTCCCCAGCCTTCGTCATCTGCCGGTCTACCGTTGCCTAAATTCGTCATAGGATCCGAACACTCCCAAAGAACTGAGATCAAGAACAGTTATTCAAGTCAGCGTCTGGTGTTTGCAATGCCTAAAATTGCCAAGGAAGTGAACGGGAGGATATAACGTACCCTGTTGTACCGAATCAAGCGCTTGATCGACACCAGCATAGAGAGGCAACACGGAATCCGCGTAGGCACCAATGCCCGGCCCTGTTGTTGTCTCGATTTCAGACGCGACTTGGAGTCTACCTCCAGCATTTAGATGTTCTGGAGGATAATCTGTATTATCTCGGCCGCGGGACAACTGCACTGAGTCAAATCTCTCATCCTCCGGGCGACCGACCATATCAGGGACATGACCCTCTTGTGCGATGCTGGCTGCCAAGTCCCTTTCGGGGTTGGGGCTATACACAGCGGTCATATCAAAAGGCGGGCCGTCTAGCAATACTTGCATTTCTCGCTGAAAAATAAGATGGAGAAGTCCCTCAAGCACTTTTACTGTCTGTGATGGAACGATAGATGACGCAGCAAGATTTTTCTGTAGTGAAATGGAATTTGCAACCCCTTTCTTTGCATCTTGCGATTGTGCAGAACCTGGATCTGACAATGCCACCATACCAAGAGTTACCCCAGCAGTGAAATTTTGCATTGCAATGTATGCTACTGCGTGGGTATTTTTGGCGGCAAGGAGAACTGGTGCATATCGTGGCAAGATGCTGCACGTGCGGCGAGCACAATGTTTGCATTGATCAAAACTAGTCGGTCGATTCTCGGTGCTGTGAGGGTTGGGCCCCATAATCAACTGACCAGTATACCGTAGGAAAGGGCGATGCAGGACGATTTGAATATTGTCATACGCCAACTGGAGTACTAATGCCTGTAACTCGAAATGTCGGTACACTTCAAGCTCGGTGCTCGACAAGTTGTCAATGTGCATTTTAGAATTGTTTTTCAGCCTCAGCTCCGCCGGGAGCCTTTCAAACCAATCTACCAGCTTGGTGTTGATAACTGCAGCTTGGTGCCTCACATCACCTGATTTTGGGGAATCGAGGTTATATATGCTGCCAATTATCGGAGAGGCAATGGTGTACAGCTCAAATTTGTAGCGTTGATATGTGCCCAATGTCACGCGTGCTGGGTGATTTGTTTCCGAGTACTCTAATGAGTTCAGTAATGGATGAACGACCTGCGTATCCTCCATATCTCGTGGCATGCTAACCGAGCAATGAGCATCAACTATAGATGACGGACGTCCATAAGTTATTGAGGCGAACCTGGTATATCGTAAGCATTGTTTTCAATTAGAGAATACCCTTTCAATGGGCCAAGGAGATACAGACCTGTCGAGCACATATAACGCCCACCAAGTTCGTTTGCGATCTTCGAGAACAGCCTCCGGGGCAGGGCCCCAAAGGGACTCTTTGTGTAAGCCTTGCGCTTGCGCGCTACCGATTCCTGCGCCAAGAACTGGCAGCGCCAAATTGGGTTTGCCATTGTAAAGGTCAAATGTGCTCAACAAGATGCAACATTGAACACACTCTAACCCTCCTGCGTCCAGAATCTCGAAAAAGTGCGCTCGAACCTGAGTCATCATATTGTTTTGCAACAAGAATCTTTCTTGTTCAGTGAGGCCAATCTGTGATCCCTGTTCCTCCGAAGTATACCTTGCACCCAGGGCTAGTACCATCAAAAGCAGCACTGCCATACCATTTTGTTGAGGTGTGACTTCTTGTTTGCCTATGATATCCTCATATTGTTTTTCCAAAGAAGATCGATGAAAAATCATCATGAACCAGTGCACTGATTTCCAATATGATTGCAGAAAGAAATCACATATTTGTCGGGAAGGAATGACCAGCCCGTTGAAGTGGGAAGTAAGAGGAGCGCCTCTCTCACTTACTTGATCATCGAGATCTCGAGCAGGGCGAGATCCACCCCCAGGGAGAGCGGAGGTATTGCTGGTTTCGGTCGGTGACACCATAGACGCCGTATTATGCATTCGAAAAATCTATTGATCGGCTCAACTTCACGTTCGTAATAAGCCTTTTGGATGATGTTGTAGGTTACCTCATCTGTGAGCTCGACTGCTGATACTTGCGCATACCTATGCGGCCGGGGAAGAAATTCAGTATTGCCATCTCGGCAACTGCCCGCGCTGTGAGAAGCCTGGGGGCTATTGACGGGTCGCTCGGGTCGCTCAGAAAGGGGAGGACTTGTCGTCGATGGGGCAGGAGGGTGAGACCGTGGTTGGTTGGTACTGCGGCGCCTTTCGGCCATCATTTTCTGTGATTGTTTTGACTTCCTAAACCAGATAGACAAATTAAAATCTCAGCCCCCTGCAACGTCTCACAACCAGAGAAACCCTACCTACCGTAATGGTGCTGATGTTGTCAAGCAATCAAAGCCAGAGCGCACGCACAGTGAGCACGGCTTAGTGATATCACACTGGATGTAAACTTGTTAGAGGGTTAATGCCTGCAATGTTTAAGAATTTTGCTACCTTCAACTTCTGTCTACGGCATCGATCGCAGGCATGTCGGCGGGTCCCCAAATGCTTGGGTTGCGCCTGCGTGGCACCTAGGGATGCTGGTTCCTGCATCCCGCGGGAAATTCCTGAGCTCTGTATTAAAATGTATCTCCGTATGGCAATGCTCACTAGTGGCACTGGCTAATGGTTTGCTTGGTTTCACGAAGGGAGCGCGCTTAAGTCCACCGGAACATGCACAAGTTCACGGGTGGTGGCGTCTGTATTAGTAACACCCCCATTTCCGTGGACCTGGGCAGGAAACCCATATCATGTGACAATATTCACCCTACACAGGGGCAAAAGAGGTAAAAATGAGTACCCCATTTCATAGACTGATCGTCTCTCATGTGGTCCGTTCGAGGTCATTTTGAAGTGGCTACAACTCGAAGGATAGGTGCCTAGGATACTAGGGATATTGAAAAAGTATTCCGCAGAGCCTACTTAATTTGAGGAGAGGGCCCAGATGCGAAGAATAGATGAATTTTCGCAGGAGACGTTGTGAGAATCAGCGAGCCCCTGAGTGTTCTCAGGTGTCTCGAGAATATTTCCAGGGAAACAGGGGGTTGAGCTGGTATACCCTGCAAGCAGAACCTTTAGGGACCCTCTCTTCCCTTCAACGTGAAGTTAAAACAATAAATAAATAAAAATAAGACATTATATGCGAACGGGCCTTGCAAGGTTACTCATGTCTTTCTGAGCTGATAGTACGTGGGCATGAAATATACACAAAGTCTACCTAGGTACGGCGGAAAATCGTCATGGTACCAAGAATGGCCTCATGGCTCTATGTATACCTCTTTGAGGGTCCCTTGATGCAGATACAAATGGCTGTCTTTCTGCTGGAAATTTGGCGTTGGGAATACAAACAGAAGGAAGAAGCTGAGATGGGTCACTAATTGGTGAGGCGAGACTCTCCGGGGCGGCAACCAGGGTGACTAACGGACCGGAAATCTTCAAGACGATCCCGAGTCCGAGTGGGGCCGTAGTTCACAAGTTCCAAGGTTGTGCCCGAGTTGACAAATTGACCTCTACAAAACGTTCCGATCAATTACAAATCATGCCGAATGAGTTTATAAAACCGCCTTGCTTTGAAGGGATAAACAGCAAACTTCACTTCATTATCGAACGAGGAGCACATTGGGAATGTCTTTTAAGAAAGTGGCCGTTTTTCCTGCCTCTGGCGGTATCGGAGGCAGCACTGTCAAGCATCTTCTACCTCGATTTCCGTCAAAAGATCTTATCTTTATCGCTCGTCATCCTGAGAGATTGAGCGACGCTTTATCTTCCAGTGCGACTGTTCGGCGGGCAGACTATGACGATGACAGCAGCCTCTCCAACGCTTTTGAGGGTGTGGATACTCTTTTCCTGATCTCATATGCTTCGGTTGAGCATGAACACAGATCTGAGGTAAGTTCTATGAGCAATCCCATGTTACAATTTTCGAAACCGTGCTAAAGTTCCGTGTGCGTAGCGTCATCGATTTGCCATTAACGCGGCAATTCGTAGCGGAGTGAAGCATATCTTCTACGGCTCTCTAGGTTATGGTGGCAAGCCAGAGAACAAAGAATCTGTGGCTCATGTTATGCAAGCTCATCTAGATACGGAGAAGTATCTAGAGCAGATGTCTGAGAAGAACCCGGGCTTCGGATACACGGTGGTCCGAGAGGGCCTGTACACCGAGTCTTACCCACTCTATACAGCGTTCTTTGACCCGAAGAACCCTGTGGGTGAGATTAAGATCCCACACGACGGATCAGGGCCCGGTATTGCCTGGGTCAAACGTGAAGAACTGGGCGAGGGCACAGCTGAGCTACTGAAGAGATTTGTCAACGACCCGAAGGGCTTCCCGTATCTTCAGCGGACCGTTTTGCTCTCCGGAAGAAGGGTAGTGTCTCTGAAGGAGTCAGTGGATATCTTAGGCAAAGTGGCCAACTTGCCTGTCAAGATCCGCCAGGTATCTGAAGATGAATTCGCTGCACAGCCTCAGGTCAAGCCAAATCTCATCTATCACGGAGTCGATCACTCCAAGGTGTGGACTACAACCTTTGAAGCCTTCCGTCGAGGAGAGGCAGCATACGCATCACCACTCCTTGGAGAGCTATTGGGGCGTGAACCAGAGGGTTTTGAGACAACAGTGACCAATTCATAGCTTATTCTGTAAAGTACCCGATTGGCGGCCTATTGGGGCAAAGTATGGAGGGATATCTGCAAATGCTTTGCTTTAAATGAAACTTCGCTCAAATACTCTTGGTCATATACGCTATTTCATTATACAGAGAATATTCTCCACTCTCTTTGTGTCTACATTAGTGATTCTGATAAGAGGTGTCAATAATTTTTGAGCGATAGAATGTTTCGACGTCTACTTCCCAATGCCAAATTCGCCCGTTGGTCTTACAGCCACCGGGTCGACCACTTCGCTTCTCTCGGCCGTAAGCAGGTTCAAATTGCCTACTGTCATCATAAAAAGCTGGCCAAGAAAACTTTTGCGATTCTTTTTGCAGAATTTTTCTGATAAATTTGTACGTGGAGAACGTTGAGTACTCCATTTTCCACGTCTACAAAGTGGGGGGAAATCCGGTGAATGATCATAGTGGTCCAAGTTCCAAATGCTGTTTCTTCCAAGTGAGCCTTGAGTATTGAGCTCTCTTCCTTCATCCTGGGCGCAAAAAAAAAAAAAAAAAAAAAAAAGAAAAGAAAAGAAAAGAAAAGAAAAAAGGACAAAAGGAAAAAAGGGAAAAAGGGAAAGGTTGCTGCAATAGTTAGCAATCGGGTGAATAACAGCCAATGATCTCCGTGCACCTACTTATGTCCAGAATTGATCAAGTTTTCTCTTAGAACCGTAACTTTCGTGCAGAAGCATGGTAGAAAATTATTTTATCAATTAGTTTCTACCTTTGCAGTGACTGACTGACTTGATCAATGAAAGACCGATTCCGGAAATATCGAAGTATTTCACAAGGTTGATTCCTGACACTTTCAAAGAACACATTCAAAGATATGCTACTGCCACGCTTCAACGCCTGATACAACCCTCACACAACAAGGCTCTCTTGATGTTTTGGTACTAGGATTCTATCCTCGTACACTCGATTCTCTTAGCTTACTTGCGACGATGTCCAGCAAAGCCCCACTGAATCTGGTTGGCCAACTTGAGATGAATGCCAAGCTCCTCGGCAAATGTCCAGACCAGGTTAGGATCCTTCTGAAAATATCTTCCCACAAGCACCATGTCAAGGCCTGTCTCCAAAATATCGTTGGCTTGTTTTCCCAATGTGATTGCGCCAACTGTAGCAACCAAAAGCCTGTCGCCGACAGCCTTCTTGACTTGATGAGCGAAGGGTGCCTGATAAGCAGGTCCACCTGCTATCTTCTGCCTGGGATCATTACCGCCACTAGAAATATCAAGGACATCAACTCCCTGAGATGACAATATCTGAGCAAGTTTGATGGTCTCCTGGATATCCCAGCTAGGCTCTGGGTGCATATGCTCTAGCCACTCCGTTCCGCTAACACGGAAGAATAGTGGCATTCCCTCGGGGATATTCTTTCTAGTGATTTCCACGATCTCCAGGGCGAGTCGAGTTCTGTTTTCGAAGCTTCCACCATACTCATCAATTCTTCTATTAGTGACCGGTGAAAGGAACTCATGAATGAGATAACCATGAGCCCCGTGAATTTCAATGGCCTGTCGGTGTTAGGTCTTATGTGAATTGAAGAGCTCAGGGTTTTGTTCACTCACGTCAAACCCACATCGCACAGCCCGCTTGGTAGCCTCACCCCATTCCTCTACAAGCGAGTGAATCTCATCCCGCGACATCTCACGTGGGATGACATTCTTGTCCTTGTATGCAATAGCACTGGGGGCAACAACACTGTCTGGCCATCCACCAGCCTAAGGTTTTTAATTAGCTCATATATCGGCAAGAACAGTAGGTATCCTCACAGGTGCAAAGCCTTCATTCTCATAACCATTCACCTGAAGAAAGCGCATTAGTATTTTGCCCGGGTGGCTCTGGTGGCAGCCAAACGTACAGTTTTCAGAGCAGCAGCTGGCCCGCGCGCCATGCTCAGCCATGGAGCAACAGTGCTAGCTTTGCGTCCTGCATGGGCGAGTTGGATGCCGATACACTGACCTTGGCTATGGGCGAAATCCACAATTCTGCGCAGAGGGCCTATTTGAGACTCCTTCCACAATCCACAATCTTCAGGCGTGATCCGGCCTTCGGGAACCACTGAAGTAGCCTCCACAAATGATAGTCCTGGTCCGCGGGAAATGATACCGCCAAGGTGGGCGAAATGCCAATCAGTTTGGTGACCATCTTCCGCTGAATACTGGCAAAGCGGGGACAACTAAAACCGACATCAGCAGGCATTTGATGATGGGCCTGGCATGTTCGGACTAACGAGAACTCGATTGTGTAAATTTAGGCTGCGCAGTTGCAGGGGTGCGAACAACTTAGGGAGGCTGGCATCGGCCGAAGCCGGAGCCAGAGGGGTTCCAGCGGGAGGATCTTGCTTCGGCGTGAAGTACGGCACCTGTTTTCATGTTAGCCCATACTAATCAAGTACCGCTTTTGCAAATAAAGATACTGACACTTTCAGCTGGCTCATTTACAACTTCAACAATCGATGCCTCGTCGATATTGGCGTACCGAGATTGGATCATTGTATCGGTAAAGATGGTATAAAAGTGAACTTGGAGTCAAGTCCCTAGTTACCACTATTTAAATATTCACTTTCCGGTAGCTCAATTCCCAAAACAATTTCTGTCTCTTTCAAAGTTTTAGGGGTCCGGTGGACAGTTAGTGGCGAACCGGTCAAGTAGTGAGAAATGCGTGGGGAAGATCCAAAACCTATCGGGGACATTTAAACTAGATTTAATTTCGGTCGTCTTCATGTAACATAGGATAATTCATAATGTACTCATAGTTTTATTGATCAGAGTGTGGGCCTATAGTCCGTTGCAAAGGTTCTTACATTCCGATCCGTTCCCAGTTCGTGCACCGGACCTGAGACCGAAGGACGGACCGAGTCGACTCGAGGTGGTGACGGATTTGAAAATTCCTGCTTTCAAATGACAGTCTACACAGTCAAATTCGGGTATTCTCAGACAAATTGTTTTCATAAACATATGAGACTAGGCTTGGGACACCGGGAGCTACGCTCAGTTGCCTTTGTTGTTTAGTATGAGCTTGATACAACGTAGTCAGTGCGCTTTCTTCTCCACAGCCCTTTTCAAGCACTCCAAATCTCTAGCTCTGGTGCCAAATCTATCCAATCACCATCTCGACAATTTGCCTACACTAAAGTTGCTTTGAATAGCTGTTGCGGGTAATCTTTATCTTAAGGTTCCTTGTAGATGTGAGGATGATCATCAACCATGGCGCTCAGATTCAGAGGCACTGTGAAATCGAGATTACGGTGGCGTGATCAAAGGCTATATGTATCTTAAACTAGCTTAGAGATGAATTGCAAAATGGGATTTTCAAGAAAGGTCGCCTGGTTGATGTAGCAAAGCACTTAAAACATAAAGGCCATAGTGGAAATAGAGATCAAGTAGCTAGCATACCACCATCTACGACTAAGCTCGAGCCTGTAACAAAATTGCTTGCGCTACTAGCCAGGAAAATGGCGGCTCCCCTCAAATCTTCAGGGGTTCCCCAGCGACCTGCGGGTGTCCCTTTTAGGATATAATTGTTGTAGGCCGTATCATTTTGTAGCTGCTTCGTCAGAGGGGTACTAATGTATCTGCTTCAAATTAGAAATTTCATCGGATAACTGACAAAAACAGGAGATATCAGACAACATACCCTGGACATATGCAGTTTACTTGAATATCGTGAGGAGCAAACTCATTGCTAAAAGATTTGGTCATCTGGATCACTCCTCCTTTAGAGCTTGCATAAGCAGAAACATTGTACATTCCACGGAATGAAGTAACTGATCCGATGTTGATTATTTTTCCGGGGAGTCCCAAGTTAATCAATCTTTTGCCAAACTCTTGGGCTACTACGTAAGTAGCCTTGAGGTTGATAGACAGGATCTAAGCTTATGTTAGCCTTGAATTCGACCTCCCGGGACTGAAGGGGAGATTTTGCCGGCCCATACCATATCAAGATCCTCATCGGTCATTTCTACTACTGGGCATCTTCGGTTAACACCGGCGCAATTGAGAAGAACAGACGGTTTGATACCGGCGTTCCAGATAGCTTGAAATGTAGCGCGAATGGAAGAGGTATTTGCAAGGTCGCACTCAAATACCCAGAAATTGCGTCCAATTTTTTTCAAATGATCTGACAGGTATGCTGTATTCGGATCATCAGGCAGTTGAATCGAAACAATATCAGCTCCAGCTTCTCCGAGAGATCTAGACATCTCTAGACCAATCCCGCCAGTAGCACCTGTGCAGATTACAATTTTGTCCTTCAGGGAGAAAAGTTCATTGATAGCGAAATGTTTGGCCATTGTTGTCGCACCTCCAAGTGCTCGGCGAATCAAAAGATTTGGCGACTGGTTTTATTTGGGAGGGAGTGCAGGAGCAAATGGAAGTCAAGATAGACTGTATTCTTTTATGTGCAGAATATACCAGTTGATTTTAACTGCAGAAGGTCACCAGTCTTTCTATACATCCTGTCGCTAATGATATGACAGCTTTGTGATTCTCTGATTCCCGCAGGAAACATCCGGTGGATGTCCACCGGAGCGTCTCCAACCTCCGGAAATCCTCTCACCCGAAATGCGGGACTCGGAGAATTAACGACTGCTCCCTGCCTCCCCCTCCCCCAACAAAAGTGCAATCAAAGAGTAAGATGGTTTAAATATTAAGTGCCACCTTCTCAAGAATGTACCCATTGATCCAACAAGACTGAACCCTCCACTAAGGCGCCTGATATTCATTGGCAATGACAGGCCCCATGTCCACACAAGTTACCTCTCAGAGGCTTCGGGGTAAGACGGCTCTGGTCACAGGCGGCGCGATGGGATTCGGCAAAGCAATCGTGACCAAGTTTGTTGCTGAAGGTGCCCAGGTTCTAGTTTTGGATATTATGGAGCCGAGCCCGGCAGAGGCCCAAGATGAGTCTTCGAAAAATATAACTTATCTTCGCGGAGACGTGACTTCTGCGGGCGATTGGCAAGAAGCTCTTGGACGGGTTTTGTCTATCTACGGCCACTTGGATATTGTTGTCAACAACGCCGGTGTATTACACAGGGCCCAACCGTCCATTGGACTCAGTGACGAGGACTGGGAGCGAGTCTTTCGCGTGAATGTGAAGCAAATTTACCTTAGCACCAAGACGATCATTCCCTACTTTTTGAAAGAAAGGAGACCCGGGCTTTTCATCAATACCTCCAGCATGAGTGGTACCCGTCCTCGACCCAATCTAGTTTGGTACGGGGCAAGCAAAGGCGCAGTCAATAATGTAAGCATCACCTAGCTTCTATGGTAATGCTCTTTGTCAAAGATAGAAAATGGCTAATATGGTCCGGGTTCAAGGCAACCAAGGGTCTTGCAGTTGAATGGGCACCACATAACATCCGAGTGAACGCCGTCTGCCCTTCAGTTGGAGATACATCCATGATGCCACTTTTCCTGGGTCAAGACTCGAGTGCCGAGGCACATGCGAAAATGCTCAGTAGCATACCACTGGGGCGTGTCTGCCAACCCGCCGACGTGGCCAACTCAATAGCCTTCTTGGCAAGTGATGAGGCGAGCTATCTTACTGGAGTGTGTCTGGAGGTTGACGGCGGCCGGGGGATCTAGATAATCTCTGTCTGCTCTATGATCCACTCGATGATTCTACGAGGATCCCTACTAGCCCACTAGCGATTTTATAGAGAGAACAACTTTCCCTTTAGTTTTCCTATTTACTAGCGTATCTATCGCTCTTTTATCAATACAAGTTACGCTCTCTGTTCCAGTGGGCCGACTTTAGTCTCACAGTTCAGACGATCATAAGCTATAAGAGATAAACAGAAACTTTTGGCTCTTTTCTATTGCCGTGGTACTTCCATGTCTGTTGTTATAGGTTCTCCTCCCACGGTATCCCATTTATTGTATAGTGTTCGCGATTTCTCTAGGTACTTAGAAATCGTGAGGACAAAGAAGCTCAAGATCGGGAACTTAACCTAGCCCGATGACTCCATGGCCATGGTCCTCACTTGCGTAACAACGTACATGCCACCAATCCACCCTCATACCCCACATCTCATCAGCCATGAGCTGAAATTTTCCTAGCATGGAGCGTCGGCTGCGGTAGGTAAGATATTTATAACGCGGTATGGCTCATTTTATCGATGTACGCTGGAACAAGGACGATCGCGCGAACGAGAGCCCCTAACCCGACAAAGTCAATACATTACACAATAGGGGAATTAACGACTTTCATCTAGGTTTTTTTCCGCAGTTATATCAGGGCCCTTGCGTGGCATCTGACAATTTGACGACGCCAACGTCCTTTGGTTCACGTCAAGTAGAAGGGACGGACATGATCGCAGCAGTAGCGATAGGTGAGTAACTAAACCCCAGTTGTCTTTTAAAGTAATATTGAGAATAGCTATCAGCAGTAAGCAGTCCGCTCTCTGGGTCGTTTCTATGCACTAGCAAGTATGAGGGCGTAATCGGACGGGACTTGCTGCCAAGGTCAGCGCCCTTGGCAACTAAGGGGGCCCTGACTGCACGCAATCAAAGTCGAACATTCAGTGCATGGAGTGGCCTTATGTGGTCATCACATGACGATGCCAAGGCGGCCAATGCTACCAATAATATAAATCATCGCAATCCAACTCGCGATATAGGCAAGTACCTCCCTAATGGGATGATCCTATTCCAAGCCTCTTGGCTGTGGTTCCGCCATCACCCAGACCTTGAGCCCAAGCCTCCAGGATTGAAACACCTCCCTGAGTCCCTTGGCATACGACCGATATGACGAAGAAAGCCAGATGGGATGGTTGGCGTGCTCCTTGGCATGGGATAAAAATCATGAAAACTTGGCCCTTATCCACTACGGAGGCTGGCGAGCTGACTCCGTGATTTTCGCCCATATTTTCAAGGTTTGTAGCTTTCGAAATCGTATGAGTCTTGTATGAAGTTCGAGAAGTCCTAGCCACTTGCAACTTCCATACAATAGGTGCCATCATGGGACTCACGCAATATCTTATAACGATGGTCCGCTGGATTGGACCTCTCACTCAGTATCCCAAAAAGTTTATGCACTGGATTGCACCTGCTCCTAAGAAGTCAGATGATGGCCGTGACCAGTGGCCCTCTCGAACAGCTTTCCTGTTGGCCGCTATGGGAGGCTGCGCGGGCCAGGGAAACTTGCTGCGATATCCGTCGGTAGTTTACAACAACTATGGACTACAGTGGTTTATCCCCTATCTACTAGCCGTGTTTGCAATCGCCATTCCAGCCCTCATTCTCGAGATCGCCATCGGACAGGCCTATCGCGGTGGAGCGGTGATCGCGTTCAATAACATCAACAAGCGGTTGAAGGGCGTTGGCCTTGGCCCGGCCTTGGTCAGTTTTGTGGTCGTGCAATATTTCACGGTCAACTTGGCATGGATCATGAACTATTTTCGCAACTCCTTCCGCAGTCCTCTCCCATGGGAAGGCCAGATTGAGGAATTCTACATGGGCAATGTCGTCGCAAATGTCGACCCAGTATTGGGGAACCTTACTGTAGGCAATGATGCCGTTGGCAACTACACTGCTTACCGCGGCGTTGCCTTGATCGGCGAGACGGTCGGCTGGAGCGCCTTTATCTGGTTTCTCATCTGGATTTCTATATTCCGTGGAGTGGGCCTGACAGGCCGTGTTGTCTACTGGACAATGGGTCTGCCGATTGTCACAACTATTATTATTGTTGGTCGTTCTTGTTCACTCGACAACGCACGCGAGGGTATCCGACTTTTATGGGCAACATGGAGGGGCGACCAACTAGCCTCTGGGACTGTCTGGCAAACTGCAGTTGGACAGGTCTTTTTCTCCACTGGAATTGGCTTTGGTTATTTTACTTCCTATGCTTCATACAATTCGAAACACTCCAATGCTGTCATGGACGCCATTCTTATCTGTGGGAGTAACGTTTTGTTTGAAAATTTTGCCGCCTTTGCCGTGTTTGGTGTCGTAGGCTACCTTCGACGTTGGCCACAGGATGGCGAGAGATTGGGCGCATTCGTGGTTGGGTTTTTGACACTCCCGGAGGCTGTGCTTCACATGCCGGGCGCAAATTGGTGGGCTGTTCTTCTGTTCTTCACACTGGTCGTCCTTGGGTTTAGTTCCGCCTTTGTTATGCTTGACGTGGTGGCTACTTTGGCTGTGGACGCTGGCGTGAAAATGTCACGACCGGCGATTGTGACTGGTCTCACAGTAATCTCATTCCTCATGTGTTTGCCATACTGCACCCAGTTTGGGTTCTATCTCCTAGACGGAATCGACCGATGGATCAATAACGTGGCCTTGATATTTGTTGTGTGGTCAGAACTAGTCGGTGCTACAACGGTATATCGGTGGCATGATGTGGTGAGCGAAACTGGATTTCTTGCTTTTGTTCTGTATAACTTCGGGTACTTCGGTGCCCAGGTCCTTGGAGTCGCAGTTGCACACGGCGTCTCCAGCCCTGCAGCTGGTGCTGGTGCCGGGCTTGGACTGTATATTGTGTGTTCAATATTTTCAACTCTGGTCGCCACGACCCCAGGTATCAAAGCTGCCACCTTCTGGGGACGGCACCCACTACTAAGTCGATTTTGGTATTTAGCGTTCTACTCTGTACGTTCTGCTGCCATCCACTCTCGTGCCCCAGAAATTAACGCCTCCAGGGTAATCAGTTGAGACGCGACTTGAATGGCGTCGTTGGCGGCAATGGAAACTGGAACATCCCTCGTTTCTGGCCCGTTCTGCTCCGGTATGTCAGCGCACCTATTCTGGCCATCGTGTTCAGCTTCGCATATCCTGAATTCTATTCCCTGCGATATGACCCAATGATGATCGCTGGATTCATTCTGGCTCACTTTTGTTTGCTGTTGATTCTGGTTGGTGTGGTGTTGCCGCGATACTACAATATTTTCATTGCGTCTCACCGGAGAGCCGAGGGGACTGAAATGACGATCGCCAATCAGCCCAAAGAGCAAACATTTATCCCAGAAGCTCGGGGGTCTGACTTTGAAGATGGCATGCCGGGGTCATCTTGCAGGATGAGTTCTGACCGGATACGCCCCGAGGATACGACGGCAATGCCGAAGCTTTAGACTGTCATTCCTGGATCCCTTAGCTGATAAAGACAAAGACTTGATTCAACGGGCCTTTGGCAGTCTCAGATCCGACAGTGGCCATATCTGCTACTGCTGAGCTACCTAACACTATATTTGTCAGCCTCTAATAGCTATTAATGTTGAGGCTCTTCAGAACACAGCAAGTCGTGTGGTTATTTTGCATGACGGGCTCCCGAGATGAAGAGGATGAAAATGATTGCATGTGAGATCAATGTTCACGTATCTAGTGTATTGAACAAGATAGTGAATTTAAAAGTCTCTCGCCACTAGCTTAGGCACACGATAACGTTAACGATTCCTGATCATTCAGTTATCTTCGAAAGTTTGTCTATCGCCCTCCACTGTATGACCCATGTGCGGTCGCTCGTCCGACCTTTAAGCTCGAAATTGTGGTTTTCGTTGACCAAAGAGTTCTGTGTGGCTTTGATGGTGCTTCTCACCTTCCGCCATTCTACTTGTATGCGTTCCGCTGGACTCATCATTTCAGGTGTTCCATTTTAACGTTAACTATAACTTGGCTGACATGTAGGTCAAAATCCATCCGAATCTATCAAATGAATGCTGAGTATAATGGAAAAAATAATTCTCTTTTTCATGTTCCTCCCAATCAATATTCCCGGACACGACAGCTCTGTTTGGTTTTGGAATCGTTCATTAAACTCAAGAGGACGGCACCCTCCCCACAAGTGAGAGACGGGGTTCCCCGCTCACATGATCGGGGTACCCTCCGCTTGGAAACTCTATAGGTGACGGCGCCAGTAACCTAACACGCCGTAGCAAATTCCATGACGCGAGATCGTCAGGGACTTGCGGTCAGACCTAGATAGCGGAGCTTTGCCCGGCGGGTCTGTCCGCTTGAGCTGTATGCTACATCTTAGGCGTGACCGTCCAGAGCACAGGTCGCGTGACCGGAAAATGCAGCATACATAGAGGTTCAATATAAGTGTGCACAAGAAGTCTAAACTTCTTGATGAAGACACACTCTTGTTCGGCATCTTCATTTGGGAAATTTTTGAAATTCCAATATTTTCAACCATGACTTCAACATTCTCATCTCTATTTGGTTATACACCCAACATACTAGGGACACCAAAGCCCCCCAAGACACCTCCAAAGGCTCTTCCAGCTTCCTGGTATCGCTCTCCTGGAATGTACGAATTAGAGCGACGGGCCATCTTTTCAAAAAAATGGATTTTGGTTACCCACAAACTGCGTTTTGAAAAGCCGGGAGACTTTTGTCGGTTCGAAGAGGCGGGTTTCTCCTTTGTGCTGTGTCTCGATAGGGATGGTAACCTCAACGGCTTTCATAACATCTGCCGACATCGCGCCTTTCCTCTGATCTCTCAAGATAAAGGCAATGCAAAAATACTTTCGTGCAAGTATCATGGGTGGTCGTATGGCATGAATGGAAAATTGGCAAAAGCCCCCGGTTCGACAACGTACCGGAATTCAAAAAGGAGGAGCAGAGCCTCTTCCCAGTCCATGTCCATGTCGACGATCTAGGTTTTATCTGGGTCAACCTTGACTCCTCTAAGACCCCTATTCCGTGGCATGAGGACTTCAAAGGAGTCGACACACAAGAAAGGTTCCAGAATTTTGACTTCAGCCAGTACAAGTTCGACCACATATGGCATATGAATGGCAACTATAATTGGAAGACACTTGCAGACAATTACAATGAATGCTATCATTGTACCGTTGCACACCCTGATGTGGCGAATCTTGCGGACCTTTCCTATTATTACACCGTTTCAACGCCTGGACACATTCAACACTTCTCTCGACCGAAGGAAGACAAGCTAGACGAAGACATTCAAAACGCCAGCACCTATTACTTCCCCAACGCTTGCATGACAGTGTCGTGAGTCAATTCCTCCCTCCATCGCTGAAGACCACGATTAGAGCTGACTATGAGAGCTTTAGACCTCATTTCTTTTATCTGATGCGATGTGTGCCAACGTCTGCAGGCACCTGCTCCATGGAATATGAAGTTTACCGTCACAAACACGCCTCTGATAAGGACTTCGAGTACATCGATGCTTTCTTCAAGCGAGTACTAGACGAAGACAAACATCTTTGCAATGCTGCCCAGAAGAATTTGAATGCTGGTGTGTTCGTGAATGGACAGCTTCATCCCGAGCTCGAGAGCGCCCCTCTCTTCTTTCAAAATACCGTCAGACGCCTCTTGGGAGCTCATCGCGAAGAGGAAAAGCGCCAGAGAAAGGAAATTTGGCCAGCTCAACAGCATTCGGCAGGCTCTGCTACCGCGGAAGACATCGAGTTTTGCTCCGGACTAGCATGCAGTGAGGGTTCTAGCAGTCTAGATTGGTAGTTAGGGATCAACGTAGCGTTTAAGTGGAACTGAAGGTTTCTATATTGCCACGAAATTAATAAGCCGAGCCACACAGGGTTTGATGGAGATAAGGTGGGATCCACTCCGTACCCGGTGCGTGACTGTGGAACCTTCCGGTGTACCCCGCACCTGTCCTATTTAAACGTATTCTATAAGCCGCGATAAGAAGGGCTGGCTGAGTATTTTTCTGTGTTCCCTTCTTTTCAGATATGTCTCTAACGAACAGCCGTGTGAGCAAGAGATCCCATCAGGCCTGTGAAAATTGTCGGTGAGTTCGAGTTTTACCGAGATCATGGCTTCCGGAAGAATTGTTTATCTGATAGAGAGAGGACAGACGGAAAAAAACACGTTGCCCGGGGGAAAGGCCGTCTTGTTCAACTTGCACTCGTCTTCACCAGATCTGTCAGTACAGCAGAAGTGTTGAATCATTGGAAAGACCTCCGGGCGGAGACAGAATCTTGGTTGGATCCACCGTCAAAAAAACACCGCGATATATAGATCTAACGACAAATATAGGAAGACCGATTACAGCACCTCGAGGACAAGATAGAATTAATGCTAGAAAGATCAATGTGTGTTGTTTCTTTCACAGCTTCGAAGAAAAGAAACTCTAACTAAAGCAGAACTAGCAACCAGACTGGAACTCCGAAGTCATTCTCCTGTGAAGCTCTATATCCGCAAGAAGGATCACAATCACCCCGAAGGAAAGAAGATTCTTCAAGGCTTGTGACTACTCAGAAGGAACCCGGCCACATTGAAAATGTTGCTGCATTAACTATGCCCCCTAATGAGGTCATTGTTGAATCCTTCGACCTTTATCAGCAGTATTGCCACAAGCAGCCTTTGTGGCTTTTTGACGAAGATGATCTCTCAACTCCGGAGATATGCCCCCAGGAAATCATATTTGGTATACTCGGACTTGCTTTACGTTACTCGAGCAATCCCTTTGTGGAGGGACGAGTGGATCAAATGTGTCGCCAGTACACCGAGGCGGCCCGTGGCAATATCATGCTTCAAATAGCGCAGGGAGCCGTCCAGCTTTCCACGATCCAAAGCCTTTGTCTAGTAGCACTGGCAAATTTTATTGGTGAGTAAATCAAACTACCTGATACGACGCACCAGAAGATACTGATATATGTTTAGGGGACGACATGCAGATGGCCTGGCTACATATTGGCCTTGCAACAACCCTTTTGAAGTGTGGAGGTCTGGATGTGGAGTTACACAAAGAAGAGCGCACGCATACGGTAGATGTTCATCGAAAGCTGTATTGGAGCATTCATCTCCTAAACCAACAGTATGGACCACGCAACATGCAATTAGATATTTTGCGCGACATCCAGCGTCCCACATACATGGGAGTCAACAAATGCTCTATGCGAGAAATGGGAGTCTCTCCACCTCAAGTTCCGGAGGAACCAGGAGGCTCCACTCAGATTGAAGGAATTTGGGTGTACATGGTGCAGCTATCCACACTTTGGAGTGAGGTTCAGAATTATGTTTCACATTGTGCCAGTGGAGACCCAACACCTCCTTGGTCACTTGAATCAGGATATTCTGTCATTGGGGCACATCTTATGAATATTGAAACAAGGTTTCCCACATGCCACAGGTGGGACTCTGTCAGATTTATCGATCATTCCAAAGAGGCTATACATCGGAACCGCGGCTATTGGAGTCCCTGGGTGTACCTTCAATTTACCTATCATGCCATACATAGCGTGTTGAATCACCCATTCCTTTATTCGTGGAGACCGCAGCAATCCGCGCAGCTTGCAGTTCCGAATACGTTTTGGAAGACCTCATCTGAGCTTGCTCTCATTCATACCACTTGGACAGTTCGTCTCATTGACATGGTTACTGAGAAGGGGTATCAAGTTTCTGACCCATTTCTCGGTCACCTGGTGGCTATTTCTGCCACAATTCATCTTTATTATTGTCGGGCGGCGGATCCAGCAATCCGGGAGTCTGCGCGGAGCAAGGTAGATGCTTGTATGACGTTTCTGGGTACACTTGCAATTAGATGGCCATGTTGTAAGGCGATAGTAAGTATTATCCCCACCATTGTTACAGGTTGCTCTCTAATAAATATATTTAGCACGAAAAGCTGGAAAGGCTCCTTCACTACGCCTTTGCCCCGAGTCCGGTTACGAGCTTACAAAATCTACCAAGAAGAACCATTTCTATCAATACTGCACTCATGTGGGATATACTTCTCCAAACCTCTCCCAAAACTTCATCGACTTCACCGGGGGAGGTCTTTTTGATGACGCTTCCTTTCATCGGGAAGCTGAAGAGACGACTAACGAAAAAGATACAGTTGAAACAGAGTTCTTTCACCATTCTACAAGAACTGTTGATACGTCGGATGGGGGACAAGCGTTGCCACCATATTCAAGTGTGGTACATGGTCGTCAACCCTCCTCAAAAGATCCAGAGCATGATGTTGGAACTATAGGGGATCAAGAGGTTTCTGGAATGAATAATAGCGAGTACCATGTTCCATCGTTGCCAGAGACAATGATGTGGCCGGGACCTGGGTTTCGGGGTGATGTTTCTCTAATGGACATCACGCATGATCCATTCTTCCAATTTCAGGACCATCAAAGTCCCTATTTGGGGGTGTGGGAGGTTGGTAATCTTTGATTGTGAACGTTTAATGCCAAAATAAAATGATGCGGTTTGGCGAGAATGGCGATACCCGATATTCTTAACTTCCCCGTTCCTCTTTTGTGTACAAAAAGAACGAGTACTGGTGAAGGCTCCATTGTCATTTAAGAGAACAGTTGCAAACTTGAACAGTTTACGCATAATGCTTTGAGCCAAAATAATACTCGCTGGTCTTTATTGGTGTACCATTCAGCCTAATTCGACGCAGTCTCAAGCTATCTTATGTACACGTTTTAACCCCGTCGGGCTGAGGATATGATTTGAGACTATCCTTTGTTAACGATGATGAGCGTGAGGTTTGTTTAGATACTTCGTCTTCCACGTGATTCGAGCGGGAAGATCATGGCAAGGATACCACAGAAGCCCAACAGAGCAGCACAGACATAGATGGGAACTGAACTTGAAGTCGAAGTAAAGGCTCCTATGAGAGCAGACACCATACCCATCAGTCGGTTCAGTGCAACGGCTATACCATTTCCGGTTCCTCGGTGGGCTGAGGGTAAGACCTCGACGGTATAAGCATATAAAGTTGCATAGTATATGTTGATGGTAACCGATATCGCACATGAGAAACCCAAATTTTCTGCACCTGTGCGCACAGTGGTGTAACCGAAGAAAAAGGCCACTGTATGTGAAATTAGATAATCTGTCAAATGTGAAGTAAATTTGATCTTACTTGTAGCAAATGCTCCGAGCGCCATAGTCCCCTTTCTCCCAAGAATAGGCATTTCACACATGCCGGCTGCTATTATAGGGCCTGGGATTGCACACAAGTTGGTGATTGCATAGTTTCTCCAAGTAACATCTGCAGACGACTCCCCAGTAGATGCATCCCGAGAGGCCAGGTACTCAGGCAAGTAAACATAATACAATGCATAGCCAAGTCCGATCATAGCCCAGGAAATCCATACTAGGGATGTAGAGAGCACCATTTTCTGTGTCGCAAACAAACCCCTAATATGGAGGACTACCTCAGAAAATGAGACCTTGCTCTGCGCATGCGCGCTGTTGATTTGACCACATCTTTGGAGCTGGTCAAGAGTTAAATTGCATACTCGACTATGCTTCTCGGCAAGATCTTGGAGCGTCTTAACAACTGCTTCATCATTCCCTTGACATAGAAGAAACTTTGGTGTCTCATGGAAACGTATAACAAGAACCCGAGCAATGCTCAGGACGAAAACAAGGGCTCCACAGGTATAGAATAGATATCTCCAGCCCATGTTGTTTGAGTTGGTGCAAGGAATGGATCCATCTAAAGGGCAACTATAATTTGCTGCATATTGGTTAGCAAAACTTTAACCCACAGAACAAGAAAAGGAAAGATACCCATGAATCCCCATGCCACAAGACCAGCTACGGTCTGGCCAATGCCCCACCAGCCCGCTAGAAGGGTCAGAAGCCATTGCTTGTTAGAAGGAAGGTACTCCAAGAAAACCGTTGTATCAAGAACCAGGTTTCCACCAGATCCAAACGCCGAAATTGCAACAAAAATTGCCCATATAGCATAATTTGGGGCAGCACCAGCAGTGATCGCAAAGACTGCACTGATCAGCAGGGAGAAGTTGAATGCCCATTTCCGCCCGATGACATCTGCTGTACTACCCCAAAATAGAGCTCCTACCAGAAGTGCCAAATAGAAGCCCAGCTGTGCGCCCCTTGTAAATTTCGGAGGATACTGTGCCACAACTTGCTCGGCCGAAATACTCATCAGGAATAGCAATAGCGAATCAACTCCGTACCTAACCATAGAATGTCAATATTTCGCAATCAGCGAATTTTGTTTTTCAGCCATACGAACCCAAATCCATTCAGAAAAAATAGTTTTGCGTGGTAGCGTGTGAACCCGATTCTATCAATTGTCTGCAATGGTCAGTGGGCTGAGATGGCATTTGTTGGAATAAACTGACATCATTGACAAGGTTCATTTTGGCAGCTAGTGCCAGGTCCACTTGATCGAGCGAAATAACATCACCTGGGCCAATTGAGCGAGATGAGCCAGAGTCTTTCGTCTGTTCGTCCTGGTTCCCTTGCTCGGTCTGTATAACCCCAACACTATAGGAATCAATAGCCATTGTAAAGGTGAACTGATGTGATTGTAAAAGCCCTTGGTAAAGTTTGATTGACGAGAAAGTAATGATAAATATGTGAAGTTGATTCTTTCAGAAAGATGATTCTAGAAAAAGGGGAATTTCCAAGAGAAATCAAAGCATCTTGACCGGCTTTTATAGCGTTTCAGGTCACACATCAAATCACTATCTGCTTCCTATTGCTCAAGCCTAACATCTGGGACGCACAGTCCTCCAATTCAAAACAAAGTGCGCCAAATTCCCCTCATGGCTGCTCGCTTTGCTGGCACACTTGATTGGCAATATGGCTAGGTGGAACCCTCGATAGGAAATGCGGGCACGAATGAGAAGATCCCTAAGTAAGAGGAAGACTTCGGGGAAATTGATACATTATGCCTGTTTGACTGTTGTGTTAAAATGAAGTATTTGGTTGTTGATAGGCAACTCCCCGCTCAGCTGACCGGGGAGGCGGTAAATGCCGAATATTCGCCCAGAATACCTCGAACGCTCGTGGGGGTAAAATATCAATGATAGGGATTATCAAGCGTATCACCGATTGATCTGTACTACACGTCCCGGATTCTTTGTTTTCATCTGGCCCACTATGACTGTGCAAACGTACAAATGGATTTCCAACAATACCTACATAACGCTCGCCTCGAGCTTTGACTTATCGATAGCTGCATTTGGATGCGTATGCTGCATTGTTTCAGTTTCTAAAGTGTGCTTATCTGAGATTCTGATTGGAAGCTATGTTGGAACTGATGACGAGATATGCAAGGTACCAGCGTGTAAACACGGACCTTTGAATATGGTGAAGACATTATTGATAGCCACCCTATCAACAGGCATTTCTAGACCGTCTATCGTATTATCGTTTGCTGAATAATGTCATAGTGGTATCAATAGTCTGTCTCATACAGGGAGGTCACGGAACTCGAATTTCGGCAGGCACTGCGAATGGTGCGACATGCAGAGCTTGCTTGCCTGCGACAAGCTTGTCATAGCTCCGATAGATTCAACGGGGGCTTCAAAACTTCAACGCCGTTTCTCACTCCCTCTCAGTCTTGATGACCACCTTCTCACAAGACGCTGACGCCGAAAAAAGGCGATCTCGTTGGGCCCCACCTCTATTAGCCCCATTATTCTGCCTGCATGTTCTGTAGAACCACTATGTACTCTAGAGCACACCAACGCCTTGGCAATTTCTTATTAAAGGGGTGATTATAGTCAACATTCTGTCAACATTACCTTACGAATACTGCATGGAGCCGGGTCTATAGATGATCCGAATGGCTTCGGGTCACGTAATTCACTAGTGAGCTGCGCATCCTACCCAGCCCATTAATTTTAAATGCATTTATCTTGACCAAAACGCCATTTAATTCAATAAGCTGAAGACGAGTACTATTAAGACATGCAGTCAATTTATGACCTGAATTCCACATATACTGCACTTCGGTACGGCCCTCGTACGTGGCTGTAAAGGTGCGGGAGCCGGTCATGCCTCGCGGGACGCTTGTGCTAAAATTGCCTGCTCTAGCTGCATTGCTAAGGTAGAGGCCTCTAAAACTGATGGACCTTTTTCGCTTCTTCATCTCGTTTTTAGCGCGTAAATCGCTTACTTCTTTCTCGAGAGTAGCTGCCGACTGCATTGTGATTTAATAGGCTTTTAAAACCCGATTTATCGCCTAATTAAGTGGACTCGGAGGGCTTTTTAAGCGCTGCTTTAGTAAGACTTTTATCGAAGAAGCTTGTTTTTATAATTACACGTAATTCGAAGGCGTTTTTAGCTCCTACTTATTACCCCGGCTTAAGGGCGGTGTCGGCGTACGGAGGTAAATATCGAGCTTCGAGATCACTCGATCGAAATTTTCTTAATAGTCTCCGATTTAAATGCCTTAATTCGTGCGGGCGGGTTGGTCTTAAGGAAATCAAGTTTTTCGATATAATTAATTCGGAGCCGTATTTTGCTTTCGATAAGCCGACCGTACGAGCGCTCTAACACCGCAAAATAGCCGATATCTAGAGGCTATCAATGGTAAGACGAATACGGAGGTGTATAAATTAGAATAATATCTTTTTTCTCGCTAATTTCGTCGAATTTCGGGGTTAAGAGTTTATAGAGACAATCCATTTTTAAAGTTTCCTCTTCAATTTCAGTGAATGTCAAATTATTTGGGCGGGAAAATGCGCAGTTTTAAACCCCATTAAGGCGCGTACGGAGTGTCGATTCCGGCACGTAAAAACAGCGCGCTGCTCCACGTAAAGAGGTATATTCTTGCTTCTAAATAGCCTGTATGGCTAATAAAATCTACCTTCCTGCTCCGTACGTTTTTGAGATGATTGAATACGAATTAGTGGCATAGTGGGTGGTTGAAGAAGAGAGGTTTAATAAACTGACGCGTTTTAGGTGGGGTGCGCAGCTCACTAGTTGAATTACGTCCACCTTCTTTGTCATTTAAACAAATATAGTTCATTTGTACATGCAGTCTAATTCATGATGCGGGCTTCGCTTACTAACCCTTGAGCGGTGATGTCGTCCAGCGCTACCCGCAGATCACCTCGTTCTGGGTGTTCCGCTTTTCCACTTTTCAACCCCCCAAAATGGCGGAATCCCAAGAAAATGCCCAGGAGTGGAATCTCCATGTGAACTATGTATCCGTTAAAGTTTCAGAGACGTAGATGAGTGGGAGAGAGCTCCAACATTGCGGGACAGCTACGCTGGAGAGACCACGTGCAACAGGCTGTCAGACGCGCAGCCAGAGCCACCATCGCATTAGAGGGTCTACGGCACCTACGACCGAACCACAAGCGGCAGCTCTACAAGGCATGTGTCACGTCGGTGGTGGACTACGCGTCGACGGTCCGGCATGGCCCACTTAGGGACAAGTCTCACTTGCGACACCTGAAGCCAGTCTAGAGGACCGCACTAGTTCGTATCATGTCTGTATTTAGGACAGTAGCTACCACAACCTTAGAAGTGGAAGCACATATCCTCTCTATACACTTCCGTCTCTGATATCGGGCGCAGAACACCATCGGAAGTCTCCACATTCTACCTCGTGATCACCCGATTTGGAGCGCATTATCGCGAGTCTAGAAACGTAGCAACCATGTCGAATCATACGCTTGTTTCCCACTAGCGGAAGCTCTGAAGACCATGAAGTTAGAAAGACTAGGCGAACCGGAGACTTTTGACCCACAACCGCTGCCGCCGTAGCGAGCCGAGGCGTTCGCGGACATTTGAGGTCGAGCCAGATTGAAACGGCAAGAGAACGGACCAAGACCATACGGTCCATATCCGACATCGTGGTCTACTCTGATGCTTCGGGACGTGAATGCCACTTAGGCGCCGCCGTCGTAGCACTCGACCACAGCAGGTCCACGTGGGACCGATGGACCGGTGGTCAGTTATCGTAGCAGAGCTGATAGGCATTTTCTATGCTGTCAGTACAGTGCTCAAGATCAGCCACCAGTGGCGGAGGACTGATTACAGCTCCTGCCCGGATGTTCGAGGGTGTTCTATCTCGCTGTTTGCCTCCTCCCTCAAGCATAGTTACGCCTCATCACGAACAACCTCGAGCGAGGATAGCGCAAAAAAAAACCGATTCTTCTTCCGGCGCAGAAGATGCAACAGCGCATTCTCGAGGAAAGGATCAGGCTGGTCCGTGAAAGAAGATCACCTACTGGTGAAGCTTAAGCAAGAGGAAAAACTTGCTTGGTCGGAAGCGATTACGCGGTTTGATCAAATCTTTTCGGACAGAAGTCTAGGCTCCATCTAGACGCATTGAGGTGCAAAGCTCCGCAAACGACGGTCATCCGTAGCAAAAAGCTCATAAGGAATGTCATTTACCTGTGGAAGCCCATTGGGGGAATGCGTTTTTTCTACCTTCCAATTTAGCCATATCCATTCGAAACTAAACGGGGTTCAGTAGTCTCGAGGTCGCAACTGAGCTCATGCAAATTGCTGCAGTGGATTTACTGCATGAATCCCAATGGTGTCTTCACCTGCATGAAGAACTAAATCATAACAAAACAAGACCCATGAGTTATTTTATGTCGGAACAACTGATTTTTTGGCCCAAACTTGCAATTCATGAGTACCAACTGAAATTCCGGCCACTTTGCAGGCTACTATTTTGACAATGACATGCTGACACTTCTTCAGTGCAGTTATACATTACACTTCAAGTTTCGTCGGATATCCATTTACACTGGGCCTCCAACTCCTCGACCGAAGAATTTTCGAATTGTGTTGGCTTTAGCAAGGGGTTCTTCTCAGAGTTTGCACTCTTCTTTATAAATCTTCAATGGTATAGTTGTCGATATTACTGGCGGCTGGAATGGGGATAAAAGTGCCCGAATTGTTGTCCTGGTGGAAATGTAATGTTCGTGCTTTAGTAGCGTTGTTATTCTTCCTTTGAAGATTAAAACCACCAGATTCAAGATGATTTCGTTTCTCTATAACGTCCGCCATTTCGATCGCAAAAAAATATTCGATGTGGTGAGTACTTCGGCAGTAAGCGATCCCCGTTGTGGCCATGTTTCGTACCTGCTGAAGTGGTGCTTTTCGCTTTCACCCAACGGCTGCAATATATTGTAAGGGTTGTTTAGTCATAGGTGGTGGGCGACCTCACTTCGGGCTTCGCCCAATGAAACCCTTGTGACGCGCTTGGGCCTTAACTACAGATTAGTCTCCGTCATAAGTTTTTACGGTGAGGATTTCCAGAATTATTGTGCTCTTCCGAGAATATAAACTGATTTTCATTAGGCGGAAGGTGCCGCTCATCAACATGCCAAGAACGCGGAGTGGCTCTTGGGGCTCGTATTCTTCTGTCAAGCAACGTATGAGATGATGATACTGCGCAGATCAATTCAGCCCCTCTAAGCGAGAACTGCGAAAGGGTCTGTTCGCCAGTGGCCTCGTGGCTACTGGTCAAACGCACTAATGCGTATTTAAGGAATGGCTGAACTCGCTGTCATTAACAAGCACCCCGAGAATACTGCATTTAACGTCCTGAACGATACGCTCATCCTGAGCGCATGGAGAGTTGAGGATCATCAATGCTCGGCTCAGGCCCTCCGACTTTCTGTCTTCAGAAGTCCTCTTTGAAGGGGCAACGTCTCCCGAACATTTTCTAGCGCTGTCCCCTACTGCATCGCAAATATGACCCGTCTCACGACCATTTTCACAGCGCTATACGCACTCTACTCTCTCCCATTGATCTCCGCCTGGACCTTTGTCTGGAGAAACGCCAGCGACAACCCCATCGTCGAAAAAGGAACCAGCGCACAGCCCTGCAAGGCAATCGATCATGGAAAAGGCAAAAATTTCAAATTCGACGCCGAAGACAGTCTTGTTCGCATCTACATGTATGGGTCACCCAATTGTACAGACGATATCATCGAGAGAACCGAGGATTATCTCACGAAGAACTCCAATGTTCCGCTTAGGGGGTTCGCGGTTATTGATCTCAGAGGGGCGAATACGAGCACTGGTGGTGAACTCACGCCGTTCCCTGGAGCTGACTGGTTCAAGTCATCCCCCAATAGCCCCATCGTGACTTCAATGGGAAAGAGACTAATGGCGGAAGACTGTGGGAAGTACCGCGAGGGACCGGGGCCGCAGTGGTCCGAGGTGGACCGGGAATCCTACCAGTGTTGGCAAAAGAAACTTGGGTATACGGGTTCGAATGCCGATGGGTGGCCGGGGAAGACTACTTGGGATCAACTCAAGGTGCCTCTGGCGGACAAGAACGACGGAGGTTCTTTTACAACCACGGATACGCCGTCTAGTACGAGTACCGGTACAGGAACACCGACGAGTACGTCTATTCCAGATACAGATACCTCCTCGGTGCCGTCACTCGGAGGAGGGGAAATTGCTGGGATTGTTGTAGGCTCTGTGGTCGGGTTGGGACTTATTGGGTCCATAATTTATCTCTCGCGGCGGATAGGCCGGCGCAGTGCTCCGGCGTCTAGGGAGAAAAAGCCAGAGCGAGAGCCAGAGGGCGGTGGTAGTGAAGGTGGTGGTGGTGGTGGTGGTGGTGGTAAAGACGATGATGACGGTGGTGCTGTGGTAGTAGGAGAAACAAGAAAGTCGTCGTTGGAGAAGTTGCCTGCGGAGGCTGAGGCGATCCTTGCAAAGAATCAAAATAAGCATGTTTCTGAGCTTCCGGGCGGCACAGCGGCGGTGGAGTTAAGTGATAGTCGGAGGGTCTTTGAGTTGGGAGACAGCCGGACATAGGATGAAATGGAGTAGTAGTCGGCTTTTTAGTACACGGATATCATCACGAATAATCGTTTTGTTTACAATGGAGCTTCACAGCATCCGGTGGACTCGACGGAACGAACAGACTTCTTGCCTGAACGACGATAGAAACTGCGCCCTAACTCCTAAATGCCGAGTTTATATACATCTTGTAAGGCAAGGAATTTAGGATTTAATATACTCCCTTAGGTTTTCCGCCTTGGGAGGTATGTTTGCAACAGGGGACTGTTAGGCAAATTTTTAACAAATTGGTAGACCTGTAGAGAGTATCTTGATATCAACAAGCCTTAAAACTCCTTCAACGGCCCCTTCTGTAACCCTTACAATCTGACCGACCTCTCGCAAGCCATGGTCTGCAGCTAGGGGTTGGTTCGAATACAGATATTGGCGAAATCCAACTATATTCGATATCCATATTCGAATCTGAAAATGACACCAAATAAATATTCGATATCCGTATCCGCCTTCCCAGGTCACAGCGAATATTATTCGATGCCGATTTTGGCGATATTCGTATCTGCGGCGGATATCCGACTTTAATCACTTGTATTTCCTAAATAGGAAATGATTACTTATTGCAACCTCTGCTTCTGTCTATGGCTAGTCCCGCAAGGGTTGTAGATGAATCAGCCGTCAAAGTCTATTTAGAGGTTATAGAAGTCTATACGGGAACTATCGTATATTAAATACGGAATCTAAGAATTCAGCAGGACAGCAAAACCTCCTTTGGGGCCCTGGTGAGCTTTCTTCCTCCTTATACAACCGCTTAATCTACTGCTACCCTATGCTCTAAGTTTGCTTTCCTCTATTACCGATTGTCGTAGAAACCCGCGGGATCCGTCAAGTCTACGTTGCATTGAACCAAGGTTACGATAGTGAGGCTTTACCTGAGGACCGGTTATCAAGTCCGAACCCTGGACTGCCAACTCTACCAGATGTTGATATCTTCCTTGATGTCCCTGACCTCGACACCAACCCTTGCGAATCTGCATCACAGCCTACAATCTCCCAATGAGTTCGACGGCTGCCGATTCCTCGATTTTTTCGTATGCCTCCGAAACTTTGCAAAAGCCGAAGAAGGAGGAATGGTTTTGGCCTTACTTCAATAGGTACCAGGTCCCCCGCGAGTGGTATACCACGAAACATAAAAGACGGAAGTTGATGGATACCGATATTTAATGCTCTATCGTGGACCAAGTTACTGGCAAGCAATGTGGCTGAATGACAACAGATCCAAAGAGGCAGGGTTCTACTAGTAACCTGACAATCCACCTCTCACGTAAGCATTCTATCTATTCTTCAAGTATCTCAATTCCTAATCAAGCTAAAAGCCAAAGGAAACTCTATATACATCGGTCCACCTAAGAACATAATTTTATCAGCATACCAATTGCTTAAAAAAGGGAAAGTACAAATAGTCAACCCCAGTAGCCCAGTGGAAATAGAATGGTAAACAAAATTGGGCCAAGGCAACGTCAATCTTTCAATACACATAATGGAAAACCACGTAGATACGTGCAAGCACAGAAATGTACAGTAAAGGAATGAATAAGAAATGTTTCATTACTTTCCGTTTCAAAAGCACTTCACTCCTGGTAGACCATTGAAATGATGGATCAAACCTATGCCTGCCTTCGTACTTCACGTTTTCATAGATAGACTTCCAGTACTGAGCGCGGATTGAGCTTGAAAAACGTGTGGCTCCACTGAGCCGTATTGCTGCCCCGTAATGGGAACTGCTTCCTGTAGAGCATCATTGTCCGCATTGAACCCGGGCTCTTCTGCTATAGGAGAGCTCGGTGTTTTCTCCGCCTCGGTTGAATACATGTCATAGATAATTTCGCGAAGACATGAGTGGGAAAGAATTAAAAAAAGAAAAAAAAAAAGGGATGCGGCAATAAGACAAACGCGTTGTTAAATAAGCTTAAGTGCTGTCACAACCCTTCTGTGACAATTGCCATTGATTGTGAATATTTCATCATACTACTAGTGTTAACGTGATACGCAAGCTAAGTCTAATTTCCTGAAATATACATTCCGAGCACCGTGAAGTCTAATCACTGGTCGTCAAGCTTCAACGTTCACGCTATATAACTAACCATAATTCAGATAGTTACAGGGGAGAGTTTGTCTAAATACTATCCATGAATTATGTCGGCCGAACCATGAACCGTAAAATCACCAGTAGGTCGTCACACAAGACCTCCAGTATATGACAAGTGACGGAGCACGACGTGGGTATTTCACATTTCTGAATCTGCTCATCAGGTAACTCACACTGCCCAAGTTAACGCTGTGTTCTCAAGCTTGCTGTCTACCGGGAAATTCGACTTCGTCAAGATCGATAACCACACTTGTCCATTGTTGCAGGATAAAAAGTTTTGATCCAACGAGCTTAGCGAGATCGCGCATAGTAATTCCTTCAATTTCTGGGAGAATTAAAGCTGGACACCTATTGGAAGAGCCTTGGCCGAATAGAGTTGGAATCACGGTCCCTTGAAGTTGTTCTAGGTTCTTGTAGGCATTTATCTCATCCGGGGAAACTTCACCAGGGAACTACTTCCGCGCCCAAACAGGGCGACTAAGTCTAATTAGCGACATCACAACGAAAAGAGGAAAAGAACTTACGCGCACTGATAGATATGATAGCGAGGATTCTTTAGCTCGGTCCTTAGCTTAGCAACCTAAACAATAACCTCATTATAAGATCAAGGGTGCGAGCACCAAACTTAGTAAGCAACCACATAGGGCACATTATTACCTGCGGTCTCTCGTTTATAAACTGCTTTATTTTAATTTTAATTTTATCCATTTCAAGAGCTTTCTTAACATTTTTAACAGATGTTTTACTCACCAGGCTGTGCCTCTGATTATTACAGGGAATGAAGGGGCGTCAGCAATGCGAACACAACGGGTCGGAATGCTAGGCAAAAACGCGATTCTCGCGCTGTAGGTGAAAGCCAATACCCCTTCGGCCTCAACTTGATCTCTGATTAATCCATGCACAGCACGTCTCCCTCTCAAGCGGATAATTTCCAACAGCATGCGTCTCCTCGCCCCCTGGTTCAGTAGCTTGGCAGTCCTGCCACTGGCTCGGGCTTCCTTGCCTATGCTTTATGGAACCGAAGTATGGTCGAGCCCCTACAGCAACAATAAACCCAGCGTGAAAGTTGAGACGCTCTTTCAGTTCCCGGAGAATGGTTCATGGGTCGACAACCTCGTCCTGCGATCAGATGGAAACCTTCTGTTGACGCGTCTGGATGTTCCGGAAGTTTGGTCGGTCAACACAACTAGTGGAAACGCGACTCTTGCCTACTCATTCCCCAATGTCACTAGCTGCTTTGGAATCAGCGAAATCGCGGACGATGTATTTGCGGTGGTAGTAGGCAATTTCTCGACAAAGACTTACAAGCCCGATGCTGGTTCTTTCTCCGTCCAGAAATTAGATTTCAACAAAACCAGCAAGAGAAGGGGCAAACGGGCCTCAAAGCTCCCGGCTGCTTCCCGGATTGTGGCACTACCGGAAGCCCAGGCTTTGAATGGAATGACTACTTTCTCAAAAGACGCAGATTTGGTTCTCATTGCGGACAGCCCCAAGGGCGTGGTATGGAAAGTCAACACCAAAACGGGTGACTATGCTGTTGCACTGAACGATACTACCATGCTGCCAGCAAAGGGCCAGGCACTTCCCTTGGGAATTAACGGCTTGAAAGCGATTGAGGACTATGTGTACTATTCCAGCACAACACGCATGGAGTTTTGTCGCGTCAAGGTGGACAAGGATGTCAAGCCGATCGGAGACTACGAGGTCATCGCTAGCGGGTTTTTGCCCGATAACATGGACGTCACAGAAGATGGCTTTGCGTATATCGCCACGGATCCTCAGAACTCCGTTGTCCGCATCACTCCTTCAGGACAAATCTCGCTCGTCGCTGGTGGACAATTGTCCACAGAGATGCCAGGTCCAACGTCAGCCCGGCTGAGCGAGGATCGCAAGTCTCTCTATGTTGGAACTAGTGGTGGTCAGGTTGCGCCAGTTTTAGGCACTTTCATGGAGCCAGGCAAGGTGGTCAAGATCACTCTAGAATAATGAATGGATACCTTGAGAATCCGGGGATAATGAAATATGTGTCTAAAATGGCCACGTAATTAATTAGGTGGTGTGGCTGTCTTGAATTATATCCTTGTCCGATCGTGTTGAATCAGTAGTTAGTTTTAGTTTGGCAATCTCCATGTGAAGAGCATTGGATTTCGCAATACTATGACTTTAGCCACTATGATATCTATATTTGCCTACCATCGCTACTACCTTGTCAAGGTTATATTTGTGTCCGCATACAGAAGACAGTCAATTGAGGGTTGGATATGTGCCTCTTACTTGTTCTCAATACCGTTCAAGCCCTTTTGCTCCCCTGTTTCTATCCCTTTTCGAATACATGTTGAGTACCATCTTGCCCATCCATGCAATGAATGGTTCATGGGCAACCAAAGTAAAAATATACTTCCGAATATCGACGGTACAGGAATAATGGGTGAGAGGTAAATGAAGCAAGAAATTAAACTTGACAGAGTTCCATAGACACACCACAATTTTTCATCCTCTATGTCAACAACCATCCGACTTTTCTTTTTCCCCATTAACGTTTTAAGTTTCTGGATTAGCTACGTGTTGACACCTGAGGAAAGTTGATCAGGTAAGCGGGGCCTTACTCATATGACGCCATCACAACAGCTTCCTGGAACAGAACGTGGCAGCCTGACATGTCGAGTTTGAATTGACACTTACTTATTTCTCACGCACCTTCATCTATAAGCAAAGATGCCTGGGCATTTTGGTCAGAAAGTCCTCAAGACCCTTGGTATCGACCCAAGCAGCCACCATCAGAGCTCCGCGGACGTTCAACTTCCAGGCAGACCAGCAGTGAACAACGATGAACGTGGATTGTCTTCACCCCCAAACAATGGCACATATCCGCGCCTATGTAGGCTTTCAGACGGGTCTATCCTCTCCTCCTTCACTCGGTTCCCCGACGGACAACGCTCACTGCGTGTCGCCAAAAGTACCGACAACGGTCGCACGTTCGAGGACTTCGCCGAAGTTACCCGCGCTGCAGGCGACGTGGATAACATGTTTTTGTGCGAGGTGGTCCCTGGGACAGTGCTAGCAGCCTTCCGCAACCATGACGTGGGCCCAAATGGTCCCACCCATTTCCGTATCACTGTCTGCCGGTCCACAGATGGTGGCCGAGTTTGGCAATTTGCCTCCCAAGCCGCAGAGAAACGGCCCCCGATGGGTATCTGGGAGCCGTTCATGCGACTAGGTCGCCAGGGTGAGGTACAGCTTTACTTCTCCCAGGAGTTCGCCCACAACAATCAATGTACCATGCTTGTCGTTTCCCGGGATCACGGAAGTTCTTGGACTCAACCGATCTGTCTTCATGGTGATCAGGATCCGCTTCGTGATGGAATGAGTGGAATTGCGCGAACCTTTGACAACGGCCGCGAAGCTCTTCTCATGGTCTTTGAAACGACTCGATACGGTCCATTTAATGTTGAAGCCCTTCTCTCATATGATGACGGTGCCACCTGGGGTTGGCGCCATGAAGTTTACCGCCCAAGGCAGGGCCATAATGCTGGCTCGCCGCAGATTGCATCGTTCGCTGACGGGTCACTGGCTGTGGTATTCATGACCGACGAAGACTCCAACCACGTAGACTGGGTGAAGAATGCTTCTATCAAGGTTGTTTTTGCTGGTCCGCCCCGAGAAGGACGGGTTCAATGGAGTCAAGCTTCCCTTGTTTCGCCGGCCTCCAGTTTCTGGCCTGGAATTATGGCTCTCGATCACCATACTGTGTTGGTGACTTATGATCGAGGGGGACCTCTTGCCAAGACGGTCACCTGGCACCCCTGGTAAGCGTATGCTTTGAGCAGTCCTGCTTTGACCTGAAGTGTTAGAATATGTGCTTCTTCGTTCATTTATCAGTGCAATTGGAAGCGAAGCCTCGCTTGACGACGCCATTCTGCAAGTTTAAATTAGACCCAGGTACCCAATACACGAAAAGGTCGCGCATCCAACGAATCTCTGACTATCACAGTTCTCGTCTAGGATGCTTATGACGCATCCTCTTGTACAGCAAATTGTTAACTCCGTATATCAGATGAGCCTACTTAAGCAATAGCTAGCAGCTTAACATCTGATATCAACATGTCTAGAGTCCAACGTATGATTCGGTCTCTACGTAGGAGCCAGTGGTTCGTTGTGCTGCCTTCTAGGAAATCTGAGAGTTAATTCGACTTAATTTTTCCCTACCTTCTTTCCAATGTTCTTTCTCAAGTGTCAAATGGGGCAATTGCCATGGCACCAATTCTCCGCGGGCCTGTATTATCAGCGGCCTCAGCAACGCAGCAGCCCACAATGCCCCAGCCGCCAAACCCCAATGGGCACCAATGTCGCGGCTGGCAGTAGCAACCAGCGAAAAGGTTTGCCTGTTGGTAACCTTCGTCGTCTGAAAGATCTCCGGCAAGCTATGGAGATTGAAATCGTGGTTGTTAAGGAGGCAGGCATGAAGTGACGGATCTCATGGATATCCTGCTATTCCAGGGATAGACTGCATATGTGACTGAGGCTACAGTATGTCTTCCTGCGCTCCACTGCACATTTGCAGGCCCCGTACTGAACAATAACCCACAGTGGAAACCCTGGGTTTTGAACAATGCTATCGTTGCTGGAAACAGCCGCGCGTATTGAAATCATGAGTAAGCATGTCTGCGACAACTGCTACCCAATACCTATTTCACAGTCCTCGAGGAATCGTCGTCGGCTGAGCCAGCACAAATTCCCGTGTCACGGAAAACGCAGGCGAGATTCAACCATATCCGCAAAGCCATCTACTAGGCTCTAGTTAAAATTTACGCTGACGACGACTTACGACACCTAGAGTGATATCCTCAGACAGAAAGAAGACACCTCGGCATTTGCAGGAAGGCTTTCCTTTAGCGACAGACTTCAGTAGTGGATATGCGGTGGATATTGAGGCATTGGTATGACTGCAGCCTTTCGGATAGCGGATAGCGACCATGATGAATTTAGGCGAAGATGTTTCCAATAAGCTTCTGTCTCTACTTACCGAGAATCCAATGAAAAAGTTGAAGCACTCCTTGATTGCATGTGTAATGTGATGCAGAAAGGACAAGCATTGCGCATATTGCTCCATATTAGATGAAGGCAGATGAGGGAGTGCGATAAAACCATTTATTGATATCTTCATACTACATGCTACTTTGACCACTCTGAGCCTCTTACAGATGATATTGACGTGGACTTTCAACCGAGATCCCCAACCTCTCCCACATGGCTTCCACATTCATATCCTCTTGACCACTGGGGAACGAAGTCAGCTTTGGTTGGTCAACAGAATAAGGATAAACTTACTCATCCTTCGGATTGATCCACGGCTCTGTCTGGCCCTCAGCAAGATTGGGATTACGGAAAATAACATTATGTTTCTGCAAACTTTCATCAGCAAAAGGGCTCAAAGCCACTTGTTAAACATCGACATACCATGCCTAGCGTCAAATGAATAGCACCCGGTCCCTTGACAAATGTTTCGTCCGGAGACCGACCTTCGATCATGGCCTGGATATTCTTCGCAACAACCGCTGCCTGTGCCGATCCTGGCCGGGCCGCCTTTTGAGCTCCGGTGTCTGCAATATCTCCGACAGCAAATAGATTCGAGTACTTCTCGTCCAAGAATTGCATCGTCGGCCTGATCCGGATGAACCCATTTTGGGGGTTGACGATTGATTCCGCATCCGAAGAGGAAGGACTCAGGTCCGATACCAGTTGGTTGTTGGGGGTTTGCCCGGTGGCCAAGATCACGAATTGAGTCGACTCGGTAGTGCCATTTGTGAGCTGCACCTGGAAAGAGTTCCCGTCGTTCGAGAAACCCCCTGGCGGGAGAGTGACACGTGAACCAGTAATGAGTTTGATGCCCAGTTCGTCAAATCGTCGTTTGATGAGATCGTGTAGTTGCGGGTGGAAGTTCGGCATCACGCGTGGCCGTGACTGCACTACCGTGACCTCCTTCTCTGGGTAATATTCTTTGAGATCGGCTGCCATCTGAACACCGACAGCGCCCCCACCGACAATCAGAATTGACTGTGCTGCCTTGACGCCGGCTTGGTGTTTCTGCAGGTACTCGACAGAAGAAATCTTGTCGTCATGCTCCATCGCCGCAGGCTTCGAGAGGCGCGTACCTGTAGCGAGAACAACATAGTCAAACGGAATTTGTTTCGAGCCCTGCCATTCACGGTCAAGCTCTACGTGGGTTGGCTTGACAGATAGCACTCGAGCTTGGACAACGCCATGAGAAGTCGGGTTTGGTGCACTTTTGAAAATCCCACTGTATGGAATAAAAGCTTTATGTTCTTGTCCTGGAACAATGGCGAAACGAGGCTACAGATGAAGTTAGAAGCGAATAACGCACGCGCTCAGGACTCACTTACAAACGTGAAAAGATGGTGGAAATGGCTATGAGTTTCGGTAAGAAGCACCTGCGCACACAATAAGTATTCCATCAACCGTAGCCGCTAGCTTTATCACAGCTTACTCGATGAGTTGAAGGGATGATACGGGCTAGTTCCTGGGCTGTTGTCTATTACGGCATTGGTTAGTGGATATTCTCATGAGGTGAAGAATCGACTCACCCGCCCAACGAACGATCCGCCCACAACAATGATGTTCTTTACTGGAGTCATTTTATTTGATGTACAGCGCAGTGAAGGAAGGGCCCGAGAGACCAGGGGTCTTTATAGGGAAATACCCCGGTATATCTAATCAGATTAACTCCGAGAGTTGCCACTTTGGGGGAAATGCCGATGGTCCGGAGTAGTTTACATCCGGGAAACGCCACATCGAAAGTTGCAATTGACATGCGTCGAAGGGACTGAACAGTCTCGAGGGTCAATCTTCAGCAGGTTTGACATATTGCAGATATGTACTCTAGGAGACTAGGAGAACTCGCGGGAGGATGGCGAAATGCCCAAGATCAGTTTGTATTCACTATGATGAGTGTGGTCATGAAAAACATCCGTTGATCGGACTAATCATGTTGCTCAAAATATAATATTATAATATAAAAGGGATTTCTCGTCCATCCCCAAACTTCCTACGAGTAGTGTTTGATGCTTGACCGCAAGTCTAGCATGATGATCGGGTTGTCAATTAGCCCAAGTGACCGCTGATTGACTAATAAGTGGCTAGTAAGCTTGTCGGTTAGAAGGACTTTATGGCACCTGTGTTGCATTTAGTATCAGACCACTTGCTAGAAGTATTGTATTTTACTTCGTTTGCATTCGAATCCTGATGTGACGCATGGCAGTCGGATCACCTGAAGGAACTATGCAAGATAGCTGGATAGGGAAGGCGGTGAGACCAGGGGTCCGACATGATTTGACGGAGGGTAGATAGAATAGTTCCTAGCGTCCCTCCTGTTCTCTTTCTCTTCTTCTCTCTAGCTTAGTGTGTTCGATCAATAGACTCTCTTTGATGCAGATCTAGACAGTATACATGTGTCTGTCAATAGTGAGGGCACAGCGATTAAAGGAATCGGAAGGGTGGCAAATTTCAATGGTACCTTGAGGACTTCAAAACCGTATCCTCTATAACACCACACAGCCTAAATATCCCGTACAGTAATTTAATGTCAATACACGGGGAAATAGCGCAGTCTCTTAGGGGTAAAAGTCATTTGACAATAAAGATACTAGAGACGCTTACTTTGGACCAAAAAGGTTCGAAGTAGTCACCCTGACTTATCTCTGTCCGAAGCCCGAGGCCAACTTGCACCATAGATGGGCGGAATACATAAGAAGCCATAACCACAGCTTTTTGAGAATAAGATTTACAGACGTCCCGAAATATTATGTACACAAGTATGGACTCACGAGTCGTTTTGGTCACTGGCGCCAATGCTGGCATAGGCTTCCGGTTTGTGAGAGCTCTCTACAGCTCTGATCAAGCCTACAATATTATCGTTGGTGGGCGATCGCATGCCAAGGCACAAGGCGCCACTCAGTCTTGTGGAAAATGAGTTCCCGTCGTCTTCGAACAAACTCTTTCCACTTTTGGTGCACATCGAGTACGACAACTAAATCCAGGGCGCCTTTAATGAAATGTTGACGAAATTTGGCAAGCTAGATGCTCTGATAAACAACGCTGGTGCGTGAAAAGGCATTGATTTGCAAATGGTATATAATCTTAAAACTCGTAGGCGTACAGCTCGATCCACAGCTTGCAGCGGGTGAACTGTCTCAGCGTGAGATGTGGAACCAGTTGTGGAATATCAACACCGTCGGGACGCAAATTGTGACATCTACATTTATACGGCTCCTGCTTCAGAGCCCTGATCCGCGCCTCCTCTTCATTACGTCCGGCACATCTACACTTGCGGGAACCGAGAACCTCACTCTCCCCGTCAATTGCTATCCCCCAGGGGGTGGCCTTAGGCTGAATTTAGTATTACAGCCTAGCGCAGCGCGAAATGTGGCCTGAATATGCTCATGTAGGAATGGTGTCGCAAGCTAAAGGAAGATGGTGTGAAAGTATGGTGCATCTCTCCTGGTTTTCTGGCCACTGGCCTAGGTAGGAATCCAGAAGTTCTAAAAAGAATGGGAACCGATGATCCATCGATAGTAGGCCCCTTTATCAGAGCCGTTTTGGAGCGTGAAAGGGATGATGATGTGGGTAAGTTTATTACGAAGGACGGCGTTCAGCCTTGGTAACCCTGATTCGGGGGCCGTTGAATTGAACTGCTGCGACCCGTGAACTTATACGAACTCAACCATGATACCGTTTCCAAGTGAAACTTTGGTTCTCGATCGGTCATTCTAGTGCTCCATGATTTTTGCATGGCTCTTTTTATTGGCTCCCAATGGAAATCGTGCAAGTCAGTATTGTGAGCACCCCGGAATGAAGGTCCTTTCTCTTTTATTTCCGATAGCCAACAGACAGTAGATACACTGAGACCATCAGTAATGCCTGCGGAGCCCTCCATTAGGGGCACCCTAAGTTTCCTGTACTGTAAAGGTAGTATTATGAGGGGTGTGTTCATGTAAGGTAACACAGCCCTGTTCCTCGTACGGGCAAATGAACTACAATGAAAAGTGATCCATACATCCATATCGAGACTAGCAACAGACAAGTCCTACAGGTAAAAGAGACCAGCATTATGCGTAAGCAAAGCCATGAACTTGCTCGACTCCCTCTGCCCCATGTAGCCACGCCACACGATCCTTTACAAACTGTTCGATTCGAGGCTTCAATTTAGTTTCGTGTAGACTGAAATCATCCACAGTTCCAATGCGCAGGATACTCATTCCAGGAAAACCCGTGCCAACACGGTACATGAGCGAGCCGCATGTAGAGCAGAAGTGATTGGTCATAGTGTTTCCCGTGCCTATAGTCTTGGACTGGCTATAAGTTGATAGATTCTCCCAGCCACGCTCGTGGTTCAGATATGTATCGTCCACTGTGAAATTTGAGGCGAACATGGACGCGGTTATTTTGCGGCAATCCGTACAATTGCAGATGAAAGTGTCGACTAGACCTGGACCCTGGGTCGGCTAGAAACAGTAGTTATGTTAGAGGCTGACAGTGGATAACAGGAATGGTATGTACATACAAAACTCAACTGTACAGCACCACAGAAGCATGTAGCCGTCGCTCTGTCCTCCTCGGACCAGCCGTCGTGGCTGGCTCCAGCCAAAGGAAAATAGGGCTTCCCCTTCTCGGCATCCGTTTCAACAGCTTTTTTCCCCTCTTTCGTGGATTGAGTGGCATTCTGCTTTTCAATGGACGGCTCCGCGGACGCCAGGTCAAGCCTAATCGTCGAATTCATTGTGAAGTAGGTTCAATATTGGGGGATATCTTTTGAATCTGGCAGTGGTCTCAGATAATTACAATTTTGGGCTTTTAAAGTCGTTGATAAGTGTTCTTACTCGGAGATTGCTCTTTTATTTATATTAATCTCGGAAAGGACAAAAGGATGTACTGCAATTAGAGACAAGCAGGGCCGGAGCTGACGGAGTCAAAAGTATTTATAAGCCGTACAAGTAATGGAATTGACAAAATCCCCGACTCCGATTCAAGGATGCAAGGCTGAAAATTGCCGAAGTCGCGGAGTTGTGGCGGAGTCGCGGAGCGGAGGGAGTTAAGATAATTGTAAGCAGTCCGTACTAGCAATGGAAGTGATAGGAACCCCGGCTTCGATTCAAGGTTGCAAAGCTGAAGACAGCCGGAACCGCGGGGTTTTGGCGGAGTTGCGGAGCAGAGGGATTTCCACCTGATGATGGTAACTAAAGGCTCCGCTACTCCGCAAGCATGATTTTCTCTCCGTCTCGGGGTATTTGTAACTCTCGGAGACATTCCGGTTGTTTCCTGGCAATTGGCCCGGTGAGCATCTTAAAATGGTAGCGCTGCGCAAGTGTTGGAGCACCTCGAAACATACTGAGCCTTACATTACTCTGACAGTCCAGGTTCTGGAGTTCGATCCTAGTTGCAACTATCACACATCCCTTCGTTGAGAGGCTAGTGAGCTTCTGACCAAAGACGTCCAACAAAAGACATGAGTCCGCACGTTGATCCGAATATGCGCCATCTGAATCCCAGCTCTTCAAGCCATTAAAAGTCGGCAATGTTATGCTACAACACCGCATTGTCTTTCCTCCCTTGACTCGGCTTCGGAATGACGATAATCATGTGCCTATTCCTCTGATGGAGAAATATTACGCTGATCGTGCCTCTGTTCCTGGAACTCTTGTCATTTCAGAAGCAACTGGTATTTCCCATGTTGAGGAAGGCGAGCCCAACAACCCAGGCTTTGTCAGTGAAGCTCAAGTTATCGCCTGGCGCAAGATCATCGATGCAGTCCACGCCAATGGATCTTTCTATTTTCAGCAAATTTGGGGTATGGGACGAGCATCTGATCCTCATCATCTCGCTGAGCGGGACCTCCCATATAGGTCTAGCAGTGCGGTGCCTATGAAGGGTGTCGATGTTATTCCCGGTGCTATGAGTGAGGCTGAGATTCTGGAGACCATTCGAAACTTTGCTGAGACTGCTAAGCGTGTCATTGCAGCTGGTGCAGATGGTGTTGAGATTCACTCTGCCCACGGTTACCTGCTCGACCAATTCCTCACGCCCAGTGTCAACCAGCGCACGGATAAGTGGGGTGGCTCCATTGAGAACAGATCTAGGCTGACGCTTGAAGTTGTCAAAGCTGTTGTTAAGACTATCGGTGCTGAGAAGGTGGCGGTCCGGTTCTCCCCTTATGCCGGATTCCAAGGTTCCGAGAAGACGGATTTCGTCGAGCTGTACACATACCTCATCATGGAGCTCAAAAAGATGAACGTCAAATTCGCTTACCTGTCTCTGGTCGAGGCAACTGGAGATCCTGGTGCCTTGATTCGAGATGAGAAAGAGATCAACGTTGGCAAGACATTAGACTTCATCTTAGAAGCCTGGGACAATTACTCTCCTATCGTGGTGGCAGGTGGCTATCAGCCTGACTCCGCTGCATGGGCAGTAGAGGAGCACTACAAGAAATGGGACGTGATGATTGCCTTCGGGCGCCACTTCATTGCCAACCCGGATTTGGTTTTCAGGATTCAGCATGGCATTCCCCTCACCAAGTACAAACGTTTAACGTTCTACCTCAAAAAGCAGTGGGAGGGCTATAATGATTACCCATTCAGCCATGAATTTCTGAAGGCACATCCAAAGGCCATACATCCTATGACTGAGAAAGAGATAAAATGATACACCTGAGACAACTTTGTGTCTGAGGCTGAGGCCATTGTTTCTGATTTAGCATGCCATGTTAGACCTTTGCATTCTACAACTGGATGACAGCAGATGAAATTGCAGCACTTTTGAGAACTATTGTAGTAGTACAATCATCAAAGATACTTCCATCATATGAGGAAACAGGTACTGCTTCGCGATATCTTTTCCAAGGCGCTGACGAGCCCTAGAACATGTGCCAAAGAAATTATTTAGTAAATGTTGATGTGGTAAATCAACGTTTCATGATCGTACTTTTCTTGCCAATCGCCCACATGATAGATACGTCAATATGCATGATTTCGTGTCTGAGAGCCATTTCTTGTCTCTAAATTGATCACTCGATCAAGTTGCTGTACAGCCCAAGTTCGATTGAGATCGTTGATTTCAAACACTCATTGGTTCAACTACGATCAGATAATACTTGCTCAAGATCAGACCTACAGTACCAGGTGTAGAAGCAGATGCTGAGTTGCCGCTCGAACGTAAGAAAGCCTACCTCCTAGAGCGAGTGGCAAGACTAAAAATTATTCTACCACAAAGGCATTCAAGTGGTTAAGAGCTTTGTAAAAGAAATGAAGATATTCTGATTGGTTCCCTCTAGTTCTGCGAATGGTCTTCCCTCTGTAAATATCCTACCAGTGACTACGAAGATATATTTCCAACCAACCTCCTGTAGATTGATATCCACTACTGCGATCAAAATGGCAGCCACTGCCTTTTTTATGATGCGTGTGCGCGCTGATCTCAAACACTTAACTATATTCTGCCGCTAAGTGTTTGCTGTCATTTGTACCTGGAAATCTTTATACTACTTTCTTGATTCTACTGTTCTGCGACTGCTTGCAGAATCGCACCATGGTTGAGTCAAGCAACTTATGGTGTTTGTGCTTGAGGTTGCTAGTGATAGAGCCCTGAAGCTGCCGAGCAGAACATATTGTTTGAAAATGAAGGATGGTGAGACAATCTTGCAAACCGATACTAGCATTGGTTAATGTAGTAAGCATGCTTCTCGGCCTATTTGGACCTCGGCCCTCTTTACGGCCACCATGCTGAGCAACAAAAGACCATCCGTACGTTTCAGGACGGCAAGCTCAAGCCAGATGCATTTGCAGAACCTCGACTTTTGGGACAGCTGCCAGGAGTTTGTGCTCTCATCGTGTCCTTCAATCGATTTCCACAACTGTGTGGTCCAGCAACTGGCGTTGATAAATGAAGCTGGAAGATTTAGTGTTTCGGTGACCGTTAATCCTCAGAATAAAGCGGCGCATGAGAAGGTCTTGGCAAAACGTGATAACCATCTGGTTACGTGATCAAAGAGTTTCATTCCAATTTTCAAAAGAACATTCTGACGTTCTATTTAGCGTTATTTTTTAAAATACCGAACGGCGATTTTCTCCAATCCACACCAAACTTTGTAACTTCATGGTGTAGTGGTAGAACCCGTGACTGTAGCGTATTATTGGCCAAGGTGTCGCAAATGCACTAGGAAGCTTGCATGGAGTCTTCTCCTTCTAGGAAGGACAGCCATCCATCATCAATATGACTATAGGTTTTCCACCAGATTCTTCATTCATGATATAGCTTCAAGATCAGTACTTCAGTCGCTTCCTGAGACTACTCCCTATGCCTACGGTGGGCATGGGAGTGGTTGGTTGTCTTCTCTCCATTGATATCGACCCGTCTGCTATATCAGACTGCCATCGAGCCATCCCCATTTCAATAGGTAGCCGTCAACATTTCTCTAGCTAAAAAGAACCACCAGCTATTGGAACTTCAAGTCCGCGAAATACCTATTCAGCACTTGCGATCCTTGAAAAGCGTCGCCGTGTCCAAAGCAGTACCATTGACACTGGCCACGAACTCATGGGTCAGGTGCGAGCAGTTGTGGAAGGTCAGTCTGCTCCAGCCATAGATAGAATCCGTTGCGTAGCGAGCATAGTTCTGGAGAGGACGGACCAAGGGGTCGAGACCATCGTAATGACCCGCAGCACCGTTGGTGATATACCATGGCGCGCTGGGGTTGTTGAGCTCCATGGGGTCGACGTTAAAGTTTGCGATAGGCGCGTTGCGCTCGTAGACATGGGTGTGACCGGAGAGGACCAGGTCAACATTGTACTCGAGGAGGAGCGGTTCGAAAACCTCCCGGCACTCTTCGCAGATAGTGCTACTCCGGTTCGCGGCACTGACGTACCAGGGTCGGTGACCAGCTGGAATGGGAATATCGTTAGTATTCATAGTAGCTTAAAAGGAGGAAATATCACGAGCAAGTCATAGGAGAAGCGCATAGAAAACATACCAACCACGATCCAGGGCGTCTTCTTCCGGTCAACAGAAGCCAAGTCCTTTTTAAGCCAGTTCAGCTGGGCATCACGGACGGCGAAAGGGCCGCTCTTCTCAGCTTCAGGACCACCGGGCTCATCAGGGGCAATAAGCCCATGGCCAAGGTCGGTCTCAGTATCTAGAGTGACATAGTGCACCATGCCATGATCGAAGGAGTACCAGAAGTTTTCGAGACCACCAGATTGGGCACTGGGCATGCGGAAGTGGTTGCGGAAGCCCGTGAAGTTGGTCTGACCAGGCATGCAAATAGACACGTCGTAGGTGATGTTGTGCGCCTTATCAGTGGTACCACCATTGTCACCTGTTGGAAATCCGTCAGTTGCTGGAAGTGGAAAAAGGGGGTCGCGAACGGGATCCCATACAGTTAGCCTCGTGGTTACCGGGTCCAACCATGTACGGCTTACGAGCAGAGATCGCCGAAACTTCATCATAGTATTGGTTAAGAAGAGACTCGTAGACCTTGGCACCGTCTCCGATTGTGGTGTTAGGGAGGAAGCCCTGGATTTCCTCCTTCAACCAGTAGTCCGCGTAGGCAATGTCACCCGCTATATGGAAACCACATGAGCAGACTTATCCTATCACATCGCTCATTTATGAAAAACTTACGATGCCACAGGAAGTCGGTATCAGCGCCCTGTGCCTGCAAGGATTGCATAGTGTTGTTGTCATTGGGACCAAGAGGGTGGCCGGCTCCAGCGCCTACTGTTGTGGTCAAACCCCGAGGGCCCATGAGACCCATATCGATGGCAACAGCGATCGAGTAGGGAGTCTTGTCGCCTGCGTGGCGACTGGTCTTGAAGGTGTAGGGAACCGATGAGTTGCTATCATACGGCTGATAGTAGTAAAGGGTGTTGGGCTTCAAATCCGCGATAGAAACATGGTTGTTGTAGGTTGTGGACGTAGGGTAGGTAACGGAGACGTTGGAAGAAGCAACACGGTTCAGGTGTTCAGGGTCACGACCGTAACGGACAGTTGGGAGCGACAATTGCGAGTAGGTGTTCCAACTGACAACCATACCGGTTGATCCGGCATAAGCCAGTCTGAGTTGCATCGGGATGGTGCCATTTTGGCCTGATGCACTGACAAAGTCGGCGAAGAGAGTAGATGCTTTCAACGCAGCAGAAACGAGGGTCACGACGCGATCCATGGCGAACAGCAACGAGACAAAGGTGGTTCAATTATCGGTCCTCGTTGTTGAGTGAACCGGGGATGGACGGGGATCGTTGTCCCGAGATTGGAGAACGTCCCGTTTTATAGCCCATGTTGGGGTTTGACCTTGAAAATTAATCGTGAACTTTCATTATGGAAATCGCGGTAAAGTTGTCCAGAATGTCACTAGAACCTGTCAATTGGCTTAGCAATTTAGATAAACGTCCGTCTAGGTTGATTTGACACTGATGAACATGCAATCTACAGACGAATTGCAAGGCCGCCTTTACGCATTTTTATGACCGTATCAGCACGTGGACGCAATTGAAGTAATTATAGGATAATTCAGGGGATCCGTTAGAGGAGCAAGATTGGTCAAGCTTTGCCGAGAAGGGGCCCAAGCCCTCGGAGAAATATAGTGGAGATATCAAAGCCCGAGGGCCTTATTTTTTATTACCCTTTTATTACCCCGTCGTTTCCCTATATTTATAATTATATCTAATATAGTTAGATCTAGCTACCTTTTCCTACTAGGTTTTTAATAGGCTACGTACTCTCTATAACCTTACACGGGTGCGGACACCCGCATAGGATAGGGACATTATTATCACGGGACCCTTAGGACTCTTACAAAGATCTCTCGTAACCACAGAGGATCGATATCGTATAGGTGTCGACACGTCAGCGCTAGCTCACCGTAACGCTCTCCTCTATATTAAATAGTCTATTTAGCAGAACCCAGAGGTTCTCTAAGAATCAGTCTCTATATTCCTCCAATATACTACTTGCCTTCCAGGCATGTTCGTCTTACCTAGTTAATAGGTACGCACTTGGTCCAACAGTTATTTGAGGGCAGCAAAAGCCTCGACGAGGTAATCTAGATGATTGTTCCAACGGCATCTACCGCATGCACAAGTCTAGGCCAAGCGGTAAGTCTGTTTTATCCAGTCTCTCGGCTCGAACGACGAAATTTCCATTCATTTGCAAAGCTCTCAGGTTTCGGACAGATGAATGAAACAGTTCGCGCGACTCCTGGACTTTTATTTGTCTGAGAACAAAGACCATTGGGCAGAGATTCAAAAGATTGCCCACCACGATACCCCGGAGGCATTCGAGAAGCCGCGTGAGTACGCACTAGAAGGCTTTGCGCCTAGCCACACCCGCATTTGGGGTCCTTCGAGCCGTGAACATCGAGAACGCCACTGTCGTCGATGGGGAGAGGCAGATTCCGGTGAAAAAGGGCGATACTATTTTTGCCGACTTCGTCACCGCCAATGTAGACCCAAAAGCCTTCCCAGACCCGCTGGAGATCAAACTTGACCGCCCCGATAGCTCCTATATTCACCAAGGATATGTGGGGACACGTGTCTCGGTCGACTTATCGTCATGATTTCATGGTGCAATTGGGTGCCTTTGCCAGACTGAAGAACCTACGTCGCGCTCCAGGGCCCGCTGGACAACTGAAGGCTACAACTGTCAATGGGGCTTTCCCGGTATATATGAATGAGGACTGGTCGGAGTGGACGCCATTCCCTGCCAATATGAAGGTTCAGTTCGACGGATTTTAAGGGCCCTTAGCTCATGAGACGATATTTATTGTCGGAATTGAAGAAATGGGTTGATTAAGCGAAGCCCATTGAAAAGCACGATTTCTTATGTAACCACACTGCCATGCAAATTGCCTGTGTTTAGTTATCTTTACAATTCAGTTGTTTCCATCTAACTGGCTACCGTAGGGTACTCGAAATACGGTAGTCCTCGATTTCCAACATTATGTCAGAACGAGCAAAGAACCGCGTAGACTAGTAGGTATCCAGGACGAATAAGATCAAGAGGAACCAATTCTAGATGAAAAGATTGATTGATTGAAGAGAAGAACACTCCCTTGTTCAGTATATCGCCGTCGGGATGATAAGCAATGGATAGTGCAAGCAAAGAAACAATACACGCAGGTTTATCAACATTAAATATAAAACTTTTCTACTAAGTCTTATATTATTATTAGTTATTTACTCTAGTTTTACTCATCGATATATAATATTTATTAACAATAACCGTACTATTACTAACGTTAGTCTTCATTTTAATTCAACTAAGAAAGTTCTTATTTTAGCGACAAAAGATATTACTTCAGCCTTAATAATGCTAATCTCTATTTCTTCTAGAATAAATAATGATAATAGTTTTGGAATCAGAAGTGGCAAAACACCGAAGCATATAGCCGAAGAAGCCGAGTAGCCCCACAACCTTGCTTCTGTGTAGGAGGACAAAAAAGCACGACCCTCGCTCATCTGGCTTCTTAGGAATTTGCCCATCGAAACAGCCGATTACTCTATTACCTGCATACAGAACATGGAACCCGAAAGTCCCGATCGGCCGCGGACGCGTGCAAAGAAGGCGTGTCTGGCATGTAATTCCCGTCGGGTGCGGTGCAACGTGCTTGACATGCAGCCCTGCCAAAATTGCGTCTCATGGAACCTCTCCTGTGAAATTGGGGAATCACGGCGTGGAAAGTATGTATCAAAACATTTACTTGGGCGTCTGTGCTTATTTTGATTGGCAGATATCCCCGCCGTAAGAAAAAGGGATCGGCTCGATTACCGGCTAGCTCAACTAACAGCGCAGTGAATGATTCTGATACCCAAGATGTTCAGAGACCGCTTCCATTGACCCAGTACTCAAAGTACCCACCTTCCCGCCCAGCCACGACAGACGATGCTATTCGTAAAACCGTCTTTCTCGGCGAATCCAGTCCTCTCACATGCGTTGTGGATGAAGGTCGTCGATCCCCAGCCAATGGCTATGCGCGTACTACCCAAAAAGGAAGACTCCATTACTCTATTCCTGAGGTCAATGGTGCGACTAAAAGTAGCGCCGATTCGCAAGGCCCTCGCCGTAAGCTGCATGATCGCCTTACCCGCGAAGGGGCCTTGATATTCCCGGCACCAGCTGTCTGTGACACACTTATTCAGGCTTACTTTGATTGGATGCATCCATGTTTCCCAATCTTAGATCGTGCAACTATACAAAGTGGTTACCAAGATGGTACATTGTCACCCTTGTTACTACAGTCGATGCTGTTCATTGGAGTGAGCCTATGCTCGGATATAGCCTTAGAATCTACTGGGTTCCGTGATAGGTACCGAGCGAAAGGTGAGTTCTATGAGCGGGCAAAAGACATTTATGATTCGGGATGGGAAACCGATACAGTTATCCGGTTGCAATCGCTATTTCTGTTGAGCTTTTGGCGTGGAACCCCAACCGAAGAACGAGATGTCCGATTCTGGCTCGGCGCTGCGATTGGTCTGGCTCAGACGAAGGGAATGCATGTCATGTACGCCACGAATCGGAAATTCCGACTGAAAGTGGATATGAGCTGACATTCCAGGTCTAAATTGTCCTTCTTAAATTCCAAGGATCAAAAAGTGTGGAAAAGAATTTGGTGGGCTCTATATGTATGACTTCAATTTCTAACTTTTGATCGTGAGTAGTTGAAACTAACTAAATAACAGGTTCGGGATCAACAAACATCGGCGGCATTAGGATTACCGCCCCGAATACGTGATGAAGACTGCCAAATAGCCGACCTGGAAGTCTCAGACTTTGAGGATAGTGAGCCCATCGGCCCATCTGAAATATTTCGAACACCACCGGAAGTTCATATTTCGTATGTGATGGGAATGGCTCAGCTGGCAAGGTTATGTACGATGCTTTAGTCCCTTCAATATCACACAAACACTGATACCAGATAACCAGTACGAGAAATCGTCTCCAGTCAGTATCTACCCGGTCATTCCAAATTGGATAACCCAGCCAGATCAAGGCTTCACCGACGCTTGATTGAATGGGAGTCCAACCTGCCAAAAGAATTGCAGTTTCAAATGCCCATGACCAGGGAAGCCATGTTCCTTTCTGGCATGCTCCATATGGCTTATAAGTATGACTCTTGTGGACCATTTTCTTTAAATCTGTCTTACTAACACGGATGAAGCAATCTTTATATTCTTCTGCACAGACCGATCTTCTTACAGCCCCCCGGGCGATCAACGAGCTCAGAGGGGAACATGGCATTAGATGCCGCAACAAGAAGCACACGCGTTCTTGAGGACATGCTGTCAGAGAACCTAGTCCAACATGGATCCCTTCACTTGTGAGTCTACTTTTTTGGTGTTGCTTTAATCTCCTTAATGACACATGAACTAACGCGAGCAGAATAACTCACACGTTTTCGGCTTTGTGCATTCATACCATTCACTTTGGGCGCGTTGCAGGCACAGCCCGCAAGCTGGCAGAGCATAGAGCTAAGCTTTGCCTTCTAGGGCTGAAAGAACTACAGAAGTCTTGGGATTTGGAAAACTGGGTTCTAGATCTATTCTTCCGCTCCTTGGATGATCGTACAGCTCGCGATCTTCGACTGGCCGATGTTACAGTACGACCGTCCGCGTCGCAGGCTAACGGTACCCAAATGCCTGCGGAAACCTCCCTTGCTACACCTACTAGTGGCCCATACGGGCCGCTTTCTCCTAATCCACCAGAACTTCTGTTGTCGTCTACGCACTCAGTTCCCCCTCAAGATCCAGCCGAAGATGCGGCGATAAATATGGATTGGTATGAACTTTTGAACATGGAGGGTGATGATGTGATGGGGATGGCGGGCTCCTTATCAAACCCGGATTACTTGAACCCACAGAACCTAGAGTTCCTCTACCGTTTTCTATAGCAAGACTCTATATATTGCTGTTTTTCAATTTGATATCCAATGCATATGATACAAAGTTTATATACGTCTAGGATGTAACATATTCTGTATCCGGCATTCTGTTTGTATATGAGGTCAAGCCAGACCCAATTCCGCGAGTATGGCCTCGTTGTGTTCTCCAACCTTCGGAATGGGGCCCATCTGGGCGCCATACCCACCCCTATCAGCTGATTTGGTCGATCCAGGAGGCAAAAGAGCTGGGACAGCACCGGCGGGAGTCTGCACTTGGGTCCAACGATCGCGGGCTTTTAGTTGGGCATGCTCCCAGACACTCTGCATATCATTGACATTAGCATTGGCGATTGATGCTTCTTCCAACAGGGTAATAGTTTCTTCTGCCGTGAATTCTGAGAATACGTCATGAATGGTTTCCTTGAGGGCATCCCGATTTTGAACCCGCAGGGAGTTGCTCGAGAAACGCGTGTCGGTGGCCAGTTCGGGTTGTGAGAGAACTTTCGTGCAGAAGTTTTGCCACTCGCGTTCATTTTGAATGCCAAGCATGACTGACTGTCCATCTCCAGTTTCAAAAGGACCGTAAGGATAAATTGCGGCATGTGAAGCTCCTGCTGGTACCGGACCGGGGGCACCCTCAAAGGCGTAGTACATCGGGAAACCCATCCACTCTACCATGCTCTCGAGCATAGAGATATCAATGTGGCAGCCCAGACCATCCTTCCCACGCTGTAACAGTGCTGAGAGAATATTGCTATAAGCGTACATTCCCGCTGCAATATCCGCAATGCTGATTCCAACCTTTGCGGGCTCCTTCCCGGTGCCAGTCACTGACAATATGCCTGCCTCGCTCTGTATGAGAAGGTCGTACGCTTTCTTTTTCATGTAAGGACCATTTTGCCCGTATCCACTAATATCGCAAACGATAAGACCGGGGTGATCCCTCTTCAAATTCTCATGAGAGAGTCCCAATCGGGCACTGGCACCTGGGGCCAGGTTCTGGACGAGCACGTCGGCCTTGCCGAGGAGTTTCATGAGAACGGCATGGTCCTTTTCATCCTTAAGGTCTAATGCTAAACTCTCTTTGCTGCGATTTGTCCACACAAAATGCGATGCTAGTCCTGAGACCCTTGTATCATAATGCCTGGCAAAATCTCCGACACCAGGTCGTTCAACTTTAATAACGCGGGCTCCGAGATCGGCAAGCTGTCGTGTGCAAAAGGGTGCCGCGATGGCTTGCTCAAGACTGACTACCGTCACGCCAGCAAGAGGCAGAGGACGATGACCTCCTGAGCCACTAGAGTACAGACGCGAAGAAATATATGTAGACCCCGCAGGCTGGACTGCGTTGAACAGGCCCAAGGGCCGGCAAGCAAGGGGGAGAGGCGATCTCATGATCGAATCAGAATTGGCAGAAATAATATGCCGAAACGAGTCAAAGAGGCCAGGTATCTCATATATCACCTTGCGAGGTCCATCTCCCGATGTTCCGACGCGGGGTGAAGGGTTCGGTTCATCAAGTGCCGAGCCCGATGAGTCGGCTATATGGATGCAGGCCGAGGAGCTTCTCAGTAGACACCTACAGCAGAGTGTGTTATACAAAGCGGACGAGCATACTTCGCACAAATCTCGCAATAAGAGCTCTATAGATAACATAAGGAGAGGAAGAGAGGGGAAGGAGCCAGCGTAGGACACTCATGACACGTGATACACCGGCATCTTCCTGGAGTCGCGTACGTTTATACCTCATTCTCCCGATTTCCGAAGAAGGAAGGCTGTCTCATAAACTAAATCCCTGCAGCAGAACGAGGTTGGTTGATTGCCTGGTTTCATGAAGAACAGACCTCGGAAAGCCCCTTTCTCATCGTGGCTCTTTGCCATCTCGAGTCAGGTCGATATCATTAGAAAACGACATACCGTGCGGTCCCTGCAGCATTTTGCTTTTGTTGTCCAGATAAAGCAAATACAATCTTGGCTCTAAAGTGCATGGTTTGCTCGATGTGAATATGTTCATCATACCACACAAACAACAACGCCACATATAACCCGTTTGTTTGCGCAACCTATATCGGTCTCAGTCCCGACCACCGTGATACTACTGTATTCCCCTTTGGAACGGAAAGTCCGAATCCACGCGGATACTTCAATTAGCTGGCACCCACTCCATTGAGGCAAGACACCCAGCCCGACGGAACACGGCAATCCTTATTGCCTTGAAAGATACTAAATTGATACTAATTGTTAACGCCAAGCCACCCCGCATAGCGCCCAGGCGGGAAAATTGGCGCGTCAACGGTTGAGCCGCGGGGCCTCGTATTCTCGGCATGTGTCCTCCTTTGTGCCTCGTGTCCACCCTGTGCCAGCTGCATATTGGGTCCAGGAGAAGTGATGGTCGGCGTACCACGCAGCAAAGGCTGTTTGGCGTGTCTCCAGCGGCGGGTCAAAGTATGATAGCCTCCAACTTGTTATCCCTTGCCGCAAACTAATGCGCAAAATCACAGTGTGATGAAACCCAGCCAGAATGCCAGTGTTGCCAAAGAAGGGGACTACCATGTCCCGGTTATACAAGAGAGCGGAAATTTCAACACCGGTTCGGCGTATCGAGCGAGTCGAAGCCATCGGAATCTACATCCCAAACACTTTCCCTGGCAACAACCTCGACCAATCATCCCGCGACCGATCATCCGGATGAGCTACTACGCCGCATTTCCATCGCGCAGGGATCGATGGATGAAGCTATAGTCCCAAACTTGGTTGCTGGGGTTTTGGACCAGCGACAACGAGAGGGATTTTGTGCGTTCGTCGATGATGTCTTCCCAGGCATCTATTACGGGTACAGCAACCGTGTGGAAGTGAACTGGTTTGACGTGGCTCGGAACCAACGAGAAACCGGGAAGCCGCTTGACTGGGTCTTGCGCAGTATTGGAACTTGGCAGCTGGGCAAAGCACACAATGATCCACGGCAAATGCTCGCCAGTCGAGAAATGTATGGACGTGCGTTGCAGCATCTGATCCATGCAATTAAAACTCCTTCCTTGGTCTGCACAGATGCAACTCTTGGGGCCGCAATTCTTGTTGGCATATATGAAATGATCAATGCGACAGAACCGAAATCATGGTTGACGCATTCACGAGGCATTTCCCATCTCTTCCGTCTTCGAGGACCAAGAGCCCATACATGTGGACTCGGTCGCACCTTGCTATTATCCTTTCGAGGATTTTTGGTATTTGAAGCACTGGCTCGCAGTGAACCGTGCTTCCTCGAAGGTGAAGAATGGAGATCTATCCTCCCAGAAACCCTGGAAAACGAAGAACGACGGGGCAAATCCTCTCCTTTGAGCGCGCTGATCGAGTATGCATTCAATGAAATAGCTCAATGCCCCGGCTTTCTTGTCAAATGCAAAATGCTTGTCGCGTCCCCGCAGGCTACGTCTACGGAAAGGGAGTGTCTCATTCGTGAGATTGCAACATGTCAAAATACCCTGCGTGGTCTAGAGTCACAAATGCTAGCTGGCATCAAGGCAAAACATGCATCGAGTGAAGTATCCTGTCGGCCTTTTTTCGGGGCGGTCCCTGATCCCAAGGCAGATAAACTGGCAAATTTCTCCCACAAAGGAATCCAGTCGGCCATTGCACTGCTCCAGCAGCTTCTGGTGGTACTGGTATCCGATCGAACTCGGCAAAAAGAAGCGACGCCATGGTTAACACTTGGAACAACTAACAGTGAATGGGAGACAGACATTGACCCCAATGAGATGGCCACACTGGCCCAAAACAAGACCATGCTGCACCAGACAGGTCCACAACTCCCCGGGAGCTCGGAGGCTTCGCCTGACTGTATCGCAATGTCAATGGGCTTGACCAAATAAGGCCCAGAATCCTCTCCCCGTTGCACAGGGTAGAGCCAATGTGTACAGCATCGGACAGGCAAATTGTCTGTCTCGAATGGACACTATATATCTGAACAAAGTTACGATATATATACTCATTGATATATTATTAACAAATGAAAATAAGAGCGAGCATATCCATGCAATCAACCAGCACCAAACTGTCTATATATATATATCTACGGCAGCTTGTTTATATTAAGCTTAAATCTTATCATTTTTTTTAATTGAAGCATTGGACTGCTTATCATTTCTCCTTTACTTGAAAAAGATTGTATGTACTCCGTATTACTATAACTAAGTTAGCTGTCCAAACATACTGCGTACGTCATACGGTTTGGCTCATTTGCCCACCGCCCCCACCTTGCCAAGTCGCTCCCCCTTCATCCAGTCTCATCCCCTAACCCTCTTCAAAACATTAAGTGCCAGGTGCCTGGTGCCCATAACCCTAAACCACCGTTGCAACTTGGATTACCACGCTTAGAGGATCATGTATTCGGTTTACTGACGTCAAACAGCTCCTTCCGCCAGCATCGCGAAATCCGTCCAACATCGAAAGATTAACACGGATATGGCCACTCGGCCACGGAGCTATTCACAGAGGTCCCGACCGACATGTCCTTGATCAAATGGCCTTCTGAGACTCAGGTAGGATTAGCCTGCTTGGCGAAGTACGCTGCGAAGGCAGCGGCGAAGAACCATCGCCTCACTCGCCTCACTCCTCAAGAAGCCCGGCTCGACGTTTTCAGGGAGTACAGTATCATACGAGGGGTCACGAGAAGTACCAACATTCGAAGGAGACAAAGGCGACCGCCACGCGACGGTGCATAGCGGCAGGCTCCGCTAGGATTCCTACTAAATTCGGGCGTTTCAATGGATGCGATGTGGTATAATATACATCGAATACAATAACGCAGTTGTCGGCCACGCTACCGTTTTCCACCGCATATATAAACCTTTTCAACCGATCAAACCTTGTCACTCTGCACAGGCGGCGGGACCTGGAAGATGTCCAACGTCAATTCTTCATCGGAAGCATGCCAAAGTCATCTGAACGTTGATTCAGGGCCTGTAGGAATTGATGAACCACTTAAAGGCCAAATTCCGTGGATTGAGGCAGCTCCTGCCTACTTCTACTTCACTTTTGCTTTTCTTGTGACTGGAGACCCTGTGTCGCATTATCGTATATGCTCGTTGTGCGTCTCTTGTCTATGAGATTACCCCTGATGAAGCAAACTATCATATTCTCATGCCAGGAGAACCTTGGCTCTCGTAGTAATTGCTTGAATCAGTAGGGAAAATTGGCCCGAAATTCTTCGTTATACCCAATGACTACTCGGAAAATACCATTGTAGTGGTGAGCAGTTATTGTTTGGTTTGCACACCTTCGTGCTTCGCCTGCCGTCCACCCAGCCGCCCAGCCTCTCGCGAGGACCATCTCAGTGATATTGAGCCAAAAGTACGCAGTGTTAGGGGTCTGAAAAAAGCCACCGATAACACCAACCGCATTTAAACTGCAATCAAGCGAGACGCTACCTGGGGCCCTCGTCAATGCTCTGCTTGCGGAGTAAATCTGTATACTGTTGGACCCAACCCCTCGATGTGCCGAGGGCTGGGGATCCCCAAGGGGCTGAACATTCCGGACTTGTCAGCGAAAGAAAGAGAATTTTCGCCCTCCGGAATGCTGGGGACAATGTTTCAAATGCGGCGATCGACAGTTTCGGCCTTTCTCATCGCCGGAATAGTGGGGCTGTGACATCGTACTGAAGTAATTCGATAGTGATGGCCACGATGATCTTCGCCCCACCAGATTCCTCAGATTTTGTCCGCCAATCAGGTGAATAGCGCTGCCTGCCTCGTGAATTATCCTCGAATGTGGCATGTGTAGTGTTGCTTCAGAAATGAAGTAAAGTTGAGAAACATTCTGTAGATAGAGTATGTTGGTGTGTTTATAAACCCGGGATCATCGACGTTCCTCAAACCATAAGGGCACAAACATTCTTGTCATGGAATTGTGGCTATCAGGACCCTGCAGGGCAGAGCCATGTGAAATCCCACTCCCTGAGACTATGATTGGCTCATAGCTAGAGTAGGATCGATTGTTCCTGAAGGAAGAATGGGGCGTGCTCCTGTCACATTTTTGAAACCGGCGATCAATCTCCACCGGAAAGACCTGTCGTCAGCATTGTGCATTGTGTGTACAGTGCAGGTACATTGTAATGTACCTGGATGTGACGCAGTGCAACGCGGGTTCAAGCGGATGTTCATAGAATAGATTGTGGGTGCCTGGAGTGGGCGAGACCTTTCAGCCACCGAGCTTGCGTGGCTCTCAGGCACCAAACCCCCAGATTGGTCGGGATGCATGCTAAGCATTCTGCTAAAAGTTAGCCCTGAAACGGGTCACCAGCGTCATATCGGAATTGGACACACTGCATGTCACCCATGGTTGGCGCTCAGGATCGGCCCAATGATCAATCTCGCCACATCTTGCGTGATCTTGGCTTTCCAGATCTATTCTTAGAGGTGACAGCTGACAGGGATCCGTGGGTTATATATAGGATCCATTCGCCTCCCTAGATTGACACATTGTTATCATAGAATCAATACAGTGACATTCACACTTTTTAAACACTCTCGTACTACAAATCGTTTCATATCCACGATGCCTTCCTCATTCTCCTCTAGTGAGCGCTCCGGCTCAGTCAAGTCGCATCACAGCCCCAAGAGCTCGCTACAGAGCAAGGCCGACCCCAACATGGCCCTATATGAAGAGCAACCTAGTATGTCTCGCCAGTCCTTTGCACTCATTGCACCTCTTACTAACCCCAACCAGTTGCTGTCAATACCCAGCCAGGAACCCGGGACACTTTCTCTCTCAGAAGCATCCAGCACAAGGACCGCGAGGGCAAGATCATCAGTAAGTGAGAACCAGAAATGGTCTCTGGATATAATAGTTCTAACTCAACGACAGCCGACCCCGATCTCTCCAACCCCACAAGAAGCCGTCTCGAGCGTCCCCTAGACACAATTCGGTCGTTCGACGCAGCCATTGATGCGCACAGGAAGCAAAACAGGATGTGAAGATTGGCATAAGGACGAAAATACTACGCCAGAACGGAACGAAGGAACGCTTTTACGCCAATTTCAATTCGCGAACGGGGTTTTGATGTATTATTATTCAATTTTACCATATGGAGTTACGGATATATCAACGGTCACTGCTATTATTTTTTAACCATATGCGTTCCGGAAAGACCGTAAATTGTCCAAAATCCAGAGCAATAGCTACGGTACTACCGGTCATAGCTGTGATATCCTGCAGTTTATTGTCACTCAGACCATGCATGTGTCAGATTTGAAGCGATCTTCCGGAATATTTTCAGGGATCGATATACCCACATACCGAGTCGGTTGTTGCTCGGGCTGGACCGATCTGATATGTCACTGCCGATGAGCTGAAGAAATCCCAGCTGCCAATTTGATCTACATGTAGATCATGACATGATACCCGACTTCGAACTATATACGTGTGGAGGGAATATACTCTTTCCAACCGTCTAATTACCATCAGACTGTATCCCATCTTTTGATTCCCCCAGAGAAACAAATTAAGCATTTCCCATGGCCCACTCGTCTGATCCCGAATACTGTAAATAAAGCAATTACCTTGCCCAGTCATTGCAGTGGATCGGGCTTTACCATGCGGAGAAGCCAAGTCCGAGGGTCGGAGCTTCAGCCTGCAGATTTGTTTGGCTGCGACGTAGTCCATAGCAGGACCAAGCAACGCATCACGTAGAATAATCCTTCAATTTGCCTAGCGTGGATAATTTTAGCCGTCCTAGTCAGAAAAGAGAAGTTCGCGATACCTAGTAAGAGGACACGCACTGCCGGCGCCATTCCAAGAAAAACGCCCCACCACACCGCGTCAGCCTGGGAATATTTTTCACTTTTCACTACAATAATATTTACCCAGCCGACCAGTTCTACAAATAGTAGCATGGTTAAGGTCATTGTCTCGGAGTTTGTCTAGAAGTGAATTCCGCGGTTTTGTAGCGAGATGTTTATCGAACACAGGCTTACTGGAACACGCCCGTTAACACCTCGGACAAAGCAGACCTTGCCCGGGGTGCAGAAACCAAGATACGCTTAGTACGTGGGTCTAGGAAATGGCCGTCTATCATTCGCTCGGCCTTAATGAACCCATACGCTTTAACCCAAGCCCTAATATTGAACGTGGTCCATCATGCCCGGCCTGGCAAAATTGACACCCGGGCGTCAGTAGCCCAAACTTATTTACTGGTGGCCACTAGTCTCTTAGCCAAACTTGGAGTGGATTCTAGTTGGGTCATTATACGCGTCCACTTCGATTTCAGGGGAGGCGAGCAAATCGGGTTGATCTAGTGCCTGTCTTGAGACTATTAATGGCCGCTGGACGTGAAGCCACCATGGATCCCTTTTGTTTTGTCCTGCCTCCTCTTTCAGCGACGTACCAACGTTCGTCATTCACTCGTTACTAGATCTCAACTCTCTTTCACTGCTTTGCTTTCTGTTAAACCCAATCCAACTTCATTCACTCGCTATATACACCCGCGGCACCTAGATCCGCAAAGCATTTCACCATGAAGTTCTCCTTGGTGGCACTGGCGACTCTGGTCGGCACTGCTGTGGCTGATTTGGATCCTATCGTTATCAAGGTAATGCCTTTTTTCTGGGGAGACATTGAAGCATCCAATACTAAGACTCCCGTGTCCAGGGCTCCAAGTTCTTCTATTCCAGCAACAACACCCAATTGTAGGCCACTATCGTGGATATCTCTGGTATCAATGGCTATGCTGACAAGACTCAACAGCTATCTTCGCGGTGTTGCCTATCAACGTCGGTCCCTCGTATACACCTGCAAACACATCAACTAACATTTGACAGAAACCGCGGATGGCAACAGTTACACCGACCCTCTGGCGGATGCCACTGCTTGTGCGCGTGATGTTCCTATCATGAAGGAGCTTCGCACCAATGTGATTCGTACATACGCCATCAATGCCTCGGCCGACCACTCCGCCTGCATGAAGCTGCTGTCAGAAGCTGGCATCTACTTGATCTCCGATCTCTCTGACCCATCCCAATCCATCGACCGTAGTGACCCTACCTGGGAAACCTCCCTCTACACTCGGTACACTAGTGTCATTGATGAACTGTCTCAGTACAACAACACTATTGGCTTTTTCGCTGGTAATGAGGTTTCCAACACCGTCGCTACCTCGGAGGCTAGTGCCTTCGTTAAGGCTGCCGTTCGGGATATGAAGAAGTACATTAAACAGAAGGGTTACCGGTCAATGGGTGTTGGATACGCCACTGCTGATGTGTCTACTATCCGCGAGAACATGGCCGACTACTTCGACTGCGAGAGTTCCGACGAGTCGATTGACTTCTGGGGCTACAACATCTACTCGTGGTGTGGTAACTCATCATACACAGACTCTGGTTACAACACTCGAACTGAGGAGTTCCGCGACTACTCCGTTCCTGTATTCTTCGCCGAATATGGTTGTAACGATGTCACTCCCCGTCAGTTCACTGAAGTGACCGCTCTGTATGGCGACACCATGGCCCAAGTCTGGTCCGGTGGTATTGTGTACATGTACTTCCAGGAGACCAACAACTATGGTAAGTGAGCCCGTACACTGAGTTGATTCAACCGCTCATTCCGTCATACAGGTCTGGTTTCCGTTGTCGACAGCACTAGTGTCAGCACCATGGCCGACTTCAAGTCCTACTCAAAGCACATCGCTACTGCAGACCCAACCGGTACCAACAAAGCATCATACACCCCCACGAACACTGCTCTGCAGAGCTGTCCTACAGTTGGCTCCGACTGGTCGGCCAAGGCATCCCCTCTCCCCCCTAGCGCTGATGTCGATCTTTGTGAGTGTATGTACGATGCCGCCGGCTGTGTTGTGGCCGATTCTCTCGCGACTAGCAAGTACAGCAAGCTGTTCAGCACTGTCTGTGGCTACACCGACTGCGGTGGAGTGGACCGCAATGCCACCACCGGAGTGTACGGTGCCTACAGCATGTGTAACCCCAAGCAGCAGCTCGCATTCGCCCTGAACAAGTACTACGTCGAGCAAGACCGTTCCGCCTCTGCCTGCAGCTTCGCTGGTTCCGCTACCACCAAGGCCACTACCAGTGCTACCGGCACCTGCTCCGCCCAGATGAAGGAGGCTGGTACCGCTGGAACCGGCACCGTCACTACTGAGGCTACTGCCACTGCTGACTCCAGTTCCTCTTCCGGCACGTCGACCTCGTCCAGTGGCGGTGCCATGAGCATTCACTCCAGTGTGACCTTCGGCTCTTTCCAGATCGGTGCCTATCTGGCCACTGCACTCCTGGCGGGTGTTGGCATGATTGCACTCTAAATCTGCTCTCAATTAGTCGGGACCGTCGGTTGATTTTAGTCCTTTTCCATTCTTGTGCGGTTTTATTGTGTATCCATCTTCATCTCTAGACTGGTATTGCCGACAGGAAACTGGCAACAAGATGCCTGGTAGTATTATTACCCTGTCTAGGCATGTATGCCAATTGGCTCTATGTTTGGAACCCCAGTGGATATACGATAGAACTGGCAACTTCCAAGCACTGAATTTGATTTGTATACCATTTTACATTAAAACTTTGGCGCCTTGCTAATATTTTCCATTGATAATCCTTTCTTTTTTTTCACTAGATGGTCCATTCTTAGTACCTACATATCACTCAGAGCCTCAACTCCCAACCACAGCCCTCTTGGTCAGTATGGCGGATGTCTCATCCAGTCTGCTCCAATCATGAGCATCTTTACAGGCCTGGCGGCTGAGGAGTACTGCACGACTCGTACGGTCTCTCATTTCCTTTTCATATTCGTCAATTGCAGCTGACGTCGTTAAATCCCCGCTGTAGATTCGTTCAATCGCCTCCATCAGACGGTACGCATCGAGGATTCCGTGGTTGGCCGCTTCCCCACGATCTATGAAAGTCAGGATCTACCCATTGTGCTCTAGAAATATGCACTTACACATTGTCATTGCATGCGCTGCATCACCGGCTAGTGTGACTCGACCACCCCGATTGTCCCAAGGGAGACACTCCCAATCTGCTAACTTGATCTCGGTGACATGTGTTCCAGCAGGAATCCGATCAACTGCCTTTTGAAGAAATGACACGAACCCTTGTGCCCGGTTCTTCATGTTGATCAGTCGAGCTTCATCAGTGCTTGCTACTTTGTCATCTGGTCCTTTCTCCGGCCAGGACATGCAAATCTGCGCACGATATCGTTCCGCATTGGTCCCGGCTGTTCCATTCACTTGTGGTGTTTCCAGCATGGAGAACCAGAAAAAAGCGCCTGTTGTAGGGTGGCAGCCTTGGAATAGTAATGGATCCATGTCACACAAGGGCTTGATTTCTTCCGGGGTAAGATCCACAGCAACTCCCGTGAAGTTGATCCCGAGTGTTTTGTTGCCAAAGGCGTCTGGCCGGAGGAACTGCCTGACCATCGAACGACTGCCCTCAACACCAACGACGAGACTTCCGGTGACATATGTGTCGTCTTCAAACAGGAGTTGAACTTGATTTGTGTCCTTCGGTACATTTAAACCGGTCACCCTTCGACCCCAATGAACATGGTCCTCAATACCAACAAGTAGCGCACGACGCATCTTCTCCCGATTCACTCTCCATCGAACATTAGGCGGAATCTTGAACTTTGGTTCTCCAGTCTGGAGGTTGATGAAGAGAAAGTTTCCGCTGTCATTGCGGGCTACATCTGGGTCCACTTGGACATCTTGAATGCGAGATAGGGTTGATTTGTCCAGCATTTTGAACATGGACTCCAATGCCCAGTGTAGGGTAATTGCCCATCCTTGACCACGCTCTTCGGGATTTAAGTCACGTTCGTAGATCTAGACCGGATTAATTCAGCAGCAGTTAACTCTAGACTATGTATTGATCCAGCTCACCTCAAAGGGAATGCCCTTTTTCTTTAGCGCTTGCCCGAGTGTCAGGCCAACAATGCCGGCACCCACAATAAGTACGGGGTTCATATTGCTCTGTGGGAAGCAAATAAATCAACAAATTAGGAGACGACTATGCAACCAGAATTGCTAGTATGTATGATAGTCCTGGAAGGACTAAGTGGGCAATAGATGCTGAAAATAGCGGTACTTGTATGTTACATACATGGTCGAGAATGCAGAGATAGTAGTCCCCGGCCTTTATGTTACTCTCCGACGTATCTGTTCCCTTCCGAGGCCCGTCGCCTAGATAAGAAGCGGGGTTCCGCCCGTCGGCAGGCTGCGACGGAGAAGGGATTCTGTGGAAACGGACACTGGAATATAAAGTGATTTGGGACTTTCCACTTTCTAGTTTCTAATATCGTATCACACTTTCAATCATGTCGCACGAAGCCTTGAATCCAATCCATCCCTCCGTTCTTCCTTATTTGGACCCGGTATTCATTCAACTATATAATGAAAATGTTGCGAACACGCCTTCAGGGCCAATTGACCTGGCCATTCTCCGTACGAAGTACTCGGTTTTGTACTCGTATGGTACGGGCCCTGCTCCAGAGTGTGCACGCGTATATGACGCCGAAGTTCCCGCTCACAACGGAGATCTGATTACTGTTCGAGTTTATGAGCCTGCATCCCCTGGACCATGGCCCGTACATGTCGATTTCCACGGCGGAGGTAGGAAGGGAATGAATGACAAAATATTGGGGTTTTACTGACATAACACAGGATGGGGCCTCGGTGATCTCGATACAGAAGCCCATATTTTGAAACATATCTGTACTAAGGCCAACGTTTGTGTCATTGATGTCGACTATCGCCTCGTCCCCGAAAATGCATTTCCTATTGGTATCCAGGATTCTTTCGCTGCCTTGCAATATATACACGCCGAAGGTGCCAAAAAGTTTAACATTGACCCTACAAGGATTTCCCTGGGCGGCGTCTCAGCAGGAGGCAACATCGCCTTGGTATGTGCCCATCTGGCTCGTGACAAAAATATTCCTTTGAGGATTATTGCTGTCGGCACACCTACCGTGGATAACATAGCCTTATACAAGTCCGCATCTGAGGCTCCTTGGCCCTCTATGCAAGAGATGCAACACGCGCCAACACTCAACTGGGCGCGACTGAAGTGGTTTGATAATCTCAAATGGCAGAGCATTGATGCTGAAGGTCCCAGTCGTGAATCGCAAATGGCCGCGGTAAAGTGGTATGCTAATTTGCTTGACGCCCCGGATTTCACCCGCTTACCAAAGACCGTCATTTATACTGCCGGATGTGACCCTCTGCGTGATGAGGGTGAGGCGTATGCTAGGAAATTGGTTGAGGCCGGGAATGAGGTTATTCAGAAGCGGTTTATGGGTGTTCCCCATCCATTCATGCATATGGATAAGGGTATGTTACCGATTTTGTTGCCACTGCCTTGGCCACTATACTAACCTATGCTTTAGACCTTTGGCAGGCTAAAGAGTTTATTGATATGACGGCTCAGCATATTAAGTCTGCGCTGCACGGATGATAGAATGATAGAAGATCCTCTGAATGAGCGTTGTAAATATAATGGATCGTTTCACCTGTCGCTTTGACTTAGATGTACATTTGAATCTGTTTCACTTAACAACGTGATTTACTGTAACAGAAATCTGGTTTCTTACATGCCGGTTCTCACAGAAATAAATACTTTTGCGGTTCGGAAATTTACAGCAGCATTGTGGTAACCGTTGTCTGGTAAAATTAGGAACTTAGTGCGCCTACCTGAGAACTGCGTGGAATTTAGGTCTACTTATATCTGTTCAAGTCGTATGTGTTTTTCTTCTACCTACTGCATCGCGGTCCAGCATCACAGATATATCTCATTCGAGGGAATACATCCAGAGCTCGTCCCCTTCGGCTTCCTTTTCATGGTCTGATGCTTGAAACTTAGGTACCTCGCTCGACATTAATAACTCTGATTATATCCATTCGCACTAATAATCTCTTGAGAACTATTATATTCTTGCAAATGTCCAATCGCTTAGACTCCCTCCATGTCATAAAGCTGATTTGCCAATGGAATGATTGACTCTTCCAGTGTTCGGAACCTTACCCCCAGGAGCCTCTGCACCTTGGATGAATCACAGGAGTAGTGTGTATCAGCAATACGCCTCCCGGGCTCGCCCACTGGAACTCGCTGCCTATCTGGAAGTCCAGAGCGAATAATATCAGCAACCTCCTGGGTATCATAAGATGCCTGAGTCACCAGGAATCTCTCATTGCCGCTTCCTGAAAACGTCAATGTTCTCAGACTTGTTTCAGCCAAATCCTCTACATCAATCCAGACTGGAAAATGAAGAATGAGTCCATGAGTATTAAGTTGGGGAGAATGACATACCGGGAGCTTTTGTGGGTGGAACCTCGGCATCTTTTCCTGCACTCAACACCTGCCAGATAATCTGGTTGCTAGCGTTGAGTTGGGAAAGGGAGGAAATCGGGTGAATCATACGGCCGAAAACCATTCCAGGGCAAAGCGTCATCAGCTGATATTGAACCGGGTTATCACGAATGTAATCCCAAGCAGCACGCTCCGCAACAACCTTGGAAGCGCGATATGCGGTAGGCTAAACTTTGTCAGAGGCCATAGAATAGTAAAGAGGGAGCTGAGTACTTACCACCATCGAGGCAGTGACACCATCTTCATAGGTCAATGGACACCAGTCATTCTCAGTATAAACACGGCCTGGCTGTAGGCCCAGGCTGGCATCATAAACACTCGCGAAACTCGACATGATCACAACCCTACGGATATTCGGATCCAGCCGAGCAGCCTCGCAGACAACCTGTGTACCCTTGACCGCGGGGATCATAAGCTTCTCTTCAAATTCCCCAGGGACTGCATCGTAATTAAAAGCAGATGCCAAGTGCAAGATTGCTTGGCAACCGTGGAGAATCGCAATAAAAGCATTTAGATCGGTTGGATCGGGGACAACAGCGATCTCAAGGAGAGAAAGATTGTCAACTCCAGCAGAGCTCAGAGATTTACGCGTAGCCTCTCCCTTTTCAAAGGAACGCACTGTAGCCCGAACGCGATAATTGGACCTTAAGAGAGTTGCGATACAGTGAGCGGCGATAAAGCCGTTGCCACCTGTTACTAGCACGAAAGATCCAGGGTCGATAGGAGCCATTTTTAATATTTCAAATGAGCCTGGAGAGGGATAATGGGATATTCAAGCTCAATTATATGCAGAAATTACTTTGTCTGGGTCTGTGATCGGCTGCTTACAGTCTTCCCGCGCCGCCGTCGGGTAGATAGCCTACTAGGATTCTCCTCATGAAGTCCCATCGGGGTCTTTAGAATCACAACTAGCGTACCTACTAAGGTACTTGCCCATCGGAAAGGGAGATCAAAAATTTGGATATTGTTGGCTAAAGTGTAAATGATTGAATAAAAAATGTCTCTAGTTAGGACATTGAATGTACGAAGGTCAGTCTTAATACACATAGCGGAAACTTTCATCATCTTGTGCGTCTCCAGCAGCTCCCTTGTTGGCCAACCGTGTTTCTATCCGACTACGCGCCGGCGCACCAAGCCGATCAGCGACAGAGTTGCGCCTCCCGTAAATAATGCGCAGGGATGTGGAGATCACAATCGCAGCAGCATTGACCGCAACAATGGTAATCTTTGCCGGAATGTAACTATTGCAGAGCTTAGTTCCACCATAGTAATTTTCTCCTATATAATGACTTACTGCGGCGCATCTTTGGCTTGAAAAGTCTGCGGACCTATGATATTCGCAATGCTGAAGCCAGCAGACACAATCCCAGCACCAGAGACCTGAAAGTGTGAGCGAAAGCAAATCAAAATGGTGGGACATAGCAATTACCTTCATTGTGAAGCCCCGGTAGTTCGCTCCTGTCCAAGCATAAATAAGGGCCAGGGGTGCAACCGTCTTTTAAGGTCAGATATCAGGGAATTTAAAATCCTGGCTTGACTTACCGTGTTGACAAGATAAATACCAGCCAAACAGCCGGCTTGGTTCTCAGATGGGAGGAACGACATCAAACAGGATCCCAGCAAAGTTGGAAGCAACAGCAAGTCGATTGCCAGCCATCTCGAGAAGCCTTTTGAGATTGCGTACGTGGACACCATAGTCGCCACGATACTCACGATGCCTGATGGCATATTTAGCAAAGCGCTTTCTTTGGAGCTATATCCAAACCCTTTGATGAGGATAGCAGAGAATGTAGTTATAACGCCGCTGGGAATTGTGATGAGGATTGTGAGCAAAACGAGCATCCACGTCTGCAAATCCCCAAAAGCTTCAAGAACAGACCGCCACCGGAAGACTTTGAGCCCAACACCAGCTGAATCGTTGGCCAAACGCTGCGCAATCCGTATTTTCTCGGGTTCGGTGAGAAACTTGGCCTTCTCGGGGCTGTTGGGAAGTAGAAAAATCCTATAGAAAACGCGGTCAGAATCTATTCGACGGGGGCTTCGATCAGACCTTACACGAGGATGGAAACCAAGACATTGACAACGCCAATTGCTACAAACATAATGCGCCAGCCACCGAAGGACATGCCGGCAGGGGCGTGCTGAGCAGCGAAGGAAATGAGCCCGCCGACAATTTGCCCAACGCCTAGCCCGCAGTACCAGAATCCGTAACGTGGTGTCGATTCTGCTCGGGTATACCACATGCTGGTGTACATCGTAAGAGAAGGTGCTAGTGCGACCATCAGTCCCATTCTTCAATACAATCTGTAGAGTACGCACCAATAACAGCCTCCATTAACCCCAGGAGGACTCTCAACGCGAGCATGTGGGAAAAGTTAGAGGCAGCCGACGAACAACAAAGGATTACGCCCCAGCAAAAGACATTGGCCCCAAGCACCTTGGTAACGGGAAATCTTTGCAGAAGAGCACCCTGGGGGATTTCCGCCACTGCATAGGCGATAAAGAATGCTGTTGCCAGCCACGAGAAGTCGTTTCCAGTCATTTCTAGGTCATCCTGTAGCCCCATTACATTTGCGTACTGAAGAGATTAGCCAACAGAGACTACTATCACAGGGGATGAGCTATACCCACATTGATGGAAATTTTGTCAATCATTTGCAGGAAGTAGGTCAAGAACATGATGGGCAAGAGGTGATAGTCAATTTTGCGCAGGAGCTTCTTGTCATTTATTAAGACACTGCCCAATGCACAATCCTCAGCAGCATCATACTTGTCCGTGAGCTCGGGTTTCTTCTCCATCGTTGCTGTCACTTTGAAGGAATAAAAATGTAGGGTCAGAATAAGACACGAGTCCCAGCATATTATCGGTTGGCGGATTGCCTTTAAGAAGCAGCTCAGACCAGAGACCAGGAGATAGCAATTCGGACCATCGAGCGCTTCCCCAGACAATGATAGGCGTAGATCGAGTGGCTGTCACTGCCAGAGGAAAATATGAAAGAGGTAAAGATCAACGAAGTTCTATGCAGCCGTCGGATAGATAGAGCCCCTCTCCGCCGCTTAGCGCGAGATAGGCAGAGAACCCGATAGAACTTGCAATCCGTCGAAGCCCTGAAGCCCAGGTTGAAAAGAGTATATATCGATCATAGGCAATGAAGTTACTTCATTGTAAACTGAAAAAAATAACTCAAGTATGCCTTCTCGCACCGACTCACCTCTTCAAATCGCCATTATCGGCGCAGGCCTCGGTGGTCTTGGCGCGGCTGTCGCCCTACGCCGTCAAGGCCATGCTGTCACGGTTTATGAAAGATACGATTTTGCCGGTGAAGTGGGCGCATCACTAAGTGCGGCATCAAACGGGTCTCGCTTTTTGGAGGAATGGGGTGTGGATGTGAAGGGAGCCAAGCCGGTTTGTTCGAAACTGCCGAATGATAGTTCACTAGTTTAATGGGTGACAGGTCATTCTCAAACAACTCATCATGCACAACTGGAGCGATGGTGATGTGCAGAGTACATATCCGCTTGGCGATTACAAGTCCAAATTCGGGACAGTATGTATCTATCGTTTCATTCATTATTTTCTCCTTGCTTTCACCTCTGTACACCTCTTTGTTTACCTCTTTTTACGCCTCTTTTTGCATGAAATTAATAAGCACTGACCGACGATAGGACTATAACAATTTCCATCGCATTGACATCCACAAAGAACTGTTGAAGTCAGCATTTGAGGCACCCGGAGAGGGTCCAAAGTGTGAATTGAAAGTGAATTTCAAAGCAATCGAGGTCAATACAGAGGAAGGTGTGGTGCGCTTCGAAAATGGGGCTGAAGCATCGGCCGATATTATTGTAGCCGCAGATGGCATCCGGGTAAGAGAAGAATCGATCTGTGGTGATTTCGAAGCTGACAGGTATGCCAGTCCCTTACCCGAAACATGATTGGAATCACTCCAGACTTCGAAATGTCAACTTCTTGCTGTTATCGATGCATAATTGGGGCTGACAAGCTTCGGTCGCTTGGCTTGGAAGATTATATCTCCAATGAGGCAATCGAGTATTGGGGAGGATTCGGTATCAACAAGATTGTCATGTCTCCTTGCAGCAACGGTGAAGTAGTGAGCTGTTACTGCTTCTATCCTGCATCGCACAACAATGTGCGCGACGATGGGTGGAATATCAGCGCTACACCGCAGCAATTGGTGGATACATTCCCGGATCTGGACCCTAGGATGAAGACTTTAATGTTGAATGCTGAGGACATCAAGATGTGGCGACGTGAGTCTCTTTTGTTCAATGCCAAACTCCCTGCTGACCTTTGACTATAGTGTACAAGCATCAGCCTTATCCGTATTGGGTCAAAGGCAAGGTTTGCTTGTTAGGTGATGCTGGTAAGTTTGAGATATCCCCATTCGAATTCAAGCTGCTGATCTGCTGCTAGCCCACCCTATGATGCCCGATCAGTCACAGGGATCTTGCATGGCATTCGAAGATGCAGGCGCATTAGGCCTCGTGTTCAACAAGAATTTCCGTGAAGAATACGGAATTATTGAAGGATTGAAGCTTTATGAAAAGCTGCGGCGGGGGCGCGCTACTCGCGTGCAAGAGGCGAGTTTCAGAGCTCGCGAGAACCTCAGCGAGAGAATTGGGTGGAGCTCCTCTACGGATCGGCCAGGAAAGCTCACCATTGAGGAGGTGTGTGGTTATAACATGAAGGACCATCTGGCTGAGTTGGTCGCTGAGGTAAAGGGTGCTCGGGTCTGATGATTGCTAAGTTCTTGCACGCACAATCACTTGCCTGGCAGAAGGTATGAATATTGCCCGCCTTGAGTGAGTCTGCCGATTGGGCTCAGAGTTGGCTTTCCATTTCATACCCTTACTTCTCTTTCGCGTTGTAAACCCCTCCCCTATGATACGTATAAAACGAATTTCTTCTTTTATCAATCGATGACATTGACTATCAAACAAATCATACACGACATGAGAGCATAAACAATAAGTTATATAAACACTACACCAGGGAATTGACTATATCTCACAGCGGCCCAGTTGAGATCTGAAGCATCGTTCCCCCCTTTCCAAACGGTCTCCAGCAGTTGACGAGCATGATGAATGTGGCTGAAGCCCAAGGTATTCTCCATGACCATAAGCCTCTCTTTCACAATCATCCGTCGCTCAACACTAATACTGCTGGACCCAGCAATGACAAGTGGGAATAGAAGACATCCCTCGACTCTACTTGCATAGGGGATCTTCTGCACAGACTCGAGAATAGTAACAACACAGCGCTCCACAAACTCATGGAGGGCATCATACCCTTCCACAATCTGATGCAGCCGAAGTCTGATAGCCCACTCAAAGGCGGTAGTAGCGTGGTACGTGTCGGACTCCAGTTCTGCAGAGTACCCACAGTTATAATCAGCGCGCCATTCATCGATTCGAGCTTTCAAATGCGTAGCCGCAGCTTGAAAGCCAATTTCAGATAATTCGTCGATGCGCCTACTCCTATGATTGGCCAACAAATTGACCATCCCAAGATAATCAAACAGCGCCGGCGATATACCGTAAATGGCATCCGATGATCCATTCCGGTCAAGCTCTGGAACTCTGCTCCGTCGTAATGAGGTTGTAAGATCCGTTATACTATCATTGCTCTGTAACAAAGGAGCCTTGCAACGAGAAATAGTTGACATAGAGTCGAGATAGTGGAAAAGACTTATGCAGAACGTCCACTCATCGGATGAGATGAGGTTTTGGAATGCAGGAGACTTCAATATCGCGCTGGCGGCTTTCAAATGCCACTTCCAAACGCGAGATGTACCATCAAATAATTCCGTAAGGCATAGCAAAAGCACCGTGGCACAAGCTTCAAATATCGATTGGCGGTCTGAGCAGCCCAGTAATTTGTTTACTTGTGTCAAAGCTAAAGAGGTCAGCGTATGGTCAAAGCAGAGGAGTCAACAAAGGTGCAACCTTTGCCTTGTCGGGTCAGGGCGCATCCCCAGATGGTTGGGTAGACTCTCTTCCAATGGCAGCCACTTAAACTCAGAATGACGCTGGTAACCGTATCCGAAATAGTAGCCAGTGGCAGGAGAGTGACCAAGAACGGGTTCCGATCTACATCCTGAGAACGCGATAAAGCTCTCGAAACGACGTGGATATAGTGGTTGAAGAGCGACCGGTCCTCTTCAGTCCGCAAATGAGGGTTTGCCGATATAGGAGACCGACTTAAAGGCAAGTTCATAGAGTTCTTCCGTGGCAATGAATGGGGAAATAGCGTGGCAATAAACTCCTCATCATCGGAAGGGGTAATGGGGCTGAGCGCAGGCGGACCGCCGTCGGAATCATCAATCGGAATGCTATCAGCAGACACAGTTGCAATGGATATAGGCGAAGGGGTATCATTCATGTCGGGACTGTGCACTTCAACATTCATAGCCATAGCTGGCCACTCACAGGGAAGATTCAGGCGGCGACAATCGCTGCACCTGGGACGGTTCTCATCGCATTTCTTCTTCCTACAGGCCAGTCAGCTTCCGAGACAAGGGCCTATTAGCTCCACCATATTACCTTGTCTTGCAGGGCAAACAGCCGCTCCGGGACCGCGATGCACGGGGCCGTCGCGCAGGTGATCTGAGAGACAAAGTGGACTCTTTCTCTGGAGACCGGGGCTTGCACACATGTCCTAGACCTATAGCCAAGGAATCAGTTCATGGTCAAAGATAGCTTGGGAATAGTGCATAATGCATACGCTTGCAGCGTGAGCAAGGTGACTCGCCGTCGCATCGTTGTTTCTACCATTATTAGCGTGATGTATATATGGTGGGGGAGCACATCACTCACGATACGTGCGCAACGGGCGCAGCAGGCTCGACCAGGGGTACTCATTGTGTGCAGAGAATAGAGGAGAAGACCCCAGATACGACGGTTTCCTCTTATCGGCCAAGCGACGCTGATAAGATGTTGACGATGATTTGGCGGATTTGCCGAAGTGCGGGGATGAGGCTTTAGCGTCGCCTCTTTACTTGGACAAATGGGAACGACTAAGGGGTAAGCTATCTTATTTTTGGTGTTTCTATTTTCCAATATCAATGTCCATGGCCAAGCATCCTTCAGTAAAGCATCCCCCATTCGAATTCATTTCAAGCAAGCGCAAATATCTAGAACCCGAGAGTCGAAATCGACTCCATCAGAGGCCAGCGACCCCTTTACTTGCCAGACTTCTCAGACTGAGAAGGCTCAGCGGGAGGAGTGTAGGTAGAGTTACCCTGGCCATCGTTGTGGTAGGTACTTCCGTCGGGGTTGGAGTAGTAGTACGAGCCATCCCTAGATGTGTCAGTCATGTTTTGGAAGGCCACGGGTATCGACTCACTGGTTGGAGTAATCAGGACCAAAGTCGCGAACGCAGAAGTGGTTGCCCTGTGAGGAATTCAGATCTCGACTCTGTTGTGCAGTCAGTTTTGCAACTCACCTGGCTATTCTGGCCAGAGTTGTTGTAGGTGTAGGAGTTGCCGTAGTTGTCTTCCGGCATGGTTGCGGTTGATGAAGGTTGATGAAATGGATCAATGTAGAGATGGATGATGGAAAGCAAGTGAGGTGGATGAAGGGAAGAGGAAGAAGCGAAAGACGAGGAAGATGACTGACGGGCTTTTTATGGTTTGTTTGTCTGCCTCAATCGCAGCCCATACGCCTTCCCAAGCAGACACAAGCACGTAACCCTCACCAAGTGATTGTAAAAACTTTACTACCTGGACCATACTACCTAGGCTTTGTTTAAGCTTAAAACCGCACCTCGCGGTATTTGTTCATTTTCCACAGCCCATATCTCGAAATTAGTGCAGTACCTACCACACTCGCTCCAACAAGAACTGCAAATGCATAAGCGCTCTCCTCAATGTAATTAAGCACATTCTTACCAAACAAGCCTGCTACGGAAGTGGACACTGCAAATCCGAGCATGCAAATATCAGCTACGCTTCGAATATCATGATCCGATTCGGTGCACATCAAGAATCGACTGGGTGGTGTCCGTAATTCGTTTGACATCTCCCAATAGTGCAATCGCAGACTCGGCGATCTTGTCTGCATTCTTATAATATGCCTACAAGAGATATTCAACCTCTTGGTGGTCCTCAATGCCATGGCGCTTTCCGGACTGGCAATCAGACAGGTACATAGTGGCCATGTCTTCCAGACGGCAACAGCAACAATTAACATCTCTCTGTCAGAATTTTAGTTTCCATAGAAGTATATCCAACTACAGACTGAAGTGGATATTCTCAAGGATCACTTAACTTTGTTCAAAGGCAAGGCATGCCTAGAACTTCAGTTTGTTGAATGTAGCATTATCGAAGGCGATGGCAGTATCAACATCATGCAGCTAGCAAGTTCTCGAAGGGGAGATTTTAACCGGGGTATCCTCGCTCATAACTGGATCCCGGAGAAGGAAATTGCGAAGAAGTATCGGTAATGGGCAGCCAGAAGATCTCCATTGTCAGACACCTGTGCTATACACATCCAACGTCCGTGTTCGTTCAACAACGCTTTCCACCGAGAAGAAATGTGGTTTTCATCGGATTGGAAGGAATACGTCCGGACTTCCAGCAAGCTGGTTGAGCCACACCGAAAGTGCGACAGGTTATGTAAATCCGATCAGGCACAATTTGCTGTTGGTCCCATTTGCTCATAGCACAACCGGCAGATTAGCCGTATCGGGGCGGACAGTGTGCAGAGCTCAATTACTTCGGACATCACGTTAAAGTCGGTGACCGGGGGCGCAAGGCTCTTCGGTGGGTCTTTGTTTACAACAAAGAAATGCGCCAGCTGGGTCGTGAAGTACGTGGAAAACTGCATTTCGTCATCCACCATGGTACTACAACTAGGTTGTGGGTTTCTTCACCTGTTCAAAGGTCTCTGCTGCGATTTGTTCCAGCTTTTATTTACGTTATCAACAGTCATTGCTAGGGAGAGTGGCATGCACCATCAACATGTAGCTATGCAGTCGTGATTGTCAAGGATGGAGCCATCCGACTTGAGAGATATCAATATGGCAACATGCCGTCTTCTCGGAATGTCGTCCAATCGGTCACCAAGTCATTACTATCTACTGCGATTGGCATCGCAATTGAAAAAGAGTTCTTCACTCTGAATGTTTCGGTATCAACGTATGTGCCGGAACTCACCGATACACCTTACGGACAGATTTTGCTGCAGAACCTCGCCGATATGACTGCAGGAGTTGAGCCTCCAAATGGAACTGACGTTCCCAATTTATTCACCGACATTTACCCGATCACTGATCCAGAAGCCGTGCTGGATTTTTTCAAAACCTACCAGAAGGTGGCTGAGCCCGGTGAAGTTTTCAGTTACCATGACGAAAACTACTACGTTCTCGCCCTCTCTCTCACGCGTGCCGTCGAAGTACCACTAGGAAACTGGATTACTAAACACATTTGGGAGCCATCAGGGATGGGATACGATGGATTTATGCGAACAACCGGAGCGCACCAGGTTGACGGCTATGGGGGATTAGCTATCGCCTTGAAGGACATGGCCCGCTTTGGCTTGTTTGTCCTAGATTATTTCCATGACATAGCAGGACCTGATGTGCCAAAGCGCTGGTTCGATAATATTGCCGATGCGACTACAAGTACAGGGATTCGTGCTCCTGGTAACATCAAAGAGGTACCAAATTCGGGTTATCAAACTGGGTGGTGGACTATGCCAAGGGATGAGGATACGTATCAGCTATGGGATGACCGTGGGTTCGCTGCATTGGGGACATATGGCCAGGCAATCTATATCATTCCGGACATTGACGGGGTTATTGCCATGCAGTCAAGCTACCAGATTCATTATGCCGACCTCTTTTGGTATGGCCCAGAGTTTGTGACAGCTGCCGCTGTAGCAGTAAAACATTAGGCATAATTGCACCAAATCTACATTTTGTAGTGGTGGAACCCGTGACGGTAGCGTGTTAGTGGCTTGAGGTGTCACCAATGCCTCAGGATGCATGCATGCAGTCTTTTCCTAGAGATAGCAGCATCCTACCATCATCAATCTGACTACAGTTTTTCACCAGATTCTTCCCTCATGATATAGCATCAAGTTCAGTACGATTACCACCTCCAGGGACCTCTCTCTACGCCTTCAACTGGGCATGGGAGTGGTTGCTTGTATGCTTACTCTATTGGTGTCGACCCATCTGCCATGACAGACTGCCATCGTGCCATCCCCTTTTCAAGTTGGGAAAGGCCCGTAAGAAACCGGATAGGAGAATTAGCAGAAAACAATACCTTACATAGCCTTTGTCGCACAGCATGAACAGCTTCACGAATGCTATATGAACAAGCCGAAAAAAGGCAAGGGTTCTATAACAGTGATTCAAGATGGAATTGTTTCAATCATGGTCCCTCATTCACTTCTATCAACAGCGAACGAATCTTGGTATTCCATCTTGCATGAATCTCTACGGCAGCCTGGAGGATTGCATAGGTTGTCCATTGTTTGGATTTGTTCCCCGGGGTTTGAATTGCCTGTAGGGCTGATTTGCTGTCGCATAGAATTGTCAATGTCGCTAGACTACTGTTCCCTTAGAAGGTGACAGGCGATCTTGAACACCGAGCTGATATCGCAGAAGATGCCTATCAGCTCTGCTACTCTGCTATATGTGCCGACCACCGATCTATCGGTCCTACTTGGACGTATTGTGATTCAATGACCACTAGGTTGTCGAGTGCTACGACGGCGGTCCCTAGATAACCCTCGCATCTAGAGGCATCCGAGTAGACCACAGTAGCGGACGTGGACCGTATAGACCCGGCCGGTTCTCTTACCGTCTCTCGGTTTAACCAGATCTCAATCTTCGTGAAGGGCTCTGAGGAACAAGCAACTGACGGTCTCATCAAGCCTTTGGAATCTTCGGCCTTTTGCAAATTGTGTAGTCTCCAAGAAATCAAAGCCGCGGAGACTCAGAAACATAGTGTGTATTAGCGCTGGCCCACTTTCCACTTCTTTTTCCCATCGAGGATTTGAAGTGGTTTTAATGAGGCCTGACTGCTGTGCTTGGTAATCGTAATGTTTTATTGCTAGTTCGCTACGAATCTTTAACTTATCGTAACATTTATTCAACTTCTTTATATACATGTATTCAACACAAAAAAGCGGGAAATCTACTAGTAAGTACAACGCCCTGAACCCCCTGCCAACTAATCACGGCCCAGATTTACACGGTTCGAAACACACTCTTCCATACCGGTGCTTAGAGTTTAGCACGAAAGCGAAGGAAATCAAAAGCCGCAGCTAGAAACTACATCCCACATCCAGCATAAGTAAGGACATCAGCTTCAAACTTCCGTATCGGACACAACTTGAATTCCCTCGGCCGCTTGATTCGGATAAATCAGCACCGATAACACTGCCACACCTTCATTCACGAGCATCTCCACCGAATTCCAATCCACATATATCATCAACCTTACCGTGTTACCTCCCGAAGAATTCGACGCCGTACGCACAGTGTCGTATACCTGCTTTGGACCCGATGCCATGACATCTGTCGCCGAACCGTCGGAGTTCCTGATCAAAAATGCATAGGAATGCGTGAAGTCGTAACCGACGGTCGTGCCGAAAGACTCGTCAGCTTTGATGCGAATGTGGACTTGCTTGCCGTCGTCCCGTCATCCTTGGAGATCATGGCACCAATCATGTACGCACCTCCCACCAGGTCATTGGGAAGAGATGCAGAGGCCGGATCCGTCGTAATGGTCTGCCCGCTCACGGAGTTGGGGGGTGCGACAATATTTTCATAACCCTCTATTGGGTTACTGATTAGGGTGGAAGACCCGTTGATAGTCTTGAGCTTGACTTCCCGGACCATACTGCCTTGACCGGCAAAATCGCCGTAATAAGGAAGCGAACCTGCGTATTCCCAATTATTCATCCAGCCAATTGCGTAGCGGCTGCCGTATCTGTCATTCGGATTGTCCCAGCTGACTGTGGCGCAGAAGTCAGGCCCGCCATCCATCCATTGCGGGAGGTGGTTCGTTGCTGTGAAGCCGTTACCATCCCATTCCCCGGCCCAATATACGGTACCTGTTGTCTTACCGTAGCGATAACCATTCGCACTCACGGATAAGATCCAGGTGCGCTTTGTGCTGTCCCCGTCTAGGTCGAGCTGATATAGATCTGGACACTCTATATGATATAACAACAACGGAAATGATGTACTACCCCCCTTCCTCCCAAGCCCCCGTGGGGATGCAGCTGAAAAAAATAGGCATCGTCAACTTTTCCGGGGCGGTCAATTGGCCGAGTGTCTGGTTTTGGCGTGCTCAGATGGCCAGCAGAAAGACCAGGTGAAAGGGAATCAATTTTACAAAAGCAGCCTAGGGCAATGGAGTAGGTTTCGCGACAATAAGATGATCTTGGTGCAGTTCCCTGTCACCAAATGTGCATCCATATTTTGGTTTCCTTGGTATCGTAATTGCGCTCGCGTAGTGTGGCCAGCTTAAGCGATAGTAATACGGCAACGATGGGGACGCAAAGGATTGGGCCAATCTGGAGGCCGTATTGAGTTTTCCTCTTGAGGTGCAGCTTTAGTCGAGTCAAGCATCAAGCCATGATGGGTCGTTGAATTGCTCCCCTTTCTTTCCTGTATTTTCAATTTGATTTCATTTTCAATTTCCAATTTCATGTTTCGCATTTCTAATTGCGACATAATACAAATACAAGCAGAGCAAATTAATCTATCGCGGGTATCACTAAGAGCAACAGAGCCTTCGTGAATGCATCAATACAGATGTCCTCCGCTCGGCTATGTGTGTCCAGTATTTACCTCCAGGGGATCTTTTCCTAAGGTCCACTTTTCAGCTATTTCTTACCTTGGATAGACCTCGTTCGCCTTTTGGGAACGGCCTCGGGACAGAAAATACTGCAAACACGGAGAGCATGACGTTCATACAGTACTTTATGATAGACAAGCAGTGCAAAAATTCCCAGTTTGCCTTTCGCTTTGTCAAACCTCTCTTTGTTAGAAAGTTTATATAGACTCTTACCTTTAGATAGTCCAATACCTTTCATCTCTCTCTCTCTGCCTGGCTCCGTCATTTTAAGCATCAATGGTGGTATTTGCCTTGAACTCCTTTACTACAGTTCGATTAATCTGAGACGTGGATATCGCTAAATTCATTTCCCGCCATATTTTGTGGTGGTCAAAAAGCGCATTCCACATTTAATACGAGTAGCTAGTATGCCGTGCTGCCTCTGTGCGTAGTTCTAGCACCTGGGCCCTCTACGCCTGGGTTTTGAAGAGCGCTGATGACTCTGTCTTGCTAATGGATTTCCTCAAGAGCCAATGAAGGAAAGACATTTCTCCACAAAGCTCCTCGAGAAATTTACTACACAGGCGGGCATTGCGGCTTTTGCCACATACCGGAAATACTTAGCGCCCAGACGCGATGTGCTTGCTTTCCTTGAGTATGATCTGCAAAAGCTGACCCTGTTGTACCATCGGGCGCGAAGCCAAGCGACGTTTGTCTTCAGCCTATTCCGAAAAGGTGAAATGGAAAGAAAGAACAGCTCACTAGGGCCCGAAATGGTTGCGGGCGGTCTGTGCGATGGGTTCCGAGAGGTAGTCGGGCGTACTGAGGCCGGCAATCCGAGATTGACCACTAGTGCCCTAGCCACTCATTCTGGGTAAGCGGCTTTGTATCTGGAAACCCCTGGAAAAGGGGACATCGCCGAACACAGCGCCTGTAGAGAACATTATACCTACGGGGCGCAATGCGGACATTGGAAGGAACAGTTATCTACACATAGACGTTATAACACTGTATGTGCCAGAAGACCAGACAGATCAAGTCTCAGCATATTTCAGCCGGGTAGTATCTATTGATCTGATAGATGCGCGACTTCCGGCCTCACCGATAACCGAAGGGACGTTTATTGATCCCGCAAAACAAAGGCGACCACAGTAGCAGCTTTTCGAATATTTCAAGCGGGCGTTGCATGTTGCGTAATTGCTCTACTAGCGCTGCGAGACTTCTTTCTTTTTCATTGAACCTTACATACGGAGGTTACGTGTTCTTTGGTGCAAGGATAATAATCCGCATCCCGCAGACTCGCGCCGTTTGGAGTACTACACTATTCTCGCAGTGCTTCGACTGCAGCCCGCACTCCGTAGGCTGCGTACCTACTAGATAGCACTTTAACTGGCGGGTAATAGTACGCGGAAGGATGCGCCTAACAACTTGGATAGCATATATTGGTGAGTTCCGGAATAGAAAAAGAGCCAAACGGTTCAGAACCTCGCACTCGGTCATGGCACCTTCAAAATGATCCAAAAGAGCCGTGAAGATTGGGAGACGAACAATACAAAACCTCGCCTCTCCAATTTTTGTTTCCCAATCCCTCACAGCATTCGAACAACTTCCATTGCTCCTTCGACTTCTCCTCAATCCCGCTTAAAGTGCTTTTTTGTGTCACCCTCTAAAGGTATGTTGATGTCGAAACCTAAATTCGCAAAGGGGTAAATGTGTGAATAATTTAATTACACCTAATAGTTGCACTTTCGACAAAATACTCTCTAACTGTACCACAGACTGGGCTTCCACACGAAGCAAGGCAGCTTTAAGATAAACTCCTCGTCTTGCACTCTACAATCTTCCACGTAGCCCCCGAAGTTCGCCACTGGAAATGAGTAGTCGAGCATATTGACATCGCTTCATGTGAGGCCTGTAGCCTAAGACCATTCATTCCCTTTCTTGTGGCAATACTCGACTGGCACACATGCCGCAACCGACCCCAATCAGTGATCCGATGCCCGCACCGCCGATCTGACCACGCCAAGCTGCCAACCCAGCTCCAGGTGACCGGATCACAACCATGGCGACAGCACCCAAAACTGCTCCAGCCTCACTCCAGTGATCAATAGTCACTTGTCCATGGTTGTTCAACAATCTCCAACTGCGATCCATCCACTCGATCTCATCCCGGCCCCACATCCGAGCTATCAGGCCAATCCCCATTGTTCCAGCCCCAATAGCCCCTCCTAGGCCAGCGGAGTGAAGTGCAACAGGAAGAGTGAAGGGCAAACGTTTGACAAGGGCTTTGATACTGCTGTTAAGTAGGCCAATCGCCGACCCTAACTGGAAACCACGGCTAAGGACATGGGTTGCGAGGATCGTTCGTGCCATAGGTTGGTCTTCGGCATATTCGACTCTCGGATAGAAATGCGACATTATTATCGATGTTCTGGAAAACGCTCTTCGGGATGCGGGTTGGGTTTTGATTGTAGCTCAGAAAGGGATACTGTCTATTTTATATTTTACACACTTTTGCGGAGTTGGGAGCCGGCATCTAGACTGAAAAGGTGCGGAGGAATCCCGCGGAGAAACTTGGTTCCGTTTAGCCACTCCGAGGGCCAAATGTGGATCCGAAACAAGGCAGTTGCTTACCTGTTTATTAATCAGTGATAGTTGACAAGAAAGTGATTCCGGTTTGCTGATAAAATCGCCGAGGTGTAGGTTCTATTTGGCGAGATATTCTACAAAATGCTTTCGATAAACCTGATCCAAGCCCTTCTAATTCTGTAACCTTTGTAATCGCAGTGCAAATATATTTAGCTCAGTATTGAGCCCTGGTATCCCGAAGTGGTCCTAAATGCATTGAATCAAAATACGTATAGGTCAGATATCAGGCAGGGAACGGCCTGTGAGTGTTTGGTTATTAATAGAGAGTTGGTCCGGGTAATAGCACCTTGGACAACTGCTATAGATACAATGTTCTCCCTCCACTTGTTTTAATTGCAGACGATGTAGATGTAACTTCAGTGCCTAACTGCCCTAGCTCCAGCTAAACTGGGGATTGTTACCCTCTGCAATTGTCATAATAGAATCGCCTGGCATTTCCCTACCCAGCGACATAGAATCGTCTCAATCAACTAGCACCCACCCACCCAAGGCACAGATGGGAGCAATCCAGAGTGTAAGTATTGGAGGAAGGAAGCGGGCCTGCCAATACCGGAAACCTGCAATTCCTCCAGCGATGAACTGCGTCCAAAATATAGCTTTATCACAGTTGCCACGAGGACCGGCGTTGACACTCCACCTCCAATTAAGGAGTGCTGTCACCTACTGATCAGCTACGGCAAAACCCAAATATTGCTTCACTTACCAGAAATTAAGAAAACCGCATTTATATAATCCCAGGATATCAGTCCTCCTCGTCCGCCGAGTTCATGTTTGGGAGTCGCTATCGATCTGAAAGCTGGATAGACATGGTCGAAGCCATATTTCATATGTCCCGGGATTGCAACCAGATTGAGGAAGGCGGCTGCCTTAAACAAGTTTTCGCCAACTAACTGCGTTGAGAAAATCAAGCGTGACCTGCTAGCGTAACCCGGTGATTTATACATGCTCCGATCCGCCAGTACCGCATGAAGGAATCTATGACCGGCCCGCAATTAAGCAATATCTATACCATCCAGGCTCCGATGAAACCGGCATATCGGTCACTACAACATAGAGTACCTAATAATCACCTCAATCCCTCGAGGGATACGCCGTAGGTTACCCCTACACATCCGTCATCACGGTAATTTCCATTCAATTTCACGCTGTCATTGTCTGACTAGGTAGTTTTCGCCGCGACCTGTGATCCCAGTATAGGAAAGTGTCGATTTGCAACTTTAAGACGCATCCAATTTCGGGATTCCCCCGCATTGGCAGATACCAATCACTCCGGTGAAGTGGCGGTCGGTCACTAATCAGTCCGAGACAGTACCATGGTTCCCTGTAATCAACACTGCGGCTTACCGCAAAAAAAAAAAAAAAAAAAAAAGACCCCCAAGAAAAAGCTGATGTAATTAATAACAATCCCATATCGCCAAGATGACTTCACAACAAAACCTTCAAAGACAGAACCATACGATCGGGTTGTTATTTCCGGCAAGGTTTGGTCTCGGAGAGATTTTAAACCGAGTCTCGCGAAGGCAATTTCATCTGATGATTTGACGTTTGAGAAAATGCCTCGGCTTGGAGATATTTAATGACATTCAGCGAAGCCCCAAATTATCTATTTATTGGCTCAGTTCATCTCTAATCACACTTTCTTGACACAGAGAATATACCGCCTAGCTCGAAGAGTAGTATCTGCTGGTAAGCTGAAAGCCCGCCGATCATGCACCCTGGACGTTACCACGTCCGTTTAACTCACTCTGTGTTCATACTAGGATCAATAGAATACAACCGTCGAAATGCAGACACCTATACCAGCCCCGGTCTCAAAATGGCATCGTACCACCTACCCTGCCATTAACCCCTCCCAGATGCAGCTTTTAATGTCTGATTGCCATCACGGGCGGTGATGTAGGTATTGGGCGTGAAATGACTCGAGCTTTCGCGGCTGCTGGTGCAACTGTGGTACACATCTTGGGCCGCACTGATCGAACTCTTCAAGAAACTAAGAGACTGGTAAGCTTGGAGTTTCCGAGTATCGATATTACTACCCATGCGTGTGACGTAACCGACGAGAAATCGGTAGAGCGTGCAGCTCAGGAGATTGGAGCATGGGATGTTCTCATCGTCAATGCTGGATTTTTAAGTGAAAGTCGTCCAATCACGGACTCGAACTTGCAAGAATGGTGGCAATCTTTCGAGGTATGTTTACCCTGGAGCTTGGCATTCTAGCTTGGAAAGAACTTACCGCCTATAGACGAACGTAAAAGGATCGTTCCTTGTTACCAAACACTTCCTTCCTCAACGTTCCGAAGGGGCAGCTATTGTTGGTATTAGCAGTGCCGTCACAGCTCTCCCTGCCACAGCCGCACCAAACAGCTCGGCGTACGCATCATCCAAATTTGCGGTGATAAAGCTTTTCGAGTATATAGCCGAGGAAAATCCAGACCTACACGTCCTTACGATTCATCCCGGTCTTATAGAGACTGACATGGCCAAAAAGGGTCGACCACCCGGCGTGCCTTTCGATGACAGGAAGTATCTTGATATCAGTATTTCTGTACAGCAACGCTTGATTGACATTCCCTAGTATAGTCAAACTGCCAGCACACTTCACGGTGTGGGCTGCGAGCTCTGATGCGAAGCTTGCACGTGGGAAGTTCTTATGGTGCAATTGGGATGTTGATGAGTTGGTTAAAAAGTTGGAAGAGAAACGAGATGATCCGTTTTACCTAACCTCGGTTCGATTCGGGTCTTACTGAGACCAAATGCTTTGTCGAGGTGGCTGTGATGTCGGAATTATTGTATTCTGCCACTATACCTCTGAAAGATCGTGTTCATAGTTTCGGTTTCCTTTGTTGAACTTTTCCCGGTTATGTTGTTAAATCATTCTTCGCGTATCCTCCCACATTCCATCTCTATGCTGAAGACAGCTCACTGGACCTTAAAAAAAGGAAAGTTATAAAGAAAAACACGCCAGAGTAGTGCCCTGGTACTGCAGTCTGTACATAGCTTAGTCGGGTTGCCATCGAGTTATAATCGCAGCGGAATAATGTAGATGGTGAAACTCGGCTGCCAAAGGCTGGCCTTGACGGGCTGGGCCTACTAGGTGCGTAGAAGTGCAGATTTATTAATTCCAAATAGGCAATGAAGCCCAATGCTGCCAAAATACAACGCCAATACTAGTAATTTGGTTGTTATTTAAACTATCTCCTATTTAGACGATCTTATGCCTCGACTATCCATATATTCCTCGCCAATGGACATTTCAATGGTATACTTGACTGCCAGGCTTGGAAATTATTGAAGAGCCTAACGCTGATATTGAATGTATTATGCATTAGGTCTTATCATCACCTCTATTGCAAGAAGTATGTAAGTGACCAATCAATATAAAGCACTTAATGGGGGCTTTGGATCAGCTACCGATGGAAAGTAGACATGTGCTATCGGGGAGGGGAAAGAAGGTAGTGTAAATTGAAGAAAACATGAAGCTCCATCCTTGCGGCCACTTCATCTCATTGGTGGCCGTCGGCGGTGTGTCCATTTGCCCCTAAAAGCGGTCGTCGTTGATATCGCTAGAGGTAACTTCTAGACAGAGGATTAGCACTCAAGGAAGACAAAAGACTGCATTATTTGCGATATTGCGCCGCAATCACCCTCTCGTAGGGGAGGTATATGGAGACCACCCTGCATATATATTTCCACGGCAACCGCTTTATCGCGCCTACTCCACCATTCTTTACAAACTTGACAGTGACAAGTGAGAGAGTTATCTCATCTTTAATCATTTGAATGTCGCTTATTACCGGTGAAGATGATATCTGAAGGCCTGATAATTGCTCTTCTAGATTACGTCGATCAGGAGCCAGACGAGCATCACATGCTAACCAATATTCTTGTTTATCGCCGCATAAGAAGAGCCACGACATTATGCGGTCGTATAGATGGGAAAACTTGGATTACCTTCCAATAATATTGCCTATACTATGTCACGGGACCAGGACAACCCTCTTCGTGTTCATTATTGCCTCTTTGCCCCAGACCGAATGAATCTCCGCCAACGGCACCGGAAGAACCTCAAAGGGCAGCTCCTCCATCTTCGCTGCCACCTCCACAATCGCACCCACCAATCCCTCCATTTCGTGGTTGATCTCCTTCCTCCTTAGACTACCAATTCCACTCCCCATGATGCGAATCGGTCTGGTATTGACCATTCGCATCGGTAGATCCAGATTCTCCTGCCCAGCCAAACCCCCAATGATGATATATTGCAAGTCTTCCTTGCCAATCTCCACCGCCTGCATGATCCTGACAGCAGCCGGACCACCCACATAATCAAGCACAACTTGCACCGACCCGACACTATCAGGCATGGTCAAAGGTTCTCCTTCAGGCGGCAGAACGACCCGTTCATCGAGTCCCTCCACGCAATCCAGTGTCTGCTGACATCTCGACACTCCGACCACGCGACTAGCGCCCAGAAGCCGGGCCACAAACGCCGCTGCCCGGCCGCTGGCGCTGGTCGCACCCAGGATGAGCACAGTGCGGTGGAGACAGGACCCGTCGACGGTCCGGCACCGCAACGCCATCCAGCTGCTCGTGACGGGATTTGCGAGTGCGGCGATGGTCACTGCATCTGCCTCGGCGGGTAGCTGGATAAGCTGGCTGCGATCAACGTTGGCTCGCTCGGCGAAGACCGGTGCGGCCAGCGTCGGGATGAAGTATTTTTGACCCGTCGCTTCGTCAATTCCGACCCCGTCGATGCTCGGGTCGAATGGTAGAACCGCAGTGGATGCACTGGGATGTTTGCGGCTTGCGCGCAGTTGAACAACGCGCGGAACAGCGGCAGCGAGGACCTTGAGCTGGAGCTGGGAGGGCAGAGGTGGTGGGAGGTCTGAGGTGTCTATGCATGAAGGTGGTGAGCCCCAGGCGGTGACGCGGGCTGCTTTCATCGTTAAGGTTGCCATTTGTATGCTGGTTCTGGTACCGATTCTTACTAGAGATGGGTTGTGGATGCGATGAAGGAAAGTGGAAGCCATCAATTGTGATAGTAATTGTAGGATGTAGAAGTGATGGTGATTGTCGGGGAATATAGGTGCCTGTCATAGCCAACAGAGCGGTCAATTGTCTGTGACTTAGGCATGTCAGATCACCTGAGGTAAGGGTTGTTCATTTTCCAAGCTGGTACGTGGCATTCATTTATGATCTATCAAATTGCCGATGCGGGATGGATTAGGTCAGGAGATATCATGCATCCACCACACATAGGTACCTCCCTCCACTTCTATTAGATCTATCTCTCTTCTTCTCCCATACAGACTAGGTACATATAATTCCTCCTTACAAATCAAATAATTATGGCTACTCCAACGAGAATCCACATCGAACCTCACAATACAGCCATCTTCAGCTCGAACATGCGAGCAGATGCCACTGACACCCTCAACGACCTCCTACAGGAGAACATGGAGAACCACCATGTATATTTTGGAGACGCTGGAATGCACGGTATGGCAAATACTCGCTGCCCAACGACCAGTTTTATTCCCTTACTTATATCAAAACCAGACCACATAGTCCACCATCTCCTCGCCATCTATACACTCGGGGCCTCGGCCGAATCCCTCAAAGAACATTACTGCCGCGCAAGGCAGCAACAATGGCCCGCTATCGCCATCGACGAGTCCGTCGTCCAGGCCCTCTCCGACAAGGCCACTTGGAAGAACTTCACGGGAAATCATCGGCAGTATCAGAACTTCCTCGCCTTCTTCCAGCGGGAGCTCGCGAAGAAAAGCGTCGAAGACGTCCTACTCGAGTATCTCTTCAAGGGTGATGAACGCAGCGATGATATGCTCGTCCGCATGTTTAGTGGTACGTTATCATCCACCCATCACGGCGCCGGCAGGCACTCCTCGAGTACACCACAACCAACCAGATTCGGTTCACCCGTTTATGTTTATAGGAATCTATCATTCATGGATCCATCTTGGCTACGCCTTGGAATTCCGCCAGCCTTGCCTGGTCGCTGAGGCATTGGCCCAAACGGCTATCCACTGGACCTGGTCGTTGGAAAAGGTACTCATGCCAGCTGAGCAGACTCGGCCATCTTCTCCGAAGGAGAAGAAGCCGATGCTTCAGATCCTCAACGAGATGCGTTCCGATGCGAGCGTCACAAACGCCCCGAACTGGGATGATATGTACAAGATCCAGACGCTGTGCGACCGGGCTACAGACCGGCTGGTCCACCATATCAGTCAGTTTACAGTAGCGGAGGACGAGATCGACGAGACAATCGCGGATATAATGGATGTGAATGGTACATACACAATCGCTCTGCCTAAGCAACTCAACCGACTTCCTCATCCACTAATAACGATATACAGCATACATGACCGCCGCCAGCCAAAACCCAACCAAAGAACTCAAACTCGACTTCTTCTTCATCCACGGTGTAAACGCCACAATCTTCCTCTCCAACCTCCTCTCTCTCCCTTTCATCTCCACCGCAACCAAACTCCGCCTACTCACCTGGCGCGGCCGCAACGATCTCATCATGTATGCCTGCTGCCGATGTCCAGCCCTCGACCCAGCCCGACTGACAGCGTATCCGGCGCGCCAGGACTGGGAAACGCTGTTCGCGAAAGGTATGGCCTGTCCCCAGGAGGACGGGCATATCTCGAAAATGTTGCGTGCACTGGCGCATGCGGAGCGGGTCTGCGCTGCGATGGAGAGGGAGAAGGGGCGTCGGTTTCTGATGACGGGGGATGCGTGGTTAAAGCTAGGGAATATATGTGAGTATCTTGCGTTTCTCGTTTGCATTCTGCCCACAGGGTTTTTGCTAATCATAGACGTGTTTCTACATATACAGGTGTTGATTCAGTGCCGGATGAGGGGTCCATGTTTGTTCGGTCTGCTGGGTGGGAGGAGGCGTGGGAGGAATTTGGGGCAAGGATGGATTGAGTGGCTATCCTATACTAGATACGGAGAAATAGTGTGAGCATTGGCCAAGTAAGCTGCTTTCAATGAAAGTGTCCAATCCAACGGATTGGGGCTTAAGTGTGATGTTGATAAAACTCGACTACCAGGCCACGGCCTATCATGTCGATCCATCGAGTAGTCTACTTTTAGAATTTCACTGCATTTCAAAGACAGTCTTCGATAGAGATGCACAACCGATTTACATACCAGCTGTAGGGGACATCTCAATTCCAAGCAATATTACAGCAGGCTTTGTCTATGTATTCACTGAATGTGATTGATCATGCATACTATCGGTACTATCTCACCGAAAAGTCAGCATAAGAGTCCGGTTATACAGAGATGACGAGAAGCTATAAAGGTCCCATATCGTGTATCTCTAGCCGCAGGACGTACGATGGGCCAGACTGCGTTATCTGAACCGGATTGACCATGTCATGTGCAGGTGGTGCAATGCTAGAATAGAGAATCAGGCGCACATGGCCCAAGACTCCTTACCCTGCCACGAGCAGTTGCTTAATTCCAGCAGATACGACTGTTGCACTGCCGATGTAAGGGGGAAGGGACCCACCCAAATGCATATCAAGACTTTCGTTATCCTGCCCATATCTGGGAGGTTCTGGTGCCACGTACGATCTCGATCACCTTGCATGAGACATGTAGGAGGCCAAGCCCCGAAAGCCATCTTATATAGAAAGACAGCCAGCCTCCCCAGCTGACCAGTAGGAAGCCAATACTACCTCTCTAGATTACTCCTCTGAACTCTCGACTTACACATATAATATACACATAGAGAAAGAGGGTGACGCTGGCCATGTCGTTCAGAAACCTCCCCCATATGCTGGAGGCAGTGGCTTCCCAGGAGTCCACTGGCCACATCTTGACGTACTCTTCGGGAAACACAGACGTACCGCAGTCACGCTCCTACCACGAGCTCTTCCAGGCGGCAAGAAAGGCAGCCTGCCTCCTTCGTGCAAAAAATGTTGGGGCACCGGGCTCGGTCGTTCTGCTGCATTTCCATACCCACTGGGATGGGGTACTCTGGTTTTGGGCGGCCATGCTGGCCGGGTATATCCCAGCGCTCGCAACACCTTTCTCCAAAAACCCAGACGTCCGCGCCCGCCATCTAAAGCATCTGGCGCATACTCTCTCGCAGCCGACTTGCCTGACAACAGTGGCAGCAGGCCTGGAGTTCAGCGGACAGGAGTTCATCACCCCCGTCTATGTCGACTCGTTCGATATCGACGAACCGGCGACCGAGAGTGCCGACGACACCGCAAGCGAGCCCAGCGATGCTGACATCGCCGCTTTGATGCTGACCTCCGGAAGCACCGGCTACTGCAAGGCAGTCACCCTGACGCACGGGCAGATCCTGGCCGCCGTCGCGGGAAAGGCCACAGTGCTGCCGTCGCCGGAGAACACCTCGCTGCTGAACTGGATCGCCCTGGACCACGTCGCCAGCCTGGTCGAAATTCACCTTCTGGCCATATATAAGGGCCGCGACCAGGTCCATGTTGCGACCCCGGATGTTCTGTCCAACCCGCTCCTCCTGCTGGATTTGATTGATCGTCACCGAGTGTCCCAGACCTTTGCGCCCAATTTCTTCCTGGCGCAACTCTGCGCCACCCTTCACGATAGTCCCCCGACGCGTACCTGGGACCTGACCGCGCTGCGATACCTCAATTCCGGTGGCGAGGCCAACGTCACCAAGACCTGTGACCAAGTCTCCAAGTTACTCGGGGAGTATGGGGCGCCGCCCAACGTGATCGTCTGCGGGTTTGGAATGACCGAGACCTGTGCGGGCGCCATCTTCAATCTGCAGGGTCCGGGGTATGATCTCGAACGCTCCCTCCCATTTGCCTCGGTGGGACAGTGCATGCCTGGGATCGAAATGAGGGTGACAGACGGTGACGATGGCCAACCAACCGTCCTATCCAGCGGGACGACGGGCAGGCTCGAGGTTACAGGGCCGGTCGTCTTCAAGGCCTACTTCAACAACGCCGCAGCGACGGAGACAGCCTTCACGGCGGACGGATGGTTTCAAACGGGCGACCAGGCTGTGATCGACGAAAACGGATTCTTGCGGCTCGTCGGCCGCCAAAAGGACATCATCATCGTCAACGGCGTCAAATACATCCCGCAGGAGATTGAGTCGTCCATCGACGAGGCCAACCTCCCCGGCGTGACCCCTGGCTTCACATGCTGTTTCGCCTGCTTCCCTCCCGGCGGCGCAACCGAGGAGATCGTGCTGGTGTATCTCCCCGCTTACGAACCAGACGACAGCAAAGCGCGCGCGGAAACCACCAGTGCCATTGCGCGCGTGGTCATGATGGCTGTGGGTGCACGACCGTCGGTCATCCTCCCTCTGGAGCAGTCGCAGCTGCAGAAATCAGCACTGGGCAAGCTACCTCGGGGCCGGATCCAAGACGCCTACCGCCAGGGCGAGTTACAGATGCAGCTGGTCGCCCATTGCGAGCTCATGAGCGCGTACCGTCGAGCAAACCACGAGCCGCCCACGAGCGAGCTGGAACAGCGTCTGGACACCGTCTTCCGGGCCTCGTTTCCGGACCTCCCCGAGGAGTTTGACGTGGAGTTCCCCATTTTCGACCTGGGCATCTCGTCCATCGAGCTCATCAAATTCAAAAAGAACCTCGAAGAGCATCTGGAGCTGCCGCATGAGATTCCCATGGTGACGCTGATGACCAAGCCAACCGTGCGGATGCTGGCAGACGCGCTCCAGAGGGCCAGCGGCAGCGGCAGCGCCGACTGTAGCCAGGCGTATGACCCGGTCGTGAAGTTGCAAAGTCACGGGGACAAGACGCCGCTCTGGCTGGTGCACCCGGGGGTAGGCGAGGTGATGGTGTTCCTGAACCTGGCCAAGTTCCTCGTCGACCGGCCGGTGTATGCGCTGCGCGCGCGGGGGTTCGATCACGGCCAGAAGCCGTTCCATACCATCGCGGAGGCTGTGCGCACCTACCACACGCGCATCAAAGAGACGCAGCCGCACGGCCCGTATGCCATCGCCGGCTACTCGTACGGGTCCATGTTGGCGTTCGAGGTTGGGAAGGTCCTCGAGCGAGAGGGCGATGAGGTCGCGTTCTTGGGGTCGTTCAATCTACCGCCACACATCAAGACGCGCATGCGACAGCTCGTCTGGAAGGAATGTCTGCTGCACCTGTGCTACTTCCTGGATTTGATAAAGGAAGGGCGCGCGCGGGAGCTGTCGGCGGACCTGGATGACGGGTCCGGGGTCGAACCGCCTCGGCAGGAGATCCTGGACCGGGTGCTCAAGGAGGTCGACCATAAGCGGCTCACGGAGCTGGCGCTGTCAGCACCAGCTCTGAGCCAATGGGCCAGTGTGGCATTTGCTCTGCAGAGCATGGCGGTCGACTATGAACCGGACGGAGTAGTTGCCGGCATCGACGTGTTTTACTGTCATCCGTTGGCGATAGTGGCGTCCTCGAAGGAGGAGTGGAAGGAGAACCATCTGAGCAAGTGGGGGGATTTCACGCGGTCTGAGCCCAGATTCCACGAGGTGGGCGGCGCGCACTATACAATGTTGAATACAGAGCATGTCTTTGCGTTCCAGGAGACGCTACGGGGGGCGCTGGAGGCGAGGGGGTTATGAATCTGGTTAATTGATGACGAATGAATGAATTGATCCTCTAGCTGCGCTAAGGCTGCTTGTAGACTCTGTGCCGAGTCTGCTGGGTTATGTAGGTGCTAAGGTCAACCTATAGCCACCAACGGGAGAGGACAGGGAGTATTCCGTTTGAGCGCATCACCTAGCACGCGAAGCAGTAGCAGCAAATCGTTGAATTTAACCCCCCGGCCCGCCAAGGGCGCAAGTCCCGCTTCGGGCGTCGGTGTTACGATGGGCCCGATCCGAGGTATTCCCCTCGATATCAATCTCTCTCCTTAAATTCCTCCTCAACCTCCCTTGCATCCACTTTTTATATCCTTTACCAGAGATCTCTCACATAACTACCCCTGTCAGAGCTCCACCTCTGGGTAATTAAGGGCGAGTATGCTAACCGCAAGAGCAACAACGAGCCCCAGTAACTACATGACACTGCTATTTGAGTTCTTATACTGCCGGATCACCCTGCAAAACCATGTGTAAAATGATTCAAACGAACTCTCTGTCCGGCCCAGCCCGCCCTTGCAGATGATAACTCAGCTGGGGAGTGGTGTGTGCTATCCTCAGGTCAACCACCCAATCCTCTTTTCAGTCCTATCGTATGAAATCAGTCATTATTCCAGAGAACTCGACAAGGTTTACTCTACACAAGTAGCAGCATGTATATTGCCAACATTGTCATCCTGGCGCTGGGTATCCCCCTCATCTCCGCTGCCTCTTATCCCGCCACGCAAGCACCGGAGAACTTAGAAGGGAAGGCATTGCCCGTGTGCCATACCAAGCTCAAAGATGCCGGACTTAGACATGCAGCCATCACTCGTCGGCGAGCGAAGCTCCAGACCTTTGTCGGCGCAAAACGGGCATCCCGTACTGCGAGAGATAACAACCCTGCTATCATCAACCAGACCAACCATCACTCCACCCATCATTACACGCCCTTGACCCCGGAGAGTGTCATCTTCCGAAATAGGACCTGTGTACTCAACGTTGAGACCGGACCCGGCCCGTATTGGGTGAGGGGTGAATATGTCCGTGAGAACGTGATTGACGGCCAGCCAGGAGTTCCGGTCATCCTTGAAACCCAATTTATAGACGTCGAGACCTGTGAGCCGATTGTCGGACTTGGTATGGAGATCTGGAGCGCCAATGCCACTGGAGTCTACAGTAGCATTCAGGGTGGCTTCATGGAAAAAGCCAATGGCAACGTCAATGATGCTTCCAATCTCGCCAAAACATTCTTACGGGGAGTCCAGAAGAGTGATCAGGATGGGGTGGTGCAGTTTACGACCCTTTTCCCTGGACATTATCACGACCGGGCAAACCATTTTCATGTTATTGCCCATCTCAACGCCACCTTCTTACCCAATAACACAGTGAGTGGAGGAACCGTTGCCTGTAGGAGACCCCGAACCCCCATTGGCCTTCGGACAGGGTGATACTAACCAGTCTATCATTCAACAACTAGATGCGGGTCAGTTTTTCTGGGACCAAAACCTGATCGATCTAGTTGAAATCTCATACCCCTACGACACCAATACAATGCCACTCCAGCGAAATATCGACGATGGATTCTTCATTACCGAGACTGAGAACACCAATTCCGATCCGGTCTTGGAATATAGCTTCCTGGGTCCCGATCTGTCAGACGGGCTGTTTGCCTGGATTACAGTCGGGTTGAATGTCTCGGCCTCGTATGATCCCAACTACAACTGGTCTTGGACGGCAGATGGCAGCGTGTATGGTCCACATGGCACGTTCACGCCAGTTGCTGGGTTTTCCCAAATTGGAGACTGGGACTGACTGGCCATACTATCCTGTCTTACCGTTTGTCTTGTGGCCTCTCGAAGTCATCGGTAAAATGAGAAGGTGTATCTATGCATTTCGGCCTACCCACACCGCTTCGCGGTATGGGTACGCAACAGCGCTAGACTAATTCACACCGATAGACCAATGTGACGCCATTCCAACTATTTATCAACACATTAGCGGGCTACTATAAAGAAACTCTCGCTATTTTGAAGCGCTACTCTCGCTGCTTCGATTAATATAGCACTCTCCCCCGTAGGCTGTGGTGGTGGCCTTTCACAATACTTTTTTTCCACGCTGTTTGATTAGCCGCTTTTCCTCCGCGGCAGCATTGTTACCCTCCTCGCTGCAATTGATCGAACTACATCTCGTATAGTAAGTGTCCCTGAGTGACTGAGCGGCTTAACCTGTCGCTTAGCATATTGATGCCGTAAAGTGGCCTCGGTGGCTCGTATACGGCTAATTGTTTTGTTAGAGATAGCAATCTTCTCGGCTGCGATCTTATTATGCTAAAAATCCGTTGTCGGTTTTGTTGGAGATTCTGGAAGAGCTTGTCATCGTGAAATAGCTTAGATAACTTCTTCTGGTTCTTTTTGAGGGCCTGGATGCTCGCTCTTCCTAGGCGTAATTTCGACGCTAGAGGATGAAAGTTCGATCGGTAGTGGTGAAGGTGTAGGCTCTCCATACTGGCGGATACCAGTAAGCTCTGGTATAGGCAGAAGCTGGTCTTGAAGCCGATTAACAATTTGATTGCCACCTAGGGGGCATATACCATTTTTGAATGAGTCACGGATAATTCGTCCATCGAAGTCCTTCATTCGTGTGGGTGTGATTACCTGTGGAAAATCGGCTTGCCCAGTGGGTCCCCCGCACAGAGCATAGGTCGTTATTTGCACTCCGGAAATGCTGCTTATAGCCTAACAATGGCTTTCCATCGACAGGGTGGCATATATGAGTTGAATCAGACTCGAAATTGAATTATATAATGTTGAGGTCCTCGTATTTCTGTAAGTTAGATATTCGACCGTGAGGTGGGCTTAAGACATACACTGGGACAACAACTAGGTTGAGCTTTTGGCCCTAGCCATCTAGACCAAGGTTAGTACGCACGAAAGCATTGAAAATGAAAGAATCCTCACGGTAAGCCTCTGCGTGTCTCTACATCCAATGTCAGCACAATAAAGAACAACATTCGTAGATAGACTGACCTATAGGCAGTTTCTCCCATAATATCTGTTAGAGTATCGCTCGACTAGATAAAGGATGAATTTTGGGCTGCTTGGATGATCTGTTTGCAGGGATTGGCTTGGTATTCCAAGTTATTGGCGTTGATATGGAAACTTACGGAACTTGGCATAGTGTCTGTCAAGAACACCCTAGCCGCCGGGGATTGGCATCTCGCACACAAGGCAAGTGATTCCTATAGTAACCTATAGAGAATAGAGGAGTCAAATCCTGTTCATCAGTGACTGAGAATCTAACGTACCAGTGGCTGGTACTGAGACGGCGTCATGCCCTCAATCGAGAAGGTCAAGCTCATTGGCATAAGAGTATCTGGATCTTGCGCCATGATGTTCGTGCCCTGCCGCCATGCGTGATAAAAAAAATAAAATAATGAACGAGGGGAGGATAGAAGCACGGAGAGACATGAACGTGGGACGGGTGAGGTGCTGAAGACAACACGTGCTGCCAGAGCCGCAAAAACCAACTAAGCTCGAAAATTGAAGAGCCCCAAATGATCAGCACTCATTTTCTTATTAAAGCTAGTATAGTGGACAACCAAAGATGATTGACGCCTTTATTAGGATTGATTCAGGTTAGTATTTGGGACAAAATCACACCTTCTCTTATGTATACACTTGATATCATTTACTCGTTCTTTCCGATGTAGCAATCATTAATTTGACAGGCATGACAAGAATATTGTGTAGTCAAAGACAATTACATCTGTAGAGCCGTTTCAAAGTAGCCGACGCTCGAATTCATCCCTCCTCCTCATCGGAAATTAAGGACACCACAGTAGCTGATTTTTGGCAGGATTGCCAGGGTCCTGTGGGCTTGCCATGTGTATCCAGCCGGTGCGCAGTGGCACTTTTCCGACAGGCTCTTCCTTCACTCCATGTCCTACCACACTCGGGGCATTTCAGGTCGTAGCCGGGTCTGAAGTCAAGACACAACCACTCATTGAAGGGTATACTGAGGTCCGGATGGTGTGGCTCCACATGCCGTTCTGCAGCGTTGGGCATTGTGAATATCGCCCCGACATTCGGGACACTCGCGCATCGTTGTAGGTCTTGCACTGTCCCACTCGCTCGGCCGCGAATGCTAGAGATACTGTCAGTCAAAAATATACAACGAAAGACGTATATATGAATCCACTACCAATATTACTTGCGTTTGGGGTCCGGTGAATCCACCTAGCTCATAAGAGCTTGATGCTGGATGAGGAGTAATGTCTGGTAGCACCGTGTTCCGACCAGTTCTTAAAAGTGCTAACTCTGCGGAAGTCTCCGAAATCATGATCTTATATGCGTGGATCTGGTCCATAGTGTGAAGGAATTCGACGGTAGGTCCATGTGGGTATTGTGTTTTATTAACGCGCTGTTGTACAGTGCGAGCCTGTTTACCGCGGCGGACGCGACCGCGCAGTACCTCATATGAATCACCATATTCACACGCGATCTTCAATGAATACTGTTTTTGGGGACGGACGGCTTTACAGGCCTCGACTACACGAGCTTCGTCGGATCTTCGACTGCTTCGGCATATTGTGTGACTGGGAATAGCTGCAAAAAGTGGGGTTGACAAATTGGTCAAACGGAGTGAATGGTCTACCACTGTGGCGCACCTATACTGGAAGCGGTTTGGGTGGGCTGAAAGGCATAGATATCTGCATCTTGTAACTAACGCACGGGATAACTGGGGTAACAACAAAAGAAAATTGAAAAATTGCAGGTGGAAGAACACGTGAGGCGCATATGCAGTCGATATATGCAAGGGATGTGAACAAGGGATCTGAACAAGGAACACCGGCACTTCCCACCTTCAAAAGTTTAAAAGCAGTGGGCAGCTTGATCCCAACAATAATGAAAGAAACGCCGCCGTATGTGTCTGTAATCTTGCTTCTTTGCCTCTTGACTGTCCAATCGCCGACCATGTGGATTGACCGAAATTTCATTCTTCTTTTTCTGGCGAGCTATTGCATTGGGTTACCGACACTCGAGGGTCCATGTTCGCCAGCGACGGTGGAGGTCCGAAAAGAATGGTGAATTTGCCATCCACATCTTCCTATATTAACGTCAATATCATAGGCTGACTGGTAAACACTATAGGGGCGAGTTGACGCCAGACGCTCGCATCGACTATATCACAGCAGTCGCCTGTATGAAGCATAAGCCGCCAGTCCTTCCTTCCGAGCATTTTCCCGGAGTGCAAAGTCGTTATGATGATTTCGCCGCGTGAGTACATACACCTTGCTCGGTCTTATGGTCAAAAGCCCACAAGGTTAACCCGCGTGCTCGAGGCAGGACACATATCAACTATACTCTCAATACCCATAACAGCGGCATATTTCTATCCTGGCACCGGCATTTCGTTTGGATCTGGGAAAAGGCCTTGCGAGAAGAATGTGGCTACAAGGGTACTCAGCCGTAAATCTCCCAGCGCAACTCTAGCTCGATGATAGGTACATTCTAATTAACACCAAATGGTGCCAAGATACTGGAACTGGGCGCTCTGGCCCGATCTATCAGCAAGCCCACTTTTCGACGGCAGCCCAACATCTCTCTCAGGCGATGGCGAATTCGACCCAACCGAGACCGACGTCGTCTACCCGTATGACGACGGAAAGACGATGACCATTCCCCGGGGCACTGGTGGCGGGTGCCTAAACTCCGGCCCCTTCATGAATTGGACCGTGAGGCTTGGGCCGTTCCACATGAGCGAAGGATTCCTAGACTCGCTGCGCCCCACCGCCTTTGCAGACAACCCGCGCTGCCTGTCGCGGAGCCTGAACAGCTGGTTGATCGACCACTTCAACAACCAGGTGGCGGTCGACCGGGTGCTGTCGACACGGACGATTACCGAGTTTCAGCAGGCGATGCAGAACTTCCCGTTCAAGAAGGCGTTTACGCTGGGGCCTCATGATGCCGGACACCGGTCCCTGGGTAAGGATATGGCGGACTTGTTTGCCTCGCCGCAGGACCCGGCTTTCATGCTGCATCATGGGATGATGGATCGCTTATGGACTATGTGGCAAAACATGGATGAAGCGGGGAGGAGATATGCTCTGAATGGGAGCAGTAGCTCTTTCTACAAGGTCAATACCCCTCTAGTGACCTTGGATACGACGGTGGAGTTTGGCGTCCTTGATCAACCGCGGACACTTGTCGAGTTGATGAACCCACGAGATTATGACTATTGCTATCGCTACTCGTAATGGGAGAATATGATGGAGAATTAAATTGGTCCTTGGGTGTCGTTATTAGACCTCGTTAAAAACATTTAGAAGGGCGGAGGGCGGATCCTTGCCTGCCCTCGCCCGGCCCTTAATGAGATCCTCACATGCATGTGCTATATGTCGGACTTTCTAGTGATCTACATCGAAATGCTAAGCCTCCGTGAGATTGTCCTAGTCGACGGCTGTGACATTGCAACCCCCATCCTTTTCTAGAACTGGGTTGGTGACTACGTTAAGCGTGCCGAAGCTGACTTGATCCAGGTGGTTGGTGATCTCCTTGACAACCCTTGCATTTGCTGTCGGGAGGGCAAGGGTCCCTTCGCGCACTGCGTCCGAATTACAGGCACCAAAAAGTGTGGCAACTGCCACGCCTTTCCTAGCAGAGTCTGCGTCTTTGATACCTGCCAGATAATGAGGCCTCATATCGTCGCTGTGTGCTTCTCCCGCTCAAGCTATTCTATATGGTACGGGCGCACACGAAGAACGTACCACTATCGCATCTAATTCCGATGTCCCTCAGCTGAACCAGTTGATAATCACTATCATCCGTCCCCTACAGGAGAGAGAAGAACAGACTCTCAACCAGGAGGTCCAACTCCAGCAAAAGATACGAGACGATCAACACACTTGTGCTGGTGCTCAAAGTGGTAATTGAGCAGAGCAACCACGCTCTACCTGCAGACTCCACTGCTTCCAACCCGGTGTCTTTAGCATTAACGATCTATGACTCGGTTGCCGACAACCTTCGCCAGCAGAAGAACCTCCAAGACCGTCCGTCACAAGGAACAAATCCAGGGAACCAAGGGTTCCGATCGGAACATTATCGTTCTTCCCGTAAAGAACCCAATCTTTTTTTCGGACAACCGAAAATTGTCTCCCATTCCCGGCCGTGGAGTCTGAGTCCTACACTCATCTTCTGGACGATACGAGCCTCTTGCTGGTTGGGGGTGATGGGGCTATATAGTGGGGAGCTCGGACGACCCGAATTCCCACGTGGAAAGTGCTTAGCCTCGTCAAATCGGGAATTACGGAGACCAAGGTTCATCTTGTTCCCTGGTACTGGTTACCCACTAACAGATTGTGCAATACAGTATGACTATTGAAAAAAATTTGTAATCCGTGGGTGAATTCCCCGTGTACTGGAATCACCTAGCAATGGATACAAATAGAAAAAAGCAAGAGCTAATAGAGTCGTCCCACCACCCCTCCGTTGGACGTGCAGGGAAAAAAACCCCTTCTTCTGGAGTCTCAAATCGTTTTTTGTTTCTTTGGGGGCGGGTTCTCGGGAAGTGGCGAAATGTTCAGTGATGTCCCTGGATACATTAGTGAGAATAATCTTCGTATAGCACAGGGAGACATACAGTATCCTCAGTCGTAAATTCAGTGTTTACCAGCGGAAGAGCATGATGTCCATCATGTCTGCCAAGTCGTTTACGCAGTCCTCACGGCGGACGCGCTCACGGGCCTGCTGCTGCATGGCGACCATCAACTGTCTGTATTGCCCCTGGAGATGGTCGACATCCTCTGGCCGAATGTTACCAGCCATACGGCCTTGGCCAAGCCGCGCAATCGTGATTTCAATCTCACGGATACGGGCATCCACAACGCGGTCCACCTCATGTACGATTGTTAACTGGCTGGTCAGGGCATGCTGTAGTGCCACAAGCTCATGAGTTTCCCGTACTGGGGAAAGTACTGCATCATTACCGCTGTCCGCATCTCTCTCGCCGGGGTTCACCTGTGTGGATGTGGTTTGTGGTGCTCGTTGATTGAACCGGACGGTTGCGTCTGTCGTGCATTCCCGATTTGCCTCGTGGCAATTTGCGCATCCATAACGGGTCCCATCACCTCCGGGTAGTTTGACGCAAAGTGCCCATGGGCCGTTGCCTCGGAGGCAGCAGATGCAGGGGTTGATTTGGAGTTGACCGACAACCTGAATCAGCGCCGACTCCACGTGAAGAAGGTCCCGTCCCAGCCATTGGTAAAGTTGGGAGGATGTTTTGATTTTGCCGCCGTTGCGGACGAAAGGCTCGCGCTGGCTCTGGAAGGAGGACCAAACTTGCAGCAGTTCGCTCTTCAACCGTTCTCCTTCCCTGACGGCACTCCGGGAAAATTGCTTGATTGCCTCAGCCCACCCATCCGGGGGCATGACATCTTTTCCCATTCTCAACGATGGGAGTTCAAACCTATCACCTGGGACAAGGCTGCCAGGGTCAGGGATAAGTCTGTGAATGTCAGCGTCTTATTCTTCCATAGGATGAATCGAGTAAGGAGGAGGCTATCTTGCAAATGGGTGGCCATGATGGCCGTTGAATTCGTCTGAGAAGATGCAAGGGAAAGGCGAAGGTGGTTGGAGAGGAATTTGATGAAGGGAACGAGAGAAGTTGGAAGTTGGGGTGAAAAGGAAGGAAGAAACGAAACAGAGGAAGACAAAGGGGTTATGTGAACTAATCACTTTAGGAGCCTACTGTCTCTACCTATCACGGATCGTAGATTTGGGCAGACTACATTACATGATGATTTTGGCCTATAACACCGCTGGCGAAGATATATTCCTGGTATCCAAGTCATTGGAGGGCCCGAAATGCGTGCAGATTCCGTAACTGTTGAGGGATCGGAATGCTACTGACATTAATGGGATGTCTCCCGTGAATAGAACGGCTACAAGCCTTACTAAAGATCTTTTGGTCGACAGTGGCCTTTCGAGGTTCTACACACAACTATAAGTCTTTAAGATGCATTGATGAGGGAGGATATCATTGTCATTTGTTAGTAAAGATAATAAACGTAATGTCCCTCCGGGTCCCTCTTTCTTTGCGCTGCCATATCTTGATATTGTCATTGTCATTGTCCCTTTCCTTCATTGTTTGCTTCATAGTTGTGAACGCAAGGTGCGGAGCTGGTTCGCCATGTCTCTCTCAACATCATTCTGGCGACACTCAAGCTGGTAGGCACGGATCAGAAGCGTTATGTTTTCACCATGTCGCTGGAGGTCCCGATCTTGGATAGTGTTGGTGTTCGAACCCCTTATGACTAGATCAAAGGATTCACGAACAACGTTGAGCAGATCTGTAACAGTTCGACTAGCCTCGTGAATGAGGACCACCTGAATTCTGTGGGACGATTCGAGCACTCGAATTTGCTCAGCAAGGTTCACATCGGCGATCGCACGTACCTCTGGGTGGTTGTCCGCAGGCCGAGCCGTTCGAAAGCGGGCGCGGTTAGCCCGAGTGTATCGTGGTGGCGCGGTTCCGGTGAACTCGCACGAGTCTGCCCGTCCTAGTTGATGGCAGTTGGCGCAGGGTAGTCCGTCGCCAGCAATACCCTCAATGATGACGCACCGGGCCCAGGGCCCTCCCAGCTTCTTGCAGTGGGTGCATTCTTGGTCCGTGGTCTCCTTCACGGTTCCGACAACCACCAAGGCCGCCTCTATATTTCGAATATTGGCGAACAGATGAGCCCTCAGGGCGGGCTCAGTCATCCGGCGTGATTCCCGCAACTGAGGCTCACGGCGGGGAGGTCGAGCAACGAGGTCCTTGGGGAGTGGTGAGAGAAATGCATCGCCCTTACGGGCCTTTGATGAGTTCAGCTACATCACCTCTATTGCCCACTCTCCGGGGTCATTAAGGTCTCGGCCGACCTTCGGTGGCGGAAGATACTTTCCGGCGGCAGCGGTTCCAGGGTCCGGAACCAAGCTGTCAATGTCAGATTTCAATGGTCTGTATCGCGTCAGGTGAGTAACTTACAAGCGAGAGGCCAGTGGAGCCGCTGGTGGTCCGGAAGTATCGCTGGATGGTGGATGCGCCATTGGAGGTGCGGTTGATCCGGAAGGATCATAGGCGGGTGCGCCATCGTCCATCATGATTGGATAGATCGGAAATTAGTGGGTGAAAGACGGATGGTGGTCGATATTCGGGGGTGTGGCTACATGCCAGATAGGGTCACAGCTTGTGGAAACTGTTATTGGGACGGCCAGCAAGACAGAGCTACAGAGGATGGTACAGCGCTAGAGGCAGCGACCCAGCGACCCTAGAATGTACGGTGTCGTATCCAACCATAATGTTTTCCTGCGAGGAGGGCAGTGAAAGCCCTTGCCGTCTTGTAAAATATTGATACCTCTGATTTGTTAGAACTCAAGGATATTCCCAAAAAAGTCTTAGAGGGAAAAAAGGAAAAAGGTCCGGCGTCAGTTCCAACCACCATTAGATGCCTATTTTAAGCGTATGATCTAGGATATGGGATATCCTATTATATTTAATATACCTCGATAAGGTCATATAATCATAAGTACATACCCTACCTTTATATAATTTATATGATCAAGCCAAGACACTCGAAAATAGGCAAAAAAGAGGTGAAAAAAGAAGATTAAAGTAGGGCTTGGTCAATATCAAAAAGACCTGTAAAGAGAAGGTAGTGAGTTTGATTAGATTACCAGACTGGTCCCATCGTACTGCGTTGCTTCCAGTCTATTTACACACCGTGTAGGTGCATTGCAGACCCCAGCTGTGACCCCTATGGTCCGACCTATTTTCGTACGGTTTCCACCAGGGACCAATTTGCCGACTAAAGAAAGCACAGTTTCCTTGGCCATGGGCGAAAAGACAAAGACGAACTGTATATTTGCTCCGGTTCGGGAAAGGATTTCTGTCGGGCAACGGTTCAAGGGCTATTGTTTGGGAACTCTGCGGGCCTGGGCCATATTGACGCGCTGGAATTCCTCGACTGCTGCTCCACTGGGGCTGCACGCAGTGCCAGCATAAGAACTTTGCAAATTCTGGCGGCCATCGACGAGACTCGAACAGCAAGGTCGCGCACAGCAGGTGTGTCTTTCACCCAGCGTTTCGGAAAAGTAGTTCGGTTACTACGAATGTCAGGGACGCCAATAATCACCACGGCCGCAATCTTTGCTGAACTTGAGCTCGAACGCCCTATTCATACCCCCAAGGCACAGCTTAAGCCTTTAGGTGCAGCTAGGCCTATTGTGCAGGGCTTCAAATCTCCAAACGGTGCCTCTTATCATGGCTCACCCTACCAGCTCCATCCTCCTCATCCAACGCGAGAAAAACATATCTTTGTGCACTTGACTTTTGAGGGCATTGCTCAAACAACCACTATGAGTTCCGCAAAGTGATTGAGACTTTGCCAGCCGATATGCAAGCTAGCATAGTGGATGCCTTTGAGACTGACAGCTCCGCCATCGTTTTGGTTCGAATGACATACTCAGCGTGGGCCACGCTTTCGGCCACAGTGAATTGTGAGATGGCTGGCCCCGTTATTAGTAGACCACTTCTTCACCACGAGCCTGCTTTGCAAGTACTTCAAACTGGCAACCTGACTGATGAGGATCATCCCTCACTTAAGTAATTACTAGGGTCGCTTACTATGTATTGCTAGTCCTTCCATCTGTTGCTTATCTCTTTGCTGCTGTTGTCGCTGATCTATGTCTGAAACGTGTGCTATTGTTACCACTCTTGCATGCTTTTACTCAAATGTGCTTGCTCTATTGACTTTTTGTTTGCTGCTTCCATCGCCGATCCGGGTCTGTACCGTCTAGAGTTGTTTTTGATTTTGCATGGTTACTCCGACGTGCTGCTGTCCGGTTGACTTGGTCAGTCAATGGCCCTTCTAGAACGATTTGTCTCGTCACTAGGGAATTTCTATTGCTTACGCTCGTCTGTAAGTATTTTGTCTCCATAATCGTAGTTAGCATTCTCTACAATAGACCGCTTTGTGCAGGGGACTATCCTATCCCTGTATTGGAATTTCTCCTCAGCTACGATTTTGAGATTGTGTAGTTGACATTATTGTGTTGGGCTCCTCCCCCGCAGAGCCGCATTCAGAGCCGTAGGGGGATTGTAAGCTGATTGCCTCAGTCAAATCTTCATGTCGAAACAGGGCTTGGAACAAAGGAGCACTTTGACTTACAGCTCCAAGATCAGAACAAGATCTTAGACAGAAAGCTGGTGTAGGTTGATGAGTTAGTTGGGATTCTACTCTACAGTTAAACTAGAAAATATTTGTTGAATTACGTTCGTTATTGTGCTGTTGACTAGCTCACCCTAGCTAACAGGAAATTGACCTATGCTATCTCTGAACACTATCTTGTGGCCTTCACGCACTCTCTCCCCTTCAGTCTCTGATAGTTCATGCTTCCTAACGGCGTCGAAGGAGGTCGCTCAGTCGACTAGCAATCGCATGCTGGGTGGCTAGGTTGTGAACCTGACCACGCTGAACAGTGAGGATTCCCGCAATTTGCCCCTCATAAAGCTCGATCTGAGCATCTGTCACATTTTGACGAGCGACGGCGAGGGCTAGGCAATGCAAACTAGCCTGCATGGCCTCAGTAAGGGTCACTAGATGGCTTCCCTCATTCTGCATGTTGACAAGCTGATCACGGAGTTGCTCCTCTAGCTCAAGAATAAGTGCCTGCCTTGTCGCGTTTGTCTCACGCCGGGCTTGGCCACGGCGAGGGGTTGGTGATATGATTTGAGCGATAGCTACCGGCGGACGATAATGCTTGCAAGACTGCTCGCGATTGAGCTGACGACAATTGTTGCAGCCCATGCCTAGTCCTTCGTCGTACGGTAGGTGCACACACCTAGCCCAAGGTCCATTGCCTTCTTGACAGGAATCGCACTCCAGGTCAATATTGATAGCGGCCTGACCAACTGTGGTCATCATTGCGGCCTCCATATTCCGCGCAGTGTTGTCAACGTGTGATAAGAGCAGGGTATTTGTCATGGCCCGGCTATCGCGAAGATGAGGCTCCCGCTGCTTTGGCATATACTTGAGTTTGGCAACGATAGGGGATGTAATATGGTGACCTCGTCGGACCTTCGTGGAGTTTGCCTGCATAAACCCTTTTGCCCAAGGACCAGGAGGTAACCGGCGGCGGCCAGTTACTGGCCGTGGCAGGTGTCTCGAACGACCCTGTGGGGTTGCACCTGAGTCTGGGAGGATGCTGTTTATATTAGATATTCGTCTTCATAAAATCTTGTTAGATCAGATTCATTTTTGGTCCAGCATGAGGGCCGCATGCGTGCTTATTTCTCGGGCCTCATCCCACGACAATGACTTTGCCCCGTTGGAAATGGCGTTGAATGGTAGTATTGCACGATTGGTTCTATTAAGTAAGCTCCAAGCTTTTACCGCTAATTTTTGTACGATGTTATAGGTTCAAAACAGTCTTTCCAACCCTTGTAATGTGTGCATTCTTGATCGGTGGTCTCTTTCACGGTTCCCACAACCACCATCAATGCCGCCTCAATGTTCGGGAGATTGGCAACCAGATGCGCCCTCAGGGCGGGCTCAGTCATGCGGCGGGATTCCCGCAACTGAGGTTCACGGCGGGGAGGCCGAGCAACCAGGTCCTCAAGGAGGGGTGATAGGATTGCATGACCCCTACGGGCCTTTGGCGAGTTGAGTTCCATCACTTCTTTGGCACATTCTGCTGGGGGATTCAAGTCTCTGCCAATACTGGGTGGAGGAAGGACGGTGGTCCTTCCGACCCTAGCAGTTCCAGGGTCAGGGGCCAGGCTGTCAATGTCAGATTCCAGTTTTCCACGTGGTCAGCATCGTGTCAGATGAGTAACTTACAAGCTAGAGGCCGGTGCCGGGGACGATATGGAGGTGGGGCTTGATCCATCACGATCACATGGATTGGAGTTTTGTGGGTGGAAGTTGGATGGTGGAAGAAGGTGAAGAGGAAAGAGAAAGAAAAAGGTGGGGGAGGGTTGCAATAATAAAAGATCAAAGATGTTTCGCCAGTCCACCACGTGCATTATGGTAATGTGAGGCCACCATGGCATTGCTGCCTGAGAAGTCGCTGAACAATGAGAGGCCGCAACGGCATTGATTGCAGGAAGAGTGCCCCGTATAGCAGCCCATTTACACTTCCAAATTTATCGAGGACGAACGACCCAGAGTCACCATCGTCAAAGAATGATTGACTGCTAACCGAGAGCCAGGGAAGGCTTCTGGGTCCAGATAAAAAAGTCCTATAAAGTCTCGACGATGAATAAGACGCGCTTCATCTCGAGATACATGCGCCTAACTGACCTCAGTGTTATTCAGTGCTTGTGCCTCATGTCCGGCCCAGATCAGGGGGAACGATGCCCTGGGATTTCACCAAACGGGGAGAGGTCCGTCAAGACCGGATCCCACATGGCCCCACGGTCATAGCCTGGGTCAACAACTTGCCATTTTTCCTTGTGTACAGAGGGGTATATATTTTGTCTGGCGGCTACAACAAATTCGGGTGGTTGATTAACCGGCCTGTCCAAAAGGGACAGCAAATCAAGGGTGGCTACCCTAAGCACGCAGAGGAACTGCACGGCGGCCTCTTCCTGGCGACTCCTGCGGCAGTGCGCGACGCAGCCCTGATTCTCCAAGTCACTGGCTACGGCAAGATGCCAGCCCCGCACGGAACCATCTGGGCGTAGGGCGTCGACCGATCTATGCCTGTGATTACGCCGTTCGATTTTGGGCGTCAATGCTTGGTGATTAACAACGCGGGTTACTGTGCTATCCAATACCTATACAGGGTGCAGGGATTTAGACCAGAGGTCTACACCAGCGCACCGGCTGCGGCTAGAATGCCCCCCAACTGGCGACCCTCCGCCGGAAAACACGACTGCAGACCAGTACCCCGTCCGCTTGGAACGAGTGCCAACCAGCTTCTATCACTCCCGTCCACTGGAACAGCATCTCGTATCCTAGATGATAGACCACTGGGATACACGGTACATTTCCAACAGCAAGGGATGGCCACATGTGTGGATCAAACAAATAACCGAGCATGAGAGCGACATCGAGAGCTCTTACACACCACCGCCTGGGCTCTAGACCCGCCCCTCACCAGGGTCAGAAAGAGAGGGCGATAACCACCCGCAGTCAGGGGGAGCAGAGCGGCAGCTAGACTTGGCCAGAAGGCCAAGGTCACAGCCGCACTCTGACGGAGTGTCATGACGACAATGGCAATGGAGTCGCAGCACGCACTCCCAAGAGACAGAAGTTATCTATCACAATACCACTCCCCGCAGAGTCCGGCTGCGAGAGAAGACGCGCCTACTCCCCGACATTCAACTTGTGGCACTGCGAGGCCACCATGGGACCGGGAGCCACACAGAGGGACATTGGGGCAGGCGACCTAGTTCGCCAAGCAGAGCCGCTGCGAATAGTCTGCCACAACAAAACAACCAGCTCACTGACTTAATGACGCAGACCGGCTTCATTGCTGAGCAGAGACTCATGATACACACGCACCTGTCACCAATAGCACTAGCGATTCAGCTAGTGCTAGATGCAGTCGACCAGCAGCCTAGCCGATGAGGGGAGATCATCGACGCGCTGAACCTGCTAAGCCTCATTGACATGATCAACATATCGGTTCGGACCATGCTTGATAGGCCGCAGAAGACAGAGCTATAGGGGATGGATGGTACAGCCCCTCGAGTCAGCGACCCTGGAGTATACGTTGTCGTATCTTACCAATGATGTCTTCCTGCCAGGAAGCAGTTAAAGTTCTTGCCGCCTTGCAGGATAATGATACCTCTGATTTGTTAGAACTCAAGGCTATTCTTAGAGAGTCTTAGAGGAAAAAGGACCGGCGTTAGTTCCAGCCACTATTAGATGCCTACTTTAAACGTGTGATCTGCGACAAGTTAAGGGACATCATGTCAAGACTATTGCCTACATTATATTTAATATATTAATATACCTCGATTAGCTCGTACAGTCATAAGAAATAAGACCTTTCATACCCCCAACTTTATGTAATTCATATACTTAACCCGAGGCACTCGAAAATGGACAAAAAAGAGGTGAAAAAAGAGTTGAAAAAAGAGACGTTAAAGCAGGGCAACAAAAATAAGTAAAACGGTATATTCTTGTGAAGACTGCCCTGTAATCTATCAATAGCACGGTAGGTAACATTTAATACTCTATTTCCTACCCATTTATTGAGGCGTATCAGATGCAAATGAAGTGAAATCACCTTAATGTTTTCGCCTGGTCACTGAAGCCCAGAAAGCCTCGAATACAATACAAGTTCAACTAGATATGCGCTACTCAATTGCCTCAATTTTGATTCAGAATATCTGGACTCGCCTGATGGAGATTTGGAGTCACAGGTGGATGGGGCTGCGGCATCGGATATTACTCCCCTAAACACGCGTAAAAAGCGCCGTCTCAGATATGATAACGACATCATTAATGGAATCAATCCTGAATCCAATGACGTCGTGCTAATGAGGCTATACCTCTCCATCATAGACATGATGCCCGCTCAATACGAGCCCCTGGTATGTGCGATTATCCCCTCGCTATCAACGGTTTTTGACTTTAATTTTGCCTAAGGTCACCACTGGCATCAACTATCTTGTATGCCAGGTACCCATCAGAAATGGATTGCGCTGTGTTGACGTTCATCATGCCAATATGCGTGAGTGGCTGTCAATCGCTTCAATCCACATCGAGAGCAATGCTTATTGTGATACACAGATCACGCATCGAATCCAAAGTTCATGAAAAGCCTAGTTGAAGAATGCACTGAAGCATTTCGCTGTCGAGGCTTCCTGCTGGTGAGTTTGACCCCCAAATCCGGACCTTATCCCGTTGACTTTTGTGTAAAATCACGGCAGGGCCGATCGTGAGACATTTACTGTTTGCTTGAATTTCCCTAACACTAACAAATCCGCAGATGGCTGGCCAAACGTGAACCACTTAGTCACTCACATGCTTGCAAACGATCCGAAGGGAAGGCCTAGTGACAGTTAGAGGTTGCACACTCATCGTATGTGCTCAACTTGCGGTGCAAGAGGCGAGGATACTGGTGACTGTAAAGTTCACTACGAGACACGCCACCCAGGGTACACGCCACCCAGGGTTCAATATACCAGAGTGACTGTCTTTAACACTAGTGCCCCTGACTGGGGAAAGATTCGATGGTATTCGTTCAATATGCCAAGCACAAGTTAACCGCAACGGACACAACATCAGACGCCATGCTGAAACCCATGGAACCCGCGTTGTCACGTGGGAATGGATGCGTGCAGGACAAAGCCTTCCAAATGCAGTGTATGTTCACCATGGCCTCAGTCATATTTCACCATAGGATATGGTCATATCTAATACCAGTGACAGTCAAAAGCTAGGCAGCAACGACACTCAACCAGCTACGGTGGTGTCATCTCCCACTGACGCCGACTCAACTGAATTTGGCTTATTTCAAGATGAGGGTGAAATTCAAAGTGCCCAATCAAATTCTCGTCCGATTGTATGATCGTCTTCCAAGCAAAGACTTGGTTGGACACTGACTGACTCTACAGGCATCATCACAATACTGGCCGAAGCCAAAAAAAGATAAAGCATGATTGTCCTGTGAGTAGGACATCACATTTTCCTCAGATGCGAGAAACAAAATGTCAATCGATACCATTCAGCACAAGTGGTACCACCGTCGGTAGAGTGGGATCTATCGCCTACAATGCCAGAAGACTGCTTCGAATCGTGGGCAGAATGCCCATTGTGCGGAGTAGAGACAATGCTCAAACAGGGGGGAAGAAAGTTAACAGCTCATGCGCGTTTACATAGCTTGGCCGACCTTTCCGAGATCGCATGGATATGGATGCGACGTCAACCTCAGCATACGTGGTAAGATTTCAGTCTATTGCAAATTTACTATTAATATGGTACTAACAGGTGATTAGTGTGAACGATAAAACAAAAGCATTATCGGCCAATGAGGCCGAGGCGGACCACCAAGAAATGGAGAGTATACCAACACACAGCCAAAGTCTTGTAGCGTCAAAGGCCGTGCCAGCGAACGCACAAATGAATTGTGAGACCGATGCCTCGGCGCTCGGCGCCGCATGGAGACTTGGTTTTACAACAGGATACCGCCAGGCTATCGAAGACCACAATGGGGCTAGCCAGGCACGCGACGACGAGGTACCCGAGTACGATCCCGGCTATATGGTGGAGACATCCAGTATCGACTCCTTCTACAGTGCACACAAATGAAACATCAATCATGAAACTCACGGCTAGGCCTCAACGCATTGAATACATACATAACGTATGCAACATATTGGACAAAATAGTTGACTGCCTACAGGGGCAATACCGAGAATTGATGCTCGCCATGCAGCAACAGGCCCGTGAGCGCATCCACCACGAGGACTGCGTGAAAAATTTGGCAGGCCTGATGGATACCATGCTCTTCCGCTGGTGTATGGGAATGGTATAATATCTGATGGATATCGTCATCTTCCGCGACTAGAATGAACTCATGACTGAGGCTACTGTATGTCTCCCTGCACTATACAAAGAATATTCTCACTAATTACATCATCGAAATTTCCCGGGCCTATCTCTTTGGTCGGCGCTCCAGGGCAACGGAGCTGACATTCCTCACTTAAGTCTGGAAGATCTTAGACAGCGTGTGGATTTATCACTTAGTCGTACGGGCGGAGGGCGCTAACCGGCAGTTTAACAAACGTCATCATCTAATGAATTTCAACCTATAAGTACCAAATCAATTTAATATAAGCCTTATTAGATCTCGTAATTCATATCTATACAAGAGGCGACTTAAGCCAGTCTATATACCTGTTCCGCGATGTGATTATTCCTCGTGGATTATAGTGAATTATGTAGGCTAGAGTTTTGATGCGGACACTACGTAAGGGGAGACACTGTTTTCGTAATAGGCACAACGGGCGTACATCTCGCCACAGTATTTTTCGATATGAGAGATATTGGTCTACCAAACTTATGTTTATGTATATTGAAATGGTTGTGAGGAGGGAGCGGAGTGCCGTCTAACGCGGTGGTCGGGGATCGGAGCCCGCCTCCGATGTCTTGGCGTTGTCTACTAAACAGAGGGAATACATGGATGACGTTGTTTACAGGGGTGAGGACCCTGGCAGCCCACTGATATATATGACGATCTGTACATTCTTAATTTAATCTAAATAATATCTTTTGTACACCAAACCGCCTATATCAACATCATTTTCGCTCATTCATAACATCGTTTCTAGTGGATCCCTGATTTACCAATCGTTGACCAGAACATAGCGGTAACGAGCGTCACCGTTGTTCATGTCCAGGATAGCCTGGTTGGCATCCTTCATGGGGCGCTCCTGGATCCAAGGCTTGACACCCTTAGCAGCAGCGAGATCCAGCATCTCACGGATCTCATCCGGGCTTCCAATGAGAGAACCACCAAGCTTGATACCCTTGATGATCAGGACGAAAGCGGGGATCTCAAGACCACCATCCTCGGGGGCACCGAGCTGAACGAAGGTACCGCGGTAACGGAGCAGGCTGCAGTAGCCGGCAATGGGCATCTTGGAAGAGGATGCAGTCGAGATGATCAGGTCGAGAGACTGACCGTGACGGGTAACCCAGTCCTCGTCCTCACCAGTGGCGATGAAGTCATCAGCACCGAGCTTCAGAGCATCCTCTTTCTTATCCGACTTGCGCGAGATGGCAACAACACGGTCCGCACCAAGAGCCTTGGCGAAAAGAATGGCAAAGTGACCGAGACCACCAACACCAACAACACCGACAGACTTTCCGGGACCGCAGCCGTTCTGCTTCAGGGGAGAATAGGTAGTGATACCACCGCAGAGCATTGGGGCGGCATCGGCTGAGGAAATGGCGTCGGGGATCTTGATGACGAAGTGGGAGGGAGAGCGGTTGTACAGAGAGTAACCGCCGTACGACTTGCCGCCGTTGGCATAGGTACCGTTGTAGGTGCCAACCATCTTGTTGCAATACTGCTCAAGCTTCGCAGCGCAAGCCTCACAGTCACCGTCCTTGTTCTGGCAAGCACCGCTCTGAGCACCGACACCAACACGGTCTCCAACCTTGATATCGCCCTTGACCTGGGAGCCGACACGGACGGCGGTACCGACAACTTCGTGGCCGACGCAGCAGGGATAATTGGTGGGACCCTATAGGACAATTAGCCTTCACTCTCTCACACAGCAACTGGAACATCGACATACCCATCCACTGCGCAGAGTGTGCAAGTCAGAGCCACAGATACCACAGTGAGTGACCTTGATATCGACATCGGTCTCCTCCCAGGGCTTAGGCTCGAATTCCTGCCAGACCATCTTTCCGTTGGCAGCCTCGGGGCTGAGACCCACCCAACCTTCAAACTTGTAATCGGTGCTCATATTGATATTGAGGTAAATGATATTCAATTGCAGAATGATCTACTAGGGTCCCCAGTCCGTCTATGGTACTCTTTATACCTAGGCCTTCAAGATCGACCCAGTTTTAGAAAGTTCTCGTAAAACTCGATTTGTGATGCTATGCGGACATCGGGTTGGCTGTTGAAGAAAAGGTTCCACTTCACCCGTGAAGTGGGTTGTCATCACGGCGTTAGGATTATGTCCGTGAAGAGATTTCATCCCTTGTTCTATGACGAAGAGACTGGAGGCGGAGATAAAAAATGATAAAATACTATCGCCTTTGATTTGTAAGTAACCACTTTAAGCGCTAACAGATAGAGATTAAGCTAATGCACGTCTATAGATGCTGACTAGATGACGTCACCCGGATTTAAGAGCGCCAAGCCTATGCAAACTAGAGCCTCAGGATTTATTCACATTCAGTGTCACTCTAGATATAGAGTATATATATGTGTGTGTGCGTGTGTGTTATTTGATTGAGAGCACCGAGAAAACACCAGAATGACTGGATCGCTAGGCAGTTCATTATTCATATATATCTATGAGTATTATGTACAGTGTTAAGCGCCATTCATATCTTATCATCGGCCACCGCCTTTCCACGGCGAATGTAATACTGTGCACAGAGAATCGCCGCTAAGGCCCATGATGCACCGGCCAGCGAGCAAATTGCGGTGAGACCATGTAAATACTTTGGCGCATCGGATGTGCGGAAGATCTGAGACCCGGAGATACCGGCACAGTTGGCAGCCATGACAACCAACCTAGAGAGCTGTTAGCAATGCATGCTAAAAATACATGCAAGGGATTGGAAACTCACGCCATGGCGACACTTCGCTCTTGGGGGGTGCGGCAATAGAATGACAGCCAACCAACGTTGAGGATGCTATTGATAAGATTAGAAGGGCCACATTACTCCGTAACGTCCAATAGAACTTACTGCATGCTGCAATAGGAGATATTGGCCACGGCAATAACTCCATACCGGTGCCATTGGGAGGCATGAGGGTTGCTTGTGCGCAGACACACGTAGGAAATAACATTCCAGGTGATAGCTAGAAGCACAAACGGCCCACGGTGGCCGGTCCGATCACTGTCATGAGTCAGTACCTTTCTCCAAAATTTAAAGGGACAGAACATACCCGGCAAACGAGAGAATAGCCAACCACACCATGCTACAGTACACAGGCACGGAAGCCAATGCATTGGCGCGAACAGAATCGAAACCCAACTTTTTGATCATGGTTGGAGTATACTGAGTCAAACCCTGGAACCCAGACATTGAAACCAAAGTCAAGAGCACATGCTGCATGATTCTTGGCTCCTTGATGGTCTTCCAAATATCCGACTTGGTGATCTGGATATGGCCACGAGCCTTGCGAGGATCGTCTAGCAGAACACGGTTGCGAATGATGTGGGATTCGCGCTCGGTGAAATAGCTCCATCGGCCCATGGCAATCAGCGGACGGCCATCCCCAGCTGCTGGAGGCACGAAGAGTGTGAAAATGATTCCAATGAATAGCGTGATCAGGCCTTCAACGAGGAAGATCCATCGCCATCCCTCCATACCGTGGTTACCATTAAGTTTCAACAGACCAGCAGAGATTAAGCTGGATGTGGCAGATGCGAACATCTGTCCATAGAAGAACAGACTGGTCCGGAGACTGGTCTCGTCCTTCTTGTACCAGGTGGACAGATAGTATAAAGCGCCTAATCTGGTTAGCACTCATTCCGCCACGTGGAACAGGGTAAAGGTACCTGGAATGAATCCACCCTCACAGAAACCCAGCAAAATCCGAGTCACCAGGTATGCCGGATATGATTGAATAAAGGCCTGGAAAGTTGCGACAAGCCCCCAAGCGAAGAGCTGACCCGACAACCATACGCGGGGTCCAATGCGTTGGAGAATGATATTGGAAGGAATCTCCGACAACACAATACCAGCAGACAACAGCTGCGTACCGATATTAATTTGATTCGTCGTGATATTCAAGTCTTCGGTAATGGACGAAGTCAAGACGGCGCTAATATTTCCACGGTCCATTTGCAAGGCGAAGAATGCGAGGGCGAGGATAGGAATGAGAATGAAGTCGACTCTATTGAGAAGTATACTGTCAGTCATATACTTTTGTTCAATTGGATAGAACACATACTTGCGCGTCACTGCAGACTCCTCTTCATCCCAGTCTTTGACGATACCATGATCAATCTCGCTAGGGGCGGCAACGACCTGTTCGCCGACTATGTTTTTCTCATCGAAGATCTCTTTAGAGACCTTATCTGAAGAGACAGACGACATGATGCTAAAAGGAGAACAAAGGACAAAAAGCAGAACGTGGTGGGCCAGTGTCTACTGCATTCTTCGCGACCGGTCAAACATTCTTATAGAAAACTAAAAAAAATAGACCCACCCCTATCACAGATTGATTGCGTCGGTCTACACGAGGCCATCCAGACCTCAGCCAATGCTGAGTTGTTTGCGACACGGTGGCCAGGTATGGCGCAATCATGGTGGATTTGACGAACATTAATTGCCGAGTTCGGGTGTTTAACACCAATTATATAGCTCTATTTATATTGTTTCCATTGGTATTCGGTTTTCCCGAGCTGATAGCCACGTTTTTATTTACCTTGGCTTCCAAGGTTTGATGATGTTGTTGGGGTTCTTAGGTATGACAGCCGATCTATGAAGTGAAGTATTCGCTTCCAACCTTGGGACTTGTGATTATTGTTTCACAATCAATTTTACACTCATCTTTGAGTGGAATAATTCTATGTTTTTGAATCTCAATTATTTACATCAAAAACAAGGGTATCTCATACTCATTACACCCAAACATCCCAAGACACACCGTACCGACTCACTAACGGCACCTGCGGCCCTTCCGCCTCGATAATATACCCATCATCGCACCAGTCAAATGAGACCTGAGGCTGGGCACCGTAGAATCCATCGTACCTCTCATGCAAAGCATCGGAGAGGGTACTAACAGAGTCTTGCGGCTGGAGGACATTCCAGGGGTGGATGCAAGTCACTCCTTGGCATGACTTGAGTACCATGAGAAGAGCATCCAGTCGGTTGATGGCTTGACTAATGCTGCGACCTAGGATGCGAGTGTCTCCCCCACTTAACTGGGAGGTGCCTGGATATAGGTTGTGTAGCTGGTAAGGGTCGGTCTGAAAGCACAGTCAGTGGTCTATTTCTCATATAGGGCGATTGTGTACTCACCGATAGATCATATAGTTCATGTTCATTGTTGCACCAGACTGAGTAGTAAAGGTTGTAGCCTTCCCCTAGAAGGCGAACTGATTTGTATGTGTTGTTTGGGATCTTGCTTGAGCCATCCGGACCTGCACTAGTCAGCATGGTTGTAATCCATGGATGTATCGCGATCGCGCTCACCAATTCCACTGAAAATCCCCTCTACAACTGCATTGCCCCAATATTCCACGGTAACATGTTCATGTCTCTCCGCGTCGAAAGCAGGTGTGATAGGAATTGCAGTCCCATCAAAGTCCTCTCGTGCCGGAATGCCCGCCAGATGGAAGAACGTTGGCGCCAAGTCGACATGCGTGGTCACTGCATCCTGCACATGGCCCTGAGGAATTCCAGGCCCACGAATAAACAGAGGCACACGGATATCTTCCTCAAACCCACAAGTCTTCCCGGGTGGCAATCGGTGTTGACCGATATGGAAGCCATTGTCGGAAGTATAGATAATATACGTGTTATCCAGCTGATCACTCTCCTCAAGTTTAGTTATGAGCGAGTCAACCAACTCATCCACTCCCTGCAGCGCGCGCAAGCGAGAGCGATAGAAATGGTCGTTATACTCGACGACCGATTGGTTCTGCTGAGGAAGATCGCGAATCCAACTAACCCCGCTTGGCTGTGAAATGGTTAAAACTGCCGAAATGCATTGCGATCGCTGCACTTACCTGGTCCGGATTGAAATTCGCTGTACGGGGAATTGTAACATTCTCAAACAGATGTTCGTGACGTTCCAATGGAATCGGTTCAGACATGACAATCTTCCCGAATGAAATTGCGTTCGGATCAACGTTGGAGTGAGGCGCTACCGGCGACACCGCGAGGAAAAAGGGTCTTTCTCCCTCCAATGCATCATCTAGGAATCCCAGTGCTTTCCCAGTAAGCACATCGATGGTATGTTCACCCTCGTAGCTGACAGGCGGCTCATGGTTTCGCTGGTATGTGGAATTCAGGTAGGAATAGGTATATGGATCCAATAAGAAGTCTGAGCCATTGAATCCGTTGATATAAGGGCTGTGATAGTTATCGACTGTGTGCGAATTGAACATTTTGCCGGTGTAGTAGGTATCATAGCCGGCCAGTTGAAGCCAGATCGGGAGGAAGTCATCGTTGAAGCCGCGTTCAACAAATTTGGGATATCCGCCTGGAAAATTAGCATTGACTCTTAGCGTTTCAATTTCGTGGCTTACCGTATGGCGGGTTGACATCGGTCACATTAGTATTATGCGCCTGGCGACCAGTCCATAAGCTCACTCGCGATGGACAGCATAGAGCAGTCGTAACGAAATGATTACGGAAAAAGGTTCCCCGGTCGCGGATATGTCTCGTGATGTGAGGAGTATAACTGATCGAGTCCAGCTCCAAATCCTGATCATCGGTGATTACAAAGAGAATATTTGGCTGTCGCGATGAATGCGCTCCATTGGATAAGATGGATTGTACAGCATCTTGCAGATGTGTCAATGTAGCACCATCTACCGCGGCGAACAGACTGAGAGCAGTGAACAATTTCATTTTGAGATGAGGTTATTGGGAAAGCCGCTGTTATCAACAAAGAACGTGGAGAGTGGGGAGTCGAGATATGATGCAATCAGTGGCGCCAATGGCGATCTTCGTATTGTAATTGCCGATATATCCTTAACTTATACAGTTATCCAGTAACTTATTCCCAAGCGAGCGCCGCACCCCAAAACACATAGTAAATGCGATATATGCTACACTTCTATCAACAATCACATTTTTATTTTGTCTACTTCTTTCTCGATAGGTATTGGTAAGAACTATTAGCAGTGCATATGAATTTCAAAGAAATCGAAAAGTTATCTTATCATCATTTTAAGAATTACCGAAATTACATTTATAGAAGCTTACATATTGAAGTCACTGAGTTGTAAAAAAAATCCCAAACTTCCTAAAAGTCAAAGGCTAGATATCGTATTTCTACGAGCAATGATCCTGGTGGTGGAGATCTAAACCTGTAATTTATCGCATTTACCTACGTTAGGTGGAGTAGACGGAGAACCCTGAAAAATAGTGCAGGACCACATGGTACGACATAATCTGTATACATCTATTTGTCAATATGTCGATATGATGTTGTTCTGTATACTTGTTCATTTATACAACTGAATCTCGGAGTTGAAAGTGGATCCATTGCGTGCTTTGCATCTGCGATGAGATCAGAGCTAATAAATATATCCGGATAGTACTCGGATCTATAGCCGACATCAAAATCACGTCTTATCGAAGGATACCCGAAGCGAGATGGCTTACCTGCATGTCTCGGACCCTTAACTTATACCCTAACCGCCCCAATTTTTCGCATGCACGCATGACTGTCAGTCCAACATGGCAGATCGCGCGACAGAATCCGTGGGACAGCCAGACACGAACTCAATCGAGAATGAAAACAGACATGCACCCGATGAGGAAAGCCCACTGCTATCTCAATCGCCTCAATCGCAGACAGCAGAGCCTAAAGCGGAGGCTCTTGCGGGGGTGGGAACCATCATAGCAGTGCTATTACTTGGTAAGATCTGTGTACGACAAAAAAACTCGAAATCTAACTTGATAGGCGAATTTATTTCCAATGCCGATGCGACACTGGTCATGGCAGCGGCAGGACGTATATCTTCCGAATTCAATAGACTACGCGATGCCAGTTGGTTGTCCACCGGGTATACCCTTGGTCTTTGCGCTGCCCAACCGATGGTGAGTGGCTCAAGTCGGGTGGCTTCGGAATAGCGTGTAACGGAGTATAGTATGGCAAACTGAGCGATATCTACGGTCGCAGGCCACTATTGCTTATCTCATATTTCCTTTTCGCAGTGGGTTGTATCCTTAGGTATGTGAATTCTTCGTCACATAGGTCTAATTCTAACAAAAACAGCGGTATCGGTTCGCAAATGTGGATGGTCGTCCTGGGTCGAAGCATTAGCGGCATGGGTGGCGCGGGCATTATGACCGTCAGCTCTGTGGTCATTACAGACATAGTTCCCAAGCGGGAAATAGCCAGTTGGCGGGCGTATGTGAACATCGCCATGACTCTGGGTCGCAGCCTCGGAGGGCCTGTGGGTGGATGGCTGAGTGATACAATTGGATGGAGATGGTATGTTCTACGTTGACTGCGATACAAGCCCCTCTAACAGGGTTTTAGGCTATTCATCCTTCAAGCACCATTCCTTGCTCTCGCTGCCCTACTGGTAGTCTTGAAACTGAATGTCGCTGAAAAGATAGATCCCAACTCCAAGGACAGCAAACTCGCCAAAATCGACTTCCTAGGAACATCCCTCCTAGGATCCTCTATCATCGCCATGACTCTTCTTCTCGACCAAGGTGGAAAGTCATTCCCCTGGTACTCATGGTGGACCGCCCTACTAGGAAGTGGTGGTATATCACTACTAGTGGCATTTGTCCTTGTTGAAGCCTACGTTGCCCGCGAGCCAATCTTCAACCTGCGCATTCTCCGTCGACCGAATGTATCGGCCGCGTACACCATCGGAGCCCTCCAAATAACAGCACAACTGGGAATGCTATTCTCAGTCCCGCTATACTTCCAAGTCACACAGCGAGCATCAACCACAGCGGCAGGTGGCCATCTCGTTCCGGCCGTGGTTGGAAATACCCTCGGCTCGCTAGTAGCTGGAATATTCATCAGACGCACAGGACACTACAAGAGTCTCCTCATCGCAGCCGGTCTTGTCGCATCTATTTCCTATATACTCCTCTTCCTCCGCTGGGAGGGAAACACCGGCTTCTGGGAATCACTCTACATCCTCCCCGGTGGCCTAGGAACAGGAATTGCATCGGCCTCAGCATTTGTAGCGATGACAGCCCTACTACCTCCAGAGGAAGTAGCCATGGCTACTGCAGGATACATGTTGCTAATCGGCTTCTCAATGACAGCCGGAGTGACGACTTCGAATTCTGTTCTGGGGATGGAGTTCCAGCGCGAGCTGCGGAAGAATCTACAAGGGCCAGGCTCTGAGAAGGTACGTCTACCCAGATTAGACTTTGGACGCTACTGATTGTAATAGGTGATTAAACGAGCTATGGCTGATACGAACTATATTGCCCATCTCACTGGTAAGGTACGAGATATTGTGATAACCTGTTATGTTAGTGGGCTCAAGCATACATACCGTAAGTCCAAATCTCATCGTGAAAGATTGAGTGTCTGATACTAACATGGTATAGTTGTTTCTCTCGCTTGTTCTTTACTTGCATCCTTTACTGGGTTGTTCATTCACCATCACCAACTTTAGACTAGCCGTACGCTTCTTTCAATGTTGTTTTATAGCATCATTTATTCATAGTCATGTTTCTATACGCAAATCAAAAATGGTCCCAGTAAGAAGCATCGCGACCGCCGAACTACTTTCGGGGACTTTTATATTTCACTAGCTGCTCTTTTTCAGCATATTCTGTCTGATAGACATGCAGTCATAACAGGTGCCATAAGTCCTTTTATATCCCTATCTTTATACAATATACATGATTAACCCAAGGCACTAGGAGATAGTTGAAAAAGAGGTGAAAAAAGAGGTGAAAAAAGAGGCCAAAGTAGGGGGAAAACAATGTAGAAAACGTTATACTATATACATATTTATCATCCCTATTGTATGAAGACAAGCTCATAATATTCATTTATATATCAGAAGCATGTAATCGACTATCGCTCCTTCAGAGCTAAGAGTTCCAAACCCACCCCAAACCCTGGGATTATTTACATTCGCGACGATTCAACAGTTAGACTTCACGTCATCACTTCCACGTATCACTAATAGTGACCGATGTAGTACCGCAGACTGCTGGAACCGTGTAGGACCGGTTGGGGTCACTCTCCCACTGGATGCTGCCATCGCTCTCAACGCGAATATACTTGTAGGAGAAGGTAGTTCCCGCGGGCAGAGTCGCAGTAACAAACCAAAGATGATTGCTACTGGTATAGCTCGAAGCGCTCAGCGCAATAGCACTGCTCGTACTCCAGCTTCCAAGCTGAGAAATGGATCCTGCAAGCTTGACGTTCTCACCATAGACAGTAGTGGCAATCACATTAAACGTAACGGCCACGGCAGTAGGGGCAGTGCAAGCTGTGGTGGTTGACGTAGTCTTTGTAGTTGTAGTGGTCACCTTGGTGGTAGTGCCAGTGGCTGTCGTGGTACCAGAGCCCGATCCACTGGTCAGGGTGGTAGGCCAGGCGGTGTTGGTCGCAGTGCTGAAGGTACCAATAGCGGAAGTTGAGCTGCATTGAGAAGGCACACTGCTGGCAGAAGTCTCACCCCAGGGTGCTGGAACCACGGCGTTACGGCGCTCATTGGCAGTCAACAAAGCTGCGTAGGACCATGTCAGGTCACGGGCAGAGAGCGGTGATCCATCGGACCTCGAGAATTGCTCGGCCAGGGAACCGTTTGACATGGCGTAAGTTTCCTATACAACCTGTCAGCATCACTTGACAATACCTAGTTTCAACTCAAACGTACCACGATGCTAACGTATCCATCGGCATATGTCTTCACGGCGCTCACAATAGAAGCATAGGTGCTGCTAGAGGAAGCATAAGTACCGGTAGCAGCGGAACTGTAAATGTCCTTGAAGAAGCTCAGCGAGACACTAGTAATGGTCAAAGAGCCAATCTTGTTCCAGGTGTAGAGCGCATCATACAGCTGCTCAGCAGCAGCCAATGTGCACAGGTACCAAGGATTTCCGTTGTAGTACGAGTCCTCAGCATATCGGCCAACAGAAACAGCAACACCGGCAGCCTTGCCCGAGTTGACCGTGTAGATTGAGCGGAAAGAATCTGTCACAGCCTTGTGGTTGGCGAGAGCTCGTGCTGAGCAGGGTTGGAAAGTAGTATCATCGCAGCCAGCCTCTGGGTCAAAAGTGTGAATGCTACCAAGGATGGTGTTGGCATCCTTGCCAGTGCGACCGCCACCAAAGTTTGCTAGCGTGTAAGATCCAGTCCAGAATGACTGCAGGAAGCATAGGACCTGGGGTGCCTGGGAGTCGCAGTACGAGCAGGAGGAGCCCACTTTACTCGCGAAGCTGCTACCCTCGACCAAAGCGCGGTGCTGTGCTGCAATAGTGAAGAATGAAGATCCAGAGACTTCTTCCCAAAGGTCTGTCTTGTATTAGCAAAGAGCCATGCAGAATAATAGGAAGACGGACCATATCCAGTCTGGTTCCAGTACTGGGCCACATATGAGAGATCGTTGCGTACAACGGGCCAGACAATGTTGGTCGCGTAGGTAGTATATCCGTTATCCTGAGCTGTTTAGTAACACCACAATAAGGAGCTCCGAGAAAATTCTTACAATAAGCCATTCACCAAAGGAGATCAGTGCAGTCGCTCGCAGAGCAGGTCCATCGCGCTGAGGACGACCCCATGACCCAGTAAAGGCAGTCTCATCGACGTTGAACTTGGGCTCTCCCAGTCCGCCGCCACCGGAAAGGCCTCCAGACGGGTTGGAGACTGTCTGAATGTAGGCCTGCGCACTGATGTACTCCTCGATCACCTCAAGCAAGGCAGTGTCGCCATTTTTGAACATATCAATCAAAGTCTTGAACACCAGCGCTGAGTCACGAGTCCAAGTATAGTAATCTATGATTTGTTAGAAATCACCATCTTGATTTGTGATGCTTCTCTTACAGTCGGGATCCGAGGTACTCGGACTGGCGATAACAACACCAGGCTTAGCACTCGCCGAATACGCGCCAGCCGATCCAATATTATCCAGGATACCCTGTCGGGCGACAGTGGTCTCGGATGCCAGCCAGCTATCGACATTGCTGGCACGAGGAGCCAAGGCGACCTGTGGCGGCGCGGCGATCACAGCGTGGCCGAGGGTAAGCGCCCAGAGCGCAGTCCAGAAAGGAGCCATGGGGAAGAAGATGAGGGATGAGATCGTGGAGATCGTTGCGGGCTGATCGTCCTTTTTATAGGCGCAGGCCACTTGGACATCACGGTCGCGATCGCATGGTGCATGAAATATTGGATGAATGCAGGAGGGCGGAGAACAGGCGGAGATCTCAACTTCACTGGAAGATGTTTCCACGTTAATCCCACTTTGCTAACCATAATGAGGCCGCGAAGAGGCCACAATGAGGCCACTCACTACTGAATGTTCTTATGATCCGCTCCTCCGCCAGTGGGATCAACACGCTCAAGCCAAGTCGTGTCTAGCATCAACATAGCGCCCTTTGTCCCCTTTAGCCTCGTCATCTGTTCATCTCCGTCACCCCGCAGATTCTCCGTCCCCTGTCTGCATCGGCTAACCCGAAGCCAATCATCGCGTTGAAGGCGCGGTCCCCCGCAAAGGGGCGTTTTGGCAGGAAATGACCTGCTGTGAATCTGGCATCACTCTTTGCCTGGAACCTGCGCCTTAAACTGCGCCATCGGGGGTTTTTTAAAAAGGGAAAAGCCGATGATTCGCCCTCAACCTGTGGGGTCGTGAGAAGTTCCGGTGCTAAGGCTCGGACGATCGACCGTTTAAAGACTGGCGCCGACTAGCGCCTTGCGTTCTTAGGTGCCTGCATGATTGTTGCTGAATTGCCGAGACTGTTGGATGCGCGAATTTGATATCTCGGCCCGGCATACAGTACAACTTTTATGCAACTTGGAAATTGACAGTGTCCACCGATATTAGCGAGATTAATTCCCCGCGGAGTGGCCAAGATGCGTTGGTTCAATTGACCGATTGGATTGGAAGTACGGAAATTCTGTGCAAGGTGAGTGTGCTTGGTCCTGCCTGAGAAGGGGTTGTCTTCAGGCGCGGTAATAACCGGGTGGCTTGCTTGAAGAGTGCAGGATGGAGATATAAGACCAGGGAGCTAACTATCTTCCCTAGTCCGCACGGGCTTAACATTAATGTTTGCTTCATCAAAATGGGTCTGAAGAACCTTGCATTGACTGCAGCCCTGCTGCTGGGTGAGACAGTGCTGGGTCTCACTCCCGCAGAATGGCGCAGCCAGTCCATCTATTTCATGTTGACCGATCGATTTGGTCGTAGTGACAACTCCACCACTGCTGCGTGTAACGTTAGCGACAGGGTATGCCTGTCCTTGTTAATTGACCTTTGACATGAGATCCTGACATGTTTAGACATACTGTGGAGGTAGCTGGCAAGGAATAATCAATCACGTATGCATCCCTAACTCCATCTGATGTCCATTACTGAAATTGTGGCTAGTTGGACTATATACAAGGAATGGGATTCACTGCGATCTGGATTACTCCGGTTACAGAACAACTCCCTCAGGACACTGGCAACGGTGAAGCCTACCATGGATATTGGCAACAGAATATGTATGTCATGGAAGTAAACTTTTCAACAATTACTGATTGGCTTTGCTAGATATGAGATTGACTCCAACTTGGGCACAGCTGCCGATCTACTAGCTCTGTCCAAGGCCTTGCATGCCCGCGGCATGTATCTCATGGTAGATGTGGTGGCTAATCATATGGTAAGTAGTTCTGGCTCTCAGTTCCGGCCCCTGCTAATCCTCTACAGGGTTATGCTGGATCTGGCAACAGCGTTGACTACAGCGTGTTTAATCCCTTCTCCTCATCGTCATATTTCCACTCTTACTGTCTCATCAGTAACTATGATGACCAGTCAAATGTTGAGGACTGCTGGTTAGGAGATACTATTGTGTCCCTTCCAGACGTAGACACAACCCAGACAGCGGTGCAGACTATATGGTATGACTGGATAGCAGATCTTGTATCCAACTACTCGAGTAAGTTTCCATCCAAATGCGGAGGCCTGTTCTAACAATCTCAGTTGACGGTTTGCGCATTGATACCGTCAAGCACGTCCAGAAATCTTTCTGGCCCGGCTATAATGACGCTGCAGGCGTTTATTGTGTCGGTGAAATATTTGACGGCGACCCAGCGTACACTTGCGACTATCAGAACTATATGGACGGTGTCTTGAACTACCCAATGTATGGTCATCTTCCATCCTGTTGAAACATACTAACTGGCCAGCTACTACCAACTGCTGTACGCCTTCCAGTCCTCCAGCGGCAGCATCAGCGATCTATATAACATGATCAACTCTGTCAAATCCGACTGCGCTGATTCAACATTGCTGGGGAACTTTATTGAGAACCATGACAATCCGCGATTCGCCAGGTGAGACCCGCAGAGACTAGTTGGATTGCAAGTACTGACTCTTAGTGATACAGCTATACAAGTGACTACTCCCAAGCAAAGAATGTTATCTCCTTCTTGTTCCTGTCGGATGGCATTCCCATTATCTACTCCGGTCAGGAACAGCACTACAGTGGTGGAGCTGATCCTGCAAACCGTGAGGCCACTTGGCTCTCAGGGTATTCAACCACCGCCGAGCTGTACAAGTACATTGGAACCACCAACAAGATCAGAAAGCTGGCTGTCTCTGCAGACTCTAGCTATATCACAACGAAAGTACGCAGTCACACAAAAACTATCCAATTTGTTGATGCTAATTCGTCACTAGAATGTACCATTCTACCAAGACAGCCATACACTAGCTATGAAGAAGGGATCCAGTGCCTCACCAGTAATCACAGTTCTATCAAACTATGGATCATCTGGAAGCTCCTACACATTGTCTTTGAGTGGAAGCGGATATTCATCAGGCACCAAGCTGATGGAGATGTACACCTGCACATCTGTGACAGTTGACTCCAGCGGAAACATCGCAGTCCCAATGACATCAGGTCTTCCACGCGTACTCATGCTGGCCTCTTCTGCAAGCAGTATGTGCGGCTCCAGTACCACGACAACAACCGCTACTGCGGTAACGCAAACCACGACGTCGACTTCGACAGGCACAAGCTGTACACAGGCCACAGCCCTACCGGTCTTATTCAAGGAGCTTGTTACTACCACCTACGGTCAGAATGTCTACATCTCAGGCTCGATCAGTCAACTTGGCAGCTGGGATGCTAGTAATGCAATTGCACTGTCGGCAAGCAGTTATACGTCCTCCAACCCTCTATGGCAGGTTGCCATCACACTACCCGTTGGAACCTCGTTTGAGTATAAATTCATTGAAAAGACGACTGGTTCAACCACTGTCACGTGGGAGAGCGATCCCAATCGGTCGTATACGGTGCCGACTGGATGCGCAGGGACGACAGCTACGGCTACTGCTACATGGCGATAGCTCGGCACCGAGTCACGGTTTCTGTCATTGGATAGTCATTAAGTTTGGCAAACAGGACAACTGGACTAATTTGAATCCATTATTTGATGTAAAGCTAAAACTACTGATATGTAAGCTACGTAACACTTCGTAGATATTTATAAACAAAACATAACTCGTAAATCACCCAGGGCCCATGGGCCAACTAGATATGCAACGCTGCCAGATTAGAAGAAAGAAACTCATAAGTGTCCTGGCGGAAATTGTCGGGTAGCAAAGCAGCATGATCCTCGAAGAAGTTCATCAGCGACTGGTTACTGACCCATTGTGGCCAGTTCATATAGTTCCCAGCTTTGGCATTAGGGTCCTGTTCATAAATGAATGACAGGTAGTATGTGTGGATGGACTTGGATGCGTAGTTGGGCAGGATACCCTGAAACACCTGGATAATATCAGAGCCATGGTAGGTTCCTAGGAAGGGCAGTCCATAGTTGTAGGAGGAGAGGTATGACCAGAATGGAACATCCGGTTTCGCTTTGGTGGCAGCATTCAGGAATATTCGACGGGTCAAGGTAAAAGATATATCACCTAGAATGGCAGACAGGCGCTTGAACTGGGGATACCAGTTGTACAAAGTACCCGTCCGGAATGGTGAGCCATCTTCCTCGATATTCTGATATGTTCCGACTAAGTCTGTGAGCTGCTGTCGGCTAGCATCGAAGAAAAAGAGATTCTCCAAGTAGTCCACAATATGTTCGGTCGTGGTGAGGTTGGCTTGGTATAGAGCAAATATAGTTCCCTCGTCTTCTTGGTCACCGACGATGAATGGCACAGATGCATATTTGCCATTGGCGATTAATTTCTCCGCGGAATCTGTCAGGACTTCGCCATCTGGTCGAGGCAGATAGGATTCGGCGACGGAATTATAGCCCAGGATTCCAGGAACTGCGGTTGCAGCATTAAGGAAGTCCTCGTAGTCTAGACCACGCAGACATTCAAGTGTATCTTTCGCACCCCCACAGCCTGCTGCCTTCACAACAGTATCATATACGTGCTGACCTTTGACGCCATCAACTGGGTTAGCAGGTGCAATGCTGCCCGAGTTCATTATAGCACCGCGGAAGAGCGGAGATCCATTGTAGGTGTTGTCGCCGTCGTACATGGCCATCTGATCAAAGACCGAGATTGATCCGGCAGATTCTCCCCAGATAGTAACCTTAGAGGGATCACCACCAAAAGCTTCGATATTATCGGCGACCCACTCCAGAGCAAGGCGCTGATCCAGCAGACCAAGATTGGCGGAACCATCTTCGAGGATCTCTTTACCCGGCAAGAATCCAAATCCTCCGAGCCGATAGTTCATGGCGACGAAAATGACCGGCATATTCAGATCCACAGAGCTCGCCACAAACCTTCCCCCATCGTAGTTTGAGGTGGAACCTTGTTCAAAGCCTCCACCAAAGATCCACACCACAACAGGTAACTTTGCGCCAGCTTGAGTCCCGGCTGGACGGCGTACATCCAAGGTCAAACAATCTTCGCCAGCATTGGTTATCTCTTGGAAGATGGGAATGTTGCTCAATTTCGCGATGATAGATGTCGGGAGGTTGCTCTCATCGGTACTGAAGAAGAACTGCGGACATGATCTCGCTACTGATGTCGCCCGGATGGTTTTCAATGGTGTTTCAATCGGCAGGGGTGGTCTCAATCGAAGGGCACCGGTCGGGGGGATTGCAAATGGGATGCCATTGAAGTTCTCGACCTTATCCAAACCCGGAGTGCCAATGATAGTGGCCTCGGGGTTGGAAATCGTCACTGTCGGACCAGCCGCTCTCTTATCCGCAGGCGCAGCCAAAACAAAGGGCAACACGCCCAACAAGATCAACTTGTATAGGAAAGACATCACGGCCAGCATGAGGCCAAGTGGTAATAGTTTTGATTGATCGAATTTTGCCTCCTTGCTTGAGAATGCTGGGCGGCCAAGGGATAGGTATAGAATGTCAAGCCTCCCCACAGCCGAGTTCAGACGATCTGGATGGACAGGTTTTGCTCTTCAATGTGCTCCTTCAGCCATGTACGGCTATTTATGCTTGCTTCCGCCAAGTTCATGCCGGCTGAAACAGGAAATCCGACCGGTGAAGTGATCATACGGTGGTTATGCATCAAAACTACCGAACCCAGGCCATCCGACAGAAACGTGCAGCACAGCAGCACGCGGCCCCGATCTGGTTGGATGCACAAGCAGCATCTCGAGTCTAATCCACCGAGAAGGTTTGCAAGTGGTAGTGTGAGCGCAGATCTTAGCTTTCAAGAATGCTGGCCAGAATGCGGTGATTGACCATCAACTGACAATGTAAGGGTGTCCAACACATCCTTGTCTGGTTGCACGCTTTTCCTGCATGAGAATGCACGATGACAATTAGTTCGCAGTAGCAAAGCTGATCCAGGCAAGTGAGGGAATATCCCTACCTTTCTGGGGAAGAGATGAAGCCGATCACGGTGGATGTCGGTGTGATCTGAGCGATCTGATCTTCGAGTTCGAGTAGGATTTGGAACATTTCCGCTTTTCTTCGCTCTCGTTTTTGTTGAACTGTCTGCTCTCGGCCGGACAATAAGATCAAGTCATGACGCTGTAGCTGTTGACATCCCCCGAACTTCTCGAAAAGCAAAAAAAATATTCAAGAGAAGGAAAAGTCAATCTTCGAGTGATTCTTTGCCCCGCGTTCTCCTTACCGAAACCATAGCTAAGTTATCCATGGAGTTGGAACTGCAAGGGATTGCATACATAAAACCTTCACCAACGTGGCTTGTTACTTCAAATTCACACTAAAACTCAGAACATGACTATTTCAATTTCATTCGAACGTGTAAAACAGCTATGATCCGGGGCTCCTGCTCCATGCGAAAATCTCGCCGTACAAACCAAGAACGCCATGCTATGCAAAGGTCAAATCTATCCATCCCTGTCCTTTCACATGGAGATGGTTATTTCTCCCAACCTTCCCATCTGGTGAAATCCCCCGTATCCAGATCGAACAGGTCCAACATTCGACCGACACTCTGATCGACCAGGTCATCGACCGAGGCAGCTCGGATGTAATATGCGGGCACAGGGGGGAAGATGATAGCCCCGCTACGCGTGATTTCCAACATATTCCGAAGATGGATATCGCTTAGAGGTGTTTCCCGAGCGACGAGCACCAGCTTGCGTCGTTCCTTGAGCATCACATCGGCAGTACGAGAGATAAGATCGTCACAGAATCCGCTGTGGATCGCTGCAAGCGTTTTCATGCTGCAAGGAACGACGATCATGCCGTCAGTCTTGAATGACCCGCTCGACACGGGGGCTGCCATATCATTGATATTGTGGACATGGTCAGCCAGTGCTCTGACATTGGACGGGTGGTAGTCCGTTTCGTATTTGATCGTTGCTTCGGCCCATTTGCTCATGACAAGATGAGTTTCGATGTTGAGACGGCGGAGGGCGAGGAGGACTTTGATACCGAGAATCGCGCCCGTAGCTCCGGTCATGGCGACGACGATGCGTTTGCGAGGTTTTGTTGATTGTTGTATCGGGGCATGTTGGGTTTGTTCGAGATGTGTCTCAATTGGTGTCGTGGCTCCAGTTTGGCTGCCACCAGGAGAAGCGCCTCCTGACTGAGGAGTGTGTGCGCCGGAGAGCATAGACAGCATCGTGGTATTGATCAAGGTTGATATGTTGAGTGAGGTATGCAAGTACTCACGATGGCTATAGTCCAGGGCGGCTGAGACCATTTATAGCAAACTGTGGCGGTGGCTGTTGATATTTCATCTCTAAAAATGGCATGCCGACCTCCGAGTCCCTCCAGCAGATGTTATGTCTATAGTTGGTCCACTCCGAGACGCCGATCCCGAGCCTCCGAGGACTCCGAGGCCACCGACAGACGCGATGTGACCGAGAACCAGGAAATGACAGTAGCGAGTGGACTATACAGTTGGCTGTTTCGGTACTCGGCAAGTCGATAATCTATGTGCTTTCATATTATGCACTGGTGAAATGGGTGCAGCTGTACGGCTGTCCAAACTGCCCAAAGGCGGCGATGTAGTGAATAACTCACCGTTAACGACATCGTCGGCTCAACCACCGCGATACCTCACCCCCAGATGCTATCTTCCCAGATGAGCTCATCTAATGGATCTTGGAGTATGTGTTCGCGGACGAAATGCCTTTCTGTATTCAAATCTGCATAAAAGGCCATCAAGAGGGCGTCCGAGCTAAGTCTAGAAGCCCCCGATGCGAGCAAAATTCTCACAAGTCAATAGAGGATAATTCTTCGAAGAGAATCCTATAGACACCGTATTTTTCAACAGTCTACCTTGGAAATGGAGAAAAAAATGACCCGGCACAGATTGAACGTCTCCGGGCTGACACGTTGTTATTGGTCTTTCCAGACCGTTTCGCGCATTCGGCAAGCAGACCTTTTTCCGATATATGACATTTGCCATGAGCTCTAGTTACGAAGAGCGGCTCAAAAAGCGGCTCAAAAACAATGGTATAAAGAACTTCTCGAGCTCTTCCACCGACTCGGGGTGAAGGTGTATGATTTCGATATGGGAGTCATCGATCGTTCACTTTCTTGCAATGAAAGATATCTCACAACTTGGAAACTATGCGGTGATTGAGGACGTGGGCAGGGCAACCAAATGCATGGAAGAGGAGCGGCAGACAGAGGGAGGGTTCTGCGATATCCCGGAACCGATCCCAAGTTTGATTCATGATCAAAGGGATTTGGATATGTATGTGACGTGGCGCATGGAGGTACCATGCTCGACATTGTACATCTCATAAGAAGGTGTTCTCCTGTGTAAAGTCGAACATTGGGACTGTTTCCAACCCCATTAGCACATAGCCGTCATACACTGGTATATAGGACGTACCGTTCATAATTGAATCCAAGTAAGAGACAGGCGAAGTATCCAACGGGTTTGCTACTCAAAAAAGCTATCGGGGAAACTGAAAAGGTCAGTACTGAGGATTATTCGAGAGAAAAATACATACCCCGAAGCAAATTGGGCAGGATTAACACCAGAGCCTGTCCATGTCTCATTTTCCGGAACGCTCATATCCTGCTGTTGATCCAAAGCACTTCGTAGAGTAATGAGGGCCCGAATATGTCGTGCAGACAACCATTGCCCTTCATTTTCCGATATCAAACCCCCCTCATCTGACGCTTTTGAGTCGGCTGAAGAAAACACATCAATGACCTTTTGCTGCAGGTCCCGACATTCGGGATCATTTCGAGTCTCTTCCCAAATACAGAGAAGCAAGGTCGAGCTTAAGACAGTATGCACCATTGACCAACTGCGTAGAGGGACAACACTCAGTGCCTGGAAGTCTAGAAATGCGCGAGATGCATCAATCAAGCTCCCCTTTGCTCTGGCGCGAAGTATTTCAGTCTGCATAAGGAGAGGTTGGGTCTGTGACTGTTTCATTGCAGGACGACAAACCACCGACACGCAGAAAGAGGAATGCATCTTCAATGCGAGGTGTTCGAGGTGCTCTTGAAAAGTGATACAGTTTTCCCGTGCTTGCAAGTGTGGCTTCCCGCGTTGATAGAGGGTATCTATCTGTTGTAAAGCCTCAATTGATCGGTCAGCTTCGCTTGCGCCGAATATTTCCGGTCGCATGATGTCCAGTCCCAGTCGAGTGAGAAAATGCATCACCTCCCGATATGACAGGTCCTGTCTTTGTAAAAGACTGCTATCGAGAGACCAACCGGCGAGTGTAACAATTGGAGGGCGATCGTAACACAAACATAGTAAGCTATCTTGCCATACGATAGTCGACCACAGCTTTTTGACTTTAGCTCGCACATACTCGGGCCAGTGAATGGTACTTCGCTCGGTGTGCAGACCCATCGTCTGAGCAAGTCGAATGGTCGTTCCCAGGAATGCCCAAGCAGCGTCAGATTGGCCCATATTTTGTATTGTGTTACCGAGGATGACAAGTGTTTGGATGATGTCGAGTGAGGGCCGGAAAAGGAAGTTCGCCAGGCGAAGTGCATGGAAAGAGCGGCGGGCTGGATATTAACTTATTAGTAAACAGTCTTGTGCTGAAAATGTATTTAGCTTACCAAAATCCGTTGCAAGTTCCAATCGCTGCGGATATTCGATATCCGAGTAATGTGCCCCCGCAGCCAACGTAGCCAAGAGGAGACTAATATGACCGACAGACTTGTCCGTAGCCCATTTTTCTGTGATCTTATCCTGATTCCGTAACTCCTCAGTAGCATGTGCATTGAGATACGTGCACAGATCCGACTCAAAGCGGTCCATATCAGCCAAAATAGGATTAAATGGATAGGCCGTAACACGATAATAATGGAAGAACTTCAGGACCTCCGTTCTCTGCGGCAACACGCTGAGCAACGACTTCCATCGTTCATGGGGTGTCTTCGGATCCATGAACGGGTAGAAACTGAAAGTATTCTGCAGTCCTAGAACCGAACCGACCTCCCGAGCCATCGATTCATTAGAATCTGATGCCCGCGAACGCAGGATCGAGACAAGGGAGTTGTCTCCTGAATAAACATAATTCTTGACTGCGTCGTCTGGCCGTAGAGATGCCGGTGTCGATGTTTCAGCGGGGTTCCTCACTTCTGACTGTATTCTTCTGGGAGAGACCGAAGCTGCCGATTGGGCATTGGCGCTGGCCTGAGAGCCCTGTCGGCGCCTTGGCCCTCGCGGCACATCAAACGTGCAAATATGAGGATGATCCCGCTTCTGGCACGTCCGACAGGGTTGACTGCCATCGCATTTGACTTTCCTCTTTCGACAGGGATAACAGGCTTTTGGTTCCCGCTCTTGGCGCTTGAGATGGAGTACTCGGTCGACTTCGTCGTGACTGACGCTCATATTGCCGAGAGGCCGAGACCCGGATATCCGAGATTCAAATTTTAATTATGGGGGGCTACAAGCTCTGGAGATTGAATGAATGGTCACAAAGCACGATCATTGTTAAAAGTTTCAAAGGAAACATTCAGCACATCCGAGTTAGCCGTGGCTGAAACTGGAATGACCGTTGCGCACGGACCAGGGACACAGCATCTCATCACCACATCAGGGGCATATATAGCTAGTAAGGATATTTGGGGTGTTATATATGAATGTGGCTACGTTTTGTATGGTCTGCATGTATACTACAGCTGGATTGGAAAATTGTCTCGAAGAAGTATGATGGGCTGTACCAAGCAAATACATATTCTAATTTGAATAACTCCATTTTTGTCTATTATACAAATCCACTCGATACCTCTTACTCCTCCCGGAATCCCATCGCAGTCCAGTTATCCAGGACCTTCTTCTTAAGCTCCTCGGGATAAGAGTGCTCGAAATCAGCAGCCACCCAGTCACGGCCAGTGGTGTACTCAGTGGGCATCAGAGCATCGGAAACAACCTTGCCTCCCTGGACAGGCGACCCGTTGCCATGGCTCATATAAGGAACCAGCGGGAATCCACGTACATCTTCATAGAAAGTCTCATCCAGACCAGGACGGCAACGAGTGGAGAATGCCCACATCACATCCTTGCCATTGTACACATCGATATCATCTCCGCAAAGAACCAAACGATGAATGGTGTAGCCGGGCTTGCTGTTGAAGATCAGATCACCGACTGTCTTAGAGAATTCGGCTGAGGCGGTCTTCATTTCGCGTAGACGGGCGGTGTCAATGCGCAAAGCAACCCAGGTTACCTGCGACTCGAAGGGGGCAAAGGCGTCAGTCACGGGAAGATCATTGTCCTGGCAGATTTGGCGAATTTGGGCGGCGGCGAGCGATCCGATCATGGTGTGCTAGAACGATATGTAAGCAAGTCTTACTAACTCCGCTGAAGGTGTTCTTACTGTCTCATCGGTCAAGCGACCACAGGCTGACATTGGCATGATAGGGTTGTTGCGATAGGTGATGCGGTTGACTGTGTACTTGGGCCAGAGGTGAGTGTCACCAGGGAAGACATAGCCATGCATCTCTCCGAAAGGTCCCTCGGGACCCTTGTCAGTGATAGATAGGGTTCCCTCGAAGACAATCTCCGATGTAGCAGGGACATAAAGACCGTTGGTGTCACACTTGACAAGCTCTAGGGCCGAGCCGGTCATTGCTCCCACGTACTCTGCCTCACTGACACCGTCAGGGATTGGCATGCTGGAAGCCATGATAGCAGCAGGAGGAACACCGAAAGCCAAAGCCCAGGGCATATCACGGCCTTCCTTCTTCCACATATTGTGAATCTGCCAGATGTGTTGCGGCTCGATAACGAGACCAGTCAAATGACGCTTATCGGAGACCATGGCGCGAGCAATGGACCAGTTGGTCCATGATCCATCGGGAGATTGAACAATGTGCATTCCGTAGGTTTGGATATACTTGCCACCATCGTCCTGGTGGATGAGAGGAGCCGGGATCTTGGTAAGATCAATGTCGTCTCCCTCCAAAGCGTTCTCCTTGCAGGGCCCAGTTGATAGAATTTGAGGCGGGATAGGAGTCAACTTGCTGGCCGAAAGCATCTTGTCGAGAATGTCATGCATCGAAGCGGTGGGTGGCAGGGCGAGATGACGAGCCAGTCGACCGTAGCGGTCCTTCGAGGACTTTCTCAATGACGCAGGGGCACCGAGGATGCGAAAGAGACCGTGCTGTGAGCCGATCACATTGTTGAAGAGAGGAGCCTTGTCATCTGTCTCGCAGACACGTCGGGTGATCGCAGCTGCTTCGAGGTTGGCATCTACCGGGGAGTTTATCTCAATCAGATCATTGTCAGCCTTGAGGGCTTCGACAAAAGATCGGAAGCAGAGATGAGGTTCGGTGGAAGTCATTTGGAACGTTCAAGGTGTAGGAAGATATATATCAGGTAACGTTATACTGCAATGTGTTCATTGATCTGCAAGTCACTTATATATGACCGGCCGGCTAGTTCGGCTTAACTTTGGGTCAACGTTCGGGCATGCAAAATCAGACCGGCTCATTCAGGGCAGATTGATTTGATAGCGGGATGCTGCGATGGTCCTGAGACTGCAAGGTTGCGAGCGCCGAGGCCACCGAGGCACCGAGACCCGAGCCCAGAACCACAAAATCGGAAAGGCAAGCATTTTTCGTGAGGTCGGCTTCGGCCATATGTCAGTTTGCTGCACAAAGTGTAAGACAGATCGCCCGCGGATGTATGTAGGTCGACAATCCACTCGGCAAATGTGTCGGCTGAGACCCACGCCTATATAAGGAGGGGTTGGCGCTAAAGACCTTGGAAGGCAACAAAATGTTTTATCAGCCAGGAGTGACCGAACATAATCTCCCCCACGACCCTTTCAAGGTTAGTTGTTCTTCTTCATGCCTGAAGTTATCTGACCATGCAGGCGTGCGTGGTTCCTCGTCCGATCGGATGGATCTCCACCCAGAATAAAGAAGGCCAAGCCAACTTGGCCCCTTACTCGCAGTTCAACAATCTGACCTTCGACCCGCCGTATGTGATGTTCTCGTCCAATCAGACGGTCACCGGTACTCGCAAGGATACGGTGATCAATGCCGAGCAAACGGGAAAGTTCGTCTGGAACCTAGCCACATGGGACCTGCGTGAGGCGATCAACATCTCTGCTGAGCAAGTGCCCTACGGCGTGGACGAGTTTGAGCGTGCCCAGGTGACCAAGGAGCCGGCGACTTTGATGGATGTCCCTATGGTCCAAGAGTCACCTGTCAAGTTTGAGTGCGAATATCACTCCACCGTGCGGCTTCCTGGCAACCCACCGATGGGCACAGTCGACATGGTGATCGGCCGGGTGATCGCCGTTCATATCAAAGATGAGGTGCTCACAGATGGGATTCTGGATATCAAGAAGACCCAGCCCATTGCCCGGTGCGGGTACTATCAGTATACAGTCGTAAAGGAGACCTTTGACATGGTTATTCCCGGGATGTCGGAAGATGTCCTATATGGACTGGAAGGGAGCGCCAAGCGCAATAAAGAGGCCCAATCGCGTGATCCATAGGCAAAGAATCCTTCCATAGTCAGCTCAATCAAGTTATACGAGGCTTTTCCCCGGACACCCGACGGCCCAAGACAACCCCAGAGTTGGCCTCACATCACATGAGCGCCAACAGAGACAGTGAGAGACAGTGGCAAGACTAGCGCGAGCCTAATCTTTGTGGGGGCCTTGCATATTTGCCATTAACTTCGAGACCATGTGGACGGACCACTCACTTATCTCTCCGCCTCGGTTATCAGCATCTTCCTTGCTCCTATAGGCGAATCCGGCTAGCCAAGACTTTGATGTTACAGCGTACCCTACCAGCCAAGCTAGATGGCGCGGGGAGATGGTGTGCCAAGGATGCGCCAAGGGGCGAAATTTGAACTCTCAAGCCGCTTTGCCTAAGCTAAGTGATTGGATATCGCAAGACTTGGCAAAGATTAGCATCTTTGCAAGAGATGATTTGGTGATTTGTTTGAGTTGATGATTTGAGGTCGGCCGTTGGCTTATCAAGGAGTCAGTCGGTTCCAGCCGATAATCACGCTGACAGGTTCGTAGATGTCGCACAGATCAAAGTCTTGGCCGGCTATCGACGGTTTTTTAGTAGCATATCCTGATGCAGGCATTGCTCCGGAGTTCTAGAAGGTGAAGAGACGGAGGGAAGAGAGGAAGAGGTGAGAAGTGGCGGCGTGGCTGATAGAGAGCCTCGCTCCTTCCCATTCGGGGTAGCCCAGGGTCCTTGCCTGCATTTTCCTCTTTTCTTTAAAACCTCACTTTCTCCCTCTTCCTCTTCCTCTTCCCTCAGTCCACCCCTGACACCATGAACGCCTCCGATCCCGTCGACGTGGCCGAGATCGCCAAATCCAAGGCCGTCTCCCAGGTCGGCATCAATGAGAAGGATGAGTTGAGCATTGAGCAGGCTCCCATGCAGGAGGGAACCTTTTACTCTCAGGAAGACAAGTCGGGGGACAGAGAGTACCCCAATGATGAGGATCTCCGCAACCTGCGCCGAGTCGCTGGCAAGGTTCCCTGGCCTGCATACACCGTTGCCTTTGTGGAACTGTGCGAGCGATTCTCTTACTACGGCACTACTGCTGTTTGTACGTTCCACCGCTTCCAGCAAGGGATCACGAGACTAATACAAAACAGTCGTCAACTTCATTCAGCGCCCTCTGCCTGCTGGATCTACCACTGGTGCCCTGGTCCCAGGCTCTGATTTCAGCAATGGTGTGCCCGGTGCCCTGGGTATGGGTCAACAAGCCTCCACAGGATTGACATTGTGTAAGTGAAGTGACCTTGGATATCAACACACTACTGACCTAAACAGTCAACTCGTTCTGGTCTTATATTATGCCCCTGTTTGGTGCTATGGTTGCTGATCAGTACTGGGGTCGGTTCCGCACGATCTTTGCGTCCATTGGCTGTGCTTTGGTTGGCCATACTATCCTCGTCATCTCGGCCATTCCCCCAGTGATCGCAAGCCCCAATGGATCGATTGCATGCTTCTCCATTGGTTTGGTCATCATGGGAGTTGGTACCGGTGGTTTCAAGTCCAACATTTCTCCTCTCATTGCGGAACAATACCGCGAAGAGAAGCCTTACATCCAGACACTGCCCAGCGGTGAGCGTATCATCGTCGACCCGGCTGCCACAGTGGCCCGTATCTACCTCTACTTCTACATGATGATCAACATCGGTTCGCTCGTTGGTCAAATTTCGATGGTCTACGCTGAACGTTACGTCGGCTTCTGGTTGTCTTACCTTTTGCCTACGGCCATGTTCTGTCTCTGCCCCACAGTCCTGTTCCTTTGCCGGAAGAAGTACTACCTCGTGGAGCCCAGTGGAAGCGTTTACACCAAGGCTTTCAAGCTGTGGAAGCTGGGTATGAAGGGCCGCTGGTCTCTCAACCCCATGCGACTGTAAGGATTGATCAACATGATGTGCAAACATCGCTAACCAAATGCAGGTTCAAGAAGAGTGGTCCTAATGACTTCTGGGTCAATGTGAAGCCCAGCCATCTCGGCGCCAGCAAGCCAGCCTGGATGGACTTTGACGACGAGTGGGTGGATGAAGTTCGCCGTGGACTGTTGGCATGCAAGGTGTTCCTTTGGTACCCTCTTTACTGTACGTGACATTCTCATCGAGATACCTCATTATACTGACCTTTCTAGGGCTGGCATACAACCAGATGCTTAACAACCTGACATCTCAAGCTGCCACCATGCGTCTGGGAGGTGTGCCTAACGACATCATCACCAACTTGAATCCTTTCGCACTGATCATCTTCATTCCGATCTTCGATAAGTTCGTGTACCCTGGTCTGCGCCGCATGGGTTTCCACTTCACTCCTGTGAAGCGAATCACTGCCGGTTTCATCGCCGCCGGTCTGTCCATGATTGTGGCCACTGTCACTCAGTACTACGTCTACAAGATGGGCCCCTGTGGCAAGGAAGCCAACTACTGTCTGGAGGTTGAGGGCAAATACACCAACATTTCCGTCTGGATTCAGGCCCTAACCTACATTCTCGGTGGTATCTCCGAAATCTTTGCCTCGGTTACCTCCCTGGAGTACGCTTTCACCAAGGCTCCCCGCAACATGCGATCCCTGGTGCAGGCAGTAGCTCTATTGATGAACGCCTTCTCCTCTGCCATCGGTCAAGCCCTCGTTGGACTGTCCGTGGATCCACTTTTGGTGTGGAACTACGCCATAGTTGCGATTCTGGCGTTCATCGGTGCTGCCGGCTTCTGGCTGACCAACTACAAGACCGATCAGGAGGAGGATCGACTGAACATGTTGCCCAACAGCAAATTTGAAGGACGTCACGAGAGAGACGAGGAAGTCAAATAGGCACTTTCTACTGTATATGAGAAGACGCGTTGTATGAACGTCCTGGACAAGCTGAACAATAGCCATGAAAATATCATTATTGTTAATTACTTTCGCTTTCTCAAACTCTTAATCCTGTCGTTATCTTTTTCAACTGGCTGTGACTTGGCCTTACGTTTAGTGCCAGCTTTCTTCTCAGTTCCTTCTCCCTTGGTATTTTTCGATTTCCCATCTGCTGTACCCTTTTCATCTGCTTTACCCTTTCCATCTGCTTCTCCCTTGCCATCCGCTTCTCCCTTCCCATTCAAATTTCCGTCAATATCAAAAGTAACCCTCTTCCTCGCCTCCTTCGCCGTACCAGTATTCCCAACAAACTGCTTTCCCTCCTTGGACCCTTCAACCTTCTTATCCTCAGTCTCTTCCTTCTCCTCTTCATTCATCCCCTCCCAAGCCTTCTTAGGCAAATATCTCTTCCGCGAATCATCATCTTGCCGCGCAGTCCCAGACCCTTCCTTCGTCTGCCATTCCTCTTCGGTCCATTTATCCAGATGTTTCTGCGATTCGTCTTTGCCTTCTTTACTGGTGTTGTAGCCTCCGCCGCGCTTTTTGTATTCAGAGGCCATCATTTGGGCCTGTGAGACATAAGTATTGGGCATGGAAATTAGCAGTTTAGTAAGGAGAGAAGTACCTTCCGTGCAGACCATTGTCCTGGTTGTCCGCCCTTGTCGCTGTTGTGGATTTCTGTCTTGACTTTATCGCGGAGCTTGGGGTCTGTATATTTGTCTTTTGGGGGCATATTGGCGGATAGTTATATGGAAGAATGGCAGTTGGAGTACAGTTGAACACAGTAGAGTATAATATGTCCAGAGGAAAACCTGGAATTACACTTATATATGGAATCTCGATGACATGTCGATTGTGCATGGTGCAGTGACATCATCCCATGAACTATGAGGACCACGATCTCATACATATCTTATATTGAGATGAATCAACCTCAAGCTATTCTAGATAAACCTAAGATAGGCTAGATATTTATCATTTCAGTCTAAAACAATATGTGTATTCCAAGCGCCATATAATCCAAGCCAAACATAAACATACACAAGCTAAGCGGTATCATATCATAACATGCAAATCACGACATCTTTGGGCGCAGACGAAGACTGGGCCCCTGTACAAACTCCAATCCAGTGTCAATATCACCACCCTGAGCAAACCGCAGATCCTTCAAGTAGTGATCGCGCGGCTGCCACGGACCACGATCCGCAGCCTTGGGAAGAGCCCGCTCGGCGATAGAAACATAAGTCGAGTTAAGGTTGAGAAGACGACGGGCCTGCAGAGTGGCAGCATCCTTCTCCTTCAAGCGCGGTGTGGCCGCAATCAACTTGCGTGACTCCAACTTCTTCAACAGACGACAGACAAACTGCGCCGTCGCATCCGCACCCAGCGTCCACGAAGCATTGGTATATCCAATCACAAATGACGCATTAGGCAGATCCTGCAGCATGACTCCGTTCCAGAGATACTTGTCTCCAATATCAATCTTGCTCCCATCAACCGACAACGCCGAGCCACCAGCAATCTGCAGCCTCAACCCAGTCGCCGTTATAATAATATCCGCATCCAGTGTCTCCCCCGAATTCAGGGTAATCCCGTTCTTGGTCACCTCCTTAATAGTATCAGTCTTCACATCCGCCTTGCCCTTCCTCAAACTGCGGAACAGATCCCCATCGGGACAGACACACAATCGCTGATCCCAGGGATTATACCGCGGCTTGAAATGAGGGTCGTAGGGGATATGGTTCGGTAACTGCTTGCGCACATTCAACTTCAGCAGCCAGCGCGAGAAGTTCGGGAACCGCTGACAAAACAGGAAGAAGATGCGCGAGGTATAGATCCAGATGACGCGCTGGAGACGGCAGTACATCGAGGCCGGCATCAAATATGACAGCCACCGACTGCTTGTTCGATTGGGGAGGGAGAGGATGTAGGTCGGACTGCGCTGGAGCATGGTAACGCGGGCGGCCTGGTCGGCCAGGTTGGGGAGGAGAGTAACGGCAGTAGCACCACTGCCAATAATGACGACCTTCTTATCCTTGTACTGCAGATCCTCGGGCCAGAACTGCGGATGCACGATCTGGCCCTGGAAATTGTCGAGGCCAGGGATGTCGGCCTTCAACGGTTCTTTGTAGTTGTAGTAGCCCGTGCCGAAGATGACGTAGCGGGCGGTGAAGGTCTGCTCTTTGCCGTCGCTGTCGACCGACAGAGACCACGTATTCTCTGCAGTCGACCAGTCCGCCGCGGAGAGTCGATGGCGGAAGAGAATGTGCTCGTCAATGCCGTATTTGTGCGCCGTGTCGCGCACATACTCTTTAATGGCTGACCCTTCGGCAATGGGGTTATCGCGATTCCAGGGGTTGAACTGGAAGCCAAAGGTGAAGAGATCCGAGTCGGAGCGGATGCCAGGGTACTTGAACAGATCCCAAGTACCACCTAGGTCATCGCGGGCTTCGAGGATGGCATAGCTGAAGCCAGGGAGTTGGTCTTGGAGTCGGTAGGCGGCGTTGATGCCGGAGATACCGGCGCCAACGATGATTACATCGTAGCGGTGGGATTTTGTGCCGTTCATGATTGAGATGGTGAAGAGAAGATATGGAGAGTGAATATATTATATTTAAATTGGTCACATGCCTCGGTTTCACGGTGATCGGCGGTGGGGTATACTGTGCACATTTACAGTAGAGAATGCGAACTATAGGACAATGCACACGAAGTATACATCTGACATCGGGGAGATAATCCCTCCGCGATCCTTATTGTCCAAGTGGGTGTTATTGTTAGGAATTCCCCGAGTGCACTTCTGTTCCTGTAACACGATCTATTATTTATTCCGGGCAGTTCCACTATAGTTGTATAGTTGTATAGTTACATGCAATTCAACTCAGCATGCGCTACAATAGATCGTACAATATACCTATAAGATGATTCACACTTCACCAAGTCCATATGCTGCCGAGGGGCTGCCGAGGCCCCCACAGCCAATCCTTACCAGATGAGGATAGCATTGCGACCCCGGGATCGACATCCTCGGTCGAACATGCGAGCTTCAATAATCAGTCAAGTAAGGGCGAGGAGAACGGGCTTTCACAGTCTGTAACCATGTCGCTCTCCAAAGTCTCCAAAGTCTCCCTCACTCTCCAAGAGAAGCTGGACTTCTTCCCGGCCCTGGCATCCATCTTGCTAGCTGGGTTCTATGCGCTCCTCACAGGGCTCTGGCGCACAGAGCGCCAAGCTAAGACGCTGTTCCTGCATCTGGGATACGCAGTATTCCGCAAAGCGACTGCACGGTTGACACCGACTCAGCTGCAATACGTGTCACCGCCATCCCACAAGATCTATGAAATCTATACAAAGAAGACCGGGGCATTGCCTCAATCAGTGGAATTAGGCAATGGCGCATTGGGCCATTGGGTCGGCGATCGCAATGCCGATAATATCCTGGTCTGGTATCACGGTACGTACGAAGAGAATCCAATATATCCAAACATCAAAGCTAATTCCCCCAGGTGGTGGTTTCGGACTCCCCGCCAGCATGGGCCACTTCAAGTTCTATGCGCAATTGATCGCCGACCTCAAAGCCCGCGGCAAAAGTGTCGCCGTCTTCAGTTTGACCTACACTCTCTCCCCGATAGCAACATACCCAACCCAATTGCGCCAGGCAGTAGAATGCCTTCGCCACGTCCTCGCCCAGCCAAACCGCTCCCCATCAACAGTCTTCATGGGCGGAGACTCCGCAGGCGGAAACCTGGTCGGCGGCGTCCTCTCCCACCTAGCGCACCCACACCCAGAAATCAAGCCGGTCGAGCTATCCAGCAACCTAGGCGGCGCAGTCCTAGTCGCGCCATGGACGCTCCTTGATACGGAATTCCCGGACCAAGAAATCTACCACGGCGGCGATCTAATCACGCAAGCAGTCGCACATCCATGGTCAAGCGCCTACCTCGGCAAGGCAACGCGCGATTACTACACCGATCTATCGACCGCGCCGGTAGACTGGTATTCCACCTTCCCGGTGGAATCGGTGTTAATCACTGGCGGAGGAAATGAGATTATGCTTCCGATTATCCAGGACTTTGCGGCCAAGTTCAAGGAAGGCTTTGGGAAGGTGGAGTTGTTTATTGGACATCGTGAGTGTCATGTGGCGCCGGTTTATAATTTGGAGTTGGGATCCAAGGAGAAGACTGAGCAGGGAAAGAAGGTTGAGGCGTTTTTTACTGAATTGATGGTTTAATTGGAAGAGGGGGGCGGCGGGAGGAGATTGTATATAGTTATGGATATTTTTAGTGCAGGCCATGAATTGTGGATATGAAACATCTGTTAATACTATCTGTTAATATTATAAGGGATTGCTCAATGGTGCTGATATCATTAGGTGCCTTAAAGTGTGACATAAAGTATTGGTTTTATGGACTGGGAGTATGTATTTTTAACCCAAAGCTGGGGAGCAATCGGTGGAGTTCCGGATTGTATCAACATCGCAAGGGTGAGATCGGGCACTTTATATTTTTTACATTTCTTACAAGCCCCAAGTAGGTCTGTGTATGGGTGAGGTAAAGCATATGAATATTGAGTACAACAAGTTACCTATGTACAAGTAGGCATTCGTTCTATTTACATTAAAAACATGGGTAATCGCATAAAGACATTCCTACTGCGCATTCTGCTCAGCCTGCTGGGCAAGGCGCATCTTCTTCAAAGCACCGGACGCGAATGCACGCACACCCTCCTGCATCCAAGTGGGCATAGCGCGCACCAGTGAAGCCGCAGAGTGACTGCCAGGCAAGATAACCTGTCCACTGCGCTGGTTCAGGATTTGCCCACAGATGGCAGCGGAGACCACCTCGGGAGTCATAATGGGCTGACGGAAGTGACGCTCGTTGTCGGTCAGGACCTTGATCATGGGGGTGCGAACCCACATGGGGTGAATAACGCTGGAAAAATCAGTGGATGCCTCCATATAGAGTAGACTCGATGGAACTCACCTGGTGCGCACATTGGGCGCATTGTACCAGTACCGCAACTCCTGGCGCAAGCCTTCATGAAAAGCGAGCGCACTCGCCTTGGAGCAGCAATAATCGACCATCTCACCGAGAGCGACAAAGCTAGCCAAACTGGCGATTGTCACGACATGACCATGGTTGACTTTGATCATGGCCGGCAAGAACTCCTTCACCATCAGGAAATGGGAGAGAGTGTTGACCTCGAAGGTCTGGCGAATCTTCGACTCTGGCTCTTCAAGAATAGTCCCATCATGTCCGACTCCAGCGTTATTAACCAACACTGTTGGCTCGCCATGATTCTTCCGAATAGTCGCCGCAACAGCCGCAATGTCCGCCGAGGAAGTAATATTGGCCTGGTAGAATGCGACATTAGCCGGCAATTTGAAATCCGGCTCATTAATATCAAGAATAACCACGCGCACCCCGGTCCGCGACAAATCCTCCATCACCTGCTTGCCAATTCCACTACATCCGCCAGTGAGGAGGATGAGTTCGCGCGAGGGCTCCCATTTCTGGTTGGTAGTCCAGTTCTGCAAAGTCCACTTAGAGAAGAAGCGGTTCACCGAGCGGGTAAGACCCAGGGCGAGGATAATGGCAGCTGTCTTTTGCGCGACGCTGTTGCCCAGCAGATTTTGGGCTGGTTCTGGGAGAGCGGCAATAGCTGCTTGGGCATATTGTTGGATGAGGTCGAGAGAAGACATTGTGGTGGGAGTGGTGAGAAAGAGAGGAGGGAGTCGGAGAGTCGGGGAGTATAAAGAGATGTTTTATCTCAAACATTTGAAGTAACTTTAGCTTGTAGCGTTTCACTAAAAGTGAAAATAAAAGCAAGAAATTGCCTCGGCTTCACAGGTTGATCTTTTCCCATTAGGAAAGCAATGCGAATGACTCCCTCCACATTGATCGGCGAAATCTTCGCACGGTTTTCCTATTTTTGTGGCGTCGGGGATTATGGACGTTTCGCTGCAGTTCACATGTTTCCCCCGCATGCTCTTATATTGTTAGTATACATCTGGGGTCTAAGCGATGTTGATCTGCAAGGATCCACGATGATGCAGTACATGTCTGTATGTTTATGGTTCAGGGATGAAATCATAGGTCGGCTAACCCCTAAGCCCCCCATTCAATCACAGTTGAATGTATTTCCAACGAACCGATTCTATTTGATCGCCACTTGCTAACAGGCAGATAGATTTACTGCATCTCTCATATGAATTCGAAGCCGAGGTCGCATTGGTTCCCCCAACAAGACTAACAGGTGCCGCTCTGGTGGAGTCATGACATGGGCGCAAATGGGTCACCCTAAATATGATCTCCCCCACGGCCTGCATTCTGCGTCTTCACACTCCGAGGTTTCATAGTGAGTCTGTGTGAAACGGCGAATATGAGTGACACTATACCGGCCTTGGCAGCTTTTACCCTCGTGGAGGCCTATTTCCTACAGCGCACTGTCTTCGCAGAGGAGACCTTCCGGACGGTATGTCTGGGTGCGTTAGGAGTGAACCTCCTTATGAAGGCCCTGTATGGGATCATCATCTGGCCTTTCTTCCTGAACCCGCTGCGCCATCTGCCCAAAGTACCGGTGAGTAGAATACACATTCCATAGTAGTACATGTATTAACCTCGACAGGGTCTGATGAACCATGCCTCAATCATCTTCGACTCACCTAGAGGGCGAATGCCTCTGCACTGGATGAAGACCATTCCAAATGAAGGCCTCATCCACATGCGTGACATGATCTGCAAGAGCTACGTGATCGCAACGAACCACCAAGCCCTGCTGGACATCATGAGCACGAACACCTACGACTTTGAGAAGCCATGGCGATTCCGTAACTTCTTGGCTCGCATCATCGGCTTTGGAATGATTCTTTCCGAGGGCGCCGCTCATAAAAAGCAGCGTAAAGCGCTCACCCCCGCGTTCAATATCAAGAATATCCGCTCCATGTACTCACTAATGTGGGAGAAGACTGGTCGATTCTTGGATGAAATGGAGAAAGAGTTAATGCATCATCCCATGGAGGGATCAAATGCTGATGAGAAGATTGGCAAGTTGGAAGTTGGAGAATGGGCGAGGTGCGTTCAAATAGTGTCTTATCCAAAGTGTCCAACTATATGCTAACACTCGTCTAGCCGTCTAACACTTGACATCATTGGCCCTGCAGCCATGGGTAGAGACTTCTGTTCGCTCCAGGATAAAGATAACCGTGTCGCCGAGAGTTTCCTTAATATTCTTGAGCCGACCACAGAGAAGATGGCCTTCTTGGCAATGAACTTCACCTTGCCTCAATGGATCGCTCAACGTGTGCCCTGGCGTATGAACGATGTGATCACCAACGAAACCAACTTCCTCCGGAATCTATGCAACGATATCGTCCGCGAGAAGCGTCAGACCCTCGCTGCGTCCAAGGCATCTGCTAAGGACCTCGAGGCTGATATCCTGGGTACGATGATGCTCGGTGGAGATTTCTCAGATACCGAGTTGGTTGATCAGATGTTAACTTTCCTGGCTGCCGGGGTGAGTATCCACAGACTACTTGTATAAACCCATAAGCAAACAGCTAACAATGTATTAGCATGAAACAACAGCTAGCGCCCTAACTTGGGCCTGTTACCTCTTGACCCTACACCCTGAATACCAAACCCGTCTCCGCGAAGAAATCCGCACACAAATCCCATCCGGTACTAGCCCAATAACCCACCAAGACCTCGAATCCCTCCCACTTCTCAACGGCGTCTGTCAAGAAGTTCTTCGTCTTTATCCAACTGTCCCAGCCACAATCCGTGAATCAGTCCGGGATACGGTTGTCGCAGGCAAGCATGTTCCAAGGGGAACAAGGGTAATCCTTTGCCCCTATGCCATCAACCGATGCCCCTTATTCTGGGGTGATAATGGGGACGAGTTCCTCCCTGAGCGATGGATCGACACAGACAAGAATGGGAACCAAGTGCCAAATAACAATGGAGGTGCATCTACAAACTTTGCACAGATTACATTCCTACATGGTCAGCGTGCTTGTATTGGTAAGGACTTTGCACGTGCTGAGCTGAGGTGTGCTGTCGCTGGCGTTGTTGGTCGGTTCAGGTTTGAGATGCAGGACCCTAAACAGGAGATTCATATTGCTGGGGCTGTCACCACGAAGCCTGTTGAGGGTATGAACCTGAGGATGCAGAGGGTTGATGAGTGGTAGATTGTATATGTTACAATATGGTTTTGATGTTTTATATGATTTTATGATCTGCTTTTCTGCTACGGATACTTACTCGACTTGGAGGGGTTTGCCAAAAGACAGAATTTATCACGGTATAGCTATAATCTGATCGATGGATATAGTAGCATAACATAGTGTGCCAATTGATCTCATCCAGTAATACTATTCAGTAAAACATCATCGCCATGCAGCTCCTCGCCATTGTACTAAAATGGTAGGAATGATGCTGACTGCTACTATCAGAGCAATAGCAATACCCGCACCACCAGCCCATCCGACCGTCTCAAACATTTGAGGGAACCTGCTTCAGTGAGTAAACATCATAGCTAGCGTGGAGAAGAACATACCAGAAAGGGCCAATGAATCCCCACATCTGACGAACAAAAGTAATAAACACACCAACACTCGAAGCATCCTCGCGGTAACAATCGACCGCGTAAGTAATGTCAATAGTAGTAACAATCTGATTACCCCCAGCAGCGATAGCTGCGCCAATGACCGGAGTAATATTCCAAGTACTCCCAGCATCCCGAAGTTGGACGGCAAACACCACGATACCACAAATGGTAAGGACATGGCCAATATGACTCAACCAAAGACGATATTCGGGTGCAGGGGGCTCTCCAATACGCTTCTGGCGCACCAACATCCACCGGTCGGAGATAAAGCCGCCGATCTGCTCTCCAATGACAGAGCCGATCACCAAGCCCAAGAATTGAAGACCAACTTGTTGCGTGTTAAGGCCGAACATCGCCGGGTAAAGCTGAGGTATCTCGATTGTGAGCATGACACTGCCCCAAAGGAAGATCATGGCATATGCGGCTGCTGGTAGTAGCACACATGGCTTGCCAAAGTAGCTCAAGGGCTGGAAGAAGTCCCAAAGTCTGAATGGAGTCCGATCGATGCGGCCAAACTTGAAAAGACTCTCCTTAACACTGGTCACATTGTGCGAGGCATGTTCACTGCGGACATAGAGGGATTCGGATCCGAGGAAGAGGTATAGAATGAACTGGATTGCATTGACCTGCAAACCACGTCAGCTTTAGTCAATAGTCTACAATGAAGATGGACTCACAATGGCAAGAATGTAATAGATCCACCGGTATCCAACACGTAAAGCGATGAAGCCCGTAATGAAAGGAGCAGCTGGCACACCAATCGTGACCATCAAAGTCCACGCACCCATGCATCTCGCACGATCCTTCTTGAAAAAAGTCTCGGCAACAACAGCACTACCAATAGCCGCCGCAGGACTAATAAAGAAAGCAGTGATGGCACGACAGAGACCCATTGTGGCATACGAATAGCTCTTCGCACAGCCAATATTTCCGACCAAACTGCAGATCAACGAGATCAAAAAGATTGGACGACGACCGAATCGATTGGACAGCGGTCGCCAGAACAAGGGTGCACCACCTAGCACGGCAATGAATAGTGATACCAAGTAGCTAGTGCGTTGCATGCTGACTTCTAGGTCCTCGGAGATGTTTTCGAATGCGGATTGGATGGAAGCGGCTGTGAACGTGGCCATCATGGCGTGGAAAGCGACGAGAGCGAGGTTTATGTTTTTCTATAGAAGGAAAGTGTCAGCTTTGTTGGTGTGCTTCAAAAAGGAATGTTCTCACCCTCCATCGTGACCAGTTGTAGGGATCTGCATCGTTCATGTCAGGGAGAGGATCAAGATCCAATGTGCCATGTCGTGCGAGAAGATACTGGCGATGCTCCTCAGACAGATGAGCAACTTGGTCTTCAATATAGAAATCAGAGTACTTTCCAGCTTCAGTTCCCTGAGGACCAGGATCAACTCCTTCAACATGCATATGTTGGCTATCAGTCTTCTCCATCATGAATATAAAGTCCACCAATGCTTGAGGGAAGAGATGGAAGAGATATTAGATAACGGATTGTGAGAGAAAGAAATGTACGTTGCTTTCTATCCCTGGCTCTTTATATGAGCTACCCCCTAGCACCACGGACATCTCATCTAGTGTTAACCCACTTCCCCGTACTCCCCATCTTTCCAGCGATCTGGGGGGTGGGGGCAAGACGTGGACTCATCTCCACCCTCAGACTAGACTCAAGGATTTGCAGACAAACGAAAACCAAGTTCCAGTCAGGATGCTATCCCAGTAATTGACTTGACCAAATCCGAAGTAGATATGAGCTTGCGGGTATAGTTTCATCCGCTCCAGTAAGAGCGTGCGTGGAGAGTGTGGGGTGGGGAGAGACGACGTTCTCCTGGAAGAATCACCAATCGTCAATAATAGTAAGTAATATCAGTCTGCGGTGATAGCTCGATATTCAAATTTGCCTCTAGTCTCTTTATTTCACGCGAGAGATTGTGATATGGTCTGATGAACGGACATCACCTTCTCTCTCACCGACGAATATAGTCGACTCGCAATGCTTATACCGTCTTGGCTGGCTGGGCAAGCCCACCTGGAACAGTGGCCCTTCTCAAATCCCCACATTCAAACCTTGGCTTGTGTTGTCGGCTTCGAGATGCTCAGACTCAGTGCTCAGACGAAATCGTTTATCAAAGCTCCGTACGGCCGAGCGCGGGATAGTACAGGATAAACGATGACTTATGGCCAATCTGGTGCTTTTGCTTAGAAAGTAGGTGTCATGAAACATTGTCCACTAGGATTGTGGCGGTTGTTGGTGAATTCCCGATGATCTCGGAGATTATTTCCTATTACTTCGTTGTGTCCTCGGAGACATGCAGCCACTTCAGCTGAAGGAATCACTTCTTCATTTAGGCTCTATTTTGCTCTGTATCTCTTCTCATAGTGGTACTTTTGATTATATTGCCAATCCCTCAAAACCATAAGCTATCCAAGTCACTCATCATACTGGTCTATCTAGCTCGTAGTCGACACACATTCCACACCAATGTCACCCTGGATTCCATCGCAGATAATTTCTGAGCCACCATCGGGGCTAACAAGGTTGATGTTTTCCATATGAATATCCGAGCACACAGCATTAGGCGAGCAGGTCAAGTCGGCAACGACTTCATCCTCAGCTCCCGATGAGGTACCATAGATGTTCTCAAAGGTGATGTTGGTGATGTTGACGGCAGAGGGATACTTAGCACAAGTGGTGGCGTTGATGTTGAAGTAGCATTGATCCAGGACAATGGGCTTGTCGGTATTCTCAATGTGGATATTCTTGTAAGTGATGTTGTTGATACGGCCATAACCAACGTCAGGTCCAGCCCAGGCCTTGAGACGGGCACCAGTCTATATTTTTTTGTTAGAACAATATCACTGTAGTGGAATAATATCATCTCATACCTGGCCGTTGAGCAGAGTGACGTTCTCGATCCAGGCATTCTCAATGATGTCCTGAACTCCAGAGTACTGTCCAATGCTACCCATGCTCACTCCGTGAGTGTTGTTACACCACAGATTCTGCACAAAGATGTTGGTGGTGTTGGGCTTGGGTGAGAAGCAGTCATCACCGATATCGACGCGGGTGTTAGTAACGGTCAAGCCGTTCACGTTGAGAGAATCAAATCCATCGGTGTTCTTGGGAAGTGCAGATGCATTGGTCGAGTACGCATTGATGAAAACATCGTCAAAGACGACATCATTGGTGCGGACAAAGAAGTTGGTCCAGCAAGGCGAGTTTAGTTGGGTGATTCCTTCAACGCTGACTCGAGTAGCGTTATCTGTCAGGAAGAGAATGGGGCGGTAAAAAGTGTTTGATGAGTCCTTATATACGTGTTAGTTGAATATTCCTTAGGTTGCTTGATTCATTCTTACCAAAATCTCCCGGCCAGCAAAGGCGTTGTACCAGGCTTGGCCATTTCCATTCAAAGTACCCTTGCCGAAGATTTTGATGTCTTGGCCACCCCAAACCCAGAAGGTAATGGACTTCTGGAAAGCATAGTAGAAGTTGTTTGCTTGCCAGTACTCGATATCATCCGTAAACTATAAATGTCAGCATGGCTCATCCTTTTATGGCACAATGACATACCTTCAATTCACCATCGAGCTGCACTTCGATGTTATCCAAGAAGCTAAGATCAAGCTTCTTTCCAATAACATACTTCTTGTTCTTCTGGAGAATGAGTCGTCCACCGTGGTTGGCAGCCTTGATACCCCAAAGGAAATCATCGGAGATATCATCAGTGTCACTCTTCGATGAACGAATTGTTACCGTGCGACGGTCTTTGTACTTCTGGCCGTGGGCACCAATCTTCTTCAGTTCACCCTTATGATTTGCAGGAATGATTGACGCTCCCTTGATAACATGTTCTGTTGCAAGAGCACTGGCTGTGCTGAGAAGCAGCGCACCGATAGCGAGGAACTTCATGGCCAGTTCAATTCGAGGGATTGATGAACTTGTCTGTAAGTCAATGTAAAACGAGTCAAGCAGGCATTTGTGTCTACTTTATAGATTACCCCAGAGTGTCAATTGTAACAGCCGAGCTCATCTCGAGCTATAACCTACTAATCCGGGGAACTGCAATAGGCGGAGGAGGCAGAGATTTCTCCGCCTATAAGAAACTATCAATCGCATGTTTCCCAGACAAGGATGATCGGCAATGAGTGCGGAAAAAGTGCGGTACGAGTGCGGTAGTATACAGCGTAGACTATGCAGGTGCGACTCGGTATAGATGAAATCATTTTCTCCGCATTTCGCCAAGATCATCTTCGAGCGGGGATGCGGAGGGACTTTAGTCAAGAGAAGCTTGGGCAGTGCTAAATCATCTTTATTGGCATTTCAATGCGCCTCTGTTGTGGTCGGGATACATTCCACCGTCTTGGGCTGGTTTCCACATGAGAAATGGGATATTCCACCAATCAGGGCTTGACTTGATCATGCATAGATCTGGGGTTAAACCTCGGGCTTTGACAGATGAACGGCATTTTTGATGTTTGTTTATTTCCGGGGGTAGATTTTGCGTCTTGGTATCGTTGTGGTATTAGAGTGCCTGGGCGCCCAGTGTTCGGAAGTGAGGATTCACCGACTGTTGACCTTCCACGCCGTTTCGGAAAAACAAGCTTGCAAATACGAGGTTTGAAGTCAGTTTCAAGGATGGTTGTTCTTGTTATTTACTTGGTATTCAGGTCAACTAGCTGTAAAAACGACACGTCAGACATCGCCCGCCTGCGACACCTTCTTGACTGTCCAATGTCCCCAGTCTCCTTGTTTTCGAATGATATTCTCTCTCGCCATGAGAACAATATTTTTCGGAGAAGCAGTTATACCATGAGTGATGTTATCGACGCGTCTCGATTACAGCTTCTTGCCAGCCAGCACCAGAGCAGTGACGCAGCTGATGTTACCCGACCACCAAGTCACAGAACGAAGATAGCTCACAGTTGGCGAGTCGATGTACGAGTAGGCAAAGCTGTACGCAACGCGTGAAAGGGTATACCAAATACCAATGCCGTTGATGGTCTCATTGGGGAGACCGGCGTACAAGGACAGCAACACTAAATCATGTCAGTCTAACTGGAAAAATCATTAAGAAAAATCAACTGGCAAGGTCACATACTCGCCGCAACAAACAGCGGATATCCCTCCTGCGCGTTCGCATGCGCAGCCTCCTTCCGCTTGAGCTTCTCAAGCGTGCGACGGCTCAGCTTGCCTTCCTGAACAGCGCGTTCGCCGTACTTAGACAAGTCTTCGCGCGGGGAGTCATTATGGTCGAGACCATAATACATCTTCTCACCACGAATGCTCATGAAGCAAAACGCGAGGAACCAGTTGCCCACCAGGAACCCAGCGGCGTGGTTTGCTGGCTGTTGGCCAGCTGCAGCGCGGAGGCCCAGAGTTGTTAAAATGGCACTGCAACAGTTAGTCTTGCTTCTCTGTACTGGGTAGGCAACATACGACATGGTTATGGATGTTCCTCAGAATGTTGGGGACTGCCCTCCTTATATAGAGCGATCGGCGCATGTGGGCACGAACCGAGGAGATGAAGTCATGCCGATCAAGTTCGATGATATCACTGTGCCAACTTTGCTATGCGAACTGACATCTGAGTTGACAATTGGGATGTTAACCCCGGGTTTGCTGGGCTTTACAGAGGTTCAGGGTAAATTGCGAAGTTTTCAGCCAACCCAAAGTTTCTTTGATCACTCCATAGTACCAACTTCAAATTACACACTCTGCTATTCTCGCAACTGGAATAATCGCCTTCTTCATTATACAGTTCATTATGCAATGCGCGGAAGAACCAAATAACTATCATATTCTCCACCCGTGTGGACAATGTGCTGTCCCTTGTTCTCATCGCGAGGCTCAGTCGGCCTCAACATCTCGATCTCTGGCAATGACATATCATGGCCTGAAATCTTCAATACCAATCCCTCGCCTGCTTCATACACAACACCCATGGGCCAGATCGGACTCAGCAGCTCCACGATCTCACCGGGCGTAATTGGTTGCCGTGAGCGGTGATCATAAGAAGGATACTCATCGTCACTGGTGCGAGGAGCCATACTAACGCGATGAGACGCACGGAGCATTCCCTGGGGACCGAGGTGTTTAGCAACATTCACATTGGGCACTTCGGGCTGCGGTTGTGGCATGGGAGACCAATTGAGAGACTCGAGGACTTCGCCAGAAGCAGACAGTTTGCGAATCTGTACAACAACGTCGAGATCATCATGTGAGGGGGCTGACATGAAGATTTTAACAAACGGTCGCCCACAGAGCTCCGTGTACTCGGAGAAAACCAGCTTGAAGTCCGAGGAGTCGGTCAGAGAGTGGCTCTCATGTGTTGTCGTTGCGGTGGCGTCCGGCTTGGAGGGACTAAGTGACTTTGTGGCAGCGTCAAGGTAAAACTTTTCCATGCGCAGACGTGCAGGAGGCCACTCTTGCTCAGGTCGCTCCACGATTGTTTTTGCTGGGCTATTTTCAAAACCAAGCAAGGTGAGTCTCACTGGAGGAGTATCTTCTTCCCAGCCATTTTGGATACCCTTGGCGTAGAAATCGAAGAAGCGTTGAAGGTCGTCATTTGCTTTGACAGTATATAGGTCGTGCCACTCCTGGGAAGCATGAATTCGAATCCATTTCTTCGGAGTAGATGCTGTCTGAAATCCCTCAAGAGATCCTTCCGTGTGAAGGCCTGTCGAGTAGGAGGCTGTGAAGTACACCGGAATATCGCGAATATTCTTGGCGTCAATTTTTTTGCTCTGCCAGTACGCATCATACAATGGATGCTCTTGCAGCATCTTCCCAAAATCCTCCATGTTAGCCAGACCGGCGAATCCACCCATGATCAAACCCATAAAGACCGGATTGGGGATCCCGCCCCGGCAGTTTTGCTGAAGATAAGGATCTGAAAGACCTTCCCATGGGGCAATTGCCTTTAGAGCTGGGTGGGAGAGTCGGGAGGTAAAGTTAGTTTGGGATATGGAGAGCCAGGAATTCCCACTATGCTTCAATTAGTCTCGATACTAACCTTAGAACATATATTCCTCAAGGACTCACGCAAGAACAACTGATCCATTGCACCACGGTTGCTGAGATACCCAAGTAATACAATCATAGATATCTTCTGCCTCCTGTTGACCCCAGAAAACAATATTCCCCTCCGAATGCGCGCATCCCCGAGCATCGATGTCAACAACTGCATATCCACGCTCGGCCCACTCAGCAGGGTTGGGACCTTCGAACGTCTCGTATCCACTCAGGCGCTGGTATGGAATTCCCATACGGTAGGGACCCATGAGATCATACGACAGAACACCCGAATCGACCTTTCCATATGGACTATAAGGAATGATAGCGGGTACTTTGTCTCCACGGGTCGGCCGGAACACATCACCGTAAAGCTTGATCCCATCGCGCATAGTGATTGCACAATCCTGCTCCCAAGTCACATCCACAGGGAATGCTTGAAAGCCCGCCTGCTTCACATGGCCCTTGGGGAGATTCGTGACGCGACCTGGATGAAATCCATTGTAACAGAAGGCTGGGTGTTTGGCAGGATGAGGGAGCTGTTTCCAAGCTATGTTAAAATCTGAAGAAGACATTCTGTTGGGAGATAATTATCCTCAAGTCTTGTTAGAAATGAGGGGTTTAAGTACGGCGGACAGTATACTTCTGCTGGAGTACACGTACACGTACGGGATCCCCATTTATATCCGTACATCCGTCACTCCACATCCCGACGACTAAGCGGAAGCGGACTTCCAACAAGATTCTGAGACTTATGGAAATCATCTTTAGGGCTTTCATAAGAGAAGTCTTCATAGTTCTTCATAGCTATTCGGTTTGTACAAATTTGATGTCTAAACCACATTTCTTGCAGATATAGTCCGCTCAAGCTCCCGTGAAGACGCCTTAGTCGAATCTCGTTCCAGTGAGCCAGTATAATTTGAGTCTCCACTGCAGTACAACATTATCATATCCGGTTCTCCTTGGCTATTGCTATCATATGTTTGAGGTCGCTGACCGGAGGCACAAGAGAAGCGGTTGTTGAGCACAATCGAGTGACCTTGGCGATCGACCACACTATTGTTGGGGACCGGTTCGTTCTCTGAGAGTAGAACTATTTCGATTGGATGGTCTTTGATTGTGGGAACCTTGAACCATTTATAGAGGCAGTTCAGAACTGGTATCGAGAGTCCATGGATGACGATGGAGAAGAAGACGAGCCAGTAGACCACTGACACATGATTGTTAGAAAAGCTCAGACCAGAAAATGAAGAATTTCGGAATCATACCGGGAATCATAGTCGAAGTCAGAGTGTTGATCTCGACATCACTTTCTCCTGGGTCCGGTAATAGTCTGCGTGCATACTCCACATATGATATTGCGCCAATTCCTGGAAGTTGTCAGTATTCTAAATTCAACAAATTGGTGAACCTACCAATCGGCCCAAAGTAACCCATAAATAATGCCTCTTTCCAATCATTGCACACTTTAGGCATAAATCGATATCCCATCATGATCGCCGGGATCCGGCGAAATATCAAAATCAAGAATCCCAACCCGACCAGTTGGGCGATGGTGATTCCATTCTGGCTGGGCATTTGAAACTGATCCCATGGCGTAATAGCACCGAGAAACATGAACGTCCCAAAGTTCAGGATAATTTCAATTGCAGGATTGAAAGAATCACGCCTTTCTTCAACTTCGAAATGGTATGATCCGTCCCAATTCAAAGCGCAACCGGCGACGAAGCAGGCGAGGGTCTCATCAGATCCGAAACAGCCACAGGTGCCGACAATAAACAGCTACAAACTTGTCAGTTGCCGACATTCTCGGGTCGGATGATTCCGTCACTCACTCCAATAGCAACGGGATATAGGAAGAAACTCTCCCTGTCAACCCATCGTCTGCGCTTTTGTTAACCAGTGTTTCAACCTCAATATCGGAATTCCCATCTACCTTTTTGAAGCCACATTCAACGCTTTCCGACTCAAAAATCCGACAAGGACACCATATCCAGCGCCCATAACCAGCATGTATAATACCCCTTCAACAGCCCAATGTGCCAAAGCGCGTCCGACATCGCCACCAAACCGACCAGTATCTTGTTCGCCAATCCAATCACGCCTATGATTTGTGAGGTCGGCCTCTGCTGAATTCATTACACCCGGTGGAGAGTCGGTATAACGAAGGAGAGCAATCGAGAGCAAAAGAAACGGAAACCCGAAACCATCATTTCCACCTGCTTCGGCAGAAATAAATTCTCGAAGGTGCCTTCGAACGTACTGATCTGCGAAAGGGCCTTTGGCGATGGCCTGCGAGAGAACTGGATCGATGCATATCACACAAGATCCGATGATGAGTGAAGTCAACTGGCGAGAATTAGTACGATGGTATATAGAAACACACTCGCCACTCACGAAGCTCAACTGAGGGATTATCAGCTTGATACATGCCGATGTGATCAACCATTGGATGGTCATCAAAGGCAGTAAACAGATCGTGAGCTCAACTAGGCGAAGCCGAAGATACCGTTTTGGTAGTTCATATCCAACTTTGACCATCGCGATACCAATTACCAGTCGGCTCAGGCCCTGCGATCATTAGTTCAGATATCCATGCTTGTCATTCCAGGATACTTACATAGGCAATGTCACCAACATCAGTTTTAGAGTCCCCACTCCATTGGCTCACGTTGATGAATCTGGCACAAAAGGGCCCTATTATAGCGCCCACAATAAACGACGGTACTGTGTATGATCAGTAACTGTCCTTCGATAAGAAGTTGCGATACATACACGCTTCACCAAGGTACCATCTTTGCTTGATCTTCACAGCAACGAAACCAAAGACCAAAATGTAGATTCCTATATAGGTCAGAAAAGTACCTCACGGAACGTGCAAAGGTCTCACCTGACAATGCAAGGACAACATTCACACTACTAAGATCCAAAATCGGATGGAGCATCCTGTTCCCGCAAGACGCGAAGAACTAAGAGCAGAGTCGGTGGATTCTGGTTAGCAACGTAGATTGTCCGCTCTCCGTGCAGGTGGGATATCGCACTGTATTCGGAGATCGTCCTTGTCGCACCAAATATGTGTGGTGATCTGGGCCAGCTGACGTTGACAATCTGAAAGGACAAGGTCGGAACTTGATATGGGCCATGCCACTGCGAATTGCGCAAATGCCGCCATTATGTCAATTCGCGCCGAGGAATGCTCCCTTTCTTTTGGCCACCAAGAGCCTCTTATCATGATCGAGTGCCACAACCGTAGACTGCATGCATCCCTTGCTGCGGAGACACTGTTTACGTGTCATAGATAAGAGGTACTACTTCCACGCACAGCACTGTTGGGTCGAACAAATGTGATTGTGATGAATCTCGTGAAGATCAAAAAGTAATGTACATAGACGGTTGGCCCTCGACTGCTCAATGAGTCCCAAGCGGCAATCTTTGTGCACCAATCTATAGAATTGACAGCGCTAAGATTGCAGGGTTCTAGCCTCGTCCTTGTACGCGCCACGACTTCTACGTTTAAATAGTAGAGTCAATCCAACCAATTACAAACCTATCTCGCCACCCATGTCACCCTTCGCGCATCGGGATCGACGCACCCGAGAAGCTTGGCCGGACGGCTGCACGGCTCCTTGAGCGTCAGAGTACGCGCCAACAAGGATTGACAGGGGCAGGGGCTAGCCTATCAGAAAACCCAACTGGGCGTCATTCACAGCTCCCGAGGCCACAGGCTTCATAAATTATATTTATTGACAAGCACGGTATTTGCATACATGTATGAAACATCTACGGCAACGCTGTGACAACAATCCAGGAGTAGAATGCTCTAAACTCGGAACAAGGGATGATAAGGAGGCATTGCTAATTTTGTAGCCTGCGTAGCTAGGAGTTGAAGCGTCATCCAGCCCATTTTCTAACTATGCCAATGCTTTCTGGAAGGTCTTGGCCAGCCTTGCCAAGAGATATTAGTATAACTCTGTTCTTCGAGTAAACATGGCTTCATTCACAGATCTATACGTTGAAATTTAATAGCGTATACTCTTCTATTTTATAAATATGAATGGAATGGGATACCCTAAGTCTAGGATGGCGTAATGACCCCTTTATTAGAATAGTCCTGATCGAGATGTCTTGCAGCAAAATCCCTCATAGCTCCACCACACGCTTCGGGCTACTATGAGAGATTTTCCAGCACTTGACGATCAAGCCTAGAAGTAATACTATATAATAAGGAAGTTGCACAGTAAATCAAATCTGTATTCAGTCACTCACTTCAATTTTCTCTCACAAAATGGGCTCAATAGCACAACTCTCTACCCTTGCAACGAAGAGTGATTGCTCTCAGGTCTACGGCTCTCGCTATGCCGCCAGACCTTTGCCATCCCAACGACTTCCAGATGGAGAGATGCCAAAAGACGTAGCTTACCAGCTCATCAAAGACGATCTTGTACTTGATGGCCAACCCATGTTGAAGTGAGTATCGTCCTGAAGTTACTAAATTTTAGCTAATATACTTTAGTCTTGCCAGTTTTGTGACAACCTACATGGAGGATGAAGCCTTGAGACTCCTCGCAGAATCCGCCAACAAGAACATCATTGACCACGAAGAATACCCCAAATCCGTTGAAATCGAACACCGATGCCTGAACATTCTAGCCGACCTTTTCCATTCTCCCATCTCAAACGGAGCACCAACAGCCGTTGGCACAGCATGCATTGGATCATCCGAAGCTATCATGCTAGCAGTCCTAGCAATGAAAAAGAAATGGCAGAACAACCGCAGAGCCCAGGGAAAGGAGTTCTCCAAGCCAAACATCATCATGAGCACCGGGGTGCAACTGTGCTGGAAAAAGGCCAGCAAATACTTCGATCTCGACGAGAAACTGGTACCATGTACCGAGACACGCTATGTGATTGATCCCACTCAGGCGGTTGACCTGGTTGATGAAAATACTGTTGGCATCTGTGTTATTCTGGGCACCACGTATACCGGACAGTATGAAGATGTTCAAGCCATCAACAACCTTCTCGTTCAACGAGGATTAGAAACACCTATCCATGTAGACGCTGCCAGCGGTGGATTCGTGGCTCCGTTCGTCAATCCCGAGTTGCAATGGGACTTCCAGCTCTCAAACGTTGTCTCCATCAATGTCTCCGGACACAAATACGGATTGGTAAGTTGGTTCTTCCCAACTCGGTCGTTCTCGCCACTAACCATCCTTGCAGGTATACCCAGGCATTGGCTGGGCCCTCTGGCGCTCCCCTGCCTATCTTCCAGAAGATCTCATCTTCAACATCAACTACCTAGGTGCGGACCAGCTGAACTTCACCCTGAATTTCTCCAAACCAGCTTCACACATCATAGCCCAATACTACCAACTCATCCGACTCGGTCGGAGCGGATACACAGCAATCATGGCCAATCTCACCAAGACAGCAGACCACCTAACGACCCGGCTAAAAGATCTCGGCTTCATCATCATGAGTGAAGGAGGTGGCCATGGACTCCCAGTGGTAGCATTCAGACTGAATCCCGCGCAAAACGTCTTTTTCGATGAGTGGGCGCTTTCTCGGAAATTGCGCGAGAAGGGCTGGATTGTACCTGCTTACACTATGGCGGCAGACTGTGAGTCTATGGGCATGTTGCGTGTTGTTGTCAGGGAAGATTTCAGTTTGAGTAGGTGTGAGGATCTGGTTGCGGATATACAGACTGCGTTGAGGGCCCTGGCGGAGTTGGAGATGAAGAATATCCAGCGGTATCAAGCGTGAGTATCATCTTTCTACTATTTCACGCACTGGGATTGAATGGTTTAGCTAACTTTTCTACGAATAGGCTACTTCAGAGTCATGCCATGATTCCGAAGACTATGTGTGAGGATAAACCTTGTATGCAGTTTGTCGCGAGGGAGTTGAATAAGGAGATGACAAAAGCCTGATGGTTGAATAATCACGTAAGATTCGGTTAAGTCCTAGACCAATTTTATATGTACAATGAGTGGGATATCTTAAATCAAACCTGCCAGACTCCGTACCGATATATCAATAAAGCATGCTGTTCCTTTTCACCTTGGCAATATTACAAGTAGTTCAGGGAAACGCTGGGAGATTTTTAAAGAGATCAGCATCCCACAACTCTGGGCCGGTGTAATCCAAGCCGTCGAACCAGCCTCCTAGATCCATTGGCTGCTACAGTCAGTATGTGTATAGAAGTACTGTTTGAATGATGTGATGACTTACTGTAAAATCACTGAAGTCCGTTGATAACAAGGAGGAAGGATCAATATCACTCGGCGTACCAGTCATTGGAGTGGCACCCGAAAGGATGGGCGTCTGAATGAACAGATTAGACAAGACTGGCAAATAGTCATAACTGAAGATACTAACCTGAACCGGTCGAGTGTCCACATTAATCTGAGCATCACGATATGAAGCCCCATCTAACACCGCTCGAGAAATCCGAACCGCTCTCTTCGCGGCAGACTCAACATTGCACAAAGGATCTTCACCCTTGACACGGGATTTGACAGATGCCATGATGATATTCAAAAAGAAGAATGGCTTGCATCCCTTTCCACCAACACCAATTCGTCTCCCGAAATTATCAGCTGTACGCTCGATAGCTTGCATCATAACGCCCTGCTGTGATTGAATCATGCTCATCAAAACACTAGAGTTCACACCGTCCATGCCCGAGGAAGCCGATGCTCTCATTTCATTTGCTTGGAGTGATAACTCCACACAAACTGTGATTGCAGCGTGGAAAGTCTCATCGCGGAACATACCGCTGCCGAGCTGTGTAATATGGGGATACTGGATATCCTCAGGCAAAAGGGGGAGTTCCATTTGCGAAATAATGCCGAGAGATTCCTCCAAGCAGACTTTGCGCGAGTATGAGCATTTGGGTAGTCGGACCACACTGAGAGAAAATGGGCGATGGAGGGCGAGAAGGAATTTGCGCATAATGAATAGATGTAAAGACTGGGCGAATTGGTGGCGACTTGCTTCTTCGGGTAACGTGCTCGTTGCGTTGTCTTCGAACAGAGATGATGCACTCTGCATGTTGCGAGAGAGTATGTCGCCCATTCTTAGAGCATCGTCGTAAGACAGGTTAAATCGAAGAGTGTTTATTTTCCTGGCGATACGATAACGCAATGGTAGAGTCTTCATCAGGAGAGTCTGGTAGAAGTTCTGCGTGTAGAGAGCAGTGCTGAGAGGTGCTGGGTTATGCTCCATATCCAGTACTAGATCCGAATCGTTCCAGTTAGACGGTAGATCGCAGTCACACTCGTCTAGATCAACCGATGGTGGAACCCCGCGGTCAAGAGAGATTTTGAGATCCAGCTCGACAATAGTAACCCACAGCCGGCGCCGCAGCTCAGCATAAAAAGGAGGACATTTGCGGAAACGAGTCGGATCACGATGTAGTCCCATAGTCATTGAAGATCGAATCAGCGATCCCATGGACGCCCAAGCTACATCGCCGTCACTTGCAACTCCAAGGCGAGCCACGAGAAGAAGACATTGCGTCTGGAGCATTCGCAGATCTATCTCCGGGCTGACAAATGTGCATGAGATATAGGACTGCACAGCCATGATCCATCGCATAGCGGGTACCTGGAATGCGTCTCGGTCGTCTTGACCTGGTGTCGACACATAGAAACAGCTACCGGCAGCCATCACAGCTAGTAGCTGGGCCAGGAATGCCGTGTCGGATGGCTGGGTACCGGCCCAGTAGTCGGCATACTCCTTTAAAAAGGTCGGAGTGTGTAAAATGCGATACGTCGTCTCAAATGTATCCAGATAGAGTTGTAGGAGATGATCTGCGACCTGTCGCGATGGCACCATTTCGTCCAGGTTAAACGGCTGTTCACGGAACGAGCGCTGGTGATCTTGTGTCTCGCGGGACCAAAGTTCAGTCTTGAACTTTTTCATGTCAGTATACTCCTGATCTTTGACTTCTCGGCATCCGTGACCCCGGCGCATAAAAGCACCAATGTCTTGGAACTGTGTTCAGTTAGCAAGAGTTTCACACTTCCAGGTTACAACACTCACAAATGACACAGTCGTCGTATAATGACTGCGACCAAAATACCTTGTTTTGGCCTTCTTCCCCCGGAAACTCGCATCAGGTAAAAATCGCACGCGATCCTCAACACCAACATTCTCAGAGCTAATAGCAGTCTCCCCCTCAGAGGGAGAGAAAAAATCACCGACAGATGCCTCAGGCGTCTGAAGCACAGAAGTCCTGCCGACAGAATTTTCTAAGGTGCGCAACCGACTTCGGAGCTCATGCAGCTCATCAGGCCTCGCACGCTTGGTACCCCTCGACGAATTGGCCCCCAACTTCGAATCAAAGACAAACATGCCACTTTTGCGGCCTGGCTCATTATTAGCTCGCCGTGATACTGGTGGTGACATGTGCTGTGGCTCTACAGGGCCCGGTTGAGGTCCGACGAAAACACATTCGTGCGGTGTTTTAGAGCGAAGGCATTGCCCGCATGGAAGTGAGCGATCGCATTTTAGTTTGCGTCTCCGGCACACTGTACAAGAGAGGGGCGGGCGACGCCGGCGCTGGGGTGCTGATACCTCTGTATTCTCCGGCGATGGAGGATCTTGATAGTAATTTGAATTGGTCTCCATTGTTGCAATGGTGAACTGTGAGTTGGTTTTCGTCGTAGCCTTGCAATGACGCTAAGGATGTGCGTCAGACGTTAGGGCAAAAGGAAGTCTTTCGAGCTAAGTCGCCATCCCAAACATCAGAGTTGACATGAAATGTTTCAATAAAGTCGACAGGACTTGAAATAGGAGAACAAGCTTGACGGACGCCTACATGTACAAGACGTCGATGCGATGCGATACCCGAAGCAGCTGTCTCCGGCCTCGGAGTTACCGGATGCGGTAAGCCGCTTAACCCCGAGCTGATTGATAAAAGAAGCCAAGTTTTGTGGATGTCAAAAGGCATCAAATGAGTCAGAATGGATCAGAATGAGTTGTATAGCCTATTACAACACTCAATTGTACAGGGGTGAAATCCATCAGTACGAAAATAGATAATGTTAGTCATATGTCTTCCGTTAAACTTCTCCAAATCCGACTTTTTGATCTAAATTCGTGTTCGCAACGCTATGCTAATGCCAAAAATATATGCAAAGCCACCCAATATTTACTTTGATCGCCAGAAAGGCTTCATCACCGAGCGCATATAAACCAGCAGATACACCATCAAGTAATTTGCCACAGTGAAACCAAGGAAAATGCCAAAGTACGGCCAGATCTTGGAAGAGTCCAGACCAATGCCCGAGAGATACTGCAGCAAAATATTAATATAACAATCCAGGAGTCTGTCTTTGCGGGGAAACTCACATCATCACCATAACTATATTCACAATACCCACATCGTCCAAGGCCATCGGGGTTAGACAAGTAGCCAACACCCTTAGTATCAAGCCAAGAGCCCGCGTATTCACCGCAAGTCATGTTCGGTGGACTCTCAAAGATGGTCAACTCGCTCTGAGTGCAGACTACCTCCGTACCACGAAGTACAGACGTGAGAACACCTCCAACCCAGTAAGTGAATGGCGTGATGTAGTACATGGTATATTTCCAGAAAGCAGGCATCTGCTCGTGTGGTCTGAGAATACCGTTGAATAGTTCTCCCAAGATAATGAAGAATGGCATAAGTGTGGCGGCAACCAAGGAATCAGCACTGAAGGTTGTAAGTTAAGAGGTTCGAAATGGGATGTTGGCCAACTCACCTCATAGCAGCAATCCACTGACCCCACGACGTGGCGAACAGGAAGAAAAAGAAGAACATGATGAAGCTGTATCCTGCCGCGAATCCAAGTGGCAGTCCAACCATGAAATAATACAAAATGAAGAATACTACTCCACCGACGATAGCGTAGGGGATTTCAGCGACGATTTGTGCAGTAGAGAAAGCAACCCAGCTGTATACACCACTGGGGCCTTCCCTCGCTAGCCAAATATCCCGATTGAGGATGAACCGCATGGAGATGGCATTGATAAACTCAGGTACCAGCATAAGAACTAAGAAACAAGAGAAAGCCTTCGACTGCAGATCCGTTGCACTGTTCCCAATCTGGAGATAGGTAAGGCCGTTGATCAGGGCGTGCAGGAAAGAAGCGTAGAGACGTGAGTAGGGATATTCAGCCGTTCTCCAAAACTGGCGACAGGTTCGTTGGGTGAGGAGTTTAATCTGGCGACTGAGAGGCGGGGGACGTGGTGCTGTAGAGGATGTGCGAGTGTTGTTGGAGCGGATACAGGCGATTTCGTTCTTTACTTCCTTGCATTCTTCGGAGTCGCGCCAGACAGATGCCCAGCTTACCTGGTTTCCGGAGGATTTCATGCCCTCGACGACTACCTCGATGAGGAAATCGGCTGCGTTGGTCACTTTCTCTGGAATGTTGCCATGTTTTTTGAAGTAGTCGAAGATTGCGTGGCCAGAATTACCCACAGGGCCGAAGTAGTATGTGCTGCCACCGGGACTCAAGGCAAGGACACGGTCAAACTGTATCTGTTAGTCTTGATCTACACTCTGGAATTACTGCATGCATACCTCTTCGAATTGCTGCTGGTTAGCTTGGTGAATGGTACAAAGAACCGCCAGTCCCTGGTTTGCCAGACGCCGAAGAAGAGCAACGATACGGGTCGCGCCTTGGCTATCAAGTCCACTTGTAGGCTCATCCAGGAAAAGAAGTAACTTGGGTCTGGCGCAGAGTTCCACTCCGATTGTCACGCGCTTTTTCTTTTCGATATCCAGCGATCCAATGATGGCGTCTTGCAGTTCGACCAAGTCAAGCGTGTGAAGCACAGTTTGCACATATGACAGTTTCTCTGCATCTGATACCTCGTGACTTTGACGGAGGTGGGCAGAGAATTCAAATGCTTCGCGGATGGTACTGCTTTCGTCGTGAATGTCCATTTGCTGGCAGTATCCAATCTGTCGGTTGAAGGATTTGTCAATCGAGTGGTTATCCACGAACAATGAGCCGGACAAGATGCCAGGGCTTTCTCTTTGAGTGAGTGCAGTCAACACTGGTATTGGTCAGGTAATGCAATTCATATCAGTCGGAAAAGGTCTTACATGTTGACTTTCCTGCTCCCGAGGCACCCACAAGGGCAGTCAAAGTGCCCGGTTTGCAGTAACCATTAACACCGTCCAACAACTTTCGGCTTTCTTTACCAATGTGAACATTGAGCTCAAGATCAGACCACGTGAAAGTAGACTCTGTGGCGGTGATGGTCTGATCAGGCTTGCTTTCGTAACCAGCAGGTGCTGCCCTAGGATCTACCGAAACAGGAGCCTTCTCTTCATCATACTGGGTATTCTTCTTTCGCTTGAACAATTTTTGCGATCCTTTGTATTGAATTGGTCCGGCACTGTCCAGTTCCCATTCAAGCACTTCACTCAGCCAGCAAGTGAGACCAATGAAAACAATAGTAAACAGACAGAGTATACCAAAGTTGCGCCAAACATTGCTGTAGTAGAATCCATACTTGGCAGCAAGATAGTCATCGCCGTTGACGACGGTACTGCCAATCTGACTACCAGCATAAGCACAAGTCTGGTATGCAAGATCAGTATATTCAGAGCCTGCTGGAACAATAGATCCAGTGGCACAAATGAAGTTGAGATTGTGAAATTCAGCGGCCATGACTGCCTCGTAGGTGTACAGAGCGGGGGTCGTATACGCGATCCATCCAACCCAGGGCACGTCTTGAATCATTTTATCGACTGATAGAACATAGCCACCGAATACGATGCAGAACAAAACAGAGACGCCGCAGTAGCGGAGGGCAACTTCGAAGTTCTGAGACAGGGCGGCGAACACGCGGAATTGGGCAGTCAGGCAGATTGTGCACATGTAGATGAGGAGAAAACTGATGAAGAAGGCACCGGCCTATACGGTTTTTAGTAGATCTTCTGTAGAAAAAGGTTCGTCACTCACGTTAGATTGAAGACCGGCCAAAAAGTACATGACAATGAGGTACAAGAATGTGAGAAGAGCAGAAACAACCATATCAGAAAGAACCCGAGCTAAACAGACAGCACTGGGCCGCACGAAGGCGAGTTTCTTCTGTCGATTAAGTATATCTCGACCTTGCATGGCTTCCTCCAGTTCCGACATCTGCAGCCAGGCCAGCAAAATGGATGAGTAGAAGAGTACACCCCCACGGGCGTACATACCCTCGGTTGTCTGAGGCAAGTCGTAAAACATGGATCCAATCAATAATCCGTAAACGACACAAGAAATTAACTTGATGTATAGCGGACTCAGATGTCCCTTCAGCTGCCACATCTGCCGCTTTGCACAGAGCTCAACCTGTCGGAACAAGGAAATGGTATACGGCGACGTGGAAGAAACAAAGCGCGACTTATCACTCTGTACAGTCTTCTTGAATTCTTCAATACTGCCACACTCCGAGTCCGAAGCGCCGGGTGCTTTACCACGCTTCTGATTTTCGTAACTTCCAACTGCAGTCTCGATCTTGGCGAATGCAGCGCTCTGGCGGAAAGTAGCCTCGAGTTCGATCGGACCTTTAGGGGCACGACCTTCCCATCCAAGACGGAAGCGTCGGCGCTCCGGGAGCGTGATGCTAGTCAGGAAGTCAGAGGTGGTCTGCATGTCGGCGCATTCGTAGCCGAGATCTTCAAAGTAGCGCTTTGCCTCATTCGCCGGTCCTTGGTAGAGCATGCGCCCTTCATCGATGAGAAGCACCTTGTCCACAAGCTCATAGATAGCATCAGACGCTTGGTAGAGAGTGAGCAATGTCGCTTTGCCACAGGTATCGGTCATAATGCGCAAACTGCGAGCATAATCAAGAGCAGAAGACGCATCCAATCCTCTGGTCGAGTTATCCCAGCATGCCACAGATGAATCACTAGCCAGAGATTCAATGATGGAGATACGCTTGCGCTCTCCTCCCGACACACCCCGAATATACTCATTGCCAACCAAGGTGTCCATGGTATGCGTCATTCCAAAAACACGGCCATAGACCTCGAGATATCGGGGGATCCGGTCTCGGTACCGTTTGGGCGTCTTACTCTGTAAAGCAAATTCAAGAGTCTGCCTTACATTCAGCGTCGGGAAATGCACATCGTCCTCCGGGACGTATGCCACCGCACCACGGTAGTGCTTTCGGACTTCTTCTGGGCTGAGGCCGGAATAGTCGATTGAACCGGTCACTCCTAGGAAAGAGGAGTGATGGCCAGCGATGGTGCGAAGGAATGTTGAACAGCCTGCACCGGGACGTCCGAGAACACTATACTCTCGTTAGACTGTGTAGTGTCTAGAGAAGTTTGATAGACTTACAGCATAATCTCGCCACTGTGAACGACACCAGACAGGTCCCGAATCAATTGCCGGCCCTCTTGGGGATTTTTCTTCGTTGTCCACGGCTGGATAGTCCACTCATAGATATCCTGCATAGTCAGGGTTCGCCAGAGTGCCGTGCCGAGAGTCTTGACATCTGCATGGCTATTTCCCTCGCCCCAAGTTGAAAGCGACTGGAAGCAGACACCGAGGTTTGAGCGTTTCTTGCCCTGAACTTGTTCCTCGAGGAACCTGTCAAACGATGAATGAGGTTCCGGGTACTTTTGGTCTGAGGGACTTTTCTCCGTCAAGGTGCGATGAATATCGGCAATGGCGTTCTCGTCTTCATGCGAGACCTGCACTCTCGGTGGGCCGTTATTGCTAGAGCTAGAAGCAAAGGAAGCCGTATGCTTCGGTTGCGGGTGAGGGTGAAGAGGAGCGGGCATGTTGACCCTTTAGTCGATGTTATAAAGAGCAAGTAGAAGTTCCCGAACACAACATTATATGAAGCTATTGCAAGAAAAACGACGAACTCGAGAGAATCATATTTATAAGAACAGAACCTGAGCCAATCTAGTTGGACCAAAAGGGCAGCCAAGATGCGTCGCCTTCACTGGAACTAAGCTGAAGCATGGGCCAATCCGAACGGCCAAGGAAAAAAGCAAAAGGGCACCGATTGACCCAGCGAGCAGATCTGATGCACGTCGGACGTAATAGGACCAATCAGATGGTGATCTGGGGTGTGTCCACGAGGGTCTTCATTCTTTTCCCCGAGTTTGGCAGATATATGGCACTGGGCTTCACTTTCTGGCGGATTCCGCGGCCACCGCGCGATAGTATGGCGAAAAGAGGAAGCCAAGACGAGAGGATGATCCACCAGTCCGTCGGCCACAGTCCACTGTAATCCACAACCGTCCATTGTTGGTTGTTCATTGGAGAAAATTCGGATCGGAACCAAGCTTCGCTTTTTTTGCGGCTAACTCGTGTACTTTCCGAGTGTTTTGCCTGAGTACATTGTACATTAGACTTAAGTTACTTGTGGTCTAGATCTTACATGATCTACCAGTTCAGGGCCATTATTATTCACTTTCATATCATTGGACTAGACAATGCTGACTCATATTTCGACGGAGTCGATATATAGTTTGCCGACTCATCATATGTACTGTGCTGTCGCAGTTTTGACGCCTCCCAAGACGTGCAGTAGTCCAGAGTCTCGAGTCCTGTTCTCCAGGTTATCCCCCGCACTGCCAATGCGCCTACAGCTCCACTGACGAAGCCTTGCAGGATCAGGCTTCCACGTGGTCTTGACAGAGTCAGTTCCTGACCAAGTTTGAGCTGAAGTTGGTATACACCTGGGCATGTAGAGACAAAGATCGTAATCATAAGTTGTCCACACGTGTGCGCCTCCCGCGCGATTCGCGGACTATATTCAACGCACGGCCGGAGTACTTCTGTGCACACTGTCATCGCCTGAAGTTCTATACAAATCTATATACTACCTAGGTACTCCTATCTACGTACGGGGCTTCGTTTTGGAAACTTGGAAGATACAAGTCAAGATGTGGGTCGTCTCATTGCACTGAACCTGACTGGAACTAACATGTATTCCGGCTCTTCCATTAGAGTCTTTTCATTTGGAGCATGTACATGGGCACGTGGGCAATGCTATATACATGTAGTTGCTAGTGCTTCAATTTATAGCTTCGGGTGAGATCCATGGATGCTAGGTAAGCTACCTAATATCTACCTAGGTAAGTTAGTTGTTAACGGATTACAATGGAACGATGTACCATATATACAAGTTAGCTTGCCCAAGACAAAATAATACGCTATATATGTGATGTACAGGTATAGTATGCTTAAATGAACTGCTAGATTCCAATTTCAGCAATTTTATATATAAACTCGAGAGAACAACCCAATAGACGTTTACAATAATTACCCTTACCAAAGCGGTTTAGCTTCTCCCGAGCTCCAGCAGCTCCTCCGAACTCACAACTCCCACCTACACATATCCTCACAATGCTCTACAACGCCCTCATCCGCACCCATCACATAACCTCCCGCAAAAAGGTAGCCGCCCTCAAACGCGCCGCAGACACTCACCAATGTGCCGTGCTCCTCCGGTCCGGCGGGTGTCCGGGCATCATGTATGTAGAGGGCGCGGGAAAGGATCGCGTGGAGATGTGGGTGGATGTTGTGAGGAGGCTGCGATATAAGGATTTTCAGTTGGTTACGAGGCCTGGCGTTGTGGAGGTGGAAAAGGAACCGGGGGAGAAATCGGGGAGTGGAAGGGAGGACAATAAGATGGACAGGGATAAAGGTTCGAGCGTGGGACTTGGGATTGCACTCGGTCTCATTGAGGTTGAGAGTGTCAAGGAGTTTGGGAGTATTATGGCCAAGAGGGGAGTGTGGAATTGGTGGAGGAGGGGAATGGGATATGCGTGAATGCATTGCACATTGATTGCATGGGTTTGGTGTATGTTACTTTTCTATGATATCCCTACGATTCGGTTTACCTCAATGGCATCATCAAGTCATTTATATTTTGGCAACCTGTACATCATATCAAGCCAAACGCCAATGCCAAACGCCAATCCCATATTGTACAATGAGGTTTGCTCAAACCGGCGCTGGGTAGCTGAGCAACTTACAGACCTCCTGTAACGCATTAGCAGAAGACAAATAAACCCCTTGGGTTAACATACCTTTCGATTCCTCCGATACTTATCATAGATCATCTTCCAGATCTCGCGATCTCGACACCCACTCTCCTGCGGCGTCCCAGGGTTCTCATTACACTTGGGCTGCTCCTTCGCCAACATATCTTGCGGCCACATAACCCAAGGTTTTGGAATAGGCCAATCCGAAAAGTGAATGAACTTGGCCTCAGCCAACGCGCGGTCCGGATCCCACACCTCGTGGTCATTCCCCAAGAATCTACTATGATCCTTTGTCCGGAACTCGCCCGATAGCAGACCATACTGCCGATGTGGGAGGACCATCGCCGAATCCCCGTACATGTCATTCAATAGCTCCATGTCATACCGGTGATCGGTCAGGTTCATCTCGACCTGACCGTTCTTGGCGGGCTCGGAGGCTCCGGCTACCACAAGGTATTCGCGGTAGGAAGGCTGGATGACGACTAGTAGGGATGATAGGATTTTCTTTTCCGGGAGGAGCCAGTAGGCGCGTGGCATTGCGACTGTGGTGGGAGGGAGGAAGAATAGCTCGTCCATGGTTTGGAGGAGGATCACGTCGGAGTCGAGGTGGATGACTCGGTCGTATTGGGATTCGCCAAAGGCCATGAGCTTGGTGTTGCTGGTATCCCACGAGGACTCAGAACCAGCACCTAGTCAATTAATGTCAGTTGGAGTGTTCCAAGGGGTGAGCGAGCGCAATTCCAATTCCAACTCACCAGACGATGGATTCTTGATTCCATCAATCTTGAGAGGGATAAGCACTACATTGTACTTGTACTTCGCCTCCAGCAACAGCTGGCTCACCCGATCGGTATCATCCTCAACAATGAGATCCCACTCCTCCGGATAGAACAGCACGCGATCCGCCTTACTCCCGAGCCGATGCAATGCCTCGAACACCATCAAGCAATTGCACATGTAGACCTCGGAGGTAGCATACTGGGTATAGGCAAAGCGCGTCCAATCCACCTCGTCGTAATGGATATGCGGTAAAGGTGGCGGCGGAGGTCGTTCACGGCGCTGCCACATGATAAACAAGACCAGAATGGCGATTGTGATCCATGTTCGGATGCGACGTAGCTGTCGCTTGACTATTGAGAGACATGGCTCATCAGGGATATCGAAGAAATCTTCTTCCGAGGCATTTGAGCTCCGGCGATAAGGGAAGCTCTTGGGCGGCATTATGTTGGAGAGTGAAGCTGATGATTGCGCGTCTCTTATGGAGACACGTGACGGTTATGTCATCGCGTTTCCATGGGAGGGAGATCTTTATATAATTTATCTGATCGTTCGGAGGACCATTTTATATTCCTCTCTGTATTCATTCATATCAACTCACGGCCATTTGGCGACGCTGTCACTGTTTGGGCGATGGCCAGCCCGAACAACACCAGAATTCCAACATCTTCCAATACCACCAGCCCACATATCGTCCATCGAGAGACAAGTCGAATCCTAGGGATAGGTTGGGACTTTACTAACCCTAAGAACTTCCTCAAAGAATCTCTCTCCTCTCCAAAGCTCAGAGTACAGCCTCCATATTCTCTCTAGCCACCCTCGTCTTGGGCAAATGATCCTCAACACCCCAAGCAACAGTCCCCAGAACAAAAATCCCCTTGAGTGCCGTCCCAGCCGGGCCCAAATAATTAACTCCAGTAAACAGCGTCGCAGTATCTAACAGCAAACCCCCAGCAATGATCATTATCCCAGTCAACCCAAAATGACAGTCAATAAACTCATGCCGCGTAGCCTCAATAATCTGATCCTCGTCATACCCATGCAAACACATGGAAATTGCAAAGATGGCTATAGGCCTCGTGAAGAAGAATGGCGACGAGCATGCGACTAGAGCGCGGGCACGAGAGCCGTTGCATGTGTCTAGTAGGGCAAATTGTATTTGGAGGGTTACGGCAACGGCGAAGGTCGAAAGGAGGATGAGCTGTTGCTAGGTCTGTATAGAAGCGTTTGCGTGGTTTAAGTCGGATCATGATAGTATATAGTATGAGGTATATTTTGTTTCGCGATTGGCCGTTGGAACATATTCCGACTTCTATATATCCTATCCTTTATCGAATACTCCGTAATGAGTGTGCATATACGATACTATATTTGTCTAGGCTGTTCCACCAAGAAGCTGACAGCGTCAACACAGCCAAGCAAGAGTGATAGACGATGGTTATTGCTGAGGCTGCAGCGTTTCGTCACAGATCGGCAAGCCGACTTTGAGATATCGTGTCTGATCGGCGTCAGCTGTATATGTAGGTCGTGTGCGTTGAGGTCTGCGGGTTGAAATAAGTATAAATACATCTGTGCCTCGAAGAAATAGATGTCCGAATGTATCAATTTTATTTCATAATCATGTCCGCACGATATACTAGGCCGATTCAATGAAGAATCGGCAAAAATACATATACTAATCAGTGTTAGGCGGGGGCAAAAAGGGTCGTGGCTGAAATAGCAGTACATCTCTCTCCTTGATGCTGACAGCAAGTTCGTGTGCAAGAAGGCGAGACCTCTCGGCGGGTTTACATGTGGCATCAACGACCAGCTTCCTGAGTACATTCAGAGTAGTCAAAGTTATTCATCCATATTATATACCACAGGTCTATATACTACATCAAGGCCAGATCCATGTTCGTAAAATCCTCAATGATACCCCCTTTCCGATTGCCTCTCGCCACCATCAGGCAACAACCTCGCTCCACCAGAAGACGTAGACCTGCCATCATCAACCTGAACAACAATATCCGTCTTAACAGTAACACACCCATCATTAAGATGTTCAGGCATCTCAGCCTTGGAAACACGGCTCTCAGACCGTTCATGTTCATGCCCCTCCCACTGACAAGCAGGGTTCTCTTCATCATTCGCGTTCAGGTTCGTTCCCATTATTGATGAGTCTAGCCATTGGTCCTTGGCGCGGGCCCGGCGGCGTTTTAGCTCTGTGTCTTGGTCTTGATTATCCGTTGAGCGGGAGCGTGACCAGTAGCCATGTGAGCGGCCTTCGCGTCGGTGGTCGACGAAGGCACGGAGGAAGAGACGTGCTACTGGGGCACAAGAGGCGAGAAGGATGCTGTAGTTTTCGATTCTGGGAGGGGTTAGTATGTGATAGATATGAATAATTTGGGTATATGTGGGCATTTTCGGCTGTACTTACTTTACCCAGAGGACAAAGGTTACAATGTTGTAGGTGAAGTCTGCCCTGTCACCGAGGGATTTAAGTTTCTGGAAATTGCGTTAGCTGTTGCATGATCTCACAAAGTCATGGCACTTACATATGTCTTTACAATAGAGGCACAGCCAGAGAGAACCAGTGGTCCGCTGAGAGTGATGGTCTGCCAGATACGACGGGATCGCACAGTGCCACTGATCCTGCCAAATTGGGACCAGAAGGATAGGTTAGGGTTGCGGTGGAGGGTTCGCAGGAAGAACTGCCATAGTTCCACAGCTGCAAGAATAGCGAGGAAGTAATCAATCACGGTGTTGAATCCTTGTATCGATCAGTATAAAGAATGAAATCTTCTAGATTTAGTTTCGCACCTCCTTGCACAAAGCCAACAGTTGTTTGGACACTCGGTGATTGGCATTTGACGGAGCCATCCTCTGGTAGAGGAGTCCACATATAGTGGAAGTATTGTACTCGATTAGTCTGGACAACGTTAGTATAATTGAAGCAGGACCATAGAGGATACGAACCGCGTAGTATGGATTTGGACCGCACTGGACAACAATCTGAACAATAGTGACCATATTGGCTACAAGCTGTACAATAGCACAGATAATGATAGATATACGGATCTTCTTGTCGCTTGCAGCGAAGCAAGTCAGCAGAAACCACATCATGCCTGTACGAGAGACCATGGCTGAGCTGACGGCCAATGGCTGGGACAAGAAGTCCCATTTCATGGCATGGAATCTTTCTTCATTAGACAAGTAGAAGAAATGGCGACCAAGACCCCAATTGGCGCTAGAGTGGGTTAATATCTGCCTTTTATTAGGGAATAAGCAAACTCACCTCTTCTGGATAAAGGCCATATGGCTTACATCGAAGCCATAAGCGACGAGAAAGAATAAATCTTCAATACCCCAGATTCGCCCGGGCGCAGTGACCTGAGGCAAAGCCCAGCGAACCCATATTTTGATGGCATAGCGGAACAACAATGCCACGCCTACTATGGCCGTAAGGACCTGAGTAAATTAGCTTATACCCTGTAGAGCCAAGAATATGATAGCATACCCAGCAGGCCTCAAATGTACCCGTCCCTATCAAACATCAGTCGTCACATCCATAGTCATGGCGCCACGGGCAAACATGAAACATACCAATATCAACATCCCCCTCAGCAGGCCTCGGAATTTCCATGATGATGAATCGCAGGAGCGAGACGTGTCAAGTGTCAAATGTCAAGTGTCAAGAGATGTTGGCAAGATCTTGCAGCGCGAGTAGCCAATTCAAATACTCCTCATTGCATGGATACTATGGAGCAGTGACAGAATGATGTGGGCGCGCATGGATGCGCATGGGGATCAGATATATCAGAACTGGACTGGCACAAGGTTTGTACTGAAGGTTCTCAGAATGACTTTCATACCGATGTCTCTCGCGAACGGGTCTATAGGTCAGAAGCTGGACCAGATCAGAGACACTAGGACTGGGGCCGGAGAGAGCCGAAGACATACATGACAGGGTCCTCTAAACAAGGGATGAGAATCAGGGCCCGCCACACAGACGTTGGGACTATTGATTCGAGAGAACTGGTCTCCTGTGGAAAGGAAAGATTGCTACGTGATCCGTAAGAGTTCATGCACGTCCAGCCCAATCCGAGTATAGGGAAAACCTTCTCATCACAGTATTTCCACATCGACTGGCAAATCACCCAGTCCATCCCCATAGACCATGTGGAGGCGTGATACAGGTGACATTCCAGAGTATATGCAAGAGCCATGTTGTATCAGCAAGGGATGTCAGACTGAGAGTCAATAGCGTAACCCGAAGGCGTGGGAACGGGACAACAAACGCGATGTGGTGCACAGTCACATCTGAAAGTTACTGTAGCACAATGCACAATGTATTGTATGCCCCTCTTCTCTTAGATCTACAGAACATAGATGTAGATACAACAAGTTGATCGCGGATCTGGAAATCTCACTCTCAGATCCTCAGATCGGCGTTGGCGCGAACTATGGAGTGTTGATCCTTTGTTGATCACTTGAACAATAAGCTTCAGGTGAATCAATGTGATGAGTCTTGAGTGGATGCATCGAGTGATATAAACACGGATTTAATGGTAATGCCACGGCCGAGGCTTAATTATCGCCAACTATGAGCTAGGAACTACTGTATCCCGCCTCATCTCAACCAACGACTCGCCAGCCTTGACATACGCTTCAAAGGTCACTTTTAGTCCAGTCAATCCCGCTATTTGCCTCCACTCCCCCGGACTCCGTTCACGTCCACCATACAAGGCAATCATACTCGCATGAAGCGAGGTATAAGTCAAATTCTTCGCGTACTCAATGATGAGGATCCGAGACCCAGGCGCCATCGCCTTAGAAATCTTCTGCAACAAGGCCACAGCATCCAAATCAGGCAAGTTATGCAGGATATGCTGCAGGGAGTAAACACGCGCACCGCGGATAGGCTGCTCGCTAGACTCCTTGTAGTTCCACTCCATGAGACGCACACCAGGCACACTGTCAATCTCGGCATTGAACTCCTGCACGATAAGCTCATCCGTCGTCAGCTGCGGGTAGACAGCCTGGACTTCAAGGAGAAGCTCGCCTCGGCCGCCACCAATGTCGACCATTGCGGCCGAGCCCGGGTTCCCATCCACGGCCAATGCACTGTCCAGATCGTATCCCATAGACTTGACCCGCTCGGGGAATGTCCCGAACTTGAAAAACTTACCCACCATGAAATGGTTGAAGCTGTCCATGCGGCCTTGAGTCTCCATAATAGAGTACGTGTGCTGTGCAGCCAGCTCGGGCTGGCCCATCAGCCGATACGCGTATTGCAAGGGGCCATCTGCGTCCGCGAAGGGGTAAGCAAAGTTTGTGTCCTGGAGCTTTTTCATAAGGAATGCTCCAGCCATCAAGCCCTCGGTGGTGCTATGATCATTAGTGTTGTGCCAATGGCGCATATGCAGGGGGAACAAACAAGTGTAGGGCGCCATGCTGGGCAGAGGGCATGGCGACCATGTGCTTCGTGATGGCATTTGCATTGAACCTGTCCTCGTCCACGCGCTCGACCAACCCCAGCCCAGCCATGATGTAGAGCGTGTCCGCTGCGGAAAAGGCGTGTCAGTATATATAGTCGGGCTAGTAATTGGGGCTTGGCCTACAGGCTAATCTGGTACCTATCCCCCTTGTCAGTATAACAGTCCAAATAACAGCAACAACAGGATAGGGAAGGTATTAAAAGCAGACCAACCAACAGGCGTCAAACACGTACTCAGCTCTGGCTCATTGTTGTCTCGGGCTTTGATGCGTGCATTGCAGGTCGTTGTCACCTTCTCGGCAGTCGCCGGTCTACCAAGACTCACAAGAATCTCAAAGAGATCAAAGTGAATTGCGACCGGTACAAATCCCAACGAAGCAGGCTGCGTCCGAGTTAGATGATAAACACGCCTGTTCTGTGGTTACACTTACCACTGTGAGGGTTGCTGCGAGCGCTGCACCGGGCGGCGCAACGGGGGCGGGGGATGATAGGCCCAGAAGACTGGCTATACGAGTTAAAAGAGACATTGCGTGCCTAATACTGTAGAGGAAGTTTGTGGAAATAAATCTTGGTATATGGAGAACGGAGTAGTGGATGGCTTTCTATCTATGAAGTATACAGTACAGAGGATCTGCGACCGGCTAGAATTCCGAACAATTGGAGGATTCATGCCTGTAATTTGCACTTGTCACTAGCTAAACTTGGGCAATCCCCTCTAATCCCACCCTGCACAGAAGGATTTCTCGTTGGGCTATTATTGGACGAATGAAGCCGGGTTATGCGCAAGCAAGGGGCGTCACAAACCTGATCGGCAAAGTAAAGCCGAGGACTTGGAAGTGCATAGAAGGAGGTAAATTGTACAGAGAACTAGTTATGGCGTTGCATGCAAGGATCGACTAGTGTGGTTTGTTAGGGGCCCGGGATGTGATAGATTCATTCCTGTATACTTTCTGATCCAACAGATCTCAGGCTCGATGGATCATCCTCTTTGATCTCTCCGGCGCCATTCTCCCATTCTCTCGGGTTTCCATTTTGATTTCATCTGCGCGACAAAAGCCACGCGAGATTCCATGTGTCGAATCCGAAAACCGCCTATGCATAAAACCTTCAGTGCCCGTCACACAGAAGAAAAGGAAGATCTTCATTCCTTCTTCTGCCTCCTTGCCTGATTATCAATTTCTCGGAATTATCTTCCTTAATTCGGATCTATACCAGGTATAGGTAGTGTGCATAGAACTGTACTATGGAGAAGTTATTCACGATCGAAAGCATGCGCGACATGGAGAATGCCAGTCCATCGCAGTCTCATGAGACTCGGGACTTTAAGGATGAGGCTGAGTCCAGGGATTCCCTGAATCCCAGAAATTGGAGCTCAACGAGGAAAACCTTGCTCTTCATATCGCTAATGACCAGTTCGTTGCTGGCGGATGGGTATGCACATCTCGTTCACAACTTCCCACTCAGGCATGAGAATTTGAATTCTGACTGAGATGGATCGCAGGGCAATGGTCTGGGGGTCTACTCTGATCACTGAGCAAGCCATGGATTGGGACATCAGTATCACGCATTCGGCGACGAGTATGAACTATGGCATCCTGCTTCAGGGCTTTGGAGGTATCTTTGCAGTGCCGCTTATTGAAGCCTACGGTCGGTGAGTAACTTGCTTTGCTGTATATGCACATGCGTTATCTGCCTTGTTCCATTGCAGGATTACTCCTGCTGACAGCTGCATGCAGTCTGCCGATCTGGCTATGGCCTCAGGTGATCACCATGTTCATGGTATTGGGTGCTACTCTTTCCAATGACTGGTCCACTTTCACGACCTTCCGATCCTTGCAGGGTCTGTTTGGGACTGTGCCTCAGGTTATTGGTCTTCCCATTATTCACGATATGTATACCTCGGCTGGTATGTTGTCTCATCTTCCACTAGCAACTTATACTAATCCCACTGCAGAATGGCCGCGTATGATCAATATTTGGTAGGATGCCTTTACTTCAATCTTATAAGTTGATACTGATCCGAATAGGGGAACTACATTTCTAGTCGGTCCCTTCCTCGGTCCCGCAATAGCAGGATACATCGGTGCCGGAACTGACTGGCGCACCTCCTTCGGCGTACTCACAGCCATCTATGGCGTGTCTACGGCCATGGTCATCCTGTTCGGCTATGAGACTTATTATGTTCATGGCCAAAGAGGCAGTCCCTCACGCCTTGCTTCTTACTGTGGCATTGGAAACACTCTACTTCCGAAGGGATCTACATTGACATATTGGTGTCGAATGGTCGTAGTCTATATCTTCAAGTTTCCGCTTTTGATGACTGGTAAGTATAAGTGGTCTGGTTTGAGGATATTTGCTGACCATGAGATTGTAGGCTTCGCCATTTTGGTGACATTTACATGGCCCATTGGTGAGTTATAGCTCGACATGGGGTTCTGCTTTTGTGCTAACTTTCCAGGAATTACAACTACTATAGACAGCTTCTTACATAGTCCACCCTACCTCTTTGACACAATCGAGGCATCATCCATGCGATTTGCTGGTGTCATCGGGGCTCTGTGTGGTACGTGGTACTAATAACCTGCTATCTTCTTTGTTAACAGATATTCAGGCTGGGCCTTTGGTCACTTTTTCAATGGCTGGATCTTCAACCGGCACAGCAATAACACATGGCGAACCGAACTCCGTCTCCACGGTGTCTGGTTCCCAATTGGTAGTATGGCCTCTGGCCTCTTAACATACGGACTCACCCTACACTTTGGCAAGCATTGGATTGGCCTGGCATTTGGTTGGATCTTGGTGAACATCGGCATGGTAGCGACAATTGTGTAAGTTGGCAACTCCAATATGCTGAATTGAAGCATTTAACTGACCATTACTCTTCCTTGAACAGCGCCATTTCTGCCTATGCATTAGAAAAATACCCTGAACAGTCTACGTGTGTCTCAGCAATCCTGAACATGTGGCGTACCTGCGGCGGGTTCGCAGTAGGATATTTCCAGCCAGCTTGGATTGAGCGCAATGGACTGGGCTTGGTCTTTGGGATTCAGGCTGCTGTTGTTTGTGTGGCTATTGTCTTAACAATTACTCCTGTTTTCCTGTGGGAACGCAAGAGACGCATGCAAGTTCAAGAAGCATGATTTGATACGCGTTTATGGCAAATGATTGTATATGAGTGATGAGGAAGGGGTATTTTGTATTTGGGTTGTTTCTATACGTTCTGTATATGTTTATATTATCGAGTTATTATAATATTTTTAGACTCAGTCAACACAAAGCACACCAGCAAAAACTAGGTTATGTCCCTATCTTCCAGCCACAGATATATATATCTGGGGAAATGGCCATACAGGGGCCCTTCGCGGTCAAAGTCATGATATTCACCTCCTTTTCAAGTCAGACCCCACACCCAACCCGACCCCAAACTCAAGCATTGACCATAAGTCTATCCAAGATTCTCACATAGCTGTTAACGTATCTTTGCGAGAATACTATAATACAAGTCTCTAAATATCTCTCCAGGATCCTAGCTGAACACACCGTATAGAATGACTTATCTCGGGTAAAACAGTATAAGAACTGAAATATCGAATGATATAGCGTGCTGTACGGACAAACAAGCGGGATTTTCAATGGAGTTTCGAGCTAGTTGACTCCACAGTAGAACGGCGAACCCCTTAACATATAGGCAAACAGAGCAAACCAGACAAACATTCAAACGAAACAACCTGAAACACCCCACGTGATTCACACCTCACCGATCGGGTGTCGATCCGACAGCCGGTGATCCGGTTTCAGGACGTCTGTCATTCCATGCTTCAGGCTCTATTCTGATGAGAAACTGGACCTTGCTCATTTTCTCGCAATATGGCGTCAATCTGTAATATCGAAACACTGAACCCCTGATCTTACGATCTTCAACCTCCTGAATGTCCCCCACTACACTTTAGTCGATCATTGCCTTGACACAAGCCCAAGTTCCGCAAGCGATGACGCTTCCCGTGGGGCAGCGGACAGGCCCTGCGAGACGCCACAGCCTCGTTGGCCCCTGGGCCGCGTGGTTGTTGATCATTCCCCAATGAACTTGGCAGTTAGCCTATCAAGCTCGTCGATGTTGCGCCGCTACCGAAAGCAATGGGGTGTGCCTGTTCCCTCGGGCCATGGATCGTCCTACGCGCCGAGGTGAACTGGTCTGCTCTCCAGGCGATCATTGTCCCTTTTTTCTGCTCAGGCGCTCGCATTCTTCTTCAGCCATCGACATTCTCTCGTTACCTGGATGGGTACATCCTTTTCAATTCTCACTTAGATTATCACTGAATTGCCGACCATGTTCAGTTCTCCGCGACGATGGCTGTTCGTCGTCTTTCCGCTCCTTACATTTTGCTTGATATACTACCTCTTTCGACTGCCTGAATCCAATCCTATACCAGTAACCAATTCAGAGCAATTAACCCCATCCGGCCCGGAAACCATCGTGGTAGGGGAGGAAAAGCCAGAGACGAAAAATCCCCCCGAGAAAACATCCTCGGAGAATCTGCAGGACAAATGTGGTCATTTACTGCACGGCCTCGACAATGTCATGGTCATCCTGAAGACCGGAGCAACCGAATCCCTCGAGAAAGTCCCAGTCCACCTCGCCACCACTCTTCAATGTGTCCCGCACTTCGCCATCTTCTCCGATTATGAGGAAACCATCAACGGAATCCGCACTTACGACGTCCTCCGCAATGTCAGCGCTGCTACCATGGCAAGTGAACCTGAATTCAACATCTACCGCCGCCTACAAGAAGTCGGTCGCGAAGGATTGACCGACGCGGAGTGGGGCGACGACACAAACGGACCGTTAGGCAAAGTCAACAATCCCGGATGGAAGCTGGACAAGTGGAAGTTCCTACCCATGATTGATCAGGCTCTGGAGGTCATGCCAGATGCCAAGTGGTATGTCTTCTTGGAAGCCGACACGTACATGGTGTGGCCGAACTTGGTCAACTGGTTGTCCCATCTCGACAACACCCGCCAGTACTACCTGGGCAGCCCCATGCAAATTGGCGAGACGCTTTTCGGCTATGGCGGAGCAGGCATTGTTCTATCCAGCCAAACTATGCAACGCTTAAGCAGCTACCGCGCCCGTGCCCAAGAAGAATTGGAAGGAATGACTGCCAATGAATGGGCCGGAGATTGTGCCTTGGCACGAGCTCTGCATGATGTGAATGTGGACTTGACCTGGGCCTGGCCAATGATGATGACCTCGCGCCCATGGGAAATCGACCACTTCTCTGAGGGTTATGGTCGCCAGCCTTGGTGCTATCCGGTCATCTCCTACCACCACATGCTACCCCGGGATATTGAGGAAATGTGGAGATTTGACCGCGGCTTCTTTGCAAGCGGCAAAAACGCCCTCATGCTGCACGCCGATGTCTACCAGAAATTCATTTATGACGGCTCATTCACCGTTCGTGAAGATTGGGACAACCTCTCTGGCGCGAAGATTGACTTTGCAGCCGGTACCATCCCTACTGTGGATGCTTGCGCCGAAGTCTGTGCCCGCAATCAGGACTGCTTACAATACACCTTCAATGAACAGGACGGAGTTTGCAAGCATGCCCCTACGACCTTTGCTGGTGTCGCCAAAAACGGCACACACTCTGGCTGGATGGGATCACGCGTCCAAAAGCTTCTGCGGTCATTCCAGCATTCGTGTCCCGAGGTTCAATACATTTACGTCTGATTGGACTCACTTTTGGTCATAATTTTTTTTCTCATTGAGTTATTCTTGTACATATATACATATTCCTGTCGTTCTTCATCTCTATTTCCTCATGCTCACCTTTGCGTGCACTCTCACGTTGACAAATTTGTGCGAAGGAGAATTCATTGGCGAGGCGTTATACAATGGCGCGGTTTTGGCATCGTCTGCCGGGCAGACAAAATACACGACACTGATCCTTGGATCTTTCCATTTCTTTTCCATCTCTATTGTCATTTCCTTTACACTGATATCCCTAGCGATACCAAGGTTTAAATTGAATCGATTCAAATATTTCAAAGTCTATGGTCAACACGGAGATTGAAGTGAATCATAAGGAGCTGCAAGGTATTACCTGCGATGCGTAGAATCCAGTCGTATATACAATTAGAGCTGTCGGAGTCAATCTGGACCCGGGTGCTGTTAAAATAGGCCATGAGAACGGTCTACGAGGCGGAAACCCTAGAGATGAAATGCACCAGGTCCTAGATACTAGACTCCCATTCTATCGACCCGAACCCGCAAATATGTTCCCCCATTACCAGGATCGAGAAACTGCAATTGACCGGGATTCGAATAGGTGGTAGTGGCGATGCGTCTCGGGGCCGTGTAAACGAAGTTGTTATTCCAGGCGGTATCCATACGGTGCCGATGGAGCTTGTTTGAGAGTGCGCTAAAGCTAATGCTGGGTTTATTTGCTTTGATGGAGTGGTAAGCTTATATTCGAGGATTGAAAGTGTACATGTATGAGTTGATTCTGAAATTGGGGGGACACATGAACTTGAAGAACCACTGCAGTTCGGTCCTCCCAGTTCCAAATGCATTAGTAATGTAGACGAACCTCTCATCTCGACTTAGGGTGCTCTAACGCTTAGATTCTAAAGAATGCGGGCTGAGTCTGCATTTACAATCTCTTGATCCCATCCATGGAGTAAACCTAGGGTAAACTCGGTCCATATAGGATCATCATAGATCGAGGTCTACTTCGCTGACCTATAGATCAACAAGGAAGATCGATATTGTCCTCATTACGAATGATACAAATGTAAAAGTATGCCCAAGGCTATATCTGTCCCTGCACAAAAAGAGCTTTTGTAGATGCGCCGGATTTGAACCTCCTGAAGCGCGGGTATATATACATGGATTCGTGGAACTATCTATTCCGAGAAGTTCTCTTGTCCTTTCATTGTCGAGGGAGTGGATGTTATGATTCGGAGGGAGTCAGTGGTCTCTCATATGGCGAAATATGGTGAAGTTCGAGGTAGAGACGATGGTTATGATATGAGCCAGGAAATCCCTGTGCTCATTTTGGTGGCGAGCATGTCGCTGATATCCTGGACTCGGATTTTTAGTGATGAATCACTAACACCGATCCGGAGGAGCTGGGAATGGTAGAATAAAGTAGACCCACTAGTGTGAGTCAACCCTGGAAAAAGGTAAACCAATTATTGTAATTTCCTCAGCCAGCCATAGATTCCTCAGGGGCCTCCTGGAAGGTCTCTGGGAAGAACCCAGGAGGCGGCCAAATATCTGCAATGGAAGGCGGATGAACCAAAGGTTGTGACCCAACCAACCGATCTGGATCATGACAAAAGGCCTGGAAGGTGCTATCATCCAAGAAGCCAAAGTCCTTCAAGCCAGCTTCGCGGTTGGTAGCCCATTCCGTAGTATCGAGATATGCGAGATCCTTGAAGATAGCATCGATATTACCTATAGATGCAGCATTTCCGGGCATCATTGAGTTAGAGCTTGTCGAGTCGGGCGTTTGAGGTTGTTGTGATTGTTGCGGCTGTGACTGTGCGCTATTCGGGGCATACATGGAGTCTGGGCCACTGCGCGGAATTCCTTGATCTGGTATGACTTGTTGGGCTTCCATCGGCCGTTGCATAGACACGTCCATCATGCCCAAATCTGCGTTCTCCATCACCGTATCTTTAGGTGTTATGGACTGTGCATCGACTGGCATGCTGATGCCAATAATGGAAGAGGCGTAATGGCCTTCGCTATTGGAAACTAAGCCACGAGCTCCATTTGGAGTTTGCATAGAGCCTAGAACAGAAGAACTTCCTTGCAATGGCAACACAGGTGCATTTCCCACTTGACCTGAGAATGCAGATGGCCCAGTAACATCTTTAGATAGCTGCCACCTTTCCATGGCAGACACCAAAGAGCTGTAGGCTGGCCAGGCGAAGCTGAATCCTGCTAATTTGTGTTTGAACTCCTCCGCCCATCTGGCGAAAGGGAATGTGTCGGATAAATCGGCGGTCTGCCGCAGTGTAGATGCTTGCTCGGCAATTGTGCGAAGACTCAACTCAAATAACGGCGGGAGTCCACAAACGGCGAAATTCTCCAGGTGTTGGGTGATCATAGACAAGCCGCGGTAAAGAAGCTTCTTGGCTCCTTCTCTGGCTGGCCGCTGAGAACGGTGTAAACCCTGCTCCCCTGGAATCAGCTGCAGATACAGCCAAAGGAGTGTGGCCACATATGTCAGCCCGAGGTAGCTCTGATGGGGAAGCAGAGCCGAGTGCCGTTCTGGATAAATGCTTTCTGGCCCAATAAGACGACATCCAAGGGGTAAGAGGTCATCCCATCTTTTAGCTCCACCACTAATTGCTGGGCAAAGGTGGCCATGTTCAACCCCGAGTGCATGTTCCGAGAGATGTTGTTGAGAACACTTGCCAATTCAACCAAGCGATTGAAGCAACTCAGAGCCATTAGTGGTCCTCGACGCGGAGGATTCTTGCTGCCCTGTGCAGCGCCTGTGGGTGGTAGCACATCAACCCAAGAGTTCCATTCCTCCAGGCCATCTTCCTCCAAGAGACCAATAGAGGACAGATCACCGGGCGGCATGGCCGGACTTCGAGATAGTCGGAAAGAAAGCAATGAGTCAATCACAAAGCATCCCAAGTATACTACCTTGCCCTGTCTGAGTTCATCAGACCGCCGGCTATCGGTGGAAGTACCCAGGCCCATGGCAAGCGCCATGCGCACTGCATGGCCGCTCAGCAGCCAAGCCGCAGTCCAGTCTTCCAGGCCCATGTTAACCAAGGACAGGAGCAACAATGCCTGGATATGGCCAAGTTCATAGCGCTCGTTCTCCGCGGGAATGAGGCTTCGCGACACAGTGTAGTATTCTTTCACCAGAGCAACATTTCCAGCGGGGCCGGCCCGTGAATTGGTTCGAGATTGAGTGATGGTATAACTTAGTATTGCCCACAGTGCGGCATGATCACCGGATCCCGGGGACGCTGTTGCAACAGACACAGGGGAGTTGGCATAGACGTAAGAAGCGCGAAGGATGTTGTGTTTAGCGACAATGGGGAGCCATGAATGTGTTACGGCAAAATAGATATCGAGTAGCTGCGAGGTATGCTGGGGTAGCTGCAACGTGTGGAGACTGGTTGAAGCACCCCATGTCTCCGTGTTTGGGGACAATCGCGCTCGTTTGACCCCAGGGGACGCAGGAGAAGGCCCCACCACGCGCGGCGCATCCGGTCCGAGAGTTGAGCTGCGAGCTACCCGGAGCCACTGACCGTCCTGATCATCTTGCGGGTTTCGCGATCTCTTTCCCGTCACCACTCCTTGTGGCGCATCGAAATTGGAGAGCATCTTCTCCAGCGCCCCATATAGCCGACTCGTCTTCCAGGATTCATGTAAGCTCTCCGACGCACTGTCATCCGACCACACCGACATCAATTTCTCGCGACGGCCGGCAGACTCGGTGGTGGTTCCTAGCATGGCCAGCATGGTGTCCTCGAATCCCTCAATGTTGCAGATCGACAGCGCCCACAGCTTCTCCAGACCCCGGACGTAGCCCTCGGGTAATCCGCGTTTCTTCGCATGGGGATCGTATGAACAGGATTGGCCGGATGCTCGGCAGGCGGAACATGTAGGACGAATACCGTCACATTTGTCCTGGGAACAGAGAGCGTCAGATCAGGCAAGGGTAGGGAAGCAAGAGGCGCATACGACTCACCTTCTTGCTGCGACAGCGATCGCAGGCTCGGGACACCCTCTTGCGCCGAGGGGCCTTGTCTGAGCCCTCATCCATGAAGAGGGTTAGTTAATGCAAGTTTCCATGTAGAGGAGAAAGCAGAGAGTGAAACGTCACGCGAGTAGAGCCAAGGTCATGCCCTGTATAACAGGAATGCCGACGCAATCGGACGTCAAAAGGGAAAATCGTTAGAACGGAGGAAGTCAAAAGAGTGGACTCTCTCGAAATCGGCCACAACACGGCAGACTCGAGATGTCTGAGGAAGATATCGGAATTGATGTTCGGGAGAAGTTAAAGTCGGCTCGGGATTCCCCACGTCTCCACGATTCAGTACTCTGCATAGCTCACGTCACCACATTTCTTTCTATAGTTATCAGAGGCTGTGTTGATATTTTAAGCAACTTCTATTTTTATAAGCAATCTTCAATGGATTCGATAGTGTGTCTACCTATAACTTAGACATAGTGTATACATGTAACTTGGACTGGAAAAGCCGAGCCTCCTCCCCGATGTTCCGCATAAACTGCCGAGCATCGGCAGTTACACGTCAAGTTGAAGCTCAACTTGACTATGAATCATATAACTTCCACTGTGCAGGTTATTCAGTCAACTACTTGGATATGAAGTTGGACTCGGACTCGACTCCGGAAGTGATTCCGCGATGTGGATATCTTAGCTCAGGACCCTGTGAGACATATTGCGCGTAAGACGTAACATTTATAGAGAGGCTCGGATGAAGCCCGAGAAGTTTCCAAGTGGAAAAAGGGAAAAGTATTCTGCCGGATGACCCCAGGCGGTCGGCAGTTCCTCATCCGGGGAAATCTGGTTATGGACCTTCATGGATATTTACATACACTGACTACCTATTGCCTACTATCTGCACTTCTAATGGCTTGGGTATGAGCGTGGTACAACCCCCTCGCTCCCGCATTTCCTGAAGCTCTACACATCTGCATTCGGCCTCTACCTTGCGCCTGTGAACATGGCGCTCGTCTCGACATAGGCCCATTGATCTGTTGCCGCCATGCTCGACTACAAACCCTCGATTCCACCTACCGTGAGGCCTTCCGGCCTCCCCGTCGTCCAATCCGTCCCTCTCATAATGCCCCGCGAATCTGCCCCGCGAACCTTTGCTCCCGATGCATCCCTCGTTCTAGTCGGCATTCGTGGCTGCGGCAAGCGCTCACTAGGCTTTGTCGCAGCCACCGCGCTCAAGCGACGATTCATTACCGAAGACCATTACTTCAGAGAAGTCACCGGAGTCACGCGACAAGACTACCTTAAGAGCTATGGCAGCCAGGAGTTTCAGCGCCGGGACATTGAAGTGCTCAAGATGATGCTAGACAATCATCGCACAGGCTGTGTCATGGAGTGTGGACTGGGCAGTCTGACGCGACCTGTTCAGGATCATCTGCGTCGCTATGCCCGGTCCAATCCCGTGGTTCATCTGCTACGCGATTTTGACCGCATTCAGCAATTGCTCGGGCTGGAGGATCAGGCAGTACGCTTATTCCGTGAAGGAGACCCTATGCATCGGATGTGTTCAAATTTTGAATTTTACAACCTGGAAGACCGGACACGCGCGGCGGACGACGGGAGTCCGGATCGTCGATCGGCCGATTATTCCTTCAAGTTGCAGGAAGTCAAGGAAGATTTCACTCGCTTCGTGCAATTTATCACTGGGCTCGACGTCAATTACTCCAGCTATGACTCGCCTTTTGTGCTGCTGGAGACGCCACCGGAACTCCGCTCTTTCACCCATGCTATATTTGTGCGGTCCTCAGATCTGATCGCCGACTCAGTGAGCCTGGCTGAGCTCGAGTCTGGCGGAGATGCCATCGAACTCTGTGTGGATCGCTGGAGCCCTGACATGGCAACTATCACCAGCAAACAGGTATCGGACCTGCGTCGAAATGCGCGGGTTCCTGTGGTTCTGTCTGTTGACACCTCCTCTACTGGTATCGGCTCCAGTGAAACGACCACTCCTCGACCCTATTTTGATATACTTGAGCATGGTCTACGCTTGGGAGTGGAATACCTCGTTGTAGACCTGAGCGAGGACCGATCCCGGCTGGCTAGGATTATCCGTGGCCGTGGGAACACCAAGATCATCGGCCAGCAGGTCTTTAAATCATTTTCCCCTATCACCTGGGACAGCGAGGGGTGTGTCGCCCTCTATCACGAAGCTGAAAAGCTCGGCTGTCAATTGGTCCGCCTTCTCCGCGTCGCAACAAAGCGCGAGGACAATACAGCTGTGATCGAGTTCTCTAATAAGATCCGTTCACTCCCAGACGAACACCCACCGCTCATCGCCTACAACGTTGGAGCCCTGGGTCGCACATCACAAGTCTTCAACTCAATTCTCACTGGAGTAACACACCCAGCCATCACCCGGTCAGCAGAGAATGAGTACGATCCTCAAATAACCTCGCGTGATGCTGTCCGCGCCCTCTTCCAGAGTTACATGCTCGATCCATTAAAATTCTACATCTCGGGAGAGAATGTAGCATACAGTTTATCTCCGGCCATGCATAATGCCGCATACCAACACTGTGGCATGGGCCACACCTACACCATCCCCGACTCGCCTTCGCTGGCAGTGCTAGACCGGCTGGGCCGGGACCCGCACTTTGGAGGGTCGAGTGTTGTCCAGCCATGGCGAGTTCAAGTATACCAGAAACTCGCCTCTAAAAGTCGACATGCCGAGGCAATTGGTGCCATCAACACAATTATGCCACTCCGCGGTCACGCCGATGGCACTATGTTCCCGCTTCAGGAACAAGCCAGCCGTCGCAACCAGGCTGGCCGCGTGTTGGGCTGGTACGGCGAAAACACAGACTGGGTCGGCATTATGACCTGTATCACCCGCCATCTCTCTCCTCGTAACGCAATCAGTGCGAAGACGACCGGCCTGGTCATTGGTGCTGGTGGTATGGCGCGGGCCGCCATCTATGCCATGCTCCGTCTGGGCTGTCGAAAGATTTTTATTTATAACCGCACCAAGTCACGGGCTGAGGAGGTCGCACGCCATTTCAATTCCTGGGCTTCCTCGCAGGTTGGCTCCGCTGAGGTGGTTTGCGTCTTGAATTCTCTACAACAAGATTGGCCAGCAGATGCTACTCCGCCTAGTCTCGTTGCATCCTGTGTACCCGCAGACCCGGACCGAGATGAACCCCCAGCGAACTTCGAGATGCCGATCCAATGGCTCGGAAGTCCCACCGGGGGTGTAATTCTCGAGGTAAGATCATCTTCATATATGTTGTTTTTACTTGCAACATCTACTAACAGCGATATAGTTGGCCTATAAACCTCTCGATACGCCACTTCTCCAACAAATGCGCCGAGTCCGCAGCGAGACTGGACGACCCTGGGTCCTATCCGATGGACTGGAGAATGTTACTGAACAAGGTATTGCCCAGTTTGAGTTGATGACAGGCCGCAAAGCACCTCGGCGATTGATGACTTATGAAGTTCTGCGGAACTATGTCGGTGATAGTGGGCGATTTGATGAAAAGACTATTCAGGCTCGTCTGGATGGTGTAGGGTCTGTTATTTAAATGAAATAGTAAATAAACATGAATTTAACTATATATAACTAACTATCTATGCAACCACCAGAGTGATGTGGGTTGATAGTTGTTATCGCCTCACCGCCCTCATTTCTTTTGTTTGGTCTCAACCCGAGTATCAAGTCTCCTTGATCATCCGACTTTGACCACTGTCGAATTACGGAGTACAGGCATATATATATACATGACCTGGTTTGATTACTGTGACACCCCAATGCCAGGCTTTTCGCCCGAACAGACCGACTCGATAACGGCAACATGGAAGAAGCGCAAGCGGGACCATGAGGAGACAGTGACTCTAGCTCGTCCGTAAGTCCAGACATTTTCTCTCGCTTCTTTATCAGCTGGGACTAACGACTTCTCAGGGCCACATTCACCCCAGCCGCCTTCCGAGTAGACCGCCCAGAATTCGACGGCTGCTCACATCCTCTATCACGACACCCAGAAGGGACTGACATTTCCTTCCGACCACGCTGCCTCCCACGCAAGCGTCGAAACGTCCAAAGCCCTTACCTCGCTCTCCAACATCAACATCCCCACCAACCCCAACAATCAACACACCTCTCACCGAACGTCTACGCCCCCAACATCGACCCTTACTCGCCCCCAGTCTCACCACGGACCCTCGTCCCTCTCCGGTACCCAGGCCAGACACAACAAGTCTCAGCATCTCCATCAGCCCTGCGCCCCTGCCATATATGCCACCGGCGCCCAACAACCCGCCAAGTCCTCGACGCCTACGCTGACTGCGATTTGTGCCACGAGCGGGCCTGTTTCATCTGTCTCCGACAATGCGACACCGTCAATTGCGGAGGAACATTCGGCCTTCCAGATAGCATGCACGATTCCGATATCAAGAGATTAAATGACTACGATGCGGGTGAAGAAGCACTCTCCCGCAGAAAAATTTGCTCCAGCTGTGCCGTCGAGGATGTCACCGAAACTGGCGCGGAGATCGTGCGCTGTCTCGATTGCGTGCAGGGACATGCTGCCTGGTCTGCCCAGACTATTCCTTCTGGATGGGCTTTGGATGACATGCGACATGAGGATATGACCGGATGATATCCCTCTTCCTCGATGCTTGAGTCCAGATGGACTCGATTACAAGGACGACAAACGACTATATGATAATTACTTTCATCCATTACCAATTTTGGGGTTTTTTTTTCCTGCTACTTTTGGAGTGGCTATTTTGGAGTTGGATGATTGGACTGGACCCGGCGGTGGACTATTGGGTCTCTTATTCACTTACTCCCTTATTGACTTAGGCATGGCGATCTTGTTTGATTTGATTTGACTGGTTTTGTTTCAGGCATAGCATAGTGATACCAGAACCAGAATTGACTATATAATGATTATCAGAGTATGTCAGATACCTCATGGGTACGGAGCCTAGTAAACTTGTGGTTAAAGGCCACAGAGACTGAGCTATGCATATAAATTGGCTGTTCTCAATGTAATGCTTATTAGAGAACAGGAGGGTATAACCAAAGATAAGGAACGTGTCACCTCAGCTCAACTCGCTTGACTTCAACAAGATCAAACCCACATCTACCGACCAAATCTCATCTGCGCACCAGCAAAATGCCACAAACCACGCATATACCCTTGATACTCAACAGCCTCTCCATCCCCATTCAGTCCATGACTCCGAATCCCAGTGCAATACATCTCAGTGAGACGAATCTGCCAAGGCGGATACCCATCCAACTTAAGGAACGGCCCAAAAACAAGCAGCAGATCGGGCTCAGGCTTCAACATTGTCTCACTAAACGCCGGATCAGCCGCCAGAGGCTGGGTGGTGATCTCACTTATTTCAGCGTCGACCAGTTCAGGCGTGATATCGTCTGGCGAGAGCTTGCCGTTCTGGGACATCTCCGCCAGAGTCTTGGTGAGGTCAACTAGGGTTTCGCGGCCGTCTGTTGAGGAAAGGAGGAGGATTGTTAGGGAGCCGGTTTCGCTGTCTGGGGATGCGGGTTTGCCGTGGACTGGGTGGTGCGGGGCGTAGAGTTGGAGGCTTGGTTGTTGGGAGGGTGTGCCATAGTAGGAGGCCAGCTTGGTGGTTATTATTTGGTGGAGGGCTGGGAGGCAGGATTTGAGGACGCCTGGAAGAGTTAATATACTGTGTCAAATATATGTGGAGGGGCAAGAGGGAGAGAGATATGTCCGTCTTTTCTCTTCCTTCGCTTTTTCTTACCAGTCTTCTCGTAAATACTCAACTGAGGAATGCCAGCGCAAGAACTCCAAGCAGCCAACTCGGCCACCTCATCCATAAGCACAGCCAACGCATCATCCTCCTTCCGCAGTGTCAGTATAGTACTGAGGTGCTGCGGCAAGCGCTTCAATCCTCTGACATCCTTGCGAATAAGTTCAGGCGTGCGGTGGTGGTGATAAACGATAGCAAAAACGCGATTCACGACAGCATGGTACGCCTGCAACAAGCGCACCACGATGCCGAAGATGATATGTGTCACGGCATAGACGAGACGGTGTAGCTGCGACTTGAGAAACGAGCGGATGGGCTTCTTGCGCGTCTTGCGGCGCTCCGAGGTTGCGGTTGAGGCTCGAGATCGGTTGGGCAGCTCGGCGGGATTGGGAAGGTAAGTCTTTAGCAGTTGTTCGCGGTCTGCTTTGCTGAGTTTGGTGCCTCGTTGCCGGAGGTCATCTCGAAGGAGATCGCGGTCTCGTCGGGAGACCATTTTGTATGGGAGTTTGGAGGAGTGGGGAGAGAGTGAGGTTGTAAATGTTGAATGTTGAATGTGTCGGTCTCCGCCACCATGTACTCGACTTGTTCAATTTGAATATTTGAAAAAGATGAAAGTGGTTAGAGAGGCTGTGAAGTTATAAATATCATTTATTGCCTCCAATCTTGCCAGTTGTTCAGAATGGCTGCCTAGAGACTCGGCATAGTAATGAATATTACTTGTGTAGTGTTAATTGGAAGACATGATAACTTTAGAATTGAGAGAAAATTATAATAGTCTCAATTATAGTAGACTCCATATATACGATGCTCATAGACGGTGTGGCTACCTCAACTATAGTCGGCGGTATCTCCGCCTAGCAACATTCCCTCCTCTTTCCCCGGATTCTCTCCAATACATTTATTAAATCCTGGTCGAGGTCAGGCAACCCATGTCTGGGATCTATCACCATGATGGACAATGCATCCGTCTACACTGCGAACCCCCGCACCGTGTTCCCCCAAGGGCCCAGCTTCACCCTCGAGGACTTCTCCAGTCGTGACTTCATTGTCAAGGAGTTCATTGAAGCTCTCTCCGACACAGCGATCTCGACCCGCCGCTCAGTAGCTGCTGCAGTCGGCGCCGCGAATCAACCCTTCGATCCCAAACCCCTCATTCGCGCTTTTGAGAGCGCCCAACGCCGCCTAGGCGAGCTCTCTGGCGACCTCGAGATCCGCGAGAATGAATTGTCCGCTGCAGTCCGACGCGCCGAAGCGCAGCATTCCCAGAACCTGACGACCTTGGGCAAGAAGCTCCGCCACACCATCGCATCGTTCCAGCAACTCGACACGTCGCTCAATGGTGGCGGTCTCGAGAATGCGGGAGGAACAGGCAACATGGCCGTGGAGACTGGAAAACGACTAGAAGAGCTAGATCGGCAACGCCGACGAGCTCTAGATGCCCACTTCCTCATCGAGTGCTGGGACGGCGTGTCCAACCGCGGCGAGATCTCACTGCTGGAGAACCTGCGGCGGTCCGGTACCGGCGAGGCCGCGGTGCGTTCGGCACACATCGCGCGACAGCTACTGCGCATCAGTCAACGGTTAGACCCGCAGAGCTGGCAGGAACATCCGGCTCGTGCGAATGGAGGCTACGGGGGAGTTCCTCGTCGGAGGATCTGAGCGAGAGCAGCACTCCGCGACGAAATACAAGGGAGATTATTGAGAAGTTCTCGGAGACGTTGGAGAAGGATCTGCTGAAGCAGTTTGATGATTTCTACCGCAAAGCCAACTTTGATGGAATGAAGGATTGCGCGACTGTGCTGCAGGATTTCAATGGCGGTGCGAGTGTTATTGCGCTGTTCGTGAATCAGCACCAGTTCTTCATCGATCGCAGCCAGTTGGTGACTGAGGAAGTTGGTGGTGATCCTGAGTCCTGGGAGAAACTGGCAGACCCGGATGCAGAGCTTCCTGGTGTGGAGTCCAGTTTGCAGTCATTGATCGATGAGGTCAAGGTTGTGGTGCAGGAAGAGTCTGCTATAATCAAGAGAGCCTTCCCGTACTATGAGCAGGTCTTGGGCAAATTCTTACAGCGTGTCTTCCAACAGTCCATTCAGCAGCGCCTCGAGATGGTCTTGGAGAAGGCCAGCAGCGCATCATCACTCGCCTTCCTGCGTTGTCTACAGAGCTCGCGTGGCTATATCAGTGCATTGATCGAAGATTTGAAGGCGCATGGGTTGACTGAGCATCCGGACCCTGTCTCATCGCAGACTGCAGTTCTTCTGGATCAGCAATTGGAGGAATTATTTGTGCCCTATTTCGTCGGATCTTCATACATTGAACGTGAGAAGCGGACTTTGGAAGAACTGTTCAACTCTCTGCTGTTCAAATTTACGTCCTATCATGCCCGGCGCAAGAAGGCGGCAACTACTTTTATGGCCTCGCTCTCCCGAGCTGGGACGGAGCTCCTTTCGGCTACCAGAGACGCATTTATCAATCGGTTGGATTCGCCCGAGGTCTCGCCCACCCAGCGAAGAGTGCTGCTGTACATTGCAAAGTTGAATGATTTACCAGAGACCGTGCGGTTGACCGAAATCAAACTCACAGAAGAAGATGGACAGCCAAATCTCAGCGATGCTAAACGGATGTTGAAATGGCTGGCTGAAGCTGTGGGTCGAGGCCTGGAGCTCAGTGTCAACAGTGACACTCCCAAAGATGTGTCTGCCTTGCTGAATCTCCTGCTTGTCACCATGGGTGATGGATACGTAGACGTCTGTCTAGACGCCGCACTGGAGGCAGCCACAGCACAGGAGTCTGGCAAGGCAGAGCCGGACTTTACATACCTCCTCTCAGTTCGCACAACCATCAGCATTACCACTCTGATGGTAATGTGTGTGCATGCGGTTCTCCTCCCCTTGTCAACCGGCAGCATTACGACTCGCCGGGATATGGAGAAACGAACCAGCCAGACGACGTCACGCATTGAAGATAAGGTCAACACCATCGAACAAAAGACAATCGATGCCACATTTGCCTGGGTCAGCAGGCTCCTATCCGGACAAAAGAAGAATGACTTCCGTCCCAGAGAAAGCGATAACGCTGCATGGCTGGAGATGCTACAGACTCCTGTAAGTTCCCTACTCAATACCCACTCGCAGCGACTAACTCGCAACAGACCTGCGCAGCTATCTGCGCATTCCTAACCCGCCTCCACAACATCGCCCGAACCTCCCTCCCATCTAGCGGGGCCAACATCCGCCAATTCCTCACCGAGATCGCCCTTGGGCTCCGCGGACTCCTTCTAGAACACTTCAAGCGGTTCTCCGTAAGCGGACCCGGTGGACTAATGGTAACCAAGGATATGACACAATACACCGACCTCCTCAAATCCTGGGACATCGACGAAGAAGCCAAGGGCCCCGGTGGCGCGCTGGACGTGCTACTCGAAGTGGGCAGTCTATTCGTAATCGGCGTCGAGGCATTGCGTGAGCGAATCCGCGGTGGCGCTGCTAGCGGCACGACTGGTGGGCCTGGAAGCTCTAGCCGCGGCGCTGGTACTAGCCAGGAGGGTAAATTGAGTGTGCAGGAGGTGCGGGCTTATGTTTCGCGTCGCGAAGACTCGAATACTTTTGCTATGCAGTCGGTTCTTAATGCCCTGTGAGGCTGGCATCTTATACCCCTGTGTTTTTTGGTTTGGAGCGTGTTGTTTTGGACCTGGGGATAGGAATATAGACCGGCGTAATGAGAATACATGGGGATATTTGGCTCTTGCGGGACGTATGAATTGACCTCGGACTTCTCTAAGAAGATACAACGTGTGGTAGCCTGTGTCTACTATCTCCCATTCCTCCGTACAAGATCGCAAACCAACCCATCTTGCTGCACAAACCAAATGTTCCTCGTCTTCCATCCCCCTGAGCGATGCAGTCGGATGTCGAATTCTCGCAGCAACTGCGGCACAATCTTATGCATCTCAATGAATGAGATATTCTTCCCAAGACAAGTCCGCGACCCAGCCCCAAAGGTAAAGATGCTATGGTCCATCTCTTTCAGATTCTCTGGCGAACTATTGATCCAACGCTCTGGAATAAACGAGTCTGCATCATAGAAGACCTGACTATTTCGATTCACCACCCACGCATTGATGCCAACGGTCGTCCCAGCAGGTATATACTTCTCAGAGATCGTCACGCCTGGCTTCGGTACCTCACGCTCAAGGATTAAACCCACAGACGGATGAAGCCTCAATGCCTCTTTGATGACAGCACTCATGTATGGGAGATGAGCCAACGATTCGCGGTAGGAAATAGGATTGCCGGCTTTTCCCTCGAGGACTGCGGTATCAATCTCCGCTTGTACTTTGGCCATGATATCCGGGTTGCGCATGAGGAAGTATAAAATGGCACGAAGTGCAATGGCCGTAGTATCCGATCCAGCAAACACATTCGCAGACAAATGGACAATAGCATCTCTGGTCGAAAACTTCTCCGGGTCAGCACGATGCATCGCCATCCACCGAGACAGCATATCCTTCCCTCCATCTTTCCCATCCTGATCAATTTCACCGTCTCGCTGGAGTGATACACGAGAATTCATAGCCTTCAAAGTAAACTGCACGACCTGATTCCAAGACTCCATGCTAGGGACGAAGATCGGGAAAAGAGGATTCCCAAGAAGAACATTATGCATCTCAGGGATCTGGCCACATAGACTGGCATATACAAGCATACCCTGGATAGCCCCAATCATACCGTCGATATCACGTCCTTCTTGGAGGAATCCCAGCTTCTTGGCAAAGGTCATTTCGCCGACGACATCAAAGGCGTAGTATTGGAGCCAGATGCCGAGGTCGATCGGGGTTTTGCTATCGGCGAATTTGGCGAGTTGGGAGGTGAACATTGCAGTGCAGGAGTCGACTGCTGGTTCCATTTCCAGAAGAGAGGTGAGGCTATAAGCGTTGGCTATGTTTCGCTTTTGGTTGCGGTGATAAATCTCATCTCTCGTCGAGAAGAGGTTCATTTGGGGCTTTTTGTTCCATGATATTGACTGGAGAGGAAAGAATGCTGTCTATTTGGCGTTATCATCTCTTATTCTATGAGATTTGGGTACATGAATGGTACGTACCTTGGTGAATCCTTTGTTCAGCCCATAAATAATAGGAATCGCATTGGGATCGCCGACTGAGATATGATTTGGGCCAATTCGCACCAATGGTCCATGCTTACGATGCAGATCAATATCTGTGAGGTGATGATCGCCTTTCCAGACACTATGGAGCTTCCATAAACGCGAGTACTTTGCCAATGTTGGGCCAGGGATATCTCGAAGCCCTCGCTTATATCGGTTGGTGAGTAGTCGTAGAAGAAGTACGGCTAGGATCACATAGGCCGAGTATAACTTGAGACTGTTTATCTCCATGCTGGGTCTAATGATTCAGGATAAAAACTTAACCCCGTTCAAGTCTCTAGATTTGGACTAACAACTATAGTTGCGGGCATATTGGTTCCTTTTATAATCAACCGGGAAGGTCGGGGCAGAGACAGCGTCTAGCAAACGATCGACTCAACAATTACCATCTTCAGGTGTGACAAGCTGGCCATATTGGATATTAATCTCTAACTTCACATAACCGAGACCAATTGAGAACCTTCGATTTGAGAAGACCTGCAGGAGAGTGTGTGCTGTCATTGTACACGCTGGGCGTGCGGAGAAAGGAGTGACATAAGTACGAGGCAAAAGATGGGAGATGATTTCCCTAGAGAATTGGGAGTTTCAATTACTGAATACTATAATTAGACATTCTGAGTTCTAGACAGTCCATTCGTCGCTCGTTCTCTTTGGTCTCTGTTTCCCACGTCTACTGCTTCACGGTGTAGTAAGGAGTACCGAGGCAATTGTAGATAATAGTACTGGCACTCTTTAACATAGGCTCCAGGGCAGCAAGACAGCCTTTCGCGCACTTTTTGGGTCACAATGATCCATAGCTCTGAGGTTAGATTTGCGGAATAGGTGAAGAATTTTCTCGCTATCTCCTATAGGCACTTATTCGACGCATTCCCATCGATATGATTAATGGTCTTTGTCAGAATTTGCTGGTATTAGAACGGAAAAAGATAATTGTTGTTTCCAGCTATAAAGTAAGCAGATATATCAGGCTAGGCGCTTGTTAGAGATCTATCAATAGTATGTTATATGGTTTCTATAGCCTGTAGTTGGAAATTCAGTCACTTCTAAGCTGGACTCATTGAAAAGAATGCAAGAAAATCTGGTTCAGAATACTCAACGAATGCAGTATATTTGTCAACTAATCCCTAGTTCAACCTATTTCATGTGTATATTCCGCACGAAGGTGTATATGTAGTTATGCCTAGTAAACCAGACAACTAGGCACAATAGCCTTTCACATAACCTTCCAAGCTGAAAATTTCATCAAATACTTCTCTATCGGAATCCAATCGAGCTTCCGAGGCTATTTGCCTCACTCGATACTATAGCGAGGCTTAACTTTGTTTTGATACTTCTCCTTAGAAAATATTATTTACTCTCCACTGTAGAGCTTAGTACCATGGAACGAAACTGAATGAATCCGTTTAAGGATCGAACGCGAGTGACCACTAACTGTCTAGTCTTAGCTCCGAGCAAAATTGTCAATTAGTGCCAGACCCAGCAATTCCACTGAATTTGAGCTCAGTACCACGGAACCAACGCCTCTAGATTCATTTATATTGGATTCTAATCTAAATCAGGTTTTGATTATCAATAAACAAGGCCATGAACCAGATACATGTATAGGCTGATTGCATCACTGACGGCTTTTACGCTATCCAACAATGATCTAGGCTTTCACTCCGGAGTTTCGTAGTGCCGGAGGACCGATCGTTTCCAGGCGAGGCTGGAACTAGAAATTTAAAATGAAAATAATGGACTGTTTATGCGTGGGTCTTCGGATCTGAGCAAAAAAAGAAATCATTCTAATTTTTGAGCTCTTTTCGTGGCCGGCAGTTACGGCGTCGAGGCGTTCGGCCCGAAAGCTTAAAAGTTGAGTTTTTCCCTCCATGTGCTTTTTTTTGGCTGTGTAACCAAAAATTCCATAAGTTTAGAGTACAGTAGTGAGATGCTAGATTCATCTGAAAAGCTATCCTTCAGATCGTTGTTTCCAGATGCCAGGGCCGGCAATTGCTTCGCGGCTCGGCACAGTCCCCACCATTACGACGGCCTACGACCTCAAAGCTCTGGCCAGCTTCGAGTGCAATGCTACATTTAGTTCATTTCAATGAGGAAATGCAAATGTCGATCAGTGGACCAGATCTCTCGTTGATTTTTCCGCTCGGTGAACCAGTGGTTCATAAGGCTGGTGCACTAAAATCTCTGATGTATCCACTGCGAAGTCAAGTGCCTACAGTAGAGGTTATGAGTCCAAGGGTGTGTAACAACTCAGAGTCATTACACCGACTATAAGATATATCCTCCCTCAATTCGACAATCTTACAGTTTCAGGGCCTTTCAATGCATTTCGTAATATCTATAAGAAGTAAGAAACAGGTGGACCCAAATGATTCAGCCGGTCCGTGGTAGCCTACACACAGCCTATGCCATTCTACCGGTTTTCATTGGGACTATTCTTAGGTGTTTCCATAGAAAGCATCTGCGCTCGCGCTATTTCTAGAAGGCAGTTTGCTGGCCCCCGATCAGTGAGGCAGACTGCTGGCCCCCATCGTGGAAGAAACAACAAGCCCCATGTTACTATATCTTTCTACGGTTATTCCTCACGGAATACATGCTGCGAAACATGGCAATAGTAGCCAATAACGACGTTGGGTTTGTCAGTTTCCTTGGTTTACTCAGGGTCCTTGTTCCTGATCCAACTTCTACTGCGTTCTGTAACTCCGGTCCATCTGTCCCTCTTCTTCGGCCCCATCAGTTAGCCTGAACCTGAGTATAGATGGGGCCAAGTCACCGAGCTATGGCCCACAATCTCAGGCGAGAAATCTACTCCGAAGGGTTCTCGATTTGATTTGAATAAATTATCTAAAATGCCCTGAGATCCTCTCCCGGTACGAGATATTCACCTTTTTATCGGGTGACTTCGTCTTGCTATCCAACCTATCCATTTATTTATGTTACCTGACAATATAACGGATACTCGAATATATATCTCCCATGGCTGAACAAAAGAGCCAGAGAAATTCCATTGTGGAAGACGTGTTCATCCCTAAAGAACTACTCACAACTGCCAGATTCAACTCACCATGGGAATTGGCTCGATGGGAACAATCCCTCCCCGACAACAACCGTATATCATATCCCACATCAAGCCAGACCAGCTCCAGTCGTCCCCTCAGTTTATCCGCTCTACGATCCGTAGCAAGACCACGATCTGCAATTCGGCCCCGTGGACGCAGTGATCCCCCGGCATTTCAGGGTAATTGAATCCAATTTCTTGATCTATATGATAATCTAACGGATTCTTTAGAGGGACTATTTGATTATTTTGAGAAACCCACCTTCGAGCCCGCAGCACCAATTCTCGAAACGGAAGCAATATCACCACCTCAAAATGCAGTGCTCAGCCCCCAGCCACTCAGCAAGGCCAGCTCTCAGTCCATTTCCAGTGGTGATAACAGTCTACAAGAGGTCTACGAAAAGGCCAAGTTGAGAGGTGTTGCTATCCAACGGAGACATTGGGTACGGCTTTTATTCGAATGGAGTATCTATGTACTGCTAGTCTTCTTCGTTTATTTTGTCCTTGTTGGTATGCCTCTATGGAAGGGTGCAGTATGGTGGCTATATTGGGTTGTCCAAAACAAATTCGTTATCCAAGGAGGATATGCCATCGTGATTGGATTGGCTGGACTGTGAGCATCTGCCTAAATTGTCGAGTTTCTTACCCTAACCGCTCCCAGATATGCCTTCTGTCCACTTCTCATTCTATTCGAAAAAAACCCAAACCCTTCTGTCGAACAACAAGACCTCGAACAAAACTCCGATAATGTCAAATCAACAGCCCTACTTATTCCCTGTTATAAATCAGCTAGTATCATCGGCCCTACCTTGGACGCAGCCTTGAAAATTTTCCCGAAAGAGAATATCTTCGTGATTGCAAATGGAAACTCTCAAACACCCCTCGACAATACAGAAGAAGTCTGCAAACCATACGGCGTGAATCATCTCTGGGTACCAATTGGATCGAAGATCGTCGCCCAGTTTGTCGGCTGCTACGCGGCTAAGGACTTTGAAAATGCTGTTCTCATTGACGATGATTGCCTTTTGCCTCCTGTTTTCCCTATTGTCAGCGATCGGCTCAAAGGCCGTGTTCGATGTATTGGCTATACGATCAAGAGTGTTGGTCCAAACTCCTCCAGGGGAACATACTGTCAGCAAGCACAAGACCTCGAATATAAAATGTCCGGACTTCAACGAGACTTCTTTGGGAAGTGCGGCAGTGCAACATTCCCACATGGTGCTATCTCGCTTTGGAACCTGGAGTTCCTGAAGGCGACTTTCCACGAACACCCCGGCTTCTCGGTTTCGGAAGATTGGTTCTTCGGCGATGCGTGTCGCCGTCTTGGAGGACGCATTACTATGTGCTCCCAGGTCTTTGTGGAAACTGAAACTCCCTCTTCGGTGTTCATCAGTGGCAGTGGCAGTCGTGGCGGATTCGGCGAGATGACCATCTTTTCGCAGAGATTCAAGCGGTGGAATTTCTTCTTCGTGATTGGTATCTATTACGATCTCAAGTATATTTTCACCAGCTGGAAGCTCGGCTGGTGGGAACTTGGTGCGAAGCTTTGCGTATTCCAAGAGGTCTGTAATTTCTCCAATAATTGAGATTATTAGCAACTAACGTTGCACAGGTATACGAAACGCTTATCTACCTCCTTGCCCCCTTCGTCCTCCCAATCTCCTTCCTCGTGCGCCCCGGATTCTGTGGTATGCTATTAGGTGTAACAATCGCCATGTACCTGATCAACGTGATAATCTTCAACGAGATCCACCTACGCCTGAAAAAGGAGCGCGTCGACTGGAAGGTCCTCTTCTTTTATTACACATTCTACAAGATTGCCTTAACGGTCATCAACGTCTTCAGCTGCTACTGGTCTCTCTACAAGTACGCTCGGTACTTCGCCCAGCGCCACCCGAAGGTCATTGAAGATCGGCAGGCTGTCGAGGTTCTTCTCAGTCTTGAGCAAGACAGCCGACGGTCTTCGATGGATGATGATGTTATCCCACTTGATGCGCAGGCTGGAGAGGTTGGGCGTGGATTGGGAAGGAAGTTGACTTTGACTAAGGTGCAGGCTGGGAAGAAGCCTGAGCGTCCTCAACATGAGGAGAAAGCTGCCCAGGGCGGATGGATATAGATATAGATTTTGCATGATTGATGTTTACATATAGACTATCTACCTAAATATCGTACCTTCTTTTTTCATCTTTACTTTGGGGGCAATAGGAGCTCACAGCACACTCTGAACTTGCTACTGTGTTCAGCATTTGACGCAGATTGTACATTCTTTCTCGACAAGCCAAGTTGCGTGTTCATAGAGTTCGATGAGGTCACGCGCTCAAGATAAGCCGAGTCTCGCAAATACTCTCGGGATGTACGGGGTATTGCCACTCTATATTCAGTTAGTCGCGTTGAACATTGTTCAAATAACCCGACTGTCTTTCGATTCGATACGGCTCGGAACCGAGCGCGATGTTACAGGCGAAGACCACATTTACATCATCCCTTCATCGGCATCATAGCCGAAGCCTGGGGCTCTGCCATGTACCCCTGAAGATGTGGGACGTCAGCTCAAATCTGGGGGAGTCCATTGGCTAAGTCAGGTTCTATCAGGTTGGGCAGCGCAGGCAGGAAATATGCCTGAGTATATATCGTGTCTGTCGACAGTATCTAATCAATTTTGCAAGTGGCGGGTTCTGAAGAGTTGAGGCGGGTTCGATGTCTGTTCTTGGGGGATCGACCCGCTTGGCGTAGGGTTTCGTTGCCGGATCGGAACTATAAAGGTCAGGTGATCGGATTACAAGGAGTTGGATATCAGATGGGCAAAACATATAAGTTATTCAGGTTTACAATGTTCTATAGCTTAATCACATTTCTCTTGACTTCATCATGGCTACCTCAGTGATGCACTATCTTGGCTTCGGCAAGGATGCTCCTGTAACCAAGGAGCCTGCTAAAGATATCCCCATTCGGGCCTTACCTGCATCATGGTATACTTCTCCCGAAATGTATGAGCTGGAACGCCGTGCAATTTTCTCGAAGAGATGGCTCTTCATCACCCACAGCATGCGAGTCAAGAACACCGGCGACTGGCTTCGCTATGAGATCGCCGGTTACGACTTCATCATCACCCGTGACCGGCAGGGCAACATCAACGCATTCCACAATGTGTGCAGACACCGGGCGTATCCAGTCATTGAAAAGGAGGGCTCGGGAAATTCCAAAATTATCTCCTGCCGATACCACGGCTGGTCCTATGGCCTGAATGGTAAACTTGCCAAAGCCCCCGGATATCAAGAATTGGATGGTTTCGACAAAGACAAGAACAATCTGTTTAAAATCCATGTCAAGGTCGATGTCAATGGCTTCGTCTGGGTCAATCTCGATGCAAATGAAACTCCAGAAGTTTCATGGGAAGAGCACTTCCGCGACGTCGACAAGCAAGAGCGGTACAAGGCCTACGACTTCGAGAACTACGACCTTGACCATTCCTATGAGCTAGAAGGCCACTATAACTGGAAGATCCTGGCTGATAACTTCAACGAATGTTACCACTGCCCAACGACACATGCCGATATTCCTGCTTTCCTCAACCTTGAATCTTTCGACAGCGACACTAAGGACGGACATATCCAGCACCATTGCGAGTCAACACCGGAGCAAATGGCCAAAGGTCTCTATACCGCCAGCACCTACTACTTCCCCATATCTGCCATGGTTGTTTCGTAAGTCCCCACCATACAATGCTCAATCTATATTCTAACCCACGCAGACCGCATTTCATCATGATCCAGAAGTTCCTGCCTAATAGCCAAGATAGCTCCCAGATGGCCTATGAAATCTACCGAAACAGGAATTCCTCCGATGAAGACTTCAAGCTAATCAGCGACATGTATGCCCGCGTAATGGGCGAAGACAAGGTCCTCTGCAACAACGCCCAAAAGAACCTCGATCGAGGTGTCTTTACCAACGGGCAGCTTCATCCGAAATACGAGAAAGCGCCTCTGTTCTTCCAGAGCACAGTCCGGGATGTAGTCACGGAGCACTTTGAGCGCGAGAAGAAAGAGGGACGAGAAATCTGGCCGGCGAAGGCTAAGGTGCCGTGTGACACGGAGGTTAGTGACAAGGACGAGGCAATTTGTGCTTCTCTTGCTTGTGGAGCTCAGAAGGAGGTTTTGGCTTGGTGATCGTACCATTTTTTACATTTGCATTTGGTGCGATTTGGTCATATTGGGACATCTACAGTCTATAAATTGAATTTAGCCTTATCGAATTGAAGTGGTTTACAAACAACAGCACAAAGTCAAGACAACATAGTTGGTGTATCTGCCTACAGCTTGGCATAGGATTTCTGTGTTGCTCGTATCTATGTGCTCGCAGTAATATAAGGCCAGAGACACGGCATATTTATGTGCTTTGAGATGTATGGGGGATTAGGGCAGACGAACATTGTAGTTGGGTTTCAGACCGGAATAATTAAGCGACGGCTAGATCTATATACAAGGCACAATTTGGGCGAAATAATCCATCCCAAGGTCCTATGGGGTAGTGGTTATCCCTCCGGTTTTTGAGTTTACCCTGTCTAACAGGGCCGCATACCGGCAACCCTGGTTCGAATCCGGGTAGGACCTCTTGTATCATTTCTTTTTTTATTTTTGTCCATTTACATATATACCATACCTACATATACTCTGAATAAAGTGCCTACAGTAATTTTGTTTTTATCGCCTAGCTTTTAGAAATGATAATAACCAGCTCCGCTTGATCAGACTTGCTTACCCTTGTTTGATCATCTTGGCGACGAACGCCCTAGGAAGCTCAGGGAACTAGCAACTACATACATTCCCTGCACATATGAAGTCAATTTATAGATAAATCCATACCTCTGAACTATCTGATAAGAGATGGTAGGTACTGTACAGAGTTTTGCATTTTTCTTTCCATTCGTTTTAATATAGGAACAACAGAAAATATCAAGTTCTGTTGGTACGAACATGTATATATATATTGGCACTAACTTACAGATCTATACTCCATAGATAAAATCCCGTTCAACTAGATATAGGGCTGTAGAGACTACACTTCCATTACTAGCAGTGTAAGCGATATCAATAATATAAACAGTGTATAAAAAACAAAGACCTAACTATGCTAAATATTAGAATCTGAATTTCTGAATCTTCAAAAAGAAAAACAGAAAGGTCCCGGCCGGGGTCGAACCGGCGACCTTCCGGAATAGCCAAACCACGAAGTGGAATTGAGTCAAAACCGGACGCGATAAACCGCTACGCCACGAGACCATGTGATGAAGGTAATTGTTCCACTGAATTTCTGAAGTTTGCAGACTATTTTGCCCAAAATGTAAACTTCGCCCACTTTCTCCTTTCTTTTTCTTTTAGATCAACTGTAATCTCCGAACCTCATCTAAGAAACTAGATTCAACCTGGATCCGACGAAAGTAAAAAGGAAACCCGCATGTCATGGTATGTCGATACCCGTTCTATACGAGGGCTGGAGTGGGACTATAGAACCACGGTCAATTATCTATGACGCTGTTTTGGGCCATCAAGCGCTACGCACCGTGTTCCAATTCATATGCGTCAAGCCACTTAAGTTAGACAGAGTCTGGGAAACCTTGACATAAAGCATGGAGCTTGAAACAGGCAACTCTACAACGTATTGTCATCTGAACTACTGGCTAAGATGCAATGTTCCACCTAGACAACATTGTCTCTCTGTAAGATAGACATTTATGCATTGCACCGTACGTTGACGTCACCCTAAGACAGGGAACTTCAGTACACACCTCAGTGCTACACGGTATATGCCAGATGACTCTAGGGCTGCATTCCAGTAATTGGTTCAAGTCTGGGCCCTGGACCAAAGCCATAGTAATTCAATCTAGTTGAGTTTAGTATAGATCACTTATGTTAATCTAAAGGCAAAATAGTACAATAATATGAGCTATCTAGTGCAAACGCAAGTCTAAACCAGCAGGATCGTAGATACTAGTAAGGCACTAAATTGCAAGCGCCAACGTCTTCTTTGTTAAAGACTCGTCGACGTAGCCAAGTGGGGATCTCTGCCGAAGATCGACCGCTGGCCAAATCATCGCTGAACACTCCGTCGGTAGTGTTGGCCTCTGTTGCGGGATCCCACAGCTGATAGATCACCCTTAGGTGTTCTCGTATTTTCCATTGCTATTCTGACCGAACGTTGACAGACAATCCAATAGTATCCTGATTTCAGACGGAAGCCTTCACCGTTTTTCTCCAAATTCTCCGGATGCAAGGCGCCTTCATTTGCGACTCCGAGATTGTCATGCGTGTTTCAAGACTTAGGCCCCTTTCAAGGGGGATGATCGGTGGAGCTGAGGCTAACCAGGGCGATACGCGGGGGCCAAGTTGATCTTGACTCCAGCTTCTGGTTTCTTCTGGTTTCTTCTGGGTTCTTTTTTTGTTCATATCTGTGAGTAATCTCATTTGTACGTACTTTCAAACAGATCGAAGGTTCGTTGACGTGTTCGCAGTAGCGTAAGATCGAGGGGTTCGCGATAGATCATCAAGAGAAAAGTGACAGGTCTCGAAATAGAAGTATCACACTGTCCGTGCGTAGCGCTAATGTATGTATAGAAGACCCCAAGGATCGGACATTGTGATATTTAGTCGGCTTTCCTGCACGTCTTTACAATTCTCTTTGGATGTTCTACATTATATGTGAAGTATACGCCACTCACTTCATATATTTACTCACTTCATCCACGTGCACATGGTTATTGACCACTCCTTGAATCATGTCTGCATACTGTGAGGAGGATTTTGAGTCACTGCCACCAGCAGTGAGACGAAAGGTAAGGGTTTGCATCAGCATTGCTAATCTTGCAATTACTCCCAATGTTGTCTTCTCCATGTCTCCTATCACAACCCTATCCACCACCATCACTATCAATATCACTATACCCCATAGCGTCATCGCTAGTCGGATCATCATCTCCCTAAAAGTTCGAGTGCGATACGAGTGAGCCCGAGCGTTGAGCTTCCCCTTTCTCATCCTTGCATTGCCCCTGAACCGTCGGTGGAGACCACCATCCGCACTATCGTCTGTGGCGCCACTCGTTACGCCTCGAGATTGGTGTATGCCATGTTGATTACTCCACCACCCTCCCAATTGTTGTTCTCCGCTAATCCAAACAGTTCTTCTCGAATGTCGAGCGTTTGCGCATTCGGTTAGGGCAGAGCGATCACGGTTCTCCTGCATTCTCCACGCCAAACTACTATGGCCGGGCTCGAACTAATGCTCGCCTCGGCTACTCTCGAAGGCAAGGTTCATTGAAGAGACGCGGTCTTGAGAAACATTCTCCGTCTCCCAAGAAACTACGCAAGCCCGGATCTCCTCAATTGGCCTACCTGGCCGCCCAGGCGGACTCGCAATGCTTCCATGCTCTTCCCGCTAAGATCCAACAAAGGCTTTTCTCCCCCGAAGAACAACGGCGTCTCCAAAAGGCCTATCGGCAAAGTCTCATCTACGACGCTGCCGACGTTGCCTATCGTCGAGACCTTGGCCGTCCCTGTCCATCCATTGACTGTCCATCTATTGACAGTCACCCCTCCGAGGCGAGTTTGTCCGTTGCTCAGACATCAACAGCTTTCTGGGATTCAGACTCCGAGTCAGGCGAAGAGACAGACCCCAACATGGATCCAACATTTTACGATAATTTCCGGTGGCTCGATGAAGATGGCGATCTCGACTTGTCTCTAGATGAGTACCATACTCATGTTGCAGACGTCGCCACACGCAAGAAATCCCGTCGTCCCTCTTTCCGCCGCTCCTTATCCTTCAGCACTCAATTGCGCCGCAAACAATTAGAACCTATTGTTCCCATCTCTTCTCGTGGACTGCCACCCGTCAGCCAATCTCAACCCTTGACACCCCTCTCCAACCGTTCAGAATCCCGTCCAGGATCCCGGCACCGACCCTTCCAACATGGACCCAAATCCTCTACATCGAGCATCGATCCCTCTGCACAATATTACCAAGACCCTGATGCCCGCCTCAAATTGAGGGTCTATCTCGCATCACCACAAAAGTTCGACGAAGCCATTGAGTTTGGTTTTCCATCGCTAGAACAGAACAATAAAGAAAATGTGGCTCCGGAGCAGAACTCGCCCAGACCGACCCTGGTCAACCAGGACTTTGGCACATTCTTCGAAGATGACGATGGCACGATGGTGGGGAGCCCGGGAGGGTCAGTCCGTGATGCATTACCTTCCCCTGCTTCTATCCCCACACCACAACGAGATATGCCTCGACCTTCAATGGAATCGTCTCTCATGCAACGACGCCAATCGTGGCTACCCGGGGCTAAAGGAGTTCCACAGCGGCTCCCAGGAAACCGCGAGATGACCTTGAAAATGACACTCACTCGGCCTGATCTACGGACCGACTCTCCTACTCCATCTCAATCTTCCAAAGAAGATCCCTTGCGATTGGCAGAGCTTCCCCCTGCGGATCGCACCCAGTCGATCTGGGATTCAGACCGGGATGAGCAAGGCATGATGAAAAAGATGTGGCGCAAACTCCGACGTCGTGTTTGAAAGCCTTGATTAACCTACTTCATTCGCTTAATACCCATTTCCCTTCTTTGCAACACCAAGGTGTTGCCGTTTGTTTGGCGCGTAATTGTTGGCTGGGACATACCTATCATTCTAATGGCGTCTTGGGATTTTCGAACTCCGGGGTTGAATTGTGTCCCCCATTTGTATCTATTCAATTCACAGTTGTATATATTATTTGCTCGTCTTTTCTCTACTTCATACTTTATACTTCCGGACGTAGACTATTCCTAATGCGTCACTTCATCCATGGGTCACATTGATAATGATAAGGCACGTGACAAGGAGCTCTCAGGCAGAGGCCACGCAGCTCCGTCATCATCTTCAACTTTATTCACACTCTTAATTGATCTTCTCACTCGAAGCTCTGCTTCAATCCCTTCATTTACGACTTCGTAATCCCCTCCTATCGACTGATCCCGTCTTCCCGGATCGGTCCGCCCGAAACACCCAACCCGCATACCCATCAGATGCCTACACAGCACCTGTCATGATCTTTCGGTGGCTGCTGCTCACAGTGGGCCTGCTGCTGGCATTGGCCTGTCAACCAGTAGTGGCGGAAGCACACAAACCCAAGGTCATCTCCCATAAACTAGACAGTGCGCCCGCCGACCTGTTCTACTTCCACGGCACCAACACGATACTATACCGCGACATCAAGACCAAAACCGCCCATGTTTCCTTCGATGGCGGCGAAAAATGGGATAAGATCAAGGGTGAAGGTGATGCCATGGCAGGCAAGGCCGAGTTGATCTGGAAGCACCCGTACGACAAGAACCGTGCTTACATCCTCGGCCAGGGTGGAAAACACTGGATCACGACCGATCAGGCCAAGACTTGGAGTTCCTTCAAGGTGGATGTCGCGCCTTTTGCGTCCATGCGGTCTTTCCCGCTGGAGTTCAATGGCTGGGATCCTAAGAAGGTTATTTTTATGGGCTTGGGTGATTGCTCTCTCCTTGGTTGTATGCCTGTGGCCTACTACACGGTCGATGACTTCAAAACTGTCAAGCCATTGCGGGAACCTGCGTTCCAATGTATGTGGGCTGCAAGCCGCCCGCAGTTCGCGTTGGATTTGGACGTGCCGGATTCGATGGGCAATCGCGTCATGTGCGTGGTGCCGGCGTTGACAGGACACTTTGATCATAAGATCAGGGAAGTCTTGATCCATTCCGATAACTTCTTCCATGACGGTTCCGAGGGCACCGCATCGAAATTGAGCGATGGCCAACCACTGAGCGGTGCCAGTCTACAGATTCGCTCCGTCACTAAGTACATGGTCGCGCGTCTCCAATCTGCAGGCACCGCCGAGCAGGCTCTGTACATTAGCGATGACACGAATGTGTGGCACCGGGCCGAATTCGGCAAGCACCGCATCGAGGAGGATGCCTACACCCTGTTGGAAAGCACCAACTACAGCATTCAGATTGACGTGCAAACCACCTGGCACGATAACCGCATGGGTAGTCTTTGGTCTTCCAACTCGAATGGTACCTACTTCACGCAAAATATCGAGCATACAAATCAGGATCTGAACGGTCTGGTGGACTTTGAGAGAGTCACAGACATTCAGGGCATCACGATTGTCAACACTGTCAAGAACTGGGAGGAGGCCTCGAAATCCGACTCCAAGGAGAAGAAGCTTATTAGTAGTATCAGTTTTGACGATGCGAGAACTTTCCAGTCTCTCAAAGCTGATGGCGACGAGCTACACATCCACTCGATGACAACCTATGTCGCGCTGCGCGAGATTCCTATGCCTGATCATCGGATGTTTTCTAGCCCGGCACCTGGCTTGGTCATGGGTGTTGGTAACACCGGAGGCCATCTCAAGGAATACTCCGAGGGTGATCTCTACGTATCGGACACCGCGGGTCTCACCTGGCGGCACGCACTCAAGGGCCCGCACCGTTTCGAATTCGGTGACCAGGGAGGTGTCATCTTGGCGATTGCCGATGGCACTAAGACCAAGGAGGTCAAGTTCTCCATTGATCATGGTAAAGAGTGGGAGTCCTTCAAGCTGGATGATGAAGTCAGACCTCTGTATCTGACCACGACACCCGATTCGACCAGTCTGAAGTTCCTGCTGGTTGGAATCTCGGCCGATGACAAAATCCTTATGTATTCCATTGATTTCGACAACCTCCATGAGCGCCAGTGTGGATCAGCTGACCTCGAAGAGTGGACTGCCCGTCTGAATGAAAAGGGCGAAGCAGATTGCCTAATGGGCCACAAGCAGTTCTTCTACCGCCGCAAGGCTAACGCGGATTGCTTCATCAAGAAGGAATTCGCGATCACTGGCCCCGAATTCAAGCCGTGCAAGTGTACTGCGGAGGACTTTGAATGTGATTACAACTTCGTCCGTAGTGAAGACCGCAAAGAGTGTGTCCCAGCTGTCTCCTTGACCCCACCGGCTGGCAAGTGCAAGGACTCTGGCGACAAGTACATGGGTCCTTCAGGGTGGCGACTCATCCCCGGCAACGAATGCATTCGCGAGGGTGGCGAAGATCTCGAGCGCCAGGTTGAGCGGTCTTGCTCGAATGTCACCGTCCCGATTGTCGCCGATGGCAAGCCTCGTGCTGGAAAGCCACATGTAATTTCTGCAAAGGAGACCGTTTACTTCTACCTCGAACGACAAGCCAGTAACAGCGGAGATGATGAGACCCTCATGATGCTCACGGATAAGTACGAGCTTTATAAATCACACGACCACGGCCGGACCTGGGAGAAAGCTATCAAGGACCATGACGTGAAAGTACTGGAGATGATTCAGCATCCCTACTTCAGTGATGCCGCCTTCTTCCTAACCGATAAAAAGAAGATTTACTATACCATTAACCATGGGAAATCTTTCCACTCATTCGACGCACCCTCGACGCCAACAAAGGAGCCTCTCATCCCTCTCAGATTTAACGAGCTGTACCAGGACACACTTATCTGGATTGGCAACGAGAGCTGCGAGGGTAAGAACTGTCGCTCGGAGGCATACATTACCGACAAACGGGGTGCTAGTTGGGATCCGATGCTTATTGGCGTTGGTAAATGTGACTTTGCAGCCCAGCAGGATCGGGAGAACAGCTCGAAACTCGTTCTCTGTGAACAATATGAGAAAGAAGAAACGGCCAACAACCGGCAGCTGGTGATCAGTGATGATAATTTCTCCACGAAGGAAACCCTCTTTACCAATATCGCCCATTACGGAACGAAGAACAAGTTCATTGTCACGGCTTGGTACGGCGGAAATCAGAACACGTATCTGAATGCCAGTGTCAGTGTGGATGGCCGCACATTTGCCGATGCCCATTTCCCCTTCAACGTTAACGTACCCTCATACACCATCCTCCCCAGCTCCCCGCACGCACTCTTCCTGATCGTGGAGGTTTTCAAGGCAGAGGGGCGTAGCTTCGGGACCTTGGTCAAGAGCAACAGCAACGGTACCTACTTTGTTTCCAGTCTCGAGGCTGTCAACGTCAATGACAATGGTAATGCCGACTTTGAAAAGATGGAGGGCTTGGAGGGCGTGCTTCTTGCCAATGCCGTGGCCAACAAGGACGAGGTGAAGGGTAAGGGAGCAGCAGGCAAGAAGGTGCGGTCTCTCATCACCCACAACGACGGTGGCCAGTGGATGCTACTGTCTCCTCCTTCTCAGGATGTCGATGGTAAGAAGTTTGGTTGTTCCGTCACAGAGGGCAAGGGTACCGAGAAGTGTGCGCTTCACCTCCACCTCTACACAGAGCGTCGCGACGACCGCGATACTTTGGATTCCGGTTCTGCGATCGGCCTGATGCTCGCTCAAGGCAACGTCGGGGAGTATCTTGGCAAGAAGGAAGAATCCGACACATTCCTCACCAGGGACGGCGGCATTTCCTGGACTCAAGTTAAGAAGGGTCGGTACCAGTGGGAATACGGTGCCGCCGGGTCTGTGATCGTTCTCGTTAAAGAACAGCAGGCCACCAAAGTCGTGCACTACACCCTGGACGAGGGCGCCACCTGGAACGAGTTCCAGTTCTCGGATGTCGACATGATAATTGACGATATCTCAACCGTGCCCTCTGACACATCGAAGAACTTCTTGCTCTGGGGCACAGACCCTAAAACCTCTGGCAAACGCGTGTCTATCCCTCTCGATTTCAGCCCCGTTTGGAGCAGAGACTGCAAAGACGACGAGAATGACTTTGAAATCTGGACTCCTAGCCATCCTCTCCAGGAAGAGAACTGTCTTTTCGGTCACGTCGAGCAGTACCACCGCAAGAAACCAACAGCAGAGTGCTGGAACCCCTGGCGCACGCCGCATATTCATAGCATTGGCCGGAACTGCACCTGCACCCGCGCTGATTTCGAATGTGACTACAACTATGAGATTCAAAGCGACGGTAGCTGCGGTCTGGTTCCAGGTCTCCCCAAACCAGACCACAGCGCCCAGTGCAAGAAAGACTCAGAGATGGTCGAGTACTGGGAGCCAACCGGATACCGCCGCATCCCACAGACAACCTGCGAAGGCGGACTCCTTCTAGACCAAGACGTTTCGCACCCCTGCCCGAACAAGGAAGAAGAATACAACAAGAAACACGGCATCAGCGGTGTCGGTCTCTTCTTCGCAATCGTCACCCCGATCGCAGTCGCCGCCGGTGTCGGGTACTACGTGTACACGCACTGGGATGGCAAATTCGGTCAGATCCGTCTGGGCGAAGGCGGCGTCAGCTCGAACTGGCTTTCCAGGGACTCCGTACTGGTCGCGGTGCCAGTGGCAATAATCGCCGGTGTTGTTGCGGTTGCCCAGTCCCTGCCTTTGTTGATTATGAGTCTTTGGCGTAGCTCGACTGGCTGGTTCCGTTCCCGTAGTCGGGGATACCAGCGGCCTTATGCGACGCGTGGCTCCTTCGCTGCGCGTCGGGGTGATTATACTCATGTCGTAGACGATGAGGATGAGCTGCTAGGCGCTGATGACTTCGATGAAGAGGAGGAGGCATGATCTATGCAGCGTTTACGTCTAATATAGCTGTCGTCTGTGGACGAGAGCAGATTTGGGATGATATTTGGGCAGATTTTGATGTGACATTATGAGCGTGCCGTGTCGGATTTTTACTTGTTTTTCTTTTTCTTGGGTTCATTTGTTGTTGGTATGCACAACCTATAAGCTGCTTTGATTTGGCTTGGACAGAGTTGGGAGATGTGTTTAGCTTCGGATTTGATCATGAATAGACCTGCCCATTGCTTTGAACTAAATAGGTTCTACTGAGATACTTTACTCATTCTTGTGTGAGGTGGCCCGGTCCGAACGAGTCGGGTAGTAGCTGGAGTGTGTCAGTGGAAATTGGAACATCCAGATACTTGAAAGGTGCTTACCTCGGCCATGGTCATGATCTTGTACTTGCCTTCGCCGTCATACATGTAGACGGGGAATGAAGGCGTAGTGAACTCGCGAATACTGATTACAATCAGTATAGTCCAATGAGGGATGATGGAAAGATACTCACAACTGTCTGCACATCCCACAGGGCGACGCAGGAGGAGTGATATCCGTCGCGACAGCAAGGGCCTTGAAGTCCTTGTGGCCAGCCACCTAGTTGGAGTTAGTGTAACCACATAGCTATCGAGGCTAGGCAAAGGAGACACGTACAATAGCAGTTCCAAAAGCTACTCGCTCTGCGCAGGTACCGACAGGGTACGCGGCATTTTCGACATTAGCACCGGAGATAAATTCACCGGATGAAGTCAGAATGCATGCTCCGACGCGGAACTTGGAGTATGGGCCTGATTTTGTTAGCTAGTGAATCTCTGCGAGATGGAGGACATACAGTAGGCAGTTGCCTTGGCGTCAATGGCCTTGGTGGAGAGTATCTCCAGTTCTTGGGTTGTGAGGCTCATGATGTGTGTAGGAGGGAAAGAGTGGAGGGGAAGCTGGGAGTTGACGGTGACGGTCTTTATCGGCTGATAGGCGGCGATAACCGCCGGACTTCATGTTTTGTTTGTTTTTCTTCATTTCTGTTGGTTTATATTATTTATTGGATTCATAAAGTCTATGGGTGCGAGGTCTAGAAGTAAGGTGATATTAACAATTTTAGTGCAATGCATGGGAAGTGACGTGTTCATACCGGTGCGCAGATCCTTTTCAATACCCAGATAGAGGGCATTTGGGTAGCCTTGTGCCGCATCTGAACTATGAAGCATGGTATACTTCTCAATGGTACCTGTTGAGCTGCAGTGAAGATGAAATTGGGGGGAAAATGCCATGAGAATAGCCGCTGGGAATGCCTGTGGCTAACAGTTACTATTGAATGATGCTACGGAAATATCACATGAAGAATTCGATAAAGAGGGCATGGAATTGTCTTATAGAACAACTAGAGAGAGAGTAATGTTCTACCAATTGCTAGACCATCTTTAAATAACCAACTACTCACAGTGTCACTTACAGAGGAACAGCCTTTCCCTGATAATCAAGGAATCGTTCCTCCCGATCCGCGGCATACTCACCAATAACATCGATGCTATTCTCATTAGAAATCCATAAACACAAGAATTTCAGAATGGACTTACACTCCAGTTGCGCTAGCATCGACAGTGATATTACCCATGGGGTTCATATCGGTCTTAGGAAGACCCGGATGAATCAGGAGGACTGGAACACCCTTTGGGCGAAGCTCCAGATCAAGCTCAAAGGCAAGTCGCTCCACAGCAGTCTTGGATTTCAAACAAGTCAGTTATCCAGGGTTAACCACAGTCTAAAATGGTGCATACCTTGGAAATGTCGTACGCAGCCGTCACGTTCACCCCAGTTGTCCCAAAAATCAAGTTGTGCATCTCAAAGTTCTCCTTGAAAGTGGTAATGGATCCAAAGCTACTCCCAATGAATGTGAGTACCTTTTTAGGATAAGTAGACCGCTCAACAAAAGGGAAGAACTCCATGGCGCTCGCGTAAGCACCAAACAAGTTGACCGTCATGTTCTCTTTCAGGCCGTCCAGTCCGGCCGCGGTCAGAGGTCCAAGGCCCTTGAGGACACCGGCATTGTAGATGACTTGGTCTAGAGTTGAGGTTGTTTGGGAAACAGTTTCCTTCAACAGATGTATGGAGGAAGCATTGGCGACGTCCACCTCAAGGATGTGGATGCGGTTTGGATGGTCCTTGTGCAGCTTTTGAAGATCAACAGCTGTTGCGGGTGACCTGGCTGTTGCATAGATCACTGCGGTGGGATATTTGGCCAGCTATAAAGCTGTCAGCAACAATCTCACAGTATATAAGAAATTCCTACACTTTTCTCAACCAGTTGGAGTCCAATGCCTCGGCTCGCGCCAATGATGAGGACTGTAGATGGAGAGGAAGCCATTGAGGTATAGAGTGGTGTGATGATACGAGATGAGATTGAGAGTGATTCCTTGATTTTGCTTCCAATCCCTACGGGCCTTTGAGTGAAATTTATATTCGCTTTACGCCACTTTACTCCCACAACGAACACGGCTGGATGTGATTAATAAACGAGAGAATGGGGCCTTCGAGATTCCATGCCAAATCAAGATCAATAATCGCTATTTAATCAGCAAGGAACTACCTAACTATGTAATGTATGTATATATGTGGTTAGCCTTTGATTATTTGATCAAAGTCCGAATGAGTCAGCTGAGGAATTGACCTCAGGAGTTGAGTTGGACTGACATTACAAATACTTTTTTTCACTTTGAGCAATAGCCAAAGGTAAATCTCGTCCCGCGATACTTCTCTTTGATAGACATGTGTTTCAGGGTGCCCGCTATACACTGCAATTATCAACATCACGCCCCGGACTCATCCTTATATGGAGTTGCTCCCAGATGCTTCCAAACTGCAGCACTATCAAGCTCGATCTTCTGGTTTCGGAGTGCAATCGTCATCTCGGTGTGTCCGTCGTTGAGATAGACGATACTCTTGCCCTACTCCCGTCAGTTTGGTTCAAGTTGACTATAACAGAACTCACCAGCCCAAGTGTAAGCTTGGTTAAACCCTCCCACCATTTCTGTTGATAGATGACCTGTTGTTTACCACGGATAGCACGAAGTATATTTTGCGAGACTGCTTCGCCTTGCTCCATGGCAGACCGGCCATTCTTGATCGTTCCAACATTGATCAAGTCCCCCGCGGCGTAGATATTAGAAAACCTCTCATCATTCACCTGAAGGGTTGACCTAACATTGAGATGACCAGACGGTGCAATTGCAGAGGATGCGAGGAAGTGGGCGAGATCAGAATTGGGCTTCTGACCAATGCATTTAACCTGTATTCATCAGACTCACACCTGGGGTGATTGATTCGATGACTTACCAGACAATCAAAGTGAACCTTTCTATCGCCCAGTTCAATATTTCCCGTCTCATCCCGGGGAAGAACAGGCCTCTTCCCCAGAACAAGGTCGATGCCAAGATCTTCAAGGGCTTTCTTCGCTACATCGTGCATTTTAGACCCAAATCCATCACTCAACAGTGTTTCATGAGAATGAATCAGCGTCACATTCTTCTCCGGATATTGAGACTTCGCATCGGTGGCCAGTTCTACACCTGCAGCACCCCCTCCGACAACAACAATGTCCCGAGCCTCTTTGAATCTCCGCTGTTGGTATTGCATCGCTTTCATCCCATCTTTTTTGCTCTCCCAATTAACCCGCGATGGAAGTCGAGCTGTTGATCCAGTTGCGAGGACAAGATATTCATAATCAATCCAGTCTCCAGATGAAACTTGAACCTTGCCATTCCTACCTTTGCTATCACCGCCTGGCTGGATCGTCGTAACAGAATCAGTTACCCATTGATACGAGCCAAGAGGCGCCTGGAGATACGGCCAGTATGGAATAAGGGCCTTGTGTTCGGATCCTTCCACCACACAGAATCGAGGCAATACCCAGGTTAACTGGAAGTGGCTGTTTTTCTCAATCACAACTACTCGGTATCCCGTTGGTAGAGAGTTGGCTAGACAGCGTGCGGCATGGTAGCCTGCAAAGGAAGCGCCAACGACGACGATGTTTCGTGGATTGGAGGTTGGTTTGTAGGTATGTCGGTGGATGAGAGAGGTAAGTTTGAGTCGAAGTTGGGAGATGGTCTTTCGGATGACTATCACGAAGAGTTTGCCGAACAGCAGGATGTAGCCAAGCATGGTGAACTAGCTGTTCTATGTTTTACATATTCTAGATTAAGAGATATTGACATTCAGTTTATATATTTCATGTTGACCCCGGATACTCCGCGGATCGGAGTGGGCTGATCGGAGTATAGTTCGGACATTGACTGATTTGGCATTCGCCGATGTCTGAGATCGGATCTCAGATTGTATTGCTGCAGATATTAGGTACAACTTCCTCACACTAGGAATGTCCCTAGTCTTGATCTATGAATATCTACTATAATAGAAGTAATTAGAATAGTGGCCGATGAACGCGTTGGTAGCTTCTTCATCCTTGTGCACGTCGTACTTGTGTTCGACGTAGACTTTCTGCGGCAAGATCCAAAAGAAAGATGATAAACACACAGTGGTCAGCACGATACCCGCACACCATGAGTATTTGCCCCAATATCCAGATTCCCCAACGCAAGCCTTCGGTCCGCTTCGCTTATAGGCGGGGTCTAGCAAGTGTACAAAAGCCGTAGCAACGATGACACCCGTGCCAAAGTAACGCGCGAAAAGATACACGTTCTGAGGAATTTTCCATGAGGACATACGCTTGGCTAGTACCGGGACGACTGTAACGGCAGAGGAGACGAAGAGGTTCACAAAGATAGAAGAGATGCGAGCCCCGAGATGGCCGTTGTAGTCATTCTGGGAGATGGTGAGGTAGCAGAGGACTTCTTCCTTGCTGACCTGTTGAGATTGACGTTGTCGGGATCGAAAAACTGCCTCGCCTTTGGCTTGATTCAAAAAAGCATGGGAAGCCAAGCCATGAAAGGCAAGTATCATTGACACATTTTATAAAAATGTCCCTGAGTACCTTGGGATCTGAGGTGGACCTCAACCTTGTTACCTAGCTCATCCGGGAGCCAGACATCGGCTAAATCGCCCTGGATATGGGTGTACATAGGGCTGAATCCTGTGGAGGTGGACATGCAATATGACTTTAAACTGCTCCGTGATTGGTCTCGAGTTGAAATCTCCGAGTGGAGCAGATATTCTCCCAGGGTTGACGCTGTTCACACTAGACCTCTGGTGTTGCGATGGGATGTTACAGCTTAGGAGCTCATGCGAGCTTGTTAAGTATAGCCAGCAACGCGATGTGGGAGAAGAGAAGATCATATCAAAAGTTGTGCAAAGACTATCTCGGCCACACCACACCGGATCAGCAGCATTCCATGACCGGGTAGAAAGGTAAAATCTAGTACTGGAGGAAAGGAAACCGTAGAATTTATATTGAAATAGAAAGAGTTCAGCCTCGAGCTGACCATGACTAATCGGTGTTTCCCCGCATGGCATCAACAACTCAAGACTTCCAACGTCAACATACTCCCGACTATGGCTCATCCAGGAGTGCAGGTCATCAACGGCTGTAAAACATTCATTCCGCTAGGTAAGTCCTTGGCCCTAGCTCCAGAACCATCTCTCACAATCCAGAAAACAATCCCGATACCATCACGCATCTATGTAGAAACCTGGGCATATCTCCTACCCTGACATTTCACGATGTCCTCTCTACAGCTCCCGACATGCTATCTCATATCCCTCGGCCCGTGAGCGCCCTCATCCTGCTCGCCGACAGACCCATCTACATAGCTACCCGCTCCGCCGTGGAACCCACCATCCCTCTCTATACAGGGAGCGGGCCTGACGAGCCAGTCTTATGGATGAAACAGACGATTGGACATGCATGTGGCCTGATGGCGGTGCTACATGTGGTTTTGAATCTTGATTCTCGTAAACATGTGACTGGATCAGAGCTACATGCGCTAGTGAAGAAGGCTGTTGAGCTTGAACCAACGGAGAGGGCTGAGTTGCTATATCAATCCAAGTTCTTGGAGGAGGCGCATATGGATGCTGCGTCGCAGGGGTGTTCGATTGTGCCATCGCCGCGGGATGACTGTAGGTTTCATTTCGTGGCATTTGTGCAGAAGGATAGGAAGGTGTGGGAGCTGAATGGAGGTATGAATGGGCCATTGTTGAGAGGGGAGTTGGAGGGTGATCTGCTCTCGGAGAAGGGTTTGGAAATGACGGTCAATGGCTTTTTACAGGCTGCTGAAAACGTGGATCATAGGGGTATCAGTATTGTTGCTGTGTCAGGATGAGCTTGGAGGATCAAGGAATGGAGCTCTATTGGCAAGATCTTTTGTGTATATATCAAATCACGACATAAAGTTTTCCATCCAGCAATCGCTTGAGCTGACACGCATAGGTCAAAGTCTCAATTCTTCGGCCAATATGATGGCTCCGACGCGGAAGCCAGGAACAGTGTTTACCCTGCTTCATGATAGCGTGTCGGATTGGTGATTCTGGGTGACAGTGTGAGGAAAGGTAATGGAAAGTGTAGTCAAGCATTGACTTGGAATATATTCGGGGTATAACGCGGTGCAAAAATCCGAAGTTTAAGTAATGGGAAATCCAAGAGGAGATCCGGGAACATGATCGTCCGGACGGAGAAAACACAAGTCTATATGCAAAAATCTCTATGTTTCTCTTTTTCTTTCATCCAAAGTATTGCCGTAATCCTTCATAGACAGAGAAAATAAAGGCGGAACTGGGCGCCGAGCGCGCGCAGGTGATCCCGCACCCGCGGTACATGCCCTTTAGCCCTTGCTGTCGCCACAACGCCTTGGTCACGCTCCAGAAGGTCTGTCGCTGAGCGCTGACGGGGAGTCGGGAGATATCCTCGGTCTGCATTCGAGACTTAATTGTGTCGGCAGGGTAGAAGAGGAAGTTGTAGCTGATGCCAGCCGTTGCGCCAGCGATCATTTGTTGGTAAACGGGGAGTGAGTCAGAGGCTGGTCGCGCCTGTGATTTGTTGTATTTGCGGAAAAGCGATGATACACCTTCGTATCCACCGAACCACGCCGCGCTGCCGCCTGTCTCACGAATAAGTGTGCCCATCTGGCCGCGCCAGAATCCCCTCAATCCTTCCTGGCGGAAAATGGTTGCGACCAGTGCCATGGGACCAGACGGTTTAGCGGCCGACTCGGCAGGAACCTGCATCTTGCATTTCACCAACTCGATCGGAGTGAGCGCCAACGAGGTAATTGATCCTGAGAGCGCACCGCTCGCCACGAGGGCCGGGAACGGTAGGTGCTCTACATTAGGATACACCGTGGCGCGCAGGGTATCCTGGATGAGTCGATAACTGAAGAAAAGACAGCTAGTCTCCACGGCGGCCCCGGTCATCGGGGCGCTGATCCCTCGGTAGAGACCACGGAAGCCGTCGGCAGCGAACGATTGGCGGAAACAGTCCAACGGGCCGGAGTATCGAAGAGGGAGATGTTCGGGTTGTGACTGTAATCGGACCTTGACTGTATCGAAGGGGTATTCAATAAGTTTGCCTGCCATTCCTGCCGCCTGGGGATTCGTCAATGTCTGTTCTCTCCTGCGGCCAAAGACTCCTTACCGATCCAAAGACGATGTCCTTCATGGCCTCCAGGCCCTGGTTGGGCGGGAGCGATGGCAGCTCCATCGGCCGCTCAGTAATGATCGCATGCTCCGTCGCCATCAAGTAATTTTAAGAGGAGAAAAGAGGGTTATCGGCAGGACATGGTAAGACGGGGGTGTAACGAGGGATTAAAAGCGAAGTCGAGAGTAGTGGGGGGAGGGGCGGTGTGAGGGATTTGATGGGCCTACGAGGCTTGCCAAGCCACCAGCACAAGAAGCGAGCAAGGGAAGAGAAGAAAGTTGGAGGGAAAAGAGACGAAAAGCCCTTTGGAGAAAGTGAAAACGAGTGAAGGGTGGAGTCGAAGTAGCATTTTCTGTCTAGCGCCTCGTGCCAAGACATTTTATCAGATCGAGATAATCAAGAAAAACTCGGATCCTCGAGACCTCTGCCGCTTCACGCTTCTTCCACTCGACACTCTCCCACTTACTTCTACCAAGTGCCTATTGTTTCAAGAGGCCCCTCACCATGTCCACCGCAACAGAGACCCCGGCGGTGCCCCCAACGGGCATGCGGAAAAACGGTCAGTGAAAAAATAATTAATGCCCAGTCCCCACTTCCCTGCTGTTCCTCATCTCGGCTGACCCGATCGGACTTATAGGCAAAAACTGGCATGGCACCAAGAAGGCATTCCGCCCTAATGCCGGTTTGACTTCATACGCTAAGCGTCAAGAGGCGCGCAAGCACCAGGATGCCGTCAAGGAGTTGGAGCGTGAGATGAAGGAAGAGCGTGAGGCCGAACGTCAGGTATGTGAACCTTATTGCTTCCCGTGCTGTCTCACCTCGGTTGTTTTGACTGTCTCCATTCCGGTGGTCTCCATAATACTGCACTATCTCCGACCTCACCTTCCAAGAACGGTATCACTGACCGAGAATATCTGCCCAGGCCCATATCCAACGCATCAAGGACCGCCGCGAGGCCAAGGAGGAGAAGCTCCGGTATGAGAAGATGGCAGAGAAGATGCACCACAAGAGGGTTGAGCGTCTCAAGCGCAGAGAGAAGCGCAACAAGCTGCTCAACTCGTGAGCGACCAGATTGTCGAGGTCCTTTTTTCCATATCGCCATACCCTACTTTGCATGTGTATATACATCGGCTTGGGACTTTTGGCGACAGACTCATGGCATGGGCTGATTACAGGCGTTCTGAGGGTTCTAGGTCACTATAATAGCGAGTCAAACGAACTTTTTTTTCTGTTACATCTTGCTATACTTTGTGTTTGATAGTAGAATTGAGTAGAACAAATTAGTCGGAATTGCCACGCAGATTACAGTCGGAATTAGCCAACATTCATTTACATCAACATGTAGTGCAGTACGCTGCCTATCGTAGTTGACACGGTCAGACCAGAAACGGCTCGTTTCCGATTATCAAGTTTCAAAGAGAGATATACCAACAGAAAGGTGCACTTGTTGGTCTTATAATTATCGATTTACTACGGCTTCTAATACTGGATGTGCTGATGATATCTGCAAATCGCATACAGCCATCGCCGGCGGAAACAAATCCAGTCTAGTCAGACTGTTCCAGCAAAGCCGCCTAATTCCTAGTATTCATCGTCAAAGCGAGCGACTATCTCGGGATCTTTGCCTATCTTGATGATCTGCCCGTGAGTGACAACATGTTTCAAGACCTTTCCATACTAGCCCGAGCTGCGTCTTTGCTCACACTAGGCTCCTCACGGGCAATCGAGATCTCTGGTAAAGCAAAAGCATCCAGTCAGCGTCATTGTATATATTGGGATTTCAATGTCATCTAGGGTTGTCGCTACAACATAAGACATCCTCGCCGGTCTCAAGAAGTAGTTGGATTAGGATATGGAGACTTACGCTACCATGATACTGGCCTGAGAATGGCATTCTTCGCGTCTCCTGAGACCATAGTACTGAGGGTTAGAGAGACAGTAACGCTCAAACAATCAAATCCACAATTTTCAAGCATATCCAGACCCTTGAGTGGGCGACATCTTACTATGGCCCATGCAGGATATTTCTCGACTCCCCTGCCGCACGCGCAAAGACAGTTAGCGTGCGATGTTGTTTACCAGAGCTTCTTCCTAATTGCTCTAGCTCAATGGGATAAACCACTGATGGTGGTCTTGAAATTGCAATAGGAAGCTCTGTAGAATGTCTCGCTCGAGAACGAAACGGTGGAGCCATATACAAAGCCAGCGATTCGCATCATCCCGGCACATATACCTTTTATTCACTCCACCAGACTCCACCAGTCCAGAAGAGATCAAATTCAGCACAAGGATAATCATTTTGCTGCATTATTCCATTCAGCATGATTGGAGGACGAGGGTGCATGATCAGTAAGTTACCTAAGGGTTTATAGAAAACTATAAAACGAGGCCAGCGAGAAGATGGATTGAGGACAGGGCGAGACGATGATAGGATTAATTGACACTACTATCTCGTCTTCAACCCTCTTAAGCAACTGTAGATCTCATGTAGTAAGCGAAGAAGCCCTGCGGTGCTGGAGGTGGAAGATCTTATTTAAGCTGTGCCGCTGATCCTTGGCGTTATCCAACTCCACAACTCCGACAAGCTTCCCCAAGCTTTTCTTCCACGATGAGTCGCCATGGAACCTCCATACAAGAGCCCATCCTTTGCAAGTTCTCGAGCAACATCAGCCACATTCCCTCTCTCTAAGAGCTCCTCTCGAAGCCAAGCGCAACCCAATGACCGACAATCCACCCCGGAGGAACTCTCCGCAGTCAACACACACGAAAGCAAAACCGACAGACATTCCCGTCGCCCTAATCGCTATGGCTCAGAAGACCGTGGGGTCTCTCCAAAGGGCGAGGCATCACATACTTCGTCCTCCTCGCGACGAACTCGCCCATCCCCTTCACCTCGGCAACTTGTAGAGCCCGCCGGATACGATGGCTCGAGGTCCCACCGCCATAAACACAGCAAATCGCGGGAACTACGGTTTCCTCGTCCGATGAGCCATTTGGCTTCATCAGCAAGTGCGAGAGGGCTATTGCCTACGTGGTCTGGTGGGAGGGATAAGGACCGTGATGGGGATGATGGGTTGTTGAGGCCGATTACAAGGGAGACCACGAGGTCCAGATGGGGGTCGGATTCGACAGGTCTGGATGGGAGTCGCAAAGGGAGTTTATTCGACCCGCCTGAGCAGGAGCGCTTGGGGCCGATACGACGGCAGGAGATTCAATCGCCGGAGGATTTGGAGAGGGTCAAAAAGCGGAGGAAGCAGGGCGAAGAGTATGCAATATTTCTTTCTGCTGTGGGTGCAGCTTCAATGCATGATATATTAATTGTTACGCAGATACCTACGGTCTGCGCTGGCTTCTATTGGAACCTTGGCCACGGATGTTACGCGTCGGCTGGACTACACCTATTACAATCTACTTGAGAAAATCACAGCACTCAACTCGACCATCTCGTCTTTCCAGGAACTATCCGACTCTGCCTCGACGCTTCTCAACAATTTCGAACGAGAAACTGCCGGGTTGGACCAAGATATCCGAAAACAGATCAGCGACCTCAAAGGGTTTGAACTGCAGATTGAAAAGGCAGATGCGCTAGATCAGCGCATGAAAGCAGGCAAACAGCGAGTGGAAGAACTAGGCAAGAGACTTGAGACCGTACGACACGAAATAGATAGCTGGGAACAGCGCGAAACCGAGTGGCAAACACGCACCAGTCGTCGTTTGCGCATCTTCTGGGGCATTGCCACTAGTGCACTGCTGGTGCTTGTGTTCGCCCTCGTCCTCCAGACCTGGCCACCATTCCAGTCCCCCCACGCTGAATTATCACGCCTGGCAGCGTTGAACCAATCCTCTGTGCCACCCCAGTCCGATGCATGGGATTCAATCCTTGAACTAGACGGGAAAGGAAACGGGTCTGCTGCAGGGGCCTTGCCGTACCCGCCCAGCCTTGCAGATCGCCGCGAGAGCCTGGCAAAGGCTAGTCCTACTTCGACGGAGGACCGGTCAGGACCCGATGCTGTGCCTACAGAGCATGATCCACTGAGGGTGTTGGATGAATTATGAAAATGGTTGTCCTCTTGTCTCCCCGAGATAGACTTTCTGTGAAACAGGAATCGGGGGCTTTGCAGTGCTTTTGCATGGGATTGAGTCTTGCATTTGTACTTTTAATTTATTTCTGTCATGATACCCAGTCTGCAATGGATTCGTTGTCGTCATTACGGCATGGCCGCTTCGCTCTTCTTCTTCTTCTTCTTGTCCTCGATGAACTCGATGTTGGCCTCGGGAATCTTATTTCCGTGCACCTCGAGTAGCCAGTCGGAAAGGTCGTCACTGACATCTCCTTGGACGGTAATCTCCTCAATGCCTGCTGGCGACCGGGTCACCGAGGACCCAGTGGCAAACTTCTTGCCCAAATCCTTTGCAATCTTCTTGTTCTCCAGACCAAACACCTCCAGACCGATGACCACCGTGACGTACTTGCGCTTGTTCCGTTCCACGCGCTTAATCAGGACCTTGGAGGCAGCCTTGCGCTCGCTATCTCGTGCCTCGTTTGCCGCAGCTTTGGCTTCCTTCTTGGCGGCATCCTTGGCAGCACGCTCTTGCGCTGAGACAGACAGGGTAGAGAGGTTGGCGTTCAAAGCATCTAGTGGAGAGTCAGTTATCAGGTATGCCGCCTCATGTCCAGATTGACTAGCTGCATGTCAGGAAGTACACAGCCCCTAGGAGCTCCATACCTTCGGAATATAGCTTATCCCATAGGCCCGACTCGTTATCCTTGAGCCATTCTTCACACTTCTTGGCAGTACCCCCAAATTCACAGTACTATCCCCCGCGGGTTAGCACAGAAGCACAGAAGCACAGAAGGATGTAGGTGATCCGGGTAGTAAGCTTTTGCAGGCGCTATGCTCTGGCCAGAAGCTATACCACGCACTAAATCTGGGGGGTGATAAGGGGGGAGCGGGGAACGGGCTGGACCTTGACATCCAAGGAGAGGGACAAAACACGATCGTACCTCTGGGGGCAATGTGCAAACTATCGGAATAGATTCCGTCAGCGCTGTTCTCCTCCAAGGTTCTGCGCCACGGGGGTCCTCACCTCCACAGTAGACCACCTGTCTTGCGGGTACTGATCCTGATTCCTCCATGATTTGAGAATAATCTTAGTCTAGACTTCTCAGCTGTTCAGAATCAACACATCGCGGGGCGGAGGGGCAGTTCTGCCAGCTAGGCCGCTTTGGGGAGTCACGTGGATCGAGAATGGATCGGAGCGAGTCGATAGTGTAATGATCATCCTTCATCCTACATGCTATGCCGAGAACAGATGACACCATTTTAATTTTTACATGGGTTCAAGTACAGTGGCAAACAACAGAATCCCTTTATCACGGCATCCTATCTCTCTGACGGCGCATTCTGCGATCCACTGGACCCCAGGCCAAGTGGGAGTGGGAATGCAGGCGCTGAACCGTTAGACTGCATGTCGTGATATGATAGCGTCTATTGGTGCCCGGTTGAGGATCCGCAGGGCTGATAAGATAGCTCGGAGTAGTGTGGGCAGTAGTAGCCAGGCGCCAGGGGAAGAGGGGATATAGTCTACGTCAGCTAGCTGTGTTGGCGATATACCCCTTGTGAAGGCGAGCAAGCCAAGTCTGATATCCTCGATATGAGCCAATAATGCATCGTCGTGGTGACAGACGTTAGGGGGCCCGTGGGGAGAGGAACTGGGGTCCGCAGTAGTGGGAGATAAATGTCTCCGAGGAACACGAAGTACAGTTTCAAGTTCCAGAGGGCCTGAACCCGATTGACGGTAACATGCGGCGAGGGCCAGTTCCCACTGGTCGATTGACATAAACAATGGGCGTCTGTTGAGGGTTTAGTTTGAGGCCAATCATGCATCCAAAGGTCCAATGCAAGCGCACAGACAAAGGCAATTCCTGTCCGACTCGAACAAGAGCTTTTCTCTCTGTGTTGCCCTCCTATCTCTCTCTCTGCCGTCTGTGTGGTTCCGACAATTGCATGCGCCACCACACTAACTTCCTATACTTGTAAACCTTGGAATAGACATGCAACCTTCCAATCAGCCCAATCCAGAATGATCTCGATCCCGCCTATCGTCCGGTCCACACACGTCCGTATTTCGCCTGGATAGCTCCGGCTCTGATCCCATCGGCCCGTCGATCGTGTTTCCGAGGTGTGGTTGACCAACCGGATTCCCAGAGGACAACTGCCATAATGCGTCATGACAGCATTCTAGATAAGGTAGCAGAGAAAAGAGAATAGAATGTTCTCACAAACCACAAACCACAGACCAGGGAATAGAGAGTCAAGGAAGGCAAAGAAAAGTGCTCAGGCCTGCAGACTCTCGGTCCCTCAGATGTGTAGATCCACTCCCAGCCGTTATAGTTGACGACTTGCAGATGTGGAGAATTTGGTTGCACTAGATTTTCGTCCGGTCTAGCCTCATAATAATAGACAAAACATACATGTAAAAAGATCGAGTGGCGAGAATATCCCCCCTATATCAAGTTGTATGTTCGTTGCTTTTTCTCTCTCACTTGTGGCACTTTTCTCCGCTTCTCCACGTTCTGCCCCGATTCCCCGTTTCCTTGGTTCTCCCCTTCTGTCTTCTATCTTTCTTCTCTTTCTCTCTTCTCTTCTCTTTTTCTCTTCTCTTTCCTGTGGATTATCCCACCTGATCCCAAGCCCCTATGATCTTCTTGGCTTGGTCTTGATCTACCCGCGTGACCCCCTTGGTCCTCATTACATCATACGGCCATGACTGCGCTGCTAGTCCCCCGCGAAAACCCTTCGCGTTTATCCCCGGATCCTCGCCGGTGTCCCACCGTGCAACGATATTTCCTGGGAGATCAACTTGATAGCAAGTTACCCATGCAAGATGCTTATCGGGCAAGGGATAACTCCCTCCCGTCCACTTTATCCGCACCTCCCTCTCCAACTTTCATGCCCGTTTCTCAGCCACGCGCCTACCCCAACATAAATAGTTTGCCTTTGGAAGATGAACTTGTCCTTCCCTCTTACGACGAGCCTATGCGCAATGCTCTAGAGCCCGAAGATGAGAGTGACGCCTCAACGGAATCACACCCAGCCTGGGCGGCAGCCCCTGCTGTAGATGACACTTCTATCGAGGATGAGCCCTCAAGACATGTGGACTACCTGTCGCATGACTGGAAGGAAGAAGATATCTGGTCCTCGTGGCGCTATGTGACCAGCCGGAGGAATGACTACAGTAATGGAGTACGACTGGAGAATGCCTCGTGGAGGACATGGGCCAAATCCAAGCACAATCTAAAGACCGTCTCGCCGGAGAGCCTAAACTGGTAAGTGCCGACTCATCCCTTTTGTCTGATATTTCATGTTGACTCTCCAAACAGGCTAAAAGATTGTGATGTCACCTGGCTCTATGGCCCATTGAAAAGTTCTGGCGAGCGTGCGACCCTTTCTCCTCCTCCCAGTCGCCTGGACACCCCGAACTCTTATTTAGATCGGAAACCGATCTTGAAAAAAAAGACTGCTTCGGAGGCCATCCTCCAGCGGTCCCTCTCCCAACATACGTTACTCCAGCATGCCGGAGCCATTCTAAAAGCCCAAGAAGCTGAGAATGGCTGGGCTCGTCCTCCCTTCCCGAGGTCTAATACGGATCTGGACCAGTTACATCACCGGACCGGCAGCTCAACTTTCTCCCTAGGCGGTACTCTTACGACGTCGTCATCCTCCGGCATGGCATCTCCGATTGAACGCCGCCATATCCACTTCAACAATGAAGTTGTGCAATGCATTGCGGTCGAAGCCAAGGGTTTCGACGAGTGGCCAGCAACCTTTGCCGATGAATCGTCCGATGATGGCGTGGTCATGATGAGGCAGATCTCAAACCGGTCTCCCAGCACTCGCAGCACCCCTCGCAACAGTTTCAGCGAGAGTAAGACAATCGCTCCCCTACCTTCTACCACCCTCAAGTACCGGGGTGACCCTCCAGAGCCTCGTCCCCAAACGATACTAGGTCGTTGGTCCACCCCGAATGCTTCCACATTATCACCCTCCCCCTCTGTAGAAACCCTGCGGCCAGAACCCTCGGCGAACTTCCTTTTAGACGATGATGAAGATCCCAGTTTGGACTTTACGGGTAATTACCCTGATCGCGATCGCCCTTGGTTTGTCGAGGACGATGCTACTTCAGACCGTCCATTGCGGTTGACTGCCTCGGGCATGTTCATGCCTGAAGGTGAAAATGAAACGCCCAGCTCCAGCATCTTGGATCGAGTCGTGGACACTGTGAACACGGCACGAGATATTGCCCATGTGATCTGGAACGTGGGCTGGCGACGATGAACCAGCCCGTACATAATGAAAGGGAAAAAAGGAGGCATGAAGGTGTCCAAGCTGTATAGGTTTCCCCGTGTACGGAATATAACGAAGTAATGCCATAATAAAACAGCCTGAGAATTTAATATATATCATCTACACCCTATACTTTCTACACAATACTCTGTAATATAAATAATATAAACTGTTAATCTAATTAACGTTAATAGGGCGTTCATGAAGTAGATCGTTCAACTGCCCCACAGCCCCTGATCTTTCTCCCGAATTTCATCTCCGCGTTTTTCCCCCTACCCACGGCAAAAGTTGATCTCTGACTTTTGGCATGGAGAACGTCAATGTCCCTGAATTGGTCGAGCGCCTGGGCAGCGACGAAGATGCCGTGCGCAAGATGGCCGTCTTCAAGCTCCAGGGCAACATTGGAGACCCGTCCTTTGCGGACCTCTTCATTGCAGAGGGGGGTTTGGTCCGATTACGCTACTTGACCCTCCATGCTACTGGAAATACTCTGGCTTACAGTTTGACGAGCTTCGCCAGACTTCTCGACGTGGATAAAGGGTGGGAATGTGTTGATCAGGAGTTGGTGGAACGGGTGAGCTCTCTTTGGGCACTGCAATGTTTTGCCTTGGAGTCTAGTCTCTTCTATCAGATGCTAATATGAGTCTCTTACAGATTGTCGAGCTGATTGTCACCCATCCCCTGGTCAATATTCTTCGAGGCGCCATGTCGATTCTCGTCTCCGTCGTCTCCCATCCTTACATCGGGAACCGTGCATCCCAGGTAGACCATTTTGGTTTCCGTGCCTTGAAACCCGCCATTGCCATATACCCGCAGTTCCTGGAAATGCTAGTGAGCCGACTTTCCTCCGCCGACCACGCCCTGTGCGCCAATGCGCTGCAATTGATCAACTCCCTCATGCGTGACTCGATCGCACACGACTCCGAAGCAGAGTGGCCGAAGTTTATTCAGAAGCTGCAGGATTTGGGTGTGATTAGGGCTGTTTATGTACTCATGCAGGACTCTGCTCTTCAAGACCTGGCGCATCCGTTACTCGAATTCCAGTCGTTGACCAAAGTGCTGCTGCGGAAATGGCGAGACATTCCAGTCAATCAGGAGAAGCCCGAGCATCGCCGCGCACTGAAGGGGGTTCACCTGGCCAGCAACCCGCAGAAGCACCCCGACGAGGCTACCGAGAATGGCGACGACACACGACGCTCAAAACGACACCATCCGGAGAAGTGGAGGCGTCTTGGGTTCGAGACGGAAAGTCCAGCTGTGGAGTTCTATGAGGTTGGTTTCCTAGGCATGATGGATCTGGCGGACTATGTGCGCAGCCATCAAGATGAATTTCAGAAAATGCTCTTGGAGCATTCTACAAAGCCGGCACGGCAACGGTGCCCGATCGCACGCGCATCTCTGGCTGTGACATCAATTTTATACGAGCATTTTGAGGTGAACAAGTCAGAGGTGGATGATACCAAGACATATCTTATTTCAGAATCCCGCTCGGGCTTTGATAGACTATTTCAGCCATTGCTATTACACTGGACCAGGCTACATGTCGCTGGATTACAGGCCTTTTTCCGCTTGTGGAAGGCAACTGCCGCCGAAGTTGAGGATTTGGACAAACTCATCGAGCTCGTGCGCATCCTCATCGAATCCGTGGTGGGCGGAGCTTCTCGGGCCAAGGATGTACAGGACGTGGAAGAAGAGCTGGCCGATTTCGAATATAATCGTCTGCGCGGGCTACAGATGGAACTCCTCGAACTGACGTACGAGGATGCATGGGGTCAGCACCTGCGCCAGGTGCGCGAGGAACTCCACCACGAAGCCCTTCAGTTCGTCAAGGAGCAACGGATCCGATGTCTTCTTCGAGGTGCCTGGTTCGCCATGGACTCTGGTCCCAAATCTGATGGAGCAGTGCAGAAGTCGACTGGGTCGCATCAATTTGCTCAACTCTCTCACAACCGACGTTACCTACACTTCGGGGCATTTAAATCCATGGGTGACGGGGCTCCGGAGCTGGATACTTTACCAGAGAAAAGTAAGAGCTGCCTATCCAAAATAGTGATGTATTTGATACTAACATCCCGGACAGTTGATCTCTCAATCGTGTCATCTGTTGTCTCCAACATCTCCACAGCGCCAGATCATGCTTCTTCAGCCACAGTGAAGTCTGCACCCCGTCAACCTGCAACCAAGATCACTATTCACGGTTATGCTCCATCTACTTCTAGCGGCCAGGGCAAGGGGCCTGGCCACACCCGCTCGGCCAGCAGGACAACCCAAAAAGAGGTAGTCTTGCTCACGCTGCGGCCTTCGTCACACAGCATTGCATCCGAGTGGCTGGATGGTCTATTGATGCTCCTCAACCAGCAACCCATTACGGCAGAGACCACCAAGCTGATTGATCTGGTCAGCAACTACGGGTTGAAAATCCGTCTACTTAACGTTCGCTTTGATGATGCGACCTTCGCAGGCGAGGCCCCTCAGGTACCTGCTCGAGATGGCTTGGATGAAGACTATTATTATGATGTATTTGGCGGCGCATAGCCTGAGCGGACTTTTTATATTTGGGGGGATTTGGTTTCTGGGGGATCTGGTCAATATACCCATCATGGCTGGATGTGCACATTACTGTAAATCTGCAAATAATATATCAACTACAACTCTACTAAATCCATATGAGTATACTACAGTATATAAATAAATGCTAAATACTACGCTATAAACGCTAGATGGATACATATTTATGTTGGGCTCCACGCTTGGCGTCATAAGCTTATCGCGTATTTCAACTTCTCCAGACCAACTCCGGGGTCATGGACAGTCGTCCCTCGAAAAGACGCCGATCCGACAAGGATGGAACTTCTGTATCAAGGTCTCGCTCTAGAAAATCCACAGTTGGTATCAGTGAATCAACCTCTGAACCCGTCGCCCTGTCCTCTCGTCCAAAACCCGCCGAATCGTACACATCAACCCGTGTTCCTTCGTGCTCACCCTCTCCCATTAAAAAAGCCAAGTCGTCACCGAAGCCAGATTCAAAGTCCAAGTCCTTGCATACCTTTTTCCAACCAGCGACAGAAGGACAACGGTGGGCTCCCCCGCCCGAGAAGAAACAAGCCCTCGCAACGGTCACAGAAACAGTGGATGTCGATTTAATCGAAGACGACTATGATTCCTACGATGAGATATTTACGCAGCATCTGGCTAAAGAGCGGACGGGTCCGACCACTAGCGTGAGCTCCAAGACGCGTCCTCCTGCGCCTAAACCTCCACCCAAACCGCGAAGAAAGACACAAGCGAGACGATTTATTCTACCCCCGGACGAAACGAATGGGGAAACAAAGAAACCGGCAAAGTCCCAGCCGGCTGGGGTACCTGACCGGCGACCATGGGCTCAACGATTCGCCCCAGCCAATCTAGGCGAGTTGGCTGTTCATAAGAAAAAGGTCTCCGATGTGCAACATTGGTTGGAAGACGCCTTTTCAGGGAGACGGCCTGAGGTGAGTGTCAAGCAATTGATCATGGTGATATGCTTGTGGTTACGAACTGGTTCTAACATGAGCAGAGGTTACTCGTCCTGCGCGGTCCGGCGGGCAGTGGGAAAACCACCACTATAAATCTTCTTTCCGAATCACTTGGTTATGATATTATCGAATGGAAGAATCCCCCGGTTTTGGATTTTGGATCCCCGGACTATCAATCTGTGAGCGCTCACTTTGACGAATTCCTTGGACGTGGTGATAAGTTTGGAGGACTTGACCTCGACGGTACCGACAATTTCGATGCCCAGCAAGAGAGCTCTCGGGATCATCGAATCCTGCTTGTCGAAGAGTTTCCAACGGTACTTACTCGGGGTTCCTCTCACATCACGGCTTTTCGAGCGTCTCTTCAGCGCTATTTGGCTGCCGCGGCGACTGATCATGCACTTGGCAAGGCTGGGTTGGCCCATCCGCCTATTGTTATTATTGTATCGGAAACGTTGCTGGGGTCTGCATCCTCAATCTCGGACAGCCTAACAGTTCATCGATTACTTGGGCCAGTCATCTACAATCACTCCGGGACGACTATTCTCGATTTTAATGCCATCGCGCCTACATTCATGCAAAAAGCTTTGCGATCTATCCTCGAAAGAGAATCGCACGATTCCAAACGTGTACAACTTCCCGGCCCAAGTGTCATCGACAAAATCTCCGAAATCGGAGATATTCGCAGTGCAATATCATCACTTGAATTCCTTTGTTTAAAGAGAGACGGCGCCGGTAAATGGGGTGGTAATGCAGTCAAAACGAAGAAGGCCAGAGCCGAAGTCGCTTTGACGGCGATGGAGCAAGAGTCTCTCAAGATGGTTACGCAGAGAGAGGCCAGTTTGGGTATGTTCCATGCCGTTGGAAAGATAGTATACAACAAACGGATGGATCCCAGTCTCATCGAGGATGATGGCGAGATTCTTCCGTCGCCGCCAGACTACTTGCGTCGCTACCACCGAGCCAAAGCCTCGCAGGTCTTGGTGAATGATCTGGTCGACGAAACCGGAACAGATATTCCAACCTTCATCAGCGCCCTTCATGAGAACTACCCACCGTCTTGTAATGGGGACGATTTTACGGATTCTTTTAACAACTGCATCGAGGCACTATCCGACAGTGATATCCTGAGCGCTGACCGCCGACTAGGAGGCGCGCGGGCAGGAGTCGGGACCGGAGCTACTGCGCTCAGTAGCGGTGTCGATGTACTACGACAGGAGGAAATGAGCTTCCAGGTTGCGGCGCGAGGCCTTCTTTTTGCGCTCCCATACCCAGTGAAGAGGAAAGTCGGGCCCGGGGGTGCCCGAAGCCGCGCGGGTGATGCCCACAAGATGTTTTACCCAGCATCTCTCCGTCTATGGAGAGAGACTGAAGAAATCGACGGACTGATTGATTCTTGGACAAATCGATTACTCGACCCCTTCAGCGAGTCTTTGACGGATTCAAGCTCTGATCTAACGGGTGTCAAATCCTGGAAAACCCTCCAGATAGGAAAGTCGGTGGCAATCAGTTCAAGTGGTAAAGAAAAGCTCCCAAGTGTGATCACAATGATGCCTCGCCATGATCTTCTACTGCATCAGTTGCCCTACATGGCCATCATCCGGCGCCATGACCCGGACAGTTGGCAATTGGACAAGATCACCAGCATCCGGGCCAATGATAGCCTTCGCGAAGATGTCATGGATGATGTAGAGGAACCTTCTCGGCAATGGCGGTTGAAGCAGCCCAGTAGCAATGCTTTTGGACCTCGGCTTCCCCAGGAAGAAGAGAAGCTGTTCCTCAGTGACGATGACATTGTGGATTAGGAGCTTGTGTATAGTTCAATCGCAAATATCAAGACATGTCTACGTAGGTATTTGAGTATGTAGTGTGTAGTGTGTAGTTGTATGTGTGGCCATTTGAAGTGCCGGGCGGTACGCGCCGATCTTACTCCCAAGATCCACTGTCTGTTGTCAACTTCCTCCTGTACATATAGCACATTCAGTCCAGGTTCAAACACTCGTACTATTTCAAAGATATCGGGCTGACAGTCAAACAGGTAGAATGCTCAATGACAATGACTCTCCTTTGAGACGAGGGCACAATGACTCCTACCTGATAACTCGCTCCCGTGCTGGCTCTGTCAACACACCGAATACCACCATTGTCTCGCCAAGCGCGTCTCAGTCTCGAAAGCCCGAAGGCAAGTCGGATTATGGCCAATTGAAGAGAGCTGTGCCCGGCCTAGTGGCTGCGGCTGCCCATGCGGCAATCCCCAGTTGGACAACCATGATCTTAATGATCTCTCTCATCTTTGGTGGCTGTTGTGCAAATGTGAGTCTCTCCGGCTTGTGGGTTGGTTAAGGCTGATGGGTGGCTAGGTCTTTGCACTGGAGGCAATTATCAAGTAAGTCAACGAGTCAACGAGTGAAGCCACTTGAGGCGTGCCAGCACTATACTGACGTTTGTCTTACAGAGAACAACCTACTGCCGGTAAGCAATGAGTTCGTCAAGGTTACAAAATGCTTCATCTGACTCGATTCCCTCCGCGCAGGTCCTTTGATCACCTTCGCCCAGTTCGTGATTTGCGCACTATTTACCCTTCCAAGCTTCCTTTCCTTCTCCGCCGGACCACAATCACTATTCATTAGTCCTCGCGCGATCCCCTTGAAGTCGTGGGTGGTATATACAGCCTATTTTGTGACGGTAAACCTCTTGAACAACTGGGCATTCGCATATAAGATCTCTGTGCCGCTGCATATCATCCTGCGGTCTGCTGGCCCTGTAGCTTCCATGGTGACTGGTTATATCTATAATGGAAAACGCTATTCCCGAGGTCAGATCGCTGCGGTGGCCATGCTGAGCGTGGGCGTGGCAGCCGCAGCATTGGCCGATGCCCAGGCCAAAGGGAGGTCAATCACAGTCGAGTCGCCTGATACCGACGTCGACATGATGACTACTGTGACAGGGTTCACCATCCTCGCTCTGGCAATGATTTTGTCCGCCTTCCAGGGAATGTACGCGGACCGCCTATATACCACTTACGGCAGGGATCATTGGAAGGAGGCTCTCTTCTACTCGCACACGCTCTCGCTACCTATATTCTTCACAAGCTACGCGCAGCTGTTGTCTCAGTGGCGGGTGGTAGCTTCGTCACCATCTTTGCTGTCTCATCTCAACCGTGATATCTTGTTAGATCCGTCTGTGTCGAGTTTAACGAAGAGTACTGCGTTCTCGGTGCTGGATCAAATCCAACACCACCCGTCCGTCCAGTCTATACTTGCACAACTTCCCGTGCAAGTGGCGTATTTGATTATGAATGCCCTGACGCAATACCTGTGTATTCGTGGTGTTCACCTTTTGTCCGCCAAGTCGTCATCATTGACAGTCACCATCTTTTTGAATATTCGCAAGCTGGTGTCGCTGCTCTTGTCAATCTATCTGTTTGGAAACCATCTTGCTGGTGGTGTCTTGGCTGGAGCAGCCCTGGTGTTTGTTGGCGGTGGTCTGTATGGCTTCGAGGGTGCCCGTCTACGGAGTACGACCAAGAAAAATCAATGATATATGGAGCTCTAGATATGTATCAACCTTCAGTGCCTAGACAAGATATATATATATATATGGCATCTTGTATCACATACAAGGAAATTGCAGTTTCCGCACGATCTTCACAAATTGGCTCACAGCTACGGGATAACAGACATTCTGATCGTAACGGTTGGTCGAACTTCGAAAAAAGGTGAAGATATATCGATATCATGTGCAGGTCGCAATAATTGTACATAAATTGAGTTAAGAGCAACACAAGTCTTCCACGCCATACGGCGGGTAACGCATCAAGCATGGCGCATAATAGGATCTCCGGCGGGTTCCTCGAGCTTAGAGCAATAAAAAAAAGAACCCATCTATAACACCTCACCAACGATCTTTGCGGCTTCTTTGTATGTCTCCAAGAGCCGCTCACACTTCTCTCGCTCGGCCTTGATACCATCGTCTTCATAAAGCAGCTCGCTGAAAAGATCTTCTTTATAAAGTTCGCTCACAAGTCTATTCTGCACCACATCCTTGCAGTGGTTCACCAGGAGATGCATGACAGCCTTGGGAACCTGGTCGGCAATGCTCTCGCGCACGATATTGAAGTAGGATGAAATGAGCCGACGGATAAGCTCAGTTTCGAGCATCTCACGGTCGGTAAGTGCAGGCTCAGTGTTCTCATTGGGCTGCAAAGGAGAGATAAAATGTAAGTGAATGGGCACATGGAAAGAGTAACAGGGCTTATATTAACACTCACGAAAGCAGACACATCGCCACAATACTCGGGTGGTGCTGTGTAATCCTCGGTGGGCATAACGGGGGACCGTATTTCAGCACGGCGGATACTCTGGCTGATACTGGGTTCACTGGCATGGATTGCTTGCCGGTTGGAGTTCATTCCAGACGGCGGGGCCATGGCCGTGTTGTGAGTACCCTCCTTGCCGAAGAAATAGTTCAGGAATGAATCGCGGGCGGTACTCGAGCCGCCAAATGCGGCATGATTCGAATGAGCTCCATTCAGGGTTGCAGCGATGCCATGATCGCCGTTGCGGCCGATGTGAGGGGACATGCTCCGTGAGCCCTTTGTGGACTGACTTCGGATGGGGAGGTTTTGTTTGGAATCGGCATGCTCCTCTTCATCGGGGTTGGCCGTGCCGTTGGCAGCCCCCAATTCCTTTTGACGTCGTTTGTCGCGCTTCCTTTTTTCCTCCGCCATCAAGGCTTTGCGTTCTTCATCCTGTTTGTTCTGCATGATTGAAGACATAGCAGCCGCAGCACCGAGGAAGTTCGGGTGGTTGGTGTTGATGTAGGCCCTTTGGATTGAGATCAAAGATTCCACGTAGTTCGAGCAAGGTCCCAGACGCTCACGGAGCAGGTCAGACACGACCTCGATCAACTTCCCCTGAAGGCGAGGGAATCGTAGAAGTTCCTGGTTACCACAAGTGTGGCAAATCTTGATGAGCTCCTCATAGACCAGCTCAACACAGCGCTGACTGGGAGATTCAAGAAGCTTGATTTGGGGCTTGACCAGCAGATCAAAGGCCAATTCTGGGACAAACAAGCTGGGACGAGGGCCAGTCGAGTTGCGGATGGCGGTTCTGATATCGGAAACGGTCAGGTTATGGGTAGGATCAATGGTTTCTAAGGAGTTTCCAAAGACCGAGTTGAAAATGTAGTAGATCCTTGCTCCACCACAAAGCTCCTTCGTGGAAATCTCCGAGGAAGTTCCGTCGATGGAGGAAATGAATGAGGCAGCGAATCTAGTCATCTGCTGGAGAATCAGTGAGCCACGGTGCTCCTCGCCGCTGAATTGCTTGTTTCCATAGCTGGCTAACTCCTGCTGTGTCTGGCCCATCAAAGTATTGAGGCGAGCCTTGATGTCTGGCAACCGGTCTCGAATGTGCGACATCAGGGTTGTGTTCAAAGTTTTGGCCAAGAAGTGTGTTCCGCACCGGTTAGCCATGTTGCGATATGCTGGGTGATGCCGGAAGAACTCTGATTCCGCCCGCAAGGCGTCGGAAAGTGATTTACCAGACTGGATATCCTGCTGGGATCGATTCACCACACCAATAAAGCCAAGCTTCAAGGGATAGACACGACCGGACAGGATGTCCATCGCGTTAGTTCCATGGTCCATGAGGTCCAGCTTTGACAGAACACCAATCGTCCTTCGGCCCATTGCATCCACCTGGCGAGCGAGTTTCAGCGCTTCGGAATTAACCAGGTCCACATTGGCTGGTGAGACCGCAAGAATTATACTGTTGGGCTTGGCGATATACTCCAGAATCAAGGTTCGCGTCTGTTTTTCGATATCGGAGGGTTGGTCACCAATTGGTACCTTGGTCAATCCGGGAAGATCGACCAGGGTCAGGTTGAGCACATGAGGAGAGAAGATCTTGAGGTTGATTGGTTGTCTGTTGATGCCCTTGTTGCTTCCTGCAATTCTCGCCGTTTCGGCCTCGATCTCTTGCTTCACTTGCGCAAAGTCATCAAACTTGCGTCCGGGAAGATGGTGGAACTCGGCCCATTCGTGTTGGCCGGCAACACTTGCAGCCGTGTGCGGGATGTGAATCTCATCATGTTCTGGCTTATCGTCGCGCTCACTGGGCACGTTGATAAGCTGCAGAATCAGAGGCCGACGGGTGACAATGCCGCTGCCTCTTGGCAGAAAGTCCCGTCCGACAATGTTCTCGAGGACAGAGGATTTTCCAGAGGATTGGGAGCCAACAACAACCTAGTAAGGAGGTCCGGATTAGCCTAACCGGCATCCACGATGAGATTCGTCCCCAAGACTGCAAGGGCTCTACCCAAAATAACTCACAATTTGGGGCAAGTCGAGGGAATCATTTCCAATGGTGTTGAAGACCAGATCCTGGAGCTTGTTCACCGTCACAAGTAGATCCTCGCCCAGCGATGCCATGATGTTTGGGGGTGAACCGAAGCGGACTCCTGAAATGAAGATGGCACACACACACGGGTTTCCGGGGAAGGATACGGGGCCTAAGACAAAAGGAAGGGAAGAGACGCGCAAAGCCGAGTCGCGTGCAGAGTCACCGGATCCCTATGCACTTGGTTACGCTGTTTATGGGCACTTTTCTGTGCACGTGATGCTGACCTAATGGCTTAGATCAGCTCCATGACGTCGATGATCGCAATCTTATCACACAGCTAACTATACGCAGTCCTGTACGGAGTATGCACCAGTTGGGATTTCTTATTTACTTTCTATGTTAGGCGTAATTGCTATTGAACTATACAAAGTGGAAATGCTGAGTGTCTAAAGACTTGTTTGTATCTTCAATGCGAAAGTTGATTTGGAATCTGCTATGAAGCTATCTATACTAGACAGATCAAGAATACACAGTCTCAAGTCGACGAATGGAGTTCCATGGGTTGCTCTTACTCAGGATATGAAAATGAAATCCCGAAGCCAGTCACTGGTCCAACTCGACATAGTTGGCTGGGAAGAGTCCTCGTGCGCCATTGTATTCACCGAGCCACCAGTCATCATCGGGGAATTCCTGAGGCCTGGTTAGCATTGTATAGAGCCGGACCGAGAAAATCTGTTTAACTTACCACATTGGTGATTTTCACGCCTTCGGGAAAGCCAATCTCGTTGTCTTCAGCGGCTTCATAGTCGAACAAAGCGGTAGCAGTAGGCCCCTTGGAGCTCACATCAGCCGCTGGCGCAGGGGCAGCGGCGGGTGTGGGAGGAGCAGGGACGGCAGCAGCATGCTCCGGCTCTGGCTCGTACTCATGAGCAGCAGGCGCATGAGTTTCATGTTTGCCGTCCTCCACAATCTCCACATAATTGCCCGGGAAGAGACCACGCTCGCCCTGAGCATTGACACCCACCCACCAGTCTTCGTCCACCATTTCAATGTCGGTTACAAACTCGCCCTCACGCAACTCAATCTCATTGTCTTCTGCCTTTTCATAGTCAAATTGGACTTGGGCGCGCAGTCCGCCCTGAGGTTGCTCTGGTGCAGTAGCTTCGGCCGCAGCACGGCCAAGGTCGTGCGAATCTTCCTCAAGGTCCCGTTCGTCTGGAACAGCCTCTTGGAGGCTCTGAACGGGAAGAGCTGGGGGTGGAGAGTGCTGCTCCTCGTGGGCGTCGGCAACACCTTGACCCACCGGCATAGCAATCCGGATGGGGGAGCTCTCGCGGACTGGTGGGGTGGGAGGAGTTGGGGAGCGAGGTTGCTGCGGGGGCGCGGGGAGAACTTGCTGAGCGTCATGCTCGGGCTCAGGCTCAGGTCCAGAGGATAGGCCAGGTACAGGAACGGGGCGACTGGCCTGCGGGACCGGAGGAGCGGGTGGTGCGGGCGTATCATGGGCAAATTGACCGCGGATATCACTGATGCTAGGCTGGGATTCCTCCGCTTGATCAATGGCCCTTGCGTCAACGGGTGGCTCGGGGAGTTGGGATTTCTCGTGGGTGGTTTGAACAGGGGCCCATGACTTGCCAGCGTAGGAGCTTTTCCACTCGTTTTGACCACTGGCCTGATTCTGAATCGGAGTAGGCTCAGCGCTCCGAGATGGCGGAGTCTCTCCACGCTCCTTGGCCTTACGTTCGGCCCAGATCTGAGCAGGTGTCTTTCCTCCTTCATCGGCAAATGTTCGGCTTGCAACACCAATTGGGGCGCTCGCGCTCGGCTTAGTATCAAGGCCAGTCGGGAGGGGCGGCTTAGTCCCAGGGAAGGAAGGACCACTGCCAAACTTATTGGCAACCTTGGGCTTGGGTAGGGTTGTCAACCGTTCTGAAGCGTTGGACGGGGCAGGTCGCTCGGGCAGCGTTGTGGGGAGCTCATTGACAGCGGGGCTCGTTGAAACACTGTCACCTGTTGGCTTCTGTGCCTTGGATCGGATAGCAGCAATGTCCACTTTGCCGACCGGCTCATAAGACCCCTTGACAGGTGCCGGGCGCTCATCTTTGAGCTGGCCAGATTCGGCAGCCTGTCTCCGAATGGCAGCAATATCAACTTTGCCTATTGGCTGGTATCCACCCTTGACAACGCCAGCGTCGTCTGAGGTCGTGGCAGGAGCTTGGCGAGTCGCTGTGGGGTTTGCCTTGAGCTCTTGCAGGTTCACTCTGGTTGGCTGATAGGCAGACTGAACCTTTTCCAATTGAGTCCGGGTCACTGGAGGGGCATCTGCACCCCATCCATCATCGTCCACCGGTGCTCTTGTAGAGGCCGGCTGTGGGCGAGCGGGGTTGGGGGCGATTCCTCCAGATCTCGTCGGTGTGAAAGCAGGCTTGCTGGCCACAGGAGGTCGGGGGGCGGCGTTGGGGATAGAAGACTCCCCTGCGGAATACTTGGAGCCGGAGGAGTCTGCCACCCGCTGGACAATTCCCTCGGGGGTTAGGTCCCCATCTGCCCGGGCAGTAACCTGAACATGATATCCCTACCAACCAAATTAGTTTCGCATGAAGTACGTCATGAAAAAGGAACTCCTCACATGAAGGAACTTGGAAACCGCAGCCAGGTGGCTAGTGAAGTAACCCTTGGTTCGTTCAGGAACACCTTCTCCACACCATGCAACCAAGACGTTCTTAGGGAGACCTGTATTTGGGTCTGTCACTTTCACATATGCGAACTGTACCCTTCCTTCGGAGAATTCCTCGATGAGATCGGCCAATTCACCCTCTGCCAGCATTAGATGTCAATGGGAGTGGCATACGATTGATGATGTGTTGCGAGATCACTGACCTCCGGAGCTCTGAACCTTGAGCACACTCTCCTTGCCTGCATCCTGCTGAAAGGCACTGACCAGTGGAGTAGAAACCGAAAAGACAGCCCATTGGCCGTAGGTTGGCGAACCTGCTGTAGACGGAGGAGGTGCATTCACCACCGTCTGGTAGCTCTTGGATATCGAGGGACCGTTGGACGAGAGGTTGAGAGAAGCCATGACTGGGGGGGAGACAAGATTGTGGACCACGTGGGAGAAGATCCTTCACTCGGTGTCAGTGAAGTGAAGGGGAAGGATAGGAGAGAGAGAGGAGAGGAAGTTGACGTAGGTGGGGCCCATAACACTGACCGGATATTTGCGGGGAGAAGATAGAGTAGAGTAGAGGGTAAATAGTCAAGGAGAGAGTAAAGAGAAGAGAATAAAGAGTCAGGAGTAGAGAGTAACTAATAGTTGTATGAGACAAATAGTAAAAGAAGATTAATGTGGTCGCCTAAGGGAGTATACGGTTTAGCCTGTCGAGACTAAGTACTACACATTATAATATTATATCCTATAGTATATCTTATATTATACCCAATATTATCTCTTATATTCTATACTATACTGTGCTATACTGTACTATATTATACTATAATACATACCTAGGTAATATCACCTGTCACATATTCAATTTCTCCGATTTACTCACCGAAAGGTGGGGAGGGGAGCTCCCTAGAAAACTTTTGGATCTTTTTGACCGTTGCATCTTGGCCATATATGTCTCTGTGCCCAACTGATACAGTCATGGGATCTTCTGATTTCAGTTCCGGTCGGAATGTCAACATGTCCGCCACTTCCTCAAATAATGTATCGGCTGCTTCGTCCCCAGGTCTTAAAGGCCCTGTGGATTCTCCGCTAGATCAGCCTACTGAGGAAATCCTGCCTAGAGATCGTCAGCAAAAGACTGCTACCTACGACTATGCCTATGAGAAGTCCATGAGCCATGCTGAGGCTAAACTATTCTACCAGCATCACCAGCTAGCCTCACGCGGTGACAACCCCTTGCCCCCGAGCCCGGTCACTACAGCCCGGTCAACGGCCGATTCGCATCCCCAAGAACCACCAATCCACCAGCTGGACTCGATGCAGAGTCAGATCTCCCAGGAGGGTTCAATGGTCCTTGATTCGGATCCAACGACACTACACCTGCAGTCCCCTAGGGACCATGATTCATCGGCGCACGACCTTGAGGACCAGGATATCGCCAATCATTCCGCCCGAAACCAGGCCGCGCATTTGGGTGCTGCTCATGGCCAGGACGCATACCTTTCAGCAGCGGAGAGTCTGCATAGCGCCAACGTGGGCATTGGGGCACCGCAGGTGCCCAGCGGGTTTGCGCCGGGCAATGATGCCGTGACTTCGGAGCTGAATGCCATTTATCGCAAAATCAAGAAGCTTCTTGATCGTCGGGCCCAGTACATGGAGCTTTCGTTGCAGGGTCCCGGGATGGACCCGAGGGATCAACCAGACTGGGAGATCTACCCGCCACCCCCAGAGCCAGCATGGGATGACGGTAAAGAATATCAACCCGGTAATGTAGGTGGACCCTCCGATGTCACGGGCAAAAAGAGGAAAATGGGTCAGGACATTGGAGAGGATTTCGACATGGAGGAAGTAATGCCTCTTCCCGAGGAATCATCGTGGACGTATAGACTGGATGGGAACAGCGTGTACCAGGTCTTTGAATCTGAAACCGCCGCTGACGAGCAGAAGCCTATCGTCCAGATACCCTCGTTGCGCGATTTCTATATGGATCTCGATGCCATTGTGGACGTGTCGACAGATGGGCCTGCTAAGAGCTTTGCCTTTAAGCGGCTTTCATACTTGGAAGGCAAATTCCATCTTTACACGCTGCTCAACGAATACCAGGAGATCGCGGACAGCAAGAAGGTCCCTCACAGGGACTTTTACAACGTGCGTAAGGTGGATACTCACGTCCATCATTCTGCTTGCATGAATCAGAAGCATCTTCTCCGTTTCATCAAGAGCAAGATGAGAAAGTCTCCAGACGAAGTTGTTCTCTTCCGAGATGGAAAGCATCTGACCTTGAGGGAGGTCTTTGAAAGTATCAACTTAACTGCTTATGACCTCAGCATTGATACATTGGACATGCATGTTAGTCTCTCTTCCCGTTCTACTGCTTGTCTGTTTCGTTTTCACTACTATCACTCTCATACCGCCTGGTGATCCTCGCTGACTGACCTTGTAGGCACACACTGACTCTTTCCATCGATTCGACAAATTCAATTTGAAATATAATCCGGTGGGCGAATCGCGTTTACGTGAAATCTTCCTCAAGACCGACAACTACATTAAGGGCCGCTATCTGGCAGAAATTACCAAGGAGGTGATCTCAGATTTGGAATCTAGCAAATATCAGATGGTGGAATGGCGGATCTCGATCTACGGTCGATCCATTCAGGAATGGGACAAGCTTGCAGCCTGGGTGGTGGACAACAAGTTGTTCTCACCCAATGTCCGTTGGCTTATCCAAGTGCCTCGTCTGTATGATGTGTACAAGTCTAGTGGCATGATGGAGAACTATGAGCAGGTGATCACCAACGTCTTCCAGCCCTTGTTCGAAGTGACCAAGGACCCCTCAAGTCATCCAAAGCTTCATATCTTCCTCCAGCGCGTGGTAGGATTTGACAGTGTAGATGACGAGAGCAAGGCCGAGCGCCGGCTCTACAGGAAGTATCCTATTCCTCGAGAATGGAATACCAAGCAGAATCCGCCCTACACTTATTGGCTCTATTTCATGTTCGCCAACATCGCCTCCCTCAACAATTGGCGCAAGCGTCGTGGATTCAACACCTTTGTCCTTCGACCGCATTGCGGTGAGGCGGGCGACCCAGACCATTTGGCTGTCGGCTTCCTCTGCTGCCATAGTATCAGTCACGGTATTTTGCTCCGCAAAGTACCACTTCTGCAATATCTCTACTATCTGGATCAAATTGGTATTGCCATGTCGCCGCTCAGTAACAACGCGCTGTTCCTCACATACGACAAGAATCCATGCGCTAGCTTCTTCAAACGAGGACTCAATGTGTCATTGTCCACCGATGATCCTTTGCAGTTTGCCTTCACGAAGGAACCCTTGATTGAGGAATATTCGGTCGCAGCACAGATCTACAAATTTAGCGCAGTTGACATGTGCGAACTCGCTAAACATTCAGTTCTCCAAAGTGGATTTGAGCTTTCACTGAAGGCGAGATGGCTTGGTTCAAACTGCTCATTGCCAGGAGTTGCTGGTAATAATGTTGCAAAGAGTAATGTCCCAGACATTCGTGAGGCGTTCCGACATGAGACTCTGCTTGGAGAATTGTCTTTGTGAGTATTGCCTAAAGATGCTAGGGGCATCTAGGATTGGTGCTAACTGTCATCTCTTCAGGATTGAAAGTCACTCCGAAAGCACTGTATCCCTGGAACAGAAGGGTTTGGCTCTAGGCTTTATTCCAAATCAGCCCATGAACAAATCAGGAGGTACCATGTCTGCGAACAACGGTATGTTCTGTGATGTTCATGATATCAGAAAATAGTCAAGCTAACGGTGACTGCGTATCTAGCTCCTGCACCCAAACCACGTTCCGAATCCCGTTCTAGTGTGGCTGGCACTGATATTTCACAGAGTGAGCTTCCAATTCAAATGGCAACCTCCCCTTCATCGACCCATTTGGCCCGATCTCCTAGCAGCGCTGCTCTTGGGAGTGTTGGTGGAGCAGATGGTTTACCTGAGCAGAAGATATTCCCAGGCATCGTTCACGAGAGGGCTCGCAAAGGAAACATGCACTAATAGATAGGTTTTTTCGGCCTTATTCTCGGACTACATAGAGTCGTTTTGGGTTCTCTGTAATATCAATAGTGTCCAACAGGAGAAAGAGTATTTTCAAAACTGCCAGGACCTCGGCTAAAACAAGTTCGATATGCAACCATTTCCAATGCACGCTCTAAGTAGGATACAAATTAATTTAAATCATCAAATGGCCCAACTGCCTTTCCTTTCCGGCAGTCCCCAGCCTTCCAGGTTGGTTTCATCTTCCACCATGCCAGGCTCTTGCCTGGCCCATTCCTGAATATACAAGCGCAATGCTTTCCATCGTGTGCACGCGCCGCTTATATCGTTATTATCAGGGGCAACATACCCCCGGGCATCAGCGTGCAAGTCATCCTGACGGAGCTCTTCAACTGTGATGCCTGAGATTCGGCTGAGTTCGTAGTCATAATAACGGGCAAGACAAGGATACCCCAACGAGAGGTAGTTATAAATTTGGGTGACAAATCCATCATGGAATTCTGCGTCAATGGCTTTCTGGATGTTGGGACTGGCAGGCTTCCGACCAGAATTCCCAGGCGAGGCCGTCAGACGATCCAGGTGAATGTGCGAAGGAGATGGACTGAGGCCTACGCCGACACCAGCTTCATCAATCTGAGCCATGGGGGTTACAATCCCTGGAAAGAGACCCGGAACCTCCTGCCCTTGCTTCTCGTCCTTGCAACAAGTCCCCATCCACAAACCAGCGCCTTTTGCGCCCTGTCGATCAGGGGCCGCGCACCACAGCCCCTCACAGTTGTTACAGAGGTCCCGGCCGCCACTCAATGCAGTATCGATGTGAGAATGCTCACAGATGGTCCCCTCTGGTGACAAGCTTTGTGGTAGAACAATGTCATGGCCAAGCATCGGTGGACTAGAGCCGTTTTTCTTCTGGTTCTGAGATGACTCTCGTTTTCTGGATGTCATCATTGCCCGAAGCCTCATTTCAGCCTCCTCTTTATGGTGTCGCATGTATTCAAGTTCCCAGGACAGATCCTCTGAGGACTGTCGACGAGACTTGATATGATGATGCTCCATGAGAGAAGTCGGACCCTCCTCTTCTGAGTCTCCGTCGTCTTTATCTATAGCGAAATGATCAACGGGCTCATACACCTGCTCGTTAGGAAAGGCAGCTAGTGCTTGTTCCCTCAACTGCTTCTGTGCGGAGCGGGCGGCGAGTGAAAGCAAGAACTCTGAGAATTCCTCGCTACAACTTTCACGGGGTAACTTGCTAGAGTGTAAATCTCTAGCCATTTTATTCGATGGCCCAAGGGGTGATGTGCATGCCGAGTGAGATCTGGAGTTATCAGACTCTTCGCTGCTGTTGGATGGAATCGATGGAAGGGCTGGAACTCGAAATGAGTGTGTGCGACCCTCTTGTCGGCGCAGCAGACTGGAATACGAGAACCGAGACTCGGGTGGTGAATAGGTAACGGCACGGTGGTCGGTATCTGACCAAGATGTCGTGCCCGGGCTGGTGCTCGCGTGGGCGAATGGACCCGATGTGTTGTGCCGTTGAAGAAACTGACTGTTTTCTCTTTTTCGGACTGAGCGTGTGTCGGTCTCTATGAGTTCGGGTTTAAACCTTCTTGGGGCCATGGTCTTATGTTGTGACGGGAAGTTCTCCCCAGTAATTTCGGAAGCTGTATGAGATCTTCTATTGCTTGATTTGATGGTTTCGGTTGGCTCAGGAGCAAATCTTCTTGGCCGATGGTCATTACAGCCGTGCAAAGGTGCTTCACCTGACGAAGTAGCATGAGGTTCTATTCCCCTGGAAGCAGGCTGTTGGTTCTTAGAGCTTCGCGATAAGGTTTCGATTGGTTGGGCCAAGAACCTCCGAGGAGGCTTGGACGTCTCACTCTGAGTTGCGTATCCAGGTAGCTGCTGAGGTTCATTCAAAGAGGTCGGATGATCCGTATGGGAGGGGTATTGAGGTGATATAAGGTCTATAGATCTGCACTCTGATCCATTTTCTGGTGTGTCCACACCAGCTTTGCGGGCGTCTGGGTGGCCCATTGTCTGATATTTGTGACCCAGCACGACTCTCTACCATGCTTTGATATTAACGCATTAATAGAGAACGCACATCGTTTGGGAGAAAAAGTTACCGCACTGAAGATAACAACAGTGGGTCAAAAAAGCGGTGTCGGAGAGGGAAGAAGAAGCGGTGACGATAATCCCAATATAGTCTAAGGGAGATCGAGGGGAGTCAAAGGAGAATCGAATGGGGAAAGGTAGAGAACTGGTGAAGACCAATGAATGCGAAGATGAAGGTGAATGTGAAAGCGTGTTGGGGGAGATCTAAGGGCGGTGGGGGTTGATGACATCAAACCCGATAAGATATCGAACTTCCTCCTCTTCTTCATCATGGCCGACAAGCGCAAATTCGACGACGATCACTCTGTGTCTAAAAGGAGAGTCATTGGGCCTTCACTTCCGACCAGTACCAGTGACAGTGATAGTGACAGCGACGATGATTTTGGTCCAACTTTACCTCCTCCTTCTGGCGCAACACCTATCCCAGTACCTGAGGCTCCCAAGGTAGTCGAGGCAAAAGAAAGTCAGCGCGATCAATGGATGCTACAGCCTCCTGCCCAATCCGACTGGGCTACCAAAATTGATCCCACACAACTACGGAATCGCAAATTCAATTCAGGCAAGTCAGCCACGGCGCCAAAGAAGATGGATGCTTCGTGGGTGGAGACCCCGGAGGAGCGAATGAAGCGGTTACAGGATGCAGTCATGGGCGTCGGTGCCTCAGGTCAGAATGAAAAGCAGACCGCTGCCTCAGATACAAAATTGATGGAAGACAAAATCAAGAAGTACAGGGTGAGCTTGGCCTCTTTCAATCATAGACTTCTCTCTAATCCTTTTCACTTAGGAAATGACTGGCAAAGGTAGTCGCCTAGAAAGCTCCGAGGATCAAAAGGAAGAAGACGATGATCCAAGTGCTCGGGCTTTTGACCGAGAGAAGGACATGGCAATATCTTCTAGGATATCGAATGCGCAGCGCCGGGAAATGGTGAAGAAGGCTGGAGATTACACATCACGGTTCTCTAAAGGTAATTTTCTATAGATTGAAGCGAATAAAGAATCCCAACTGAACACCTTGTCATCCACGGCGGTAACATTCAACTTGACATTGCCACCATCACTCGTGAGGACTTGGTTGATTCTGCTCATGCAGAGCAGTGGAAGCCTCTATTCCTAAAGCATTACAATATCCCCTATGATCACTGCCACAATCTCAATGACTTTGTGGATGTGCCTCCGTCAATTGTAATGTTTTTCAACACACGGGCAAATATTTCGATCCCGGTCTATTCATGGCGAAAAGCCAGAGAGTGCGATCGGCAGCAAATCCTCGCCCTCTACGACAAGTTTATTAAGGATTTCAAACAAAATCCAAATTCGAGAATACCTGTGGCAACTCATACGCAGATTGAAAGTCTCAGTGCGTCTGTACGCCGATAGAGAAAAAATTAAGCTTACCACCGGAAGCAGGATCTCCTTTACTGTATTTTTTTATACCCTAGTCCTTAGAGTTGCTCCCGCCCTTTTCTTTTTATTATTTACCACTTGAAGAAGGTTCCCTTTACTATATCTACTATCCCTAGCGCCTTGATCTTACCCTATCTCTAGGCTATACCCTATTAAATTTAGAGAGATTCTAGCTATTAGTAAAAGAGACGAGGATAGGTTGTATTAAGCTCTATTAGCCCTGCTAAGCTTATATTACTAATAAAATAGGCGCGAATAAGCGATAAAACCTCTATTTAGCTTCGTTCTGGTGGATAAGGCAGGGCTCGTTCTTAATGTATAGGAGTAAGTATAAATACCTAGGTCTAGGGATACGAGATAGGATACGAGATTAAATAGGATAACTATACTATCATACGAGATGCTTTTTACTATTTAGTATATAATAGAAAATTAGAAGCGTAGATAGTATACTATATCTAGAAAAGTGATAGGACGGTTAATATTATTCTACATACTCTTTTATTAATGCCTTTGGATTACGTATAATATCTATTTTAACGTAGTTCACCAGTGAGCTGCGCACCACTAGTGAGCTGCGCAGTCCAGAACCACATAGTAAATGCGGTAAATTACAACTTAATATCTCAACAACCCTAGTCTACAGGAATCTTTCCTTGAGCCTAAATACTCTCTATGTAGTGTCTAGCAATTTACCTAAGCTTAAGGAGTTTCTCTGTCATAATTATCAAAATATATTAATATCGAGCTTTTGCGTTCGTAATTTTCGGTAAATTTGGAAATGATAATCACCTAGCCTTTCGATGTCCTTGAAATTGATATACAGTACTAATAAGTCTTATCGATTGTTATCGGTAGGTAACTAGATAGAACAAGTGTGCGGTTGTTAAGATATAAATGTAACATATATCGCATTTACTAATATGTTCCGGACTGCGCAGCTCACTAGTGGTGCGCAGCTCACTGGTGAATTACGTTAGTTTTCTACATTTATTAATAATCGATTATACCTAAAACTCCAATTATGCCTCTTATTCTGATATAGCCCGTAACTAAGTCTATGCTAGATAACGTATTTCCTAAGCGAGCTGGCCACCTAAACGAGCTGGCCACCCCAAAACACCATAGTAAATACGAGATATTCTACACTGATATCTCAACAACCACGTTTTTATTTTATTTTATTATTTGCCGATAGATGTTGATAAGGCTTTTAAGCACTATATATTAATTTTAACGAAATCTGAAACCTACATTGTTACGGTATCAAAAACTACGTTGGCTAGGAGCCAAAAATATAAATATTTGATTATATCTCAATTATTAAATTATAGAAATTCTTTAAACTCCCGTTAGAGACTAAATACCACCTAAAGAGCGTTATATTTCAAGGGAAAGTCCCTATAAACTACCGTTGTTGCGATACTATGTTGTAATTTATCGCGTTTACTATGGTGTTTTGGGGTGGCCAGCTCGCTTGGGAAATACGTTATAGGTAAGGGAGATAGAATCCTGCCTATACTAAAGCGTATATGATATATAATAGTATTATAGAAGACTAATATTTAGTCTTCTTATAGACTACTAATATATATAATTGGCCTAGTTACCAAGAGTCTAGGAGTTTAGCGAGGATAGTGATACTATAGCTAGTATATAATTTAGACCGGTTCCTATTATATCTTATACGTATATTAAAGGTTATAATATGTTCTAAATATTAGTCTATAGGTACAATAACTTAAATTAACTACCAAAAATGCATATTCCAGTGGCTTAATAGATTATTAGGTATACTAATAATATTATAAAAAGATTTAGTAAAGGTTAGGATAAACATATCGTTATATTTAGTATATAGATTAATCATTAAATATTCCTTACCCAATTACATAAGTAATAGTATTCTTTTAATACAATATATGTAACCTTATATATACCTCTACAACTGTATATATAATATTTATCCCGATGTTGCCTACACACTATATCCCCCTAATATTATTATGTACAGAAATTATATTTTAAGACTTTCTATATCGAGTAATAAGGTTAAAGTCTAGATTTCTCTTGTACTTCGTTTTCACGTGGTGGCCCTACCCTATACCATACTAGAACCGTAGATTATATTTTATACCTTAATTAGAAGTCGCTCTATTTTAAATATACTAGTAATATTTATTAAATGTTTGCTAAACGCATAGATTGTATCGTAACTACTTTATAATAAAAAACCATAAGTACTAATATATAAGGATTATGATATAACCATCGAGGAAAAACCTAGTTTAAAGATAATAAAAAGCATTAGTATTTAGACTTATCTAGGCTACTTTAAGTAGTACGCTTAATTATTTTAGGCTAGATTAAAAGGTCCCTCAGATTGACCGTATAGACCCTCGGAGCTTACACTAAGCGTAATTAGGCTAGCTATAGTAACTATATTTCTAATGTATTAATCGGTAGAATTATCTATGGTGATAAACCATAGGTATTTCTATTCACTATATAACCACCTAATAAAAATTAAGTCACTACCGTTTCTACTACCAATAACTAAGTAGACCTAGTAGCTTATTACCTCTAGGATACATATATTTACTATATAACGTGGTCTCAGGCACTGGGAATAGCTTCGTCTACTGCCTAGGGTGTGTGGTCTAGGCTAGGAATGCCTAGTCTAACCGGCTTAGGAAGCGTCGGGAGCTTTCTAAAATGCCTTAGAACGGAACATATTATACGTCCCCCTACATAGGAATTATGCCATAATATACGGGAAATTCTCACTTTCTTATGCCCTTTTCTAAAATTTAACGTAGAATAGCTAGATTCCTTCAAATCCGCTAAGTTTTAAAATCAGCCTCTATTTCCTAATTAGGACTAGCACCTTTTATAAATTATTTAGTGGTCGGTACTTTATTTAATAAGAGGGTTATATAGTAAATGGAAGTGTCCTAGGGGTAATAAACTACCATAAAATACCAAGTCCACTTAATTGTTAGTAAGAAATAGTAGTGACTTAATTTTATTAAGTAGTTATATAGTGAATAAAAATACCTAAGGTATATAACTATAGATAACTTTTACCCATTAATATATTAGAAATATAATTACAACAGCTAGCCTAATCAGGCTTAGTGTGAGCCCCGGTGATCTAAATAGTTAACTTAAGGGTAATTCTAATCTAGCCCTTACTTTAATACTAATTACGTATCTAAGAGAATACTTAAGATTTTAGTTCTATCTCGTCATGAAGTCTATCTTTCTATAGGTAAAATATAGTATATTACTATCGATAAATTCTCTATAAGTCGTATAAAGAGGACTAGAACTCGCCAATAAAGAGACTTCTACGGTCGCTAACTAGATTTATAGGTACACCTATATCTAGTACTAATTTATTATAGAATAACCTAGTAAGGTTATAGGTATAACGTGTCCTGCAAGCGAGCGCCGCACCCACTTAGTAGATTTACCTTTATTATTCAATTTTTTCAACCCACATGAAAAAATAAAACTAAAGCTATTCAGACCTCTCTAGGCAATTGTTTCTCTTATACCTAGGCGTTTTACATAAACTGCATCCCTGTAGGCGCCTCTCATTATTTCGATTCTGCGTTAGGGATGAGCCGCCGGCCTGGTTGAGTACAGTTTTATCCACATATCCTAGCCCACCTATATAGGCTATAGCTTCTTAGAAGTAAACTACCTTAGAACGCTATTTGAGCTATCAAACGTCGGCTTTTACGCATAGTCTTAGCATTTACGGCGAGTAAATCGCTTATTTGCTAGCGCGCAATAGTGAAGCTATAGAGCGAGTTAGCACCCTCTTTCTATTTAGTCAATAGCATCACCTAGACGCCGGGAGTTATCGACAGCGAGCTTCCAAATAGATAACGCTTATCTCCTTATATCATTTACCGTACGAGGCTTCTTCGGGGTGAAATTACGGCTCGAATCGCTATCACGGCTAGGGCTAGGTGGTCTTAGGGACGTGGCTAAGCGAATATTATGCTTCTAAATAACGTGTTATAGATTAAAAAGGATAATACCGGCGCCAGCGAAGCTATTTATAATAGTCTTCGGCTTATATATCTTAATTCTCGACGTCTAATATACCTTAAGAAAGTCGGTCTTACTAATTCGGGTAATACTAAGCCTAGTCTACAATTCGATAACCTTACTATATACCTGTTTTAACACCTAAAATATCCGACATCGAGAGGTTATAGGAGATAAGATAAATACACTAGTATCTAAATTAGTATAATATTATTTTTAGCGTAGATCTCGTTAAATTAGGAGGTAATATAGCTACTATATCTATCAAGTATTAATAGCCGACACCCTCCCTTCGTCTAGCTAGTAGTCAATAGTATAAAGAGCTTTAAAGCTATTTAAGGCTAGTAGTATCCGTCGTCCACCTATTATCACTAATAGCGAATAGCTAATCATCCGGTAAGGTAGTATCGCTAGTGAACTAAGACGTTATAAAAACCTTGCCTTTAAAAATAACGTATAGTGGTAGCACCTACCCCGACATATTTATCATCTTAATTACTATCACCTATTATC